AAACTACTATTATTAAATATTCTTTTTATTAAAAAGTACTAATAGATTTAGTTTCCTCTTAATAATTAAAATATATTTAAAAATTATACTCTAAAATTACTAATTAGACTATCTCTTTAAAGTAATTCTTTTCTATAATAACCTTTAAATTATACTTTAAAAAGCCTTATAATTAAGTTTTTTTAATATTATTAATATTACTATTTAACTAGTAGAGACTTAAAGTAATCTTCTAGACTTATTTATAAGTTAAAAGGTTATTAAAATAATCTTATATTAAAATTTAAAAAATAAAGTTTAACTCTTAAATATTTTAAAACTATTATTATAATTTAAAATCCTCTTTTTATAATAATATACTATTAATTTAATATTAAATAGTTCTTTAAAGAATAAACTAATATATTATTACTTTCTCTATACTTATACTATTAATATCTATTTATATACTATTTTAAAGGTTTTATTTAATATATTAACTTATAAAAATATAATAGTAAAAATAAAATATTAATTAAAGTTTATTTATATAAAAAATAGATTTTATAATATACTATTATTATTAAAGTGGGGGAGGTTCAGTGGCCTAAAAATAGGGGTGGCCTAGAAAGGAGTGGGCGACGTTAACATATAAATCCAACCTTCGTTAAGTAGTGTAATAGTAAGGTTAGGTTAAGATATAGTGGTCGAACCTGTGTTATTGCCCGCACCCACTTACGTAGTTAATAAGTAAGTCGATTAGATAAGAGCGGCGATTAATTTGCTGACTTTTATACGGATTCTAAGCCCGAATGAACATGCTGGCTGACTAACGAGGAGAATAATAAGAGCTAGAATCTTAATAAAACAAGATCGTTCTTCTAAGTCATGAGCATCCACCACTTGGAAGGGCTATGCAGAGGCTGTAGCGACAGCCTCCTCCTGCACATATGCTGGAATGACGCCCGCCTCCTTATTCGACTTAACCGCGCTTTATTGAGCCCCGGGGCTCGTCCGCTCGGGAATTCCTTCATTGATACATACAATTTAGCATACTATAATGACGATTTTGACGAACCAGAGGCTCTCTCAAAGAAAATTCTGCGTGTAGTTGTAGAGATCGGACGCTAAACGTTTAACGAAATCGCCGATCCAACCGGCACTCCCGCAGGATGTTCACATGCTCCTCTTCCCACGGGAGTTAAAATCTTGTTTTAAAACTTTGCGTGGTAATGTAAAATTGATTCGCGAAGACACGCATCCTGCGGAGAATATTTTCCCTAGCCCTTTTAGTCCGTTTCAACTCCAGGCTAGCCAGTGCCATGGCCTTCCCTGATACTCCATCCAAGATCCGCGTTTACTCGGAACCCTCGCCAACAATGGCTAAATAATTCGGGTAGAAGTTGACGGACAGGAGATGTGCTCAGAGACAGGTTACACCAAAGGCGAGAATATCGCACGAAGGGAACTCGACTACCTCTGGATGATTACGGCGTCCGTTTGTGCATCGACGCTCCGCGTATTAAAGCTTCTTGGCCGGGTCCAGACACCTGACACGAACACAATTACTGGGTTTCTCTAAAAGTATATTCTAGTTCCTAGTTCATAAAAAGTCTCGACACCTCAAAACATAAATACGCCTTATCAAGTATTACTAAGACGAGTCGTAAGAAGTGGGCATTATAAGTCTAAGAGATAGCTCACTTATTGCATGAAATGGGAGTTGTATGGGGCGATGTAAAAGCCTCTAAAGTATTCATCCACCGCGATTCTGACAATGCATGGATTCTTAGCTTTGGTGGTGGGTGGCCTGATGGCTGGCTGGCTGGACTCACGGCTGGCTGATCAGGAACAAAGCGGCATAGTTGAAGGAAATAATTTAGCAGTGCGAAAGATATTTGAGTTTTTTAGATGTTTGACAGTATACATGGACCTTTCTATAGGGATGGCTCCTCCTTCCTACTAAGTAGATTTTCATGCATACCTCTGGCCGGGCTGCTTCTTTGTATCTGCTTCCCCCCATCTGTTTCCGCGGCCTGACTCCTGGAATTCCTCGGCGCTAGCTTTACATCGCTTCATACAGGTTTGGCCTTACCTGAGTTAGAATTACAAGAGTTAAAATCATAGGCAAGCAGTGTAAGTAACTTCTTTTATATTGACTTCAAGTTCCATCAAATGCTTGAGGGCTATACTCTGGCTGCAGAGGCTCGCAGTTACTTGAGCGCCAAGTGCTATGTTCCATTCCTGTTACTGGCCACCAGTGTAAGTAACCGAAACGCTTCCGTCGCTACCAATCTCGGTATCAGTAAGGATGACACCATTCTGCTTCAGGTTGAAGACCTCAGCACCGACAGCAGAGACCTGACCATTGGGGCCTTTAGCCGTGGTGTCGAAGAATTTGATAGTGCCCCAGTCAACAAGGGGAGCAAGATCGCCTTGGCTGTCGGTTGAGAAGTCCTCGACAATCCATTCAGCATCACTCTCACAGAGAGGATAGGAAGTCTCGCTGGTGAAGGTCTGCGAAACCGACTTGCCAGTAGTCAAGTTCTCGACCGACGTAGTTCCGCTTGTAGAAGATGTAGCGTGGACGGTGAGACGGATAGTGTCTCCGCCATTAACATCAAGGCTAACAGAGTAGTCCTGCATAGTGTGCTTCCACCATTCAGTCCACACCCAGAAGCTGCCGTCGCCGTAAGTGACGATTCCGGTCTGGAGGATGGCAGATTTGCAGTTGTTGCCGTCGATGCCCACCCAGATATCAGCAGTACCACTAGGGTTGTTTTGGTCGTTCAATGTGGGAACGACGAAGCTTCCCTGGACATAGTTGTAGCTTCCGGCCTTGGACTCTTGGACCGCACCAGACCAGTTGGAGGAGGTGTAGCTGCGCTTGTGTTTGGCAGGAGTGACATTGTCCAAGGGAGCAGCGAGGATGCTGCTCAACGAGGCAAGAGTGAGGACAATTGGTTTGTACATGGTGATTTATACGTGAATGAATGGGGAAGACACAAGCTGAAGAGAGGAAAGATGCTATTGAATATTCAGAGTCTGAGTTTTTGCTTTGGCTGTCTAATCCATCCATAGAGGGGGATTGGCGGCTTTTATCTTTCTGAAGATCTTACGATGACTACAAAATTAAAAAGACCTTCCAGGTCCGGCTTACTATTTACTGTTTGTCACAACGTTCGAAGCGTTATTAGAAGCTTAACCATTCTAAGCAGGAAGAGCGCGGCCGGCAATTGATGTGGTTGGGACAGGAATAAATTGACGCTACGGCGAGTCACTAGACCGGATCGTGTCTCGAGCGCTGCCGAAGAGCCGACAAGTATCTAGGGAACATGGATTAGAATGCTGGTCCCTTGTTCGATGGGACCGAGGTCGGCGTCGGAGAACAGGCAACCTTCCTCATCGAGAAAAGAGGAGTCCTAGTCAACGGCTTTTTTGGCCAGTGGCTTGTGCTTGGTTCCAGCACATCTTCAGAGTGCACGGAGGCAGGTCGTGTTAGATACCACAATCACAACCCGATGCCGCGAGATTTGTAAAGAGTATTGCTAAAGGACACAGAAGCATGTTATTAATAGCGCACGATTCTAACTAGTGTGTAACTGTTTCGCCTAATAAAAGCTTAGCACATACAAAGCCTGGGAAATGTGCTTCTGTGCCCGTAGACTGGTAAAGCGGGCTGGTTATTAGATGTTTTCTATGGATGAACTCGCTCACGACTGTGAAACTTCATATTAGATATATAAGTGATTGTTTCTTGGCGTACGATAGGCAGATCTCCGCCTCCAGCGAGTGTTAATGCCTAGGTACTATTCGCCTTCCTTGCCCTTGTAGAGGCACTAACTATGGACGTTAGTATCTCTGCTCCTAAAGGGCTGGGCCAAAAATTCTCCACAAAAATGCAGAGCGGAGGGCAAAAAAGTATCATTGCGCGACTTAGAGAGATAGTGTACGAGGACGAAGGAACATCCAAATGTTGTCTGGTCATTTTGCAAGATGCGGCCATTAGGCTTCCGGGTTGTAATTTTAGGTTATTAGCAAGGATTTAGGTATTCTTGATATGGGGAGACGCTTACTTGTGCTCTTTCCACTCCGTCACTAGTACGGACGATGTAGTCGATTCTGCGATTATCCGCGCTTTATAGTATGGTAATAGATGCACTATGAACGACAAATCTAGAAACCTGGAGCCGCATAATGGAATGCACTCAATTGCCGTTGGCAGCAGTGCGGGTCGGGGTGCGGATCAGAATATCGTCGATCGGAATCTGAGTGCGCGTTATTCAATCACTATAATATCCGGGATGGTAGTATACTTGGCTAGTGCAACCTCGATCGTCATCTCATTGTAGTTGTATGTAAGATACAAGTGCTGTCGCCATATGCACCTTGAACCCCAGCCATATCTAGATAGCATTTCCCATCATCCCGTACGTGGAGCAGCTGCCACATTGGGATCGGGAGCTCGTGGCCGCCATCCAAGATCACCACAAGGACGTCCTCGTTGGGTGTGCGGTATTTACAGTCCACTGCATACCGGCCTGCAAAGCCGTCAATCGTCGAGGGCAGGCCGAAGTACTCTGTCACCTTCCAGAAAATCGGCTCCGGCGCATACCAGCGTGCACTGCCTGTGTCCCAAAGCACTTCTTTGTCGTCGCCCTGGTACGTAAAGTCTACATTCGGCTCTCCAGCTTTGCTTAGAGAGAGGCCCCAAGTCACGACTTTTCCAAGGACACCACCGCCTTTCTCCTTGAGAGGATTGACCAGTTTGAGATGGTACACCCGGCCTTGGCGCTTGGCCCAGTCGATCCCGCCCATCACCAAGTGTGGCGGAACGCTGCCATCGCCCGGACCAAGAAACACACTGTACGTGCACTTTTCGATGTAGCCCCTCTCGTACAATGCTTGCGTGAATGACCGCGCCGCATTGCAGTACTTGTCTACGCAAAAGAGACTCAAACCAGTAAGCGCTGCCAGGGGGTGCGACGTATTGCAGTAATGCCCAAGAATGTAACCAAACTTCATGTTTTCGAAGCTGTAACCACCGATAGACAAAATATCTCGTAGCACACTGCGATGGCCTTGATTCGAGACGACATTGCTGAAGTTATTGTCTACGAAGTTGGCCGTGCGCGATGTCTGATTGTCGAATGTGCCAGTCTCTTCGCACATGCCCTCCTGACAGTAGATGTCATCTATGTTCGTCAGCGCGCGGTAGGCGTTGTAGGTTCGATCATGGGGGAAATGCTGTTACTAACGGGGAGACTCGACAGGATACGTGCTGCTTCCGGTGTCGACGAGGAGGGTGACTTTTTGCGGCGGCGTTCCGACTTGAACATCCATACCGTCGGCGTCCTTGTCGTTGATTCGGCGTTATCCTAGACTCGCACTCGATTGCCCTTTTGGTCTACGCTTGTTTGGTTGTTGCATCATTATTTTCGCGACTACTACAGCAGGGGTCGTCTGCGAGTCTCGATCGCTGAGAGCATTGATCGGACGGAACACTTTCGTATGCGAATAAGTACCGGCCTTTGTGTAGTTGATCGTGAGCGCGAAAAATAAACTTGTCTCTTGATGAATCACTATTTCACTTTCTTGAGTTACTTTAGTCTTTATTTGTGTGTAGGCGCATTGCAGAAAGGCGCATCTTCTTGTAGCACCGACTATGAAATTAACAGGCATAGCTACCCTATATAGCCAGCAAAGTGTGAGATTGTTATATCCTTTGAATGACAAGAAATAGGACCTTTCTTACATTTTCCTCCTCCTTGTCATCCTTGCGTCTATCCTTTTCAATTTTAGAAACCTCCTGGTTGTGCTCTCTGGTCAGCTTCTCTCGCTTCTTCTCCAGCTCTCGTAGCTCCTTCTCCATGCGTCTGCCTCCTTTCTCCTGAATTCTACTCTCCTTCATCGCGTATTGTTCGATCTTTTCCTCGTACTCGGTATTTTCCTTGGCCATGTCCTTGGTATAGCCCTTGTACATCTTCTTTTGGTCCTTGACCATCTTGGTCTTCTCTTCTTGACGCTGCCGCTCGCTCACCTTGGCGTGCATCTTACCAAGGTCATTGGTGGACTCGTCGAGTTCGGGAAGTGGTCCCATGTCAAGCGGCGATAGCCAAGGAGAAAGCGCCTGCACGCGACGGTGTTGGGCGTTCATGGTGTGAAGCTCTTGCTGTTCTTCAAATGGCAGCATAATGCTTGACCCCCTGTCCACCTTGCCCTCCGAATCCAGAATTGGAATGTTAGCCAGCCTCGCGACAACATCTAATTGAGCAACTTGAGCCTTCAAGCCAGCCGCTTTGAAAAAAGTGCTGTTGGCCCCGTTGAGGAGCATTTCGGAGCGGCCCTTGGACACGGCGACTGTGGACACTGTACCCGCATATTTTGCAGCGCTGCCAACAATCTGCGCTGTGGGCAAAGGCACAAAGCTGACAATATTGCCAGCCAGGCCCAACACCTGGATTGGAGGGCTGGCAACGGTGGCGCGTTCAAACGATCAATGAATTGAACGAATGATTCACGGATATGCCATGGCCTTCAAGCTCAGGGGGGTAAGCTCTTAGAAAAGGGTTGCCAAGCTTTGCAGAGGTAGCGGGTATGGCGAGGAGCTTGTAACTGTCATTGGTGCGGGTGTCAAACGGCACCGGCATGGTCGGCGCTGCCAGCCATGTTCTGTCGCAACTGCTGTCTTGAGCAGGTTGAAGATAGTGCGTCGTCACGGCTCCATGGGAGACTTGAAAGTAGTGAAAAATTACAAGAAGGTTGGACGCACAGATTCACAGGACTTTTCGAAAGGGGGGCTTTACATCCTTTATAAATAAACCTTGAAGCGCGTATAAATCTTGAAGATTTGTCTTCTCTGTTAAGATGCAACACATGGCGACACACTGCCAACACCTCGCTCTAGCAAGCTTGATGCAGAATAGCTCCATTTCGTGGTGATCACTACAGGCACAAATTCATCGCTTGGGCCAGTCCTACATACATAGGACCATGGCAAATAGCTCGGGGATGACCAGACCCCCGACTTTCCCGTTTTCGGAAGTCCAGTAGCGAGGTAGGCGCAGTAGTACAGATAAGGCTGCGACCAGAGTGGCTTGTGTTCAGTGACGACTCCAGTAGCAGGACACATGTCCCCTCCGCCGATCAATAATCTCCGATTTATCATTCCCGGTACTGACGCGGAGTCGAAAGCTCACAGGCGACAAGGGTCTTTTTTTCCTCCTTGATTGTTTCTCGTGGTATTATGCGGCCTGTTTCCTGGCCATGGAAGGCGTGCACGAATTTGGCGCAAAGTAGAGCTCCGTCAGCTGTGCCACGCGCAGAAGCCGACGCAGCAAAGGATGCTTGACATGTCGAAAGCGTAAGGTGAAATGTATGGTCTGTAAAGAATCACGCGTTGCAGTGGATATTTTTTTTGCAGCAAAACGATCAACTTCATTCGTTGTGACGTTGAAATTTTCCTTCCTTATGCACAGTGGCACTGCTGACAGAGTTGGAATAAATGAGGCTCGGCCAGTTTGTGAGCGATGCCGCAATGGTTTTCATAACTGCCTAGGATACGACGAACCTCACATTTTCGTCAATTCTGGTCCGGGCCTGGATTGCCCCAAGAGTCCGCCTTCTGCTCGCTCTCGATCCTCGTCCACTCACCCTGGAGTTGAAGTCGCATTCTACAAGCTCTTTGTCAGAACCCCTCGACTCGTTATACCACCAAAGAGCTTTGACAGTCACATCCAAAAACTCATACGTTGCGCAGAATGTTTCCCCTCGAAGAAATTCGTTCGAAAATTTGCGCATTTCACCGACTATGAAGTTGGACGGCTTCCGCGATGGTATCGTCATTTCGCATCTACTACTCAAGTTCCAAGCTATCGTGGAAGGCAACACGCCGGGATCTACGGATGCACCAACTTTTGCGGGCGTATTTATAGCAGGAGACTAGAAGTCTACAGCATATATTCCGGCCTCAGTGTAGCGGAAGCGCGCTTTGGACGTGCGCACTGTGACGAAGCTATGATTCGGCATTCCACTGTGTTGTACGGTCGCGGACTCAAGCGACTGCTGAATGACCTCCAGAATATGGGACAAGACGTGGTACGGGGTCGCTCATATATGAATCTCTGGAGTTGCACGTTTCTTGGTATGTACGAAATGATGACAGCATCAACCCGATGAGCTGGTTGGGGCACTCGCGAGGCCTCCCGCCTTGGTAAGCATTGCTAGAAACCTCGGACGCCGCATTTGGATGCTAAAACGAGCAAAAGATACAATCACTTGGCCCTTACGCCTTTCAACCTGCATCAGCCCGGCGACTTTTCTACCCAAACCGACATTTTATTGTGCGTGGTTCCTGTTCTCGGCAAGTAACTTGGGATTGACATTCTCTAGGCGACGGCCGGCATTGCGACAAAGAGACGAACATTCTTGGAAGAACATGAATGGAAGACAGTGCCATGGGCAGAATTGGAACCTTGACCGAAGCCGGTCACGATATTACTGCAGGATATCTTTTGTGACATACCTTTATGGAGGATGCAATACGACTGGCATCTCAATCAAATGACTGCGTGAAAGAGCTGATGAGTTGGAGCAATTGCGGGCTAACATTCTCGGCGCGTATATGGAAACGGATTTTCTTCGCTGGAGCTGGGAGGAGGAATACCCGAATGTCTGCTGGGAGGTTCCGGTCAAAGCTGATCTTGGATGCGGCAGGCGACCTCACCCGGTTGCCGTTTACGTCAATGCCGCACTTCACCAGCTTTGATCGTGCCGTTGATACGATTTACTTCAACGTGATACGGCTCCTCATGTGCGAGCTAGCAGAGGAGGTTGGGCTGTCGCGTAACGCACTTCTGCAGACGTCCGGCACATATGCGACGTCGGGGCCCTTTTCGAATGCGATGCTCCCCCCTGGACAAGGAGGTGTCGAAGACTTTGCTATGGAGATTTGCCGCACAGTGCAGTATCTGGTACATGGCGAGACTGACAGCCTGGGCTCGCTAGTTCTGATGTTTCCTCTCCAGGTAGCTTCTCACCGCTTGCAAAACCACCCCAATGTTTTACAATGGCTCGGCAGGGTGCTTTCGAAGCTCACAGCAAGGAAAGGATTTAAATTAGGCGAGTATGTCTTGGAGATGACTGCGACTAGGTGATTTGCGCATTTGCATCTTACATTCGGCTGTGCTGCGGCGAATAAAGCCTCATGCCACGCACTTACCTCATTCTTAGCTCGACCGAACGCACGTTTTCTCTTTTCTTGGAAAATTTGCAAAATTTTCAAAGCAACTGTTGCCACAGTTTTCTGATTCTACTCATATTGGTGCGTGCCAGTGTACTGGCAGTACAAAAAAAGGGAATACCGATTCATAACCCCGCCAAGAGATTGCGTGAAGCCAAGGGTAAATCCTCCGCGTCAAAGACATGGTAACTAGTTAGTTACCTTACAGCGGTTCTCTACCAGCTCTTCCTAACTGTTTTCCGCTTTCTGGCTCCGCGTCTAGCCAAGGTATCTATTTCTCTTAAACCGAGTCAGTCTCTGTTGTCTATTTCTGTTCTTCTGATATTGATGGGCTAATTATTTTATGAGGGTGTCCTAGTAAACTTGAATGTGTAGAAAAGCTGCCAATGGCATGCTGGGTTGCATGTACGAGGCACAGCACTGCACGCATGCCGAGCCTCAGCCGCGGAAGTGGTGTGATGGTGGTTGCGGTGCCTTAATTAGTCTTTTGCCTCACGACTTGCAGCCACTCGGAACTGCCTGTATTAGTGGAAAGAAGGATTGCATTTGCGCCTCATCGTTACTTTAATAATGTTTAATATCAGGATGCACAACCGATGGGATACGACGGCGCGCACCCGTGTTGCTCTGGCACACAGATATCTAGACGAAGCAGTGTCACCCTTCTTTCACCGTACGAAGCACCTCAACTTCTTGGGTGTGTGGCACCTAGAAGGCTGAGAGGGCGCAAGGTTCGAGTACTCGCTGCTGTATTGTCGTTGAAATTTGTCATCTAAAAATAGGCCGTCTGTGCTGTGTGTATGGGACTGGGCGTTGGGAAGATCGGATGGTTTTACTTTTTGTTTTAGCAAATGGGAATTTGCGTCGCTCTGCTGAGGTATTGGGACTGTAGGTAGCAACAGTGCACGTCATACGAATGACATATAGTTAAACAAATTTCTTATTCTAAGGTGACAAATAATCCAACCCCCCAACTCGGTAGGGCGAGGCCGCATTATTCGAGTGACGCAAGAACGGTCGGGTCTGTGACGCATGGGAGCGTTGTTAGCTATGCACGGGGGACGGAAAATTATGTTTCTGAATTGAGACGAATTCCGCGGTATTCGCTACAACTACATTGTACATGTCGTGCTACCTAACTGGTCAGTAGTTCGCTGTCGCTTACAATAGCATAGCACTGATTTGATGAGGAATCAATCTAATGAGTCTTGCTTGTTTGGCGGACCTCCCCCTCAATCTTGAAAAATCAGGGGTCTAATCGCATAATCTGCATACTGCGACGCCTGATTCTCGCTGCAGCCAATCATGCGGCCAACAAATGGCCTTACCTTGAACAAAACTTGCGGGTTGTTGGCGGAGCTGGTGGAACATTGGCTCCTCGTGCCCAGCTAGGTTAATTTCTATGATTTGTTGGCCAAGCAAAGCTGTGGCGCCAGGACAGGAAACAGGCTGACCGGAGCACCAACCGCGGGCGTCCAAGATAGACAGATCCACAGTAGTCCTACAGAAGAGGTGATATTCCTGTGACTACTGGGCTGGGCTGGGCTGATCTCGACACCTGGGTGGACTCTGGCAAACTTAGAGGGGCTGGTGGTGCATGGCTTGGACGTGCAAAAGTCGCGTTATCTTCTCCTCGCCAGGAGCAATAATGGGATAAAGCTTCACAACGGCTTTATTCTCTTGCTTTGGTTTCAGATCCAGCAGACAAGATCGAAGCCGCCACACCCGCAGAGGGGCTGTTGGGGCGGTGGTAGAAGAGCCTTCTACAGTGGAGCGGCATTGTACAGCACGGATACCCAGCACAACCCCGGTTGGGGGGGTTGGGTATTGGGGGCTGGTGGTGGCGTTGGGGAGCAGCTTTCGATTTTGTCCTCCATCCTCCCGTGTCCTGTCCGTATTGCTGACAAACAGTCTACTGTAGAATTACGGATACCGACCTACCGTAGTGCATGTATGTTTGTATGTACCCAGTACGTACGCAGCAACGCTGGACTGCGGACCTGATACTATTTCTGACTTTAGCGCCTGGAAAGTGTGATGTGATATCGGGCTGCATCCCTGTATCCTAAATTTCTCCCCTCCCCGTGCACCAACATCTATCTCATGCACCAGTGGAGCCTGGCGTGGTTTGCAGCAGGGTGCTGTGAGGTGTGTGGGATTCCGTCCTGCACTGCTTTCGAATACCCTCTCACTCATCCGCGCACTCATCGGCAACAAGTACGTACTCAGCAGTAATCGACATGGAGTGCCCCATGGGTATATGCAAGAAAACGGGTCTCTCCTGGTCTTTGCTTTCGCTTGTTATATAGGAGGACCCTTCCCTCTACAATGCGTGCTTTCTGGCGAGTCTGGCTGTCAATCGTGCAATTGCTATTTCCTCCCAAGGTCAACTGACTGTTAGTAATGCCGTCTTTAAACCTTCTGGCACTCGCGCTGAGTACGCTGCCTTTTGCAGCTGCAGTCTCCTGTCCATACATACAAGGAAACCAGGCCCGCGCCGCTGCTCCCATCCTTCACCCGGAAGAACTCATCCAGCCACGGGCAACCGTCGGTGCTCCCGACTTCGGACAATGTTCGCGGAAGACCAAGGTTGCCGGTGGCGGCACGCGAAGCGCTGACTTCTGGCCCTGCCAACTCAATTTGGCCGTTCTTCGCCAAAACGCCGACAAGGTCAATCCGCTCGATCAAGATTTCGACTATGCTGCTGCCTTCGCCAAGGTCGATGGTGAGGATCTGCTCAATTGTCACTGACGTGATGCTGTACTGACTCAGACTTCTTAGTCGCGCAACTGAAGAAGGATCTCACCCAGCTGCAGACTGACTCTCAAAAGTTCTGGCCTGCTGACTATGGAAACTACGGGCCCTTCTGGATTCGCTTATCCTGGCACAATGCCGGCACGTACCGCATGGTTGATGGCCGTGGAGGTGCCGGCATGGGCCAGCAGCGCTTTGCACCCCTCAACAGCTGGCCCGACAATGCCAGTCTTGACAAGGCCCGCCGACTTTTGTGGCCGATCAAGCAAAAGTACGGAAGCTCTCTTTCCTGGGCTGATCTCTTTGTTTACGCTGGCAACGTCGCCCTGGAAAACATGGGCTTCCCGACCTACGGTTTTGCATTCGGTCGTGTCGATACCTGGCAGTCTGACGAAGGCATCTACTGGGGCAGCGAGCAAGAATTCTTCCCTAGCAAGAAGAGCAGCGCAGCTCGCTACAACGACAGCACTGATATCAACGCGCGCGCCGAAAAGCTGGAGAGCCCTCTGGGTGCCGCTAATCTTGGTGAGCAGAACCCCAAGTTACATGTTGGCTACAGGGTACTAACAGTCTAGGTCTGATCTATGTCAATCCCGAGGGCCCTGACGGCGAGCCCGACCCTCTTGCTTCCGCCAAAGACATCCGCATGACATTTGGACGCATGGGAATGGATGACGAGGAGACGGTTGCGCTCATTGCTGGCGGCCATGCTTTTGGCAAAACTCACGGTGCCGTTCCTGGCGACAACATTGGGCCGGACCCGAACAACGCCCCTCTCGAGCAGCAAGGCCTCGGCTGGAAGAACAGCTTCAACACTGGAGTCGGAAACAACAGCTTCACGAGCGGCTTGGAAGTCATCTGGTCGCGTACCCCCACAAAGTGGGCGAATAGTATGCTTCTCCTTCCCCAGATAGCTGGTCGGACACTAACCATTGACAGATTTCCTGACTTCCCTCATGAAGCACAATTGGACTCTCGTTACTAGTCCCGGCGGAGGCAAGCAGTGGGAGGCTACCGACTCCAACGCGACGCAGCCCGATCCATTCAACAAGGACAAACTCCACAAGCCCACGATGCTCACGAGCGATCTTGCCCTTCGATACGACCCGGTATACAAGAACATTTCCGAAAAGTTCCTTGGCGACTTCGACTACTTCACAAAGAAGTTCTCTGTTACCTGGTACAAGCTGCTCCATCGTGACATGGGGCCACTGGTACGCTACCTTGGCCCAGAGCTTCCCAAGGACGCCCCCCTGATCTGGCAGGATCCTCTGCCTGCTGCCAGTGAGCAGGTCATCGGCGATGAGGATGTAGCACAGCTGAAGAAAGATATCCTTGCTGCCCCCGGATTAAATATTTCCAACCTGGTCACTACCGCATGGGGTTCAGCCTCTAGCTTCCGCATCTCTGATAAGCGCGGCGGCGCCAACGGCGCACGCATCGCCCTTAAGCCACAGAACAGCTTCGCGGCAAACAACCCCGAGCGACTGAAGGCTGTCATTAGCTCTGTATGTGCATTCCAATAATTACCAGGCAGCGATGCAGGCAACTAACCTTTTATTTTCTCATATAGCTACAAGGAGTCATGAAGAAGTTTAACTCGGCCAACGGCGACAAGCAGGTTTCCCTCGCCGACCTCATTGTTCTCGGCGGCAATGCTGCCGTCGAAAAAGCCGCCGCCGACGGCGGTCTCGACATCCCGGTGCCCTTTACTCCTGGTCGTGTTGACGCGACTCAAGATCAGACTGACGAGACTGTATTTGCTTTCCGTAAGTATCAATATCCCCGGTCGAGCTGCACAGTGCTGACAGCTTTCCAGTCGAACCCCAGGCCGATGGCTTCCGCAACTTTGGTCAAGGCAACAGCCGCGCTCTTACCGAGGAGCTGCTTGTTGACAAGGCTAGTCTCCTGACCTTGAGCCCGCCCGAGCTTACCGTGCTCATTGGCGGTCTTCGCGCCCTCGACGCCAACTTTGATGGGTCGAAGCATGGCATCCTCACCGATAGCCCCGGCAAGCTCACGAATGACTTCTTTGTCAACCTCCTTGACATTGCCAGTGTCTGGAAACCAGTAGAAAGCAGCAACCAGGAGCTTTATGAGTCTAGCGACCGTGAGAGTGGAAAGGTCAAGTACACAGCAACCCGTGCGGACCTCATCTTCAGCTCCCAACCTGAACTTCGTGCTGTTGCCGAGGTTTATGCTTCTAGCGACGCAAAGAAAAAGTTTGCCAGCGATTTCGCCAAGGCTTGGGCCAAGGTCATGGAACTCGATCGTTACGACATCAAGGGCCGCAAGCAGAACAACGTACAGTAATTGGCTTGCTGGCCAAGGCGATTCATTACCCCTTCCCCTGCATTCCATGCAAGGGTGTATGAAGGACACGTCACGTTATCTTTTGAACGAATTACTTAACTTATCTGAATTTGTACTCCTCAATTTATTTATACTCTTGAAGTGCATATTTGCTATCTGCGCCATCTGAAATCAGGATGCTTCCAGTCCAATGCATCCATATCTGGAGCGTCGGGATCCTCCGCCTCCGTTAACTGCCTATGATCCCGTTTTTTGTTATCCTGTTCAATCCAAAAGTAGAGACCAGTGGCAATGACAATCATGGAAGCTTGCGCAGCCAAATTTAATCCGTTTCCAATCCGGTAATTCGGAGAGTCGGAGGGAACATACGCCCAGGCTGACACCAGGCCGCCAATATTGCAGAACATGACATTAACAGCAATCGCAGCCGACCGAGCTGTGTCGGTGGCAACATTTGCTGCAACATGAGAGTTGGTAAGCGCGCCGTACGTGAAAATACCGAGGAATGGCAAAAACGTCGCGCCATAGCGGAGATGCTGATTTGAGGTTGAGAGGAACATGATGTATCCGACAACAGTCAGCGGCGCGCAGAAAATCATGAAGACGCCGCGCTTCTGCGATTTCCAGCTCCAGAAGCTTGTAACTGCGCAAGCAATTGCACCGACAAAATAAGGGGGGACGGTCAAGAGCTGCTGTACCCGGACCGTTCGGTCTGGAAATATGGTTCTGACGATTGTCGGGAGGAAGAACGAGACACCGTAAACAGTGATGCTGTTGAGTAAGAAAATGGCAGAGGTCGCCAGAACAACAGGGTTAAAGATTCCCAAACGCACTTTCTTCCAGCTAAATTTTGAGTCGGATGTGGCAGAAGTGTATCTTTCGGCCTCCAACCTGGCCTTGGCTAGGTGCTTTTCTTCCGCGGAGAGCCATCTCGCCGTGTCGGGTCGGTCGGGCAGCGCAACAAAGCAAATGACGGCCAGAACACACGATGCTAAGCCTTCTCGGTACTTAGTATCACTGTAGAATATTCCAGGCAAAACTGCATACCTTCAATCACAAATATCATTCTCCACGAATGCAAGCTTCCGAGGTGTGGGATCAACAGGATAGCGGAAGCTAGAAGGCCTCCAAAGGCCCCAGCAAGCGACGCCGAGATGATGAACAATGAGACGCGGAACGTCAATTCGCTGTGCGTATACCAGCGCGAGAGGAAATAGACAAGGGCGGGCATGATTCCCGCCTCGAAAATTCCAAGAACAAAGCGAACGCCACAGAGGGCAGAGTAGGACTGCACGAATCCCGTGGAGAGCGTAAGCACCCCGAAACCGAGAATGGCACTGGGAAGAAACCACCCGGGTCCAATATACTTGCATAAGAGGTTGGCCGGGATTTCGAATAAGATGTAGGATATAAAGAAGATGGATAATGAGATGTTTAGGTCAAAGCCATGCATGTCCAGATCCTCTAGCATTCCGGCGATGGCAGCATTGCCTTGTTCATCATGAGCCTTAGGCACTCTGTTGGTTCACTGTGAGACTTACCAATATTCGATCGATCAATAAACGCTAGCACTAGAAAATGATGATACTTAGCAGTCGACGTCGGATGCAATTCGGATTGAATGCATACAGTATATAAGGCTGACAAGAGGGATGAGGTTAATGTCCATCTTCAGTCGCATTCTGTTCTCGTCAGCGACGGTGGGATCAACGGAGGTTGGCCTGACCGGCAAGGCTAGTTAGCACTGGATGTCATCCTGGGGCATGTATAGAAAAGCGTAAAAACTTGCCTTTGGGAGACATTATCCACGTCGTAAGAGTCGCGGACTCCATGTTTATGATTATCCTCGGCTGACATTTGTACAGCGAGTGGCTGATAGAAAGACGGTAAGACGGTGGGTGTGTTGAGGGACAAAATAGAGCGGTCGGTTACACGAGGTGCCCAGTGATACGAGTTGCGGCAGCTTGTGATAACTGTCTGAGGGATTTTAACCGATGGATTAGAATCTAGATCAGCATTCAAAGTCAAGAGTCAAGTCTGCTTTTTATATAGGTAGAATTGTCGGCATGCAGCGTGGGATATTGCAACCCCGCGTTTGCTGATGCTGGGGAAGAGATCACCGTTTCTTGGCGGCGCCCTGCCCATAGTGCTAGTTGGGTGCGAGGCAAAAGTTCAACGCCACTGCACGATTTTGGGCGCCGAACCCTCTTCAAGGCACGAATAAGCGTCCGGTACGTACCCGCCGACAACCACTGTGGTTCTTTTCCGTTCGGTTCTTCCGAACTACTCCTTTCCGAACCAGTAGGATAGCTTCCGTTCCTCGACCTGCTGTGTTACAGGGTGAACTTGCCGATGAGGACGACAACCCCAATGTATCCTAGCAACTTTTCCAATAGATGATGACCGAGTCATGTCATGTATGTGCCTCCTCCGTTTCGCGCATCGTGATAATGCATGATTGCCGTTCATTGTCCGATTCTAGACAAGTCGAGTCGGCATTTATCTATAGCGACAGAGGGCAGGTGCCAGCAATAACAGGGGAATATTTGACACTCCATGTTGATGCACCGGCGACTGCGCGAATAACTTCTGTTCCACCCAGCACATTCCGTACCTGTTCGCAGAATCCCGTTCGTGGCCGTGTGCCGCGGGCAAGGTAAGGTGCAAGGTAACCTCGGCGACATCCGCACAACTGGAGCCCGAGAATCTGGGGGGGGGCCGGTTTCTCCCCTCCCCCTGGTGTTCTTGGACGCTCCCTAAAATAAACTGCCGAGCAAGTTCCTGACAAATACAAACGCAACCACCAGTCAGCATCATGGCAGGAAGCAGATTATTCTTGGCGCCGCTTGTTGCAGTTGTGGTCGCCGTTTTTGCTGGCTATATTAATTTCGGAAGCATCTATCGCACTTTGCACATCACCGGGGTCTTGCGCAAGGATGAGTGCACCATCGCGACCGAGAAGCTAGAAGCCATCCACATTCAGGGCACGCCGCACTGCGAAGACCTCCATCATCATGTAGCCAGCGGGTTACTTTTCACCGCCTGCGAGGGCTCTGTGGAAGCTAGACACTCCTGGTTTCCGCCCCTAACAATCTTTGACGATGCTAGCAAGGTCGTGGAAGCTCCAGGCGCCATTACAGTCATTGATCCCCAGGTGCGTGCAAATCCACATGCGCGCGACTCATGCAGTCATATTGACGTGAACCCTCAGAGTATGAAAGCAAAACGCCTCCAATTCCAGGGATTCTCTGGCCCGTTCGTTACACACGGCATCGACGTTATTGACGATCCGGCCGCAGCGCCCGGCGCAGCCGTTTTTGTCTTCGCCGTCAACCATCGGCCAAATGCGGCCCAAGATCCGCTGGCACCAAAAGCTGATTCAGTGATTGAGCTGTTTCGCCATGTCATCGGAACGAGTACTGCTCGGCATATCCGCACGATCAAGCACGACTTGGTACAAATGCCCAATGACATCTTGGCCTTGTCTCCCACTTCTTTCCTCGTCACGAACGACCACTTCTATCGAGAGGGTGCTATGCGGATCATCGAAGATGTATACTCCGGTGCCGTTTGGTCAAACACCATCTACGTCGAATTCGAAAACGGCGCGGCCAAGCAACATGAGACGGCTGGGGTGCAGGCCAACGTGGCTCTTACGGGTCTGCACAACAACAACGGCCTAGGCCGGGGGAGGACGCCCGAAGAAGTTGTGCTCGTCAGCGCTGCGAGCGGCGAGGTCTACTTTGGCGCGCTCGAGCGAGCCGCAGGTCAAGTCACCATCCGCATCAAGGAGACGTTCCAAGCAGACTCTACGTTGGATAACCCGTTCTACCTGGTAGACCCATACGCCAACGACACCTTTGATGCCAGTGGCTTCGTCCTTGCAGGGCTTTCGAGGGGCATCAATCTTGCTCAGCACAGCAGGCTTATCGATGCACCAGACGGAGTCATGGTATGGCATCTCCAAGATCGCTCCTTACGCACAGCGGGGGATGCCGAAAGTTTGTGGGAGGCCAGGCTCCTACTCCATGACAATGCGGATTATATTAGAACCGCAAGCGCTGCTGCCCTCGTCCCCCTGGACCCCGCCAAAAACAACGGTCAGCGACGAGCCTGGCTTTTCGTTACCGGCTTCTTGTCGAAAAACATGCTAGCCGTTAACATCGGGTTGTAACCCAACCCCAGAAAGGAAGGTGAATGGTGAGAAGCAGCGGCTATGGGTGGGCGGCATGCCATGCTCATGTCATCTGACGGGTGTGTCTTGGGGAACAAAGGAGGAGCGGAAGCCAAGCCAGCCCGTGACGAAAGGTTCTCCGGCTCGCTCACTGACAAGGCCGAGTCCGCGCGGGGAAATGCCCCGAAGCAGGCGAATAGAGTGCTGTACGATTCAGCGCCAGTAATCCAGGATTAGCGCTAAAATACATGCGACAGGTTCCTTCGATCCTTGTCCTCAAATGACTGGTCCAGATGGAGGGGAGCTCCTCGGCCAATTACCCCTGCGCCCGCCACCAGGCCTGTAGACTCGGGCCTTTCCTTGCACCAGGTACAAATAATAAGCCCACTAGGTTAGTGGCAGGTACATACAGTAGGTTCAAGGTGTCAGGCCGGCCATCTGATCTGCCCCCTTCTACCAATGTGCTGCTGTATTTATTGAACTGGAATCACCCTATGCAAGTCGCGATGCATTCTTGGTTAATTTTGCCCACTCTCCGACATTGTATCACGAGATGAAAGCTGCCATCATTTTAATTGCTGCTCTACCCGGTATCGCTTTTGCGGCACCGAAATTCCACCTAGCCGACAAGAGAGAGCCCTTCAAGGACCTGACAAGTCTGCACTACCAGCAGAATCTACCCGTCACTGAGGCTTCTGCCAACAACGACCGCCGAGAGGCTTCGAGGCCAGTCAAGGACAACCGCAACCTTCACTACAACTCCAAGAAGATGCCCATCGCTATGGCGTCGCCCGGCCGCCAGTGAGGCTGCTCCGAGTGTTTTAAATATTCCTTGGCCTGTTAAGGACAACCGCAACCTGCACCGTTCTTACTTTATCAAGATGCCTGCTGAAGCGAGCATCCAGGCCACCATGGTCAGGTAGGACCCCACAGCCTCAGAGCTGTCTGGCGATGGGCTGACCTGCTGCAGGTCAATCTATCCGAGTCGTTTTCATAACCAGGATTTCAAAGTATATATTTAGCCCAAGTATATATTAGCTTTCGATATACATACATTGCAATTGCCATGCTGCATGCCGTAATGTTATTGCTCATTGGTGCATGTGTGTTACAGGCTGGGTTATGAGCTCGGCCACCATCAACTCGCCTATATCCACCCCATACCGAGGTCGCTAGTGCGGTAACCAGAGAAAACATCCACGAAAAACATCAACAATGATGTCGCGGGCAAATTTATCTCGAAGATTCGATGCTATAGTAGCTAGTATGTACATTACTATTCAACGGAGTTGTACTGACGTGGGATGGTACTCGACATGAGCGGCCGTGCGGCTTGTGAGCATATAGCCAATATTGATTGAGTGCGCAGGCGGCTATACCGTTTGCGGGGTGTTTATACTAACTGTACCGAGCTACACCCTCGGCAACTAGGACGTCAACCCATCGTCGACACATTATTTCAGCTCAGAACCCCCCATATACCCCCGTGGATAATTCATCTCATACTCTAAAGAGAGCCACGTCACATACCTCAACTGAATCATGGCGCCAGATCCGAAGCTTGAGCTTAGCCAGCACATCCCCTGGAGCGAACCGGCTTGGTATTCTTCGCTCCGGTCGCCCTACTACAACGACAGTCATCGGCGACTACGGGATAACATACGACAATATATAGACAAGAACGTCCTCCCCTACTCTTTCGAATGGGAAGAAAAGGGAGAAGCGCCAGTGGAGGCTTCCAAGGCTTGGCTGCGGTCGGGAATCGGTCTGGATGACATCCCCCTTCAATATCGGCCGGCCAACGTGCCCAACTTGTCGGGATTGCCTCCAGGTCAACTTGACGCATTTCACATGCTCATCATTGCGGACGAGACTTCAAGAATCGAAGGCGGTGTTGGAATCGCGCTAGGGGGGGCGTCCTCCATCGGCGCGCCGCCCATCATCCACTTTGGCACGGAGGAGCAAAAGTCCAAGTGGCTGCCCGGGCTCTTCACCAAGGAAACGAGCTTCTGTCTTGGAATCACCGAGCCAAGCGGCGGATCTGACGTTGCCCAGTTGAGAACCACTGCTGAAAAGACTTCTGATGGCAAGTTCTATATTGTCAACGGCGTCAAGAAGTGGATTACCGGGTCGCCTTGGGCCAGCCACATGACGACGGCGGTGCGGACCGGCGGCGAAGGCGCGCAAGGAATTTCAGTCCTCGTTATACCGATGAACTCGCCGGGAATCACCGTCGACAAGATCCAAAACAGCGGACAGAATGCCGGAGGTGCTTCGTTTGTGGATCTCGACAATGTCAAGGTCCCCATCGAGAACTTGATCGGTGAAGAAAACAAGGGCTTCGCCATCATCATGCGCAACTTCAACCGCGAGCGCTTTCTCCTCGCCGTCCAGTGTAATCGCAAGAGTCGAACGTGCCTCACCGCAGCATTCCAATACGCCCTGCAGAGAGAAACCTTTGGCAAGCCTCTGATGCAATACCAGGTGATCAGGAGGAAGCTTACCGAGGTGGCACACCGGGTCGAGGCCCATTGGGCGTGGATGGAGCAGTTAGCGTACCACATCGGGACCTCGCCGCAGGGGTGGCAGAGTCCGGACGTCGCAGGTCGCCTGGCCCTCCTCAAGGTCCAAGGCGGCCAGATGGTGGAACTGGCCGCTCGCGAAGCCCAGCAAATCTTCGGCGGTGCTGGATATCAGAGGAGCGGGCCTGGAGCCACCGTGGAACAGATTAGCCGCGACTTGCGGATGCTGGTAAGTTGGTGGTTGGTGTCGAGAAGACTCTCAAGCCGGGATGGTTGCTTACACTCTTGTCTAGGTTGTTGGCGGAGGCAGCGAAGAAATTATGGCCGACTTGGCCTTGCGGCAGGAACTCATGATGGCCAAGGCCAAGCTTAAACTATAAAGGTAACGCCTGCCCGGCAGTATTGCATGTGTCGTGATCATCTCGATCTACAAATGCCCATCTGGATGCTGTGTATCGTCTTGTTCAACTGTACAATAAAGTACTAGGCATGCTTAAAATTGTGTATGAGGTCTGCAGCTTCCTCCCTGTCATAAATGTTACTACATGTGCCTTCATTTGTCTAGACCAAGTTCACCCCGCAACGCGAAAGCGCAGCGCGCACTTTCTTCATGTGGTCAATGGCAATATTCCAGTGAAGCCTTCCTTATTGGCCATGATTTCCTCGCCCTCGGAGCACTGCTGATTCGATTTCGCGGTGGTTGGTTGTCGCATCTATTTCCGGGCCGCATCTAGATCTCTCCCAGTGCGCAGCTATGCTCCACATTGTACTCTTGTTGGTTGTTGGCTTCTGTCTATCGGAGCGACTGTAACGATCGCTTCAAGTGAAGGAAGAGCGCGATTGCTTGCCGCTTGTCAACATAATGTACATTGTTATGATGGAAAAGTAGGTAGACAAGTGCAGTGGCGCTCAGGGTCCTCATTGCATCACCATCACTCTCGACGGAGAATACTTATAACAACCCCTCTTCCACACAAAATAATCTTGCAAACAAAAACATCCCTTTTCCTGCTAAAAATATCAGCCCGGGTCTCCCAAAATGGGGATTTTACTTGCGCCGTGCTCTCTTTCATCTGTCGCTGGCGCTTGGGGGAAGAGAAACCACAACCTTCTTCGATCGTCTCGACAAGATATATTTGGAGGGGGTTTCGCCAGATCAGAAAAACATGGCCATCGTATTGAATCAGGAATTTCAGAGCCTGAACGACGTCACGATTGCAATTTCCGCGGTTAATGTCACGCATATACTTGCCCGAGTCGATGCCACGAATGCAACCATCGAAGTCATCGAGCCCTTGGTGGCTCAGGCCGACAACTCATTGCTTTAGTTCCCCACCACACCATTACCATACTCGAAGCCCAAACTCTCTCGCATATTTATACTTTATTCATACTGGGGAGTGTTGATTATTTCCGCATACTATCTGCAAGGCTTAGGGCTCATATGTTGCTTCGATCTTATAGCTTCGGGCAGGCTCATGGATGGGGCTTGGGCTTGTGCCGCGACCGGATAACCAAACTCACAAATGCTGTCAGGCTTTGCGGAGAGACCATTAACTCCAAAACTAGCTTTGCTTTAATGAGATGGATAACACCCTTTGGGCCTGCCGACATGTAGGGTCATCTTGCCTGGTTGGAAAGCGAGTACTATGCGTCGATGCCTAAACGTCGAGACGGGCTGACAAAGAGTCCGTGCGACTCAGCCGGGGGGTAACAGTCAATACAAAAAGATGCAAGAAGATTTTCAAAAAATATTGGAGTTGCGCTGCAGCTGGCTGAATGGCAATCGAGATTTGACGCGATAATCAAAGGGCGAGTCGTGTCGACCGGCGGTATAGTCGATCGCTTGGACGGAAAGACACGATTCGTGGCGCGATACGACGCTACTTCGAGTGAGGGGAACCTTTTCTTGTCGAGTTAGAATAGCGCAGCCAGAATATAATCTCTAATCTACACATGTGTTTTCGATCGAAGCCGCACAGCGACGTCATATGCGCCCCCTCTGCTTCCAAACATGTCCTGCACATCCCGCACAAGAAGTTGCGGCTTTTCGTATGCCGCGAAGTGACCGCCTTGCTCGTGGCGCTTCTGAAAGACAACGGGGCCGAGTGCCTTGCAAAAGGACAATGGTATGGGAGAGATGTCCTTCGGAAAGGACGAGACTCCAAGCGGCACCGGTACATACCCCATAGCCTTTCTAAGGTCCGCATTCTCGGCGTGCCGCGCTTCGTAATAAATTTGAGTGCTTGCGGCCGGGCCCGCCTTTGAAAATTGGTAGATGGATACCCAGGTCAATATCTCGTCGTCCGTCCATGGGTAGTCGTCAGTCCATTCCTGGAGTTTCTCGTAGACCCAGGCCAGCAAGCCTACGGGTGAGTCGGCCAGGGAGTAGCCAATTGTCAAGGGCTTGGTGCTCTGCTCGGCCAGATAGCCAGATCCTTCCTTCAAATACCAGCCAAGCCGCTCCAAGCCCTCACTTTCCTGCTTGGTGAACCAGCCCAGAAGCTTGTATAGCCCAAACCAACCTGTCGTTGTAGCTGACGGCTGGATCATTTGCATGTTGACGTGTGAGGCCAAACAGTGTTCAGGAAACTGGGCGGCAACAGAACGAGTAATGAAGAATCCCCAGTCACCACCTTGGGTGGCTGTATTTTTTTTCTCTCTATTAATTGAAAGCGCATAGACTTGTGTAAAGGTGACGACGTACCATATTTTGTATACCCCAAATTCAACATGACCTTGTGGATAGCTTCAGCATATTGAGAGATGCTGAATCCTGCCCGGTTGACCTTGTCGGAAAAGCCGAAATTTGGCAGCGACGGCGCGACGAGGTGAAAAGACGGTCCCTCTTTCGGCTCTGTCAGAAGGGGCATTATTTTGCTGACTTCGAGGAAGCTTCCTGGCCCTGCGCGTAGAGATTAGTACAGCCCAGCCCGGCCTATTCTTGGTGGTGAGACAGACAGCCATGGCAGAAGAGCAGGGGGATGCTGTCTTGTTGGCCACTGCGCTGGTGGATAAAGTGAATTTCGAGGTCCCCGAAGCCATCGACGTTGACGGTCGTGGTGAACTGAGGCAGCTTGTTCAGCTCTGCTTCTTGCGCGCGCCAATCGAAGCCATCCTTCCAGTACTCGACGAGTCGCTTAATGTCGGACCGCGACGCGCCGTATTTCTCGACATCTGAGAAGCTCACTTCCTCTGGAAGGGTTGCGAGTTGCAGCTTTTTCTGCAATATGTCGATCCTTTTTTGGGGAATTGCGATCTTGAAGGGTTGGACTTTGTTAGGCACCATGGTGTTGATGGAAGTTGGGCAGATTATAAATAGTTGAGATGAGATGAATCTGGCTCCGATTTTTCTGATTGATGTAGACGGAAATATCTTGATTGTAGCGGCAAAGCACTCAGTCTAATATCAGGAGCTTACAGCCGAGCAGGGACGGCGATTTCGCCTTTTCCCCGCTCCGTTGGCCTCCCTCCCCAACGTAGCCGGCTACAGACCGGGGGTTTTATGATTAACTAATCGTGACCGTTTGTAGTGCCTGGTTCGCAATAAATTCGAACCTTGTCATTATTGTACTTTCTCTCAATTACCGCCCCGCGAAGCTCCCAGAGACCTTCTGCAAGCCGGCCAGATCCAGAAGCGAGCTGTTAGGTTTCGGGCTGCGGCGGCGAGGCGACCGGGATTTACCTGACGCCCTGGACTACAGTGGCTCTCGCTGGTCCACCAGTGTAGTCAGACACGCCATGTAGAACTTGGAAATTCGCCTGTTTCCGTTGACAATATGCAGAAGCATTCAGAATCATTTGGGCGCTGACGACATTTAACAATTCCCCTGCTTGGAGTTGCAGCCTTTTGCACATTCCTGTCATATCCCCCCCCCCCTTATCTATGCCCTTATTGACCCCCTAACCGCGACCGAGAACCGGCAGCAGTAGACATGGCCTAAACTGGAACCATTGTCCGCTGGGTGGAAGTCGACGAAGTCCACGGCGGATCAGAATCATCCATCTCCAGTCCAGTCTCTAACAGCTCTCTGCGATAACAAGGCCAATTGCAGCGAATGTGCCTTGGCTGTAAGGAACAGGGGGCTAACCGCGTCAGGCTCAGCCCGAGCCCGCTGAATCCACAAGGCTGCACGCTATCTACGTCACCAGTAAGCCTTGGGTTCCTGGACTCGCCAGAAGAGTGATTGATTGCTGGTCTATAAAAGTGGCAAGAAGCATGAGACAAGAGGTAAACGGCAAGAGGCGCCCTCTTTTACCTTCAAGGACCCAAGGCATTCGCATCGTTGAACCACCCTGAATACCGACTCGCAAAGACACACCACACCAAAACACCAATCACCAGCATGCCCTGCGCCGTATCCCAAGGCTCACCGGCTCTCAGCATCGCCCTTGCCGGGTCGAGCAAGCGCATTTTTCAAACCGGCGACACCATCATTGGCAAGGTCGTGCGTCGTCAGCACATTGTCGCCCCCGAATGCCAAGTTACGCTGCGACTGCTCGGCCGTGCCAAAACAAAAATCGTCGTCACTCGCAGCAACGGCAACGGTGGCACCAGACACGACACCTACCGAAGCCGCTACCACTTCTTCGGCCCGGAAACCGGACAGATAATATTTGCAGGACCGCTGCATGTTGCTACCGAAGAAGCGGCTCCGGCCGAGTTCCCCTTTGTCATAACCATTCCGGCACATCCCTCCGAGAACCTCTCGCGCGAGGCCGGGCGGAACAGCTTCCTACCCACCGACCCAGCCTCTATTGCTGCACAACCATTGCCGCCCTCGTACGCATCCTATCATCACCACAGAGAAGCTTACGTAGAATACTGGCTCGAGGCCCAGCTCAATCCCGGGCCTGGGACGCATAACAAGTCTGTCAGCCCGGCCCTATCCACGCAGCCTATCATTCTAGGGGCGCCGCCAACACTGGAGCCCGTGGCCAAGATGGTCAAGACGTCTCCATCACCAGCGCATTCAATTACGTCTTATAGACTTATTCCCGGCATGGATGAGGTTGAACTTTCATTCAAGCAAAAGAGCAAGCAATTTTTCCACACCTCCAGCGTCCCCTCCCTCTCCTACTCGATACACGTCGGCATCCCGGTCGTCATGCAGCTCCAGTCCCGGGATACGATCCCGCTCACCCTGCGCCTGTCGCCAATGGCAAGGGGAACCAGCGACGATGTGCAAAAAACAACGCAAAAGGCCACCATTGACTACATTACGCTGCAGCTCAAAACTAACACCGTCATTCGCGCGGGTGAGCATTTTCTTGGGGGTTCACGCGAGACCAGTACGTCTGACGCCCAAGACTTACACTTGGAGAAGGCTCTTAAAGCGCTGCCGACGCCCATGGTCGTCGACATTGACCCCGACGGTGAAGCCATCAATCTCGGCGCTCTGTTTGACTTGCATCTTTGCGAATCAGGTCTATTCAGTGGCAATGAGAGGCTGTCAAGCCAGTGGTTTGCACCGCCCATAACACCCAGCTTTGTTACATACAACATGACGGTCAGTCACGCTTTGAAGGTTACCGTCAGCGTCACCGTCTGCGGCAAGGGGCACTCCGACACCTTCAAGTTGGACACGCGAATAATGTCGCCGCCTATCATGAATCGGATTCCCCAGAACAGGCCCAAGCAGGCTATCCAGCTCGAAGCCGGGCCGGCGCCACCATCGTTTGCTGAAGCCATGTGGGAAACAGCCGGGGGTGAGGCCGAGCGCCCGCCCAATTACAACCAAGAGCCAAAGGCGGTTAGCGAGGCTATGAGAGATGTTGAATCCAAGGTCGCGATGACACCCAAATAATGGCATATCGATGTCTTTTTGATTCAATAAAATAAAAGAGCCCTCCTCTTACAAGCAAGGCGGGATTGCTCCGTGAAACTATGACCATGAACTGCCGGTGCACTGAGTCTCGAGGCTTCCACATGACCCATACACGACGAACACGACATGGCACTGTTGCCAAGAGTAGACGATGAAATCATGCAGTGGCAAGTTGGCAGAGGGGGTGAAATATACTCATGTGATGCTCAAAAACATCCTAGCTAATAAAAAAAGAGAAGAAGATTTTTTTAAAAAAAAAAAAAAAAAACAGGTTGGCGAGGTTGCATCCCGAGGGATACAGGTTGGCGAGGTTGCATCCCGAGGGATACCCTATCAAGACACATGACCTTCTTGGCTTCGCCGACACCACTCGTGGGCGCCTGCCAGTAGTGGACGCAGCAGCAAGGCGGTCACCGTCGCTCGCCGGCCTGCGCTGCTCGCGGACCTGATCTGACCTGCACGCAGTTTCGCAACGAGCACGGCCGCCAAGTGAGTAGACGAGCTGCCCGACGCCGACGGTCAGGTCAGGCCCGCGACCATGACGTGCACGCGGCGCTGACATCGAGCTGGACGACGCGCTGTGGCATCGAAAGTTTGTGTCTTGTTGGGAGAGTGTGCTTTTTCTTTGGTTGCTTTCTTTTCCTGCAAATTAAAGGCAGCAGGTAATCTCCCATGGCTGCAGGACAAAGGCCGCCATGTCCTCGGGGGCTCTTATAACTAACTAACTTACCAGGTAACTAACTAGTAGCTCGGGGATCGGCGACGCGACACGGATGGCTGGATTCGCTGTATTTTTAGCGCCTCCCCGCATTCTCGTCGCGACGCAGTTTGTCTCGGAGACACGGTCGGTGAAATGCACTGGTCAGTTGACGGCGCGAACATGGTCTATTCTCCTATGATCCAAGTAGGCATGATGGAGCAAGTGCCAGAAACCAGAAAGAAGTGATTGCCACAACGGGAAGGAGATGAAACGGCTCGACGCGACATCATCTGATGACTCTGTCAGTCCAATTAAACCGCCAGCAAAGCCTCACGGGACATTTCGCCAGCATGTGCCACGAGCTTAACTTGACAAAAGCTTCAAAACCTGGTTGCTCGTTCTTCCTGCATCTCAGCGAGTAACATCGCGCACTAGCCCCGCTAGGAAAGAACGAGCGTCACCCCTAAATCTGCCACTAACGAAGTCGTAAAACGCGTGCAACAGACACCAGTGCATAGTTAGAGATGCTTATATATGGCCGTCATGACTTAGGTAGTTAGAGTAGAGGAACTTGGTTGTTTCGGTTCTCCCATGCCTGGTGCCTATTGTAATGAGCATGATTTTTTTAGTATGTTGAGACCGCGAGAAAGAAGGCATTGTGCCATCGAAACACTTACACAATAGCAGACTACCAGGCTAGCAGCGGCCTCCCTACTTCTAGGAACCGCGTTTGCCTTGGACGTAAGAGTCGCCAACAAGGCTCTATACCCGAACCAGTACCATCTCGATTACTTGGGCTCTAACCAGGCTCGAGATGGCACTTCCGGCGCAAATTCAGTGTACAACACCGCTTTCCCTGGCGTCTCGTGGGATCTCGAAAACTGGCGCCTGATCAGCTCTGTGCTAGACCAAGCACACTTCCAGTCACGCGGCTCCGTCGCGAATGGTTTTATCGGAATCAACTCGGCCGGTGCCGGTCCCTTCTTCGAGGTCGACGTGCCGGTGAACGGTGACAACACCAACGGATGGCCACTGTTTTCACGCCGACAAGCTTTCGCCGGCGTGTCCGGCTTCTGGGACGTGCAAAATGGGGAAAGCTTCATCTCAGGCATCCCGCATTGGGGCGGCATTGTTCTCGATCTTGGGAACGGCACGTATCTGGATGCAGGCGTCGCAAGCGACACCATTTCCGATTATTCCACCACGTTTAACTACAAGGCCGGCGTTTTGTCGTGGAAGTATACATGGCGCCCCAAAGGGCTTCCAGGTACATTCAAGATCGAGTTTCACATCTTGACACACAAGTTGGATATCAACGTCGGCGTGGTGCGCATGGTGGTTGAGCCGTCCGTCGACGTGAGCGCCAGCATCGTCAACATCCTGGAAGGCGCGTGTGCTGTTCGATCGACATTCCTCGAGTCCGGGTCTGACGGTGACTTCATTTACTCGGCTGTTCATCCTGAGGGACTGCCCAACACTTCGGCGTACGTCTTTGCCACGCTCGACTTCAGCTCCGGTGGCAGCGTTGGCTCGGCGCAACAAACCCGCAAGGAGCCATATCTGCAGGGCGTCGATTCGAGCATTGGAAGCAAATACAATGTGAAGCTCCAGGCCTATAAGCGCTTGGAGATTACAAAATATGTGGGAATTGCATCGACTGACGCCTTCAAGGACCCCAAGAACCAGGCGAAATCTGCCGCTGAGCAAGCTTCCAAACAAGGATTTCGTCGTCTTGCTAAATCCCACGCCGCAGAATGGGCACAGGTCATGCCGGAGGAATTTGTTGACGACTTTCGTCTCGACAATGGCGCTCTGCCCGACGATCCATCCATCGTCGACGACTCCATCATGGCCATTGTCAATCCCTTCTACCTGCTCCAGAATACTATCGGCGAGAACGCTCTAGCCAAGTCGTCCGGCCGTCCTCTCAACGAGAACAGCATTGCTGTCGGTGGAATTGGAACCGAGACGTACGCCGGCATGATATTCTGGGACGCCGAAACGTGGATGCAACCTGGTCTTGTCGCTGCGTTCCCTGAGGCCGCCAAGACCATTGTCAGCTATCGAGTCGCACACCACGAACAAGCAAAACGGAATGCGCAGATGGGGGCGGGCACCTCAAAGAGCGGAATCTCCATGCCCAAGGATGCCGCACTTTATTCTTGGACCAGCGCCCGTTTCGGGAACTGCACCGGCACGGGGGCTTGCTGGGACTATGAATACCACCTCAACGGCGACATTTGTCTGGCACTCATCAACCAATGGGTCGCTTCTGGCGACGATGCAGCGTTCAAGGACGCCTACCTTCCTGTTTTCGACTCCATCGCAACGGCATACGCGAGCATTCTTCAGCCAAACGGAAGCAAGTGGACGCTCACCGACATGACTGATCCTGACGAGTATGCAAACCACGTTGATGCTGGCGGGTACACCATGCCGCTCATTTCTCAGACTCTTCGCTACGCCAACCAGTTCAGGAAGCAATTTGGCCTCCAGCCTAATTCGAAATGGACGGAGATGGCGGACAATATTGTATTCTTGAGGGAAAACAACATCACGCTCGAGTATACCACCATGAATGACAATGTCGTGGTGAAGCAAGCCGATGTCGTCTTGGACACGTTCCCGCTGCAGTACACTCACAACTATGGACCCGAGGATTCCTTGAACGACTTGGACTATGTGAGTCTTCTATTTCGCAAGACAAACGGACGAGGCAAGGCGCTAACATTGAGCCGCAGTATGCCGCCAAGCAGTCGCCGGATGGCCCTGCCATGACCTGGGCCATCTTCTCCATTGTGGCGAACCAGGTTTCCCCCTCGGGGTGTTCCGCGCACACCTACGCACGCTACTCATTTTCTCCCTACCTTCGCGGTCCTTTCTACCAGCTCTCCGAGCAGATCATCGACAATCCAAACGTCAACGGCGGCACGCACCCGGCGTTTCCGTTCTTAACGGGCCATGGCGGAGCCAACCAAGTTACGCTGTTCGGCTACCTGGGACTGCGATACCTTCCCGACGACAAGCTGCACGTCGACCCCAGCCTGCCGCCGCAGATCCCGCGCATCAAATACCGAGTCTTCTACTGGCGTGGCTGGCCCATCACCGCATCGTCCACCTACGACAGCACGACAATGGCCCGCGCCACGCATATCATGCCACTCGACACCGCCGACCAGCGGTACGCAGACGCGCCCATCCCCGTTGACGCCGGCACCGCGAGCGGCAAGCGCTACGAGCTCCCAACGGACGGCAGCCCCGTCACCATCCCCAACCGGAAGACCGCGGACGTGCGAGCAACGAAGGGCAACGTCGCGCAGTGCCGCCCGGTTACGTCGACCCAGGCCGTCGTCCCAGGCCAGTTCCCCGAGAGCGCCGTCGACGGCGCCCGATCCACCCGATGGCAGCCCGCCTCTGCCGCGGAGCTGAGCTCCGTCACCGTGGCGCTCGACGACTCCGACCGCGGGCGGAAGATCGCCGGCTGCGCGCTGGACTGGGCGCAGTCGCCGCCGGACAGCTTCACGCTCGCGTTCCACGACGAGCCTGGCGCGACGGGAGGCGGCCAGCGCTTCACGGTGAATATATCCGCGCCGTGGAAGGGTCCGAGGACCGATGTGCACATCCCGGAGAGCAACACGACAGAGGTCACGTTCGAGACGCCGATCGCGGCGTCCAGGTTCGCGACGCTGTCGATACGAGGTAACCAGGGCAAGGGCCCAGCGGGCGCGACGGTGGCGGAATGGGCCCTCATCACAAGCTCTTGAGCATGCGCCAAGGATGATTTGACGTGGGAAGCAGATTGTGGTTAGATCTTTGGCCCCCTGCAAGGGAGGCCTCGGGTGATTTCATGTATATTGAATGTCTCCGAGTACAAAGTTGGCCGCATCAACCACGCGCTGAAATAAAGCGATTTCACGAGCGGGCTTTCTCGGTATAAGTTTCTAGTATAATTACTATTGATTAATATTTTTGCACAATCAGGATACTTGGATTGCGCCATCTTGCGCAGTCACAGGGCTCTACTAATCTTTTCAAAAGTTCTTTTGGTAAGTTGGGATGTTTACTATTCCGGTTCAACATATCCGTACTAGAGTTGCATTAGCAGTCGGGTACCTGACCAGGTTACATCACATTTAGTACACCAGGGAGCTTCTCAAGACGGAATAGCACTGTGGCTACTGAAAATAGGTAGATAGGGAACATGGCAGAACTACCGATAGTGTAGAGGCGGTCGACGCTTGTTGTACTTGGATGGGCAACTGCTCAGAAATTAATTGAGAATTGAAAAATAGGGAAATCTTGATTATTCACATTTTTTGTAGTAATTCCTTTCGAGAACAAGCACCCTTCTGTGCTTGTTTATTCTTCTCTTCCCACTACGTACCCTGGAGCGCTCAGTGGGCCGTGTTTGAGACGCGCAATTCCATGTCCACCATTACGCAACTCTGGGTGGGCCGCATTACAGTCCTCCAAGAGCCGACGGTAGAGTGCAAGCGAACAATCAATGCAAGGTGATTGATTGTCAACTCAACTTACGGGACAGCCTTCGGAATACGAACAACACAACAAGGCTCTGGGTCAATGACGGATCCGCAGCACCAAGGACAGGCCCGCGGCATGACTAACCGAACAGTCCACGATCGCCAAGGAGATGTCCTAGCGGCATGGACACCTGCCTGTTCGAGTTAGAGACGGCGCAGGAATGGCTGTTGATGTCACGTCTCGCTGGGAATTGTCCATCGGGCAACCGCTTCGGCTCGAGGCCTCCTCGGAAGATGCATGCCTGTTGGGCAGCGTGGCGTGGCGAATGCCGGGCTCAGGAAGAATGCAAAAAATGTATATATACGAGGCAGCCGTGCCGAAGGTTGATCAAATCGATCAACCTCTTCAATCCAGTTCTCCATCACAGCCAGCCACAGCGCGACAAAGATGCGTTTCGCCACAGTCGTTGCTGCCGCAGTGGCGGCCTTGTCCGCAAGCGTCGAAGCCGACAGGGCTGCGGCCTTCAAGAAGCATTCGGCCAAATATCTGCCGCAACATGACGCTGAGGCTGCCTTGGCCAAGAGGCATCTCCATGCGCGCAACGCCACGAAGCCTCGTTATCTGAACAGCAAGACCAAGAAATTTGCTGTCGACGGTGCGGACCTGCCTGAGATCCGCTTTGACGTCGGCGAGTCCTATGCGGGGAGCCTGCCCATTACCAACAAAAAAGGCGAAAAGGACCAGCTGTTCTTCTGGTTCTTCCCTTCATCAGACGCCTCCATCACCGATGAAATCACCGTCTGGCTGAACGGCGGCCCCGGCTGCTCGTCCCTGTCCGGCTTCCTGACCGAGAACGGTCCCGTGCTGTGGCAGGACGGCACGCTCGCCCCGGTCCAGAACCCGTACTCGTGGCACAAGCTCACCAACATGATCTGGATTGAGCAGCCCGTCGGCACCGGCTTCTCCCTGGGCACACCCAGCGCCCGGGACGAGATCGACGTGGCCACGCAGTTCCGCGGCTTCTGGAAAAACTTCATCGACACCTTTGACCAGCTCAAGGGCGCCAAGACGTACCTGACCGGCGAGTCCTACGCCGGCGCCTACGTCCCGTACATTGCCAACAGCTTCCTCCTCCAAAACGACACCAAGTACTTCAACCTCAAGGGCATCTCCATCAACGATCCCGTCCTTGGAGATGAAAATATCCAGTTCTCCATCACCGATGTTCCCTTCAACACGTACTGGGCCAACCTCCTTCACCACACCGACAAGACCGTCGCCAAAATCAATGAGCTCTATGAATCGAGTGGACAGGCCAACTACACGAGAAAGTGGTTCACCTTCCCGCCTCCCCAGGAACCCTTCCCCGCGGTTCCCGACGAGGATAAGGAGGTGTCCAAGATCATCCGCAAGTCGCTGCAGTCGAACAACCCTTGCTACAACGTCTACCACATCTCCGACCAGTGCCCGACCGTCTACAGCCACCTCGGCGGCGTCAACGACGGCGACTACGTGCCCCCCGGCTCCGAAGTCTACTTCCAGCGCAAGGACGTGCAGAGGGCCATCCACGCGCCCCTCATCGGCGACCGGTGGCAGCAGTGCGGCGGCAACACCAACGGGTCCGTGTTCCCCCACGGCGACGCCTCCCCCGGCGCCGCCCTCGACGGCACCCTGCAGAACATCATCGAGCGCACCAACAACACCATCGTCGGCTCCGGCGCCCTCGACGCCCTCCTCCAGACCAACGGCACCCTCTTTGCCCTGCAGAACGTCACCTGGCACGGCCACCGCGGCTTCCACTCCTTCCCCAAGACGCCCTTCTTCGTCCCCGACCACGAGGACAAGAACCCGGGCGCGCTGGGGCCAAAGGGCGACATTGGCGTGTACGTCAAGGAGCGCGGGTTGACGTTTTACGACGTCCAGCTAGCGGGCCACGAGGTCCCGAGCTATTCGCTGTCTGGTGGCTACAGGATGCTGCAGCAGCTTCTCGGGCGCATCGACGACTTGAGCAGCACGAAGCCGCTGTTCTAAAGCTTGGGGTGGCTTGGGGCTAGATGGAACTCGACGACATTCACGCTTGTATATAGCAGCCTGCTAATAGACCCGATATAGCTTCTGGGATAAATGCCGACTTGCCTTTTTTCATAGAATGTGCATCGTTGCTGAATAGTGGAAGCACGTCACGTCATGGTGCAATTCGCGACATTGTGCCAACACCAGCGCAAGCCGATTGCAAGCGATTTGTATCCATTTAAGTTCAGCAACATGGGCACGTTTCTGACGGAATAATCCGCTGCCGGCGTAATATTTCGCCAACGGGCCGCAGCGCTTCTACGATGAATGGCCTGCCCTGCGATGACAGATGATCCACCAACAGCATGCAAGTCCTGAGACGTAGCTCCGCGTGCAAGTGGTGCCTACCCACGTCATATACGTGCCTCTCCTCATGTTCGCCCGGGGAAGGATAACCACGTGTGAATGGACAGGGCATGAGGTACGGCATGCATTTCCACGAGGCGCGTCGGTAGATGCTGACAGGGGACGTCCCGATGTGGACGGACAGAGAAGGGCAAGTTCGCATAACTTGATGGCCAACCTCAAGAGCATGACATGATAATTTTAACCTCTTCGATCTAATCACCGTCGCCGTCACGGTGTTGATGGGTTGGTGGGCCAGCCCGAAAACCAAGACCGTTGACACACAGACGGAGAGTCAGCAGTCGAGCGACCGTGCTCAGCACCCCTTGGCAGGGGAGGAGGGCACAGAGCCGCATCTAAATTGCCACATGGCACGCACTTTTGGCGTCGATGCTTATCGTGAAGCGCCGACCGTGGAATGAAACCCTGACCACTTTTTCAGGGCACCCATTGTGGCTACCGCCTGTGGTGAGGTCGCTGTTGTTGCCCATGCGGTGCGGCGGGGATCGCCACGGACGTTGAGCAGGTGAATTGCCACCTGAAAACGGCGAAAAGGCGCAGATAAGGAGATAATTGTGTGGTGCAGCAATATTATAGGGCTGGATATTGCACCTGCACTTCGGTGCCTGTGCCTATATAAAGGAAGGAAACGCCGTTGGAAGCATGAGGTAGCAAGCTTGCAGAACCAACACCTTCACTCTTTACGCTTGCTCCAGCTTCAACCACGCTCTTTATTTCTCATTTTAATTTTTCAATTTTAATAACCTCCAAATTTCTATTCTTCTTCGCTTACACTCCTTACTCTACTCCTCAATTCTCCATCACCGCAAAAATGCTTCCTGCTACTGTCCTTGCCCTCTGCGCCCTTGCCGTCGCCGCACCCCTGCCGAGCCCTCAGGTACACACACACCACCGATCATGGTTACCACCCGCACTGCGCTGACTTTCAAAATAGGCTGCCCGCCCGTTGATTGACATCAACGCCAGCAACAACAAGCTGGACTTCCCCATCAACGTCCTCGGCCTGCAGACCCACGACGTCTCTGCCGCCAACGGCAATCTCTCCCCGAGCCAGGCCAACTCCCCGAACCAGGCCAACTCCCCGAACCAGGCCAACTCCCCGAACCAGGCCAACTCCCCGAACCAGGCCAACGCGCCAGCGGCGGCGTCCCCGGCCCCGGCCCCGGCTACGGACTCCCAGGACGCCAAGGGCAACAACGTCAACGGCAACACGCTCAACTTCCCGGTCAACGTGCTCGGCGCCCAGACACACGACATCTCGGTCTTCAACGGCAACCTGTCCCCCAACCGGGCTCCGGCCCAAGCTGCAGCCCCGGCCCAAGCCCCGGCCCCAGCCGCAGCCCCGGCCCAAGCTCCGGCCCAGGCCCAAGCCCAGGCCCCTGCCCCGGTGGCGCACACCACCACCGTGACCGAGGCCGTTTCGAGCAACGGAAATGGAAACGGAAGCTATGTCGTGCCCGTGGCTGTCAACGCGGCTCCGGCCCCCGCTGCCCCCGCCGCCCCAAACGCGCTCATGGGGGCTGTGGCCGGCATCACCTCCGCATTGTACAACTTGGCTGGCGCCATCACCGGCGCCACAGGCGGCAGGGCCTAGATGCTAGCGGTTTTACTCTCCGCACCTGATGGTCAAGTATTATTGTTGCCTAATTTGATTGCCCGGATTCACTCTTATACGCTTAATACAATGAATTATTTCCATCTTCAATTTCTATATGCGGGACTGAACTCCGGCGCATGTTGTTGTATTGTAGAAAAGAGATGCTACATGATTGAACCGAGCGATCAGTCATGTGCCCTTTCTCGCTCTCGTTTCTCTCTCTTAATGGTACTACTGCTCCTACTTGGGACCGTCATAATTAATAGTAACGGAAGTGTCAGTCATGTCGGATGGGTGGCACAGGCGTGTGTAACCGTTTCCGTTCGGGTTGTCGAACTGGACAATCCAGCTCTCCGAACCATTCATGTTGTAGCTGTGGCCACTTTCGTCGGTCGCATAAGCATTTTCGAAGCTGAAGGTCGAGAAAGGTGCCAGCGTCGTGACCTTGCCAATAGCATTCTCCTGGATCCATTCAACATTGGACTGGCAAAGCTCGTAGCCATCAGGTGCAGTCAGGTCTTGAGTGAAATTCTGTTTGGTGGTTCGATTTTCCATATACCTTAGCGTTCCACCATTAGGAAGTGATGCTTGTACAGGAGAGGGTGTACAAAACTCACACAGTGCCTGTAGTCTTGGACGTGGCCTTTACGTTGACATAGATGTCATCTCCTGGGGACACTTGTCTACCTATCAGCGCGCGTGTTCTACCGTCCTACCGACATGAACTTACCTGCAGGGCTGTCCAGGAGCCAGGAACCGTTGGGGTAAAACTCGTACCAGAATCCGTAGGTACCAACATTATCTTTCAGCTAGAGCGAGAAGGCGTCAGTGATGTCGGGCAGCAGGAAGCAGAGGCACCAACTCTGTAGTAAGTCCCGGCCTGGAGGAGAGCCTGGCATTGCGAAAGAGCACCGTCAATGCCAACCCATTGGTAGTTGTAGATTGGCTGATTTTGCTTCTGGGCGTCTGTCGGGAAGGACTCGGGCATCTTCCAGGTGGCTTCGACATAATTGAACCCAGATCCTGGGGTAGCCTGGCCACACCAGCCGGGCTTATACTTGGTCCGTCTCTCCACGGAACGCGTCGCAGCTTCTGCCACTGAGGAAGCCGTGGCGACAGCCAAAGAGGAAAGGACGGCAGCAAAAATCATGATGGCTTTGAGCTTATGTTGGATGGAAAAATTGCTAGAGTGACTTGGTTCAGAGCTCCTGTTGAGAGCACGGCTATGTGCGCGACGCAAGCGACTACTTATGCTTTTCTTCCACCACTCGATTATCTTGCTTTCTGCTTATACTTGGTAGCAAAGGCTGGTCGTATGTTAGGTAAAGTTGAATCGAGGTTACGGCAGGTAATCAGAACCGGCAATCGGAATTGCCCAAAAGAAGAAAGTACAAGGATAATCTTCTTTCAGCCATCCGACTAGCCGCGCGAGGGCTCGGCGAATTGAGAAGGCAGGGAACCCAAGGCAGAACCGGTCGAGCTAAAACAGCGCCCATTTCATTTTTGTTACGATAAAGATGCGTATCAAAACGTAAGAGGCTCCTGCTAGGTGTTTACCTTCTAATAGCTTACTAGCCGAGGCCACGGTGAGTCCGGCATCGGTACCTGTTGAACGCAGGAATCTCCGGCACCCTGGTTGCTGTTGCTAACGAGATTCATGATAGATGGGCTGCCCGCACGATAAATGAAGTGTCGGCAGACACATATACTTGGACATATCGGCACTTGCTTCCACGTCGGAAGTTGTTCGAGCGAGACGGAATGTTGCGCGGATGTGCGAAGCGACAGAAACTGTCGAGAGTCTTGGGAGGGCCCTGCGCAGCATCCAATCCGGAATTTCTTGGGCATGAAGTGCTCATGAGTCGACCAGACGACTGAGGCAGAGCATCGCTCCAAGTCTGGCATTGTGTCGTTGGAGGAATTGGTTTGTGTCTCGTGAAGTCGCAGAACCGGGCATCACCTTTGACGGGCCGATGAGGGTGAGCGTCATGCCACTGAAGTCGATTGTAGACGTGCCTTTGGAGACAGTTAGAGATGGGTATACAGTCATATCAAGGGGGGTTGGCCATGGTCAGGAGTCAAGGCAAGGGCGACGCGTGGAAGAGGCGATTTCGAGTTGGACGAATTAGTTTGCGGCCACAACGGGCTGCAGAAGAAGACTGTAAACAGGCGGAGAGTGGAAAGAAGGCGACAAGAAATGCGGCTCCAGCTTGAGACTTGGTCAGCCGGCAGAAGCATGGTGGAAAACGATGAACGGAGTGGTCGAGCAGTGCGTAGAAAGGTCAAGGAGGGAACAAGTGTTTGCAGGGACAAACGCAGGACTATGACAGCGCCAACCAGCTCCTTTCTAACCAAGGGTGCACATGTCAAGTAAATGATCAAAACGGTGTTGACATACAAGCCAGGCATCAGTAGGACACTTGGAGGGTAAAAAAGTCATTGTCAACACACGTAATTATCCCTCAATATCAATACATCGACAATCACAACCCACCTGTAACTAGCGAGAGCCACTAGTTACCAGACACTGTTTGTGCGTGCGACCCACGCGCCCAGACTTGTCTCATCGCGAGTGGCACGAGTACATGCCAGCAAACAATACGATATGTTTCTTGAGGCTACTGGGAAGTATTCAGGCCCCTGTTGAGCGTGACATGCATGAACCGACGTTTTTCGTTAAGATTTAGCGCGGTTTCCTCGTACCATGTTGCTGTTCAAATTGATGTATCCCAGTCAGGTAGGTAGGTACAAGGTACGGATACTTGCCAGCGATGCGCGCCAGTGCAAGTGCGTGTTGTCGAGAATGGGTGGAGGGCGATCAACAAAGACAGCAAACCAATTACAACAAGGTGAAAAGTAATACACATTTTGAAAGTATTTAGCGCTTGATATACAATACTCGTGCATGATATCATTACTGAAAAGCTGGTTGATCTTGTCATCAATGAATGAATGCAAGTATTGAACGCGACTCGGCACCCCTGCAGTTGGTCTGTTGGTCTCCTGCAATAGTGGGCTCATAGTTATTGTGGCGGGGTGTGTACACGGATATCCACAGCCATGTCCTACACGTAGATCCTTGGGCAGTCGCAGAGAAGACTCTGGTCACAGAACGCGGTTGGGCAGGAAGCAAATGACAGGTACAGATATTCCTAGCGGCGCAAAGACACGACAGCGGCCACGAGGTGTCAAGGAAGCGCTAGCAAAGACGACGAGGATGTTGAATCGCATAACAAACAGGCTGCGCCTTACTGGGCCATTCACCCTCGTTACCTCGCTAAGCAAATAATGCCTGGCAGCACATTCCTTGACAGCAGCACCTTTCCAGGTTCCAGGAAGCGGTCGCGGCCATTCATGACGCTATCCGCATTCATTGTTTTCCTAGGTAGTATTCGCGAGCGGTCGCCGGTGGCTTATTGAGCATCAAGGAGGACCAATGACTTGCCGTTGATCAGATAAGAGCCTAATAGCATCCTGATCCCGTGTCTGCGTCTGCAGGAAGACAAGCCGCCAACTGGGTGGGCCCACACCACAGTGCCGCTATGCCTGCACAGTCGCAGACGTTATTGTATCTACCGAGTTTCCTGTTGATTAATAAAGTCTTTAGCGTAATTGTTTGAAAAATTCTTTCCCTCGGTTGCAGCGACTAGAAGCTGCCATTGAGCCGGGATTGCGGTCAACTGTCTGAGCCATGCATGTATCCATGCAGGCTTGGCTCCCTTTATTAGTTAGTTAGTAGCTTGATGGAAAATGTCGAGATGGATCCCTACCAGTGTTCCGGAAGCCAAAGCCCACTGAAAGGGGGCACTTTTGTTATTAAAGGTCGATTTGAATATATATCAATATTGATTTGATTTGCTCCGTATTTTATACATGAGGAAATAGACATGCATCCTTGTACTTGCCAAGGAAAGTCCAGTGTAAATAACATGTAAGCGCTGGTCGGCTTCCGAGGGCATGGAGCAGCCCCCGCCCGGAGGTGACTCCCCGCCCCGCTTTCCCACCCATCACCACCTTTGAGCGGAGGAGAACTTCACTTTGTTCCAATTAACCTAAAAAATACCAGACAAAATTCGACATTCCAGCCGACCAATCCGCTTTCTCCTCCCTCCACCATCAACAATCCGCCTTTTTTCATCCCGGGCTTGTCGGTCGCATCATCCTCTACTTCTTTTCTTCAGCAAAATCCCACGATACTTACGACCACGCTCAACACCATCACGACCACGCCTTTCTCCTTCCCCGCACACCGCTCTTTGGCTGCCGGGCTGTTGCCGTTCCTGCTTGTAGCTTCTGTTGCTGCTGCAACAACTGCTGCTGCGACATCTCCCGCCCGCCTGGCACCTCTCTCTGCCCTGCCAGCGGCAGTCGAGTCCAGTTTGTAGCCAAAGCCATGGGCGGCTTCGCTCAATGCTCTTGGCCCATATGGCGGGTAGATGACTTCACCCTCTGCTTTCAAGTCGAGTATGTAACTCCTTTCTTATGCCGCTTCGTCTGTGCTGCATGTCTTCCGCTCCAGCCTCAGCCGCTCGGCGCTACGACTATGCTGTACCGGAGCCTGCCGAAAACCACCACCCGCACAATTGCCACCAATATCCGCGCTGCCTCCGCTAATCATTGCCTCTTACTTCTTCAGCTACCTCCGTGTTATACTTCCTCTGCTCCTCGTCGCCCTGTCTGCCACCCGCATCATCTTTTTCAATGTTGCTCGCATTATTGAGAACCGCAGGACTCAAGGCTATGACGCAGTCCAAGATGCCGACCCCCACGTCGTCGATCATACCGCCCTCCCGCCGGACCCCGACTCCGACTCCGAGCAAGACTTAGAGATCCATGGCGGTCGCCTCTCCAAGACAATTTCTCGCGGTTCCGTGGTCCACGCTGATCAGCCTCACGGCCAATTGCTCTCCAACGTCGTCGAAACTTTGGCCGTCGTCGCCATCGTCGCTCTCAACATCACCGCCCTCATCACCGGCACCGGCTCCTACGGTCAACGCGCTCGTCTGGCGGCCACGGCCAGCTTGATTGTCTGGCTCTACACTTTCGCTCTCGTTTCTCTTCGCCTCTTCCTTGGTAACTCGAAATGGAGGGTCCCTCACCTCTGGAACCATACCGCCACCATCTACACCGTCACCTGGGTCTGCTCCCTCGTCGTTTTCCGCTCCGCCCTGATAAACCCGAGCTCGAACCTGGCCCAGGCCATCGCCATTGCTGAGTTTGCCTCAATTACCCTTCTCTGGGGCATGGCCATCACCACCCGCAAGGGCAACAAGACCGTCCTGATGGAATGGGAGAACGGCTTGGAACCTTCCCGTGAACCGCTTGCCAGTCTCTTCTCGATTGTTACCTTTTCTTGGGTCGACGACATCGTCTGGGCCGGCTGGAAGACGCCGCTTGAGATGAACGCCGTCTGGAACCTCTTACCCAGGGACAAGGCCGCCAACGTCATTGCCGGCTACCGGTCCCTCAAGCAAACCGGATCTCTCGTCGTCCACTTACTCAAGTACTTCCAGGGTCCTCTCACCGGCCAGTGTCTTCTTGCCGCGCTCGCCGGCGTTTTTACATTTGCACCCACCATGCTACTCAAATACATTCTCGAATACGTCGAAAACCCCGATGCCGCTCCGCGCAATGTTATTTGGCTCTTTGTCATTCTCCTTCCCGTTCTCGACACCATTCGCTCCATTAGCGACAACATCAGTCTCTGGACCGGCCGCAAAATTTGCATTCGCATGCGCGCCATCATCATCGGTGACGTCTACGCCAAGGCCCTTCGCCGCAAAGCCGCCGCTGGCGCCGAAAAGACCCTCGGAGATTCCCCCGACGACGACACCGCCAAGGGCCCTGTTTCTACCATCAGGCGAGCACTCGGGTTCAAGAGCAAGAAGAAGGCCCAGGACAAGGCCCAAGACAAGACCGCTGCCACCACCGACGAGCAAACGAATCTTGGTACTATCATTAACCTCATGTCGGTTGATAGCTACAAAATCTCCGAAACTACGGCCTATCTGCACTTCCTTGTCGGGGCTGCACCCGTTCAGCTCGCCGTGTCCGTCTTCCTGCTCTGGCAGGTCATGGGACTCAGCGCCATTCCTGGCATCATCGTCATGATTTTCCTCGTTCCCGTCAATTACCTCCTTGCCAATGGCTTCAGCGTCACCTCCAAGAAAATCATGGCTGCCACCGACAAGCGAATCCACGTCACCAACGAAGTCCTCCAAAATATTCGTATCATCAAGTACTTCGCCTGGGAGAAGCGCTTCGGCACCATCATTGACGAGAAGCGCGAAAACGAACTCAAGGCCATGCGCTCCCGCTACGTCCTCTGGTCTGTCGCTGTCGCCATCTGGAACTCGGTTCCTGTTCTCATTACCTTCTTCTCTTTTGTCGTCTTTACGCTGGTCGAGAAAAGGCCTCTCTACCCCTCCATCGCCTTCACCGCCATTTCGCTCTTCATGCTTCTGCGTATCCCCTTGGATATGCTTGGTGACATGTTTGCCCACGTCCAGGAAGCCAAGGTTTCGGTCGAGCGAGTCGAGGAATTCTTACAAGAGGGCGAGACTGAAAAGTACGAGCAGCTCGGTACTGACAACGTTGATGAGGAAGGTGTCAAGCGCATCGGCTTCCGCGACACCACTCTCTCTTGGAGCAGCAAGGACAGCAAGACCGAGGACGGCCCCAGTGCTTTCCGCCTCTGGGACCTCAACATCGACTTCCAAATTGGCAAACTCAACATCATTGCTGGTCCGACTGGCTCCGGCAAGACCTCTCTTCTGATGGGGCTGCTTGGTGAAATGTCTTTGTATAACGGCAAGGTATTTTGCCCTGGTGGCCGCAGCCGCGACGATGTCCGGCCCGACCCGGAAACCGGCCTCGCCGACACGATTGCCTACGTTGCCCAGGCCGCTTGGCTCCTCAACGGCAGCATCAAGACCAATATTTTGTTCGGCGCGCCTTACAATGAGAAGCGCTACAACGACGTCATTGTTGCGTGCGCCCTCGAGCGCGACCTCGACATTCTCGACCACGGTGACGAGACTCTTGTTGGTGAAAAGGGCATCACGCTCTCCGGTGGCCAAAAGCAGCGCATCTCTCTCGCCCGCGCCGTCTATTCCGACTCGGCCCACATCCTCATGGATGATTGTCTCTCTGCCGTTGACTCGCACACGGCTCACTGGATCTTCCACCGCTGTCTCAAGGGCCCGCTCATGGAGGACCGCACCTGCATCCTCGTAACCCACAATGTGCAGCTCTGCGCTCCCCAGTCCGATTTCGTCGTCGTGCTCGACAACGGCCGTGTCAAGGCCCAGGGCGCATCCGCCGAACTGATTGCCACCGGCGAGCTCGGCGAGGACCTTCAAAAGTCCCGACCTGGCTCTGTCCTGACGTCTCGCGCGCCCTCTCGCGCCTCTAGTTTCGGCGAGACCACCGTCGTGGAGGGCACTCCCGACAGTCCATACAAGCCCAAGGCCAAGAAGAAGGTCGCCCCTCAGGTGGATCCCATGGATGAAGGCAAGGCTACCGGTGCCATCAAGTGGCCCGTCGTGAAGCTCTATCTCTTTTCCATGGGCTCGTACTGGTTCTGGATCATCGCCCTGGTCGTCTTCCAGCTGCAGCAACTGGCACCTGTCGCCACCAATGTCTGGGTCCGAGCTTGGGCTAACCAGTACGTCGAGGAAGACGTCCGCAGCGTCGCTTTTAGCTCTGCGAGTGCCTCTTACAATAACCAGTTCCACCCCAAGGCCGCCTGGGCCACCATCGCCAAGTTGAGCAACTTGCAAGTCGACCAGTCCCCTGCATATGCAGACGCCTACACAGTCGCAGGCCAGGTGCCAATTAGTATTGCTAAGCCGGCGCATGAAGTTGATGCAGTCTATTACGTCTTTGGCCTTGCCTTCATTGGTGCTCTTGGTGCTTTTACCGCCTTCGTTCGTGATATCTGGATCTTCTTTGGCTCTCTGACTGCGTCTCGTCGTCTGCACAGCGCACTGCTGAGCTCTGTCATGCGGGCTCGCTTCAAGTTTTTCGATGTCACCCCTCTCGGTCAGATTGTGAACCGCTTCAGCAAGGATCTTGAAGCCGTTGATCAGGACATTGCCCCGACGGCCATCGGTGTGCTCGCCTGCGCCCTGTCTCTGATCGTGACTATAGTTCTCATTGCTGTGATCACCCCCGCTTTCTTGTTTGCCGCCGTCTTCATCGGCATTCTCTTCTACGGCGTCTCCGTCCTTTACCTCCGTGCCTCGCGTGATCTGAAACGCCTCGAATCTGTGCAGCGCAGTCCCCTCTTCCAGCAGTTTGGCGAGACCCTCAGCGGCATGACGACAATCCGAGCCTATGGCGTTGAGCGCCGCTTCATCTTGGAGAACCTCGACAAGGTCAACACGTCAAACCGGCCCTTCATCTATCTCTGGGCCCTCAACAGGTGGTTGGCTTTCCGTGCCGACTTTATCGGTAACAGTGTCTCGTTCTTTGCGGGCGTCTTTATCATTCTCAGCATTGGCAAGATCGACGCTGGTGCGGCGGGTATCTCGCTTAGCTACGCCATGAGCTTCACTGACAATGTCTTATGGCTGGTCCGGCAGTACGGCACAAACGAACAAAACATGAACTCGATGGAGCGAATCAAGGAGTACCTCGATGTTGAGCAGGAAGCCGACGCCATTGTGGAGGACAACCGCCCGGCCGAAACCTGGCCGGAGAAGGGCGGCGTTGAGTTCATCAACTACAGCACGCGGTACCGAGCCGACCTGGAGCCCGTTCTCCGTAGCATCTCGCTCAAGATCAACGCCAAGGAGAAGGTGGGCATTGTTGGCCGCACTGGCGCGGGCAAGAGTTCGCTCACGCTTGCCTTGTTCCGCGCTCTCGAGGCTGACAGAGGCGAGATTCTTGTCGATGGTGTCAACATTGGGGCCATTGGTCTGCAAGATCTACGTGAGAAGATTACCATTGTGCCGCAGGACCCGACTCTCTTCACCGGCACGCTGCGGTCCAACCTGGACCCGTTCGACCAATACACGGACGGACAAATCTTTGAGGCTCTGCGACGAGTGCACTTGATTGGTGAGGAGGATACCAGCGCACCTGCGACGCCAATTTCTGCCGTTGCCAGCAACAAGAATATTTTCCGAGATCTTTCCTCGCCAGTCGCGGAATCCGGGTCGAATCTTTCCCAGGGTCAGCGCCAGCTTCTCTGCCTGGCGCGCGCGATGCTCAAGAAGCCCAAGGTGCTGGTTATGGACGAGGCCACGGCTTCCATCGACTACACGACCGACTCGAAGATCCAGGAAACGATACGCGAGATGCGGGGTACCGTCATCACGATTGCCCATCGGCTGCAGACCATTGTCGACTACGACAAGGTGCTGGTGCTGGACAAGGGCGAGATGATTGAGTATGCGCACCCGTGGGAGCTGATCAGCAACCAAGACTCGCAATTCCACAGCATGTGCGAGTCGAGCGGCGATCTGGAGATCTTGAAGAAGGCAGCCAAGAAGAAGTGGGATGCGGACCGCCTGGTGAGCACGGAGGCGCAATGATGCTCTTTTCTTTCAGTGTGTATGAGTATTTGTATATAGTGCATTGCTTCTGGGTTCATTCCTTGACCGGGGCATTTTCTTTTCCTTTGTTGTTAATCTTGGGTATAGCGGCGGACTGACATTTAGATTCTGACACTTGACAGCCCGGGTTGGTGGTTTTCTGCTTGACCTTCTTTATATTTGGCGTTGAATAAAAGCTATAGACGAATATATATAACAAATACATGGCTCAACTTTGTTGCTCTTCCCATCAACAACCCCCCGCTTCGATTCCCCCCTAGCAGGACCAGGCATGGTCGTCGTCAAAGGTAGAGTGCACACCATTATAATCGTTGACCGGCGCGCTGTACGTGTAGTGCGTCGTCATGCAGCTGCAGAAGCCCTTGCGGCAGAACCTGAGCGTGTCGTGCGGGAAGACGTGCAGCTCCGCGTCGGCGAGGCTACATTGGCGGTGCCGGTTTGGGTAGTCAACGGCGAACCGGGCGGGGGCATAGTAAACCAGACTTGCGGGCTACTGGGAGAATCTTGAGTTGCAATTCGCTCTGAGATGCCAGATCTGAACTCAGCCCTGATATGGGGGTGCTGTGAAAGTGGTTAATTCATGCTGAGGAGACTGGTCAGCTCCCACGTGCGTGCTTGATGCATGCCTTCCACTACCAGGGCTCCCGATGGATTCAAGACAATGCAGATTGCGTAATTGTGCTAGGGTCCGTTCAAAATAAGCTTTCAAGAGTAAAGAGATATGAAGCAGTCGCTGATGTAGTTTGCTATGTAATGCCATGAATTCATCCACAAGGCCAATCAATCGTCAAGATCTTCAGCATCTGTTTCCTCCTCCGAACGTAGAGACACGGGCCCCTCGCGAGTGGCCTCCTCGGCGATCATCATCACCGCCCCAACCGAAGCTGCAATCCACCACGCCCATCGCGTCCACGCCGGCCTGCATCACGCCGGGCAAACCCCCCAGGCCGGCCCCTACCTCCTGCTGCCGCCGAAGGGCGCCCTGGTCGAGCACGCCCTGCTTGCGCGCAAGGCACGCCTCGCGGATCGTCCGCGCCCACATGTTGAACCACTCATCCTCGCTGAGGCTCGCGTACCTGCCCGTCCGCGCGTCGCGCAGCGGCCACTCTGCGCGCACCGTCTCCCAGCGCTTCGTTCTGAAGAAGAGCCACGGCCAGGCCAGCAGGAACGTGAGCGTCACGCAGAACACCACCACAATCCACCGAGTCAACCGCCACCGGCTCGTCCGGCACTCGTTGTGGATCTCGACGCGGGCGTCGCGCACGGGGAAGTCGACGTGCAGCCGGCCCTGGTAGTTGGTATCGCGAACAAGCCGGACCAGCTTGCGTTGGAGATGATCAAAGTCCCAGCCGATCACACGGCGCTCCAGCGCAAATACCTTGAGCCCGGCGACGCTCGCGCAGTACCGGTGGCACCACTCCTGCACCGTCGGCGTGCTCGCCTCTGCGAGGCCGGAGCCGGGGGCGCGCCGAGCCAGCACGGTGCCGCGGCGCACCTTCTCCCGGTTGTCGACGGTGATCAGGCGCCGCCAAGAAGCGCCGGCGCGCGCGTCGGTGTACAGCACCGCGGTGAGGTCTACCTCGACGTCAAAGTCGACGACCGTCTCCTGCTCGTCCTTGTCGTCGCGGCGGCGGGTCTCGCTATGGGTGCCGCGCAGGCGGCACAGCGGGCGCGGCGGGGGCGCAGCGAGAATCTCGAGCTGCTGCTGTAGGAATGCCGGGTCTGTGTCGAGTCGGCGGTCGAGGAAGTACGTCGTGCCGCTGTCGGGGCTGCGGAAGGGCGAGATGGCGAGGGGAGGCGTGCCAGGGGGGATGAGGAGGTCGGCCGGCGTGACGGCGACGGCGTCATGGTCGTGATCGCTGTACAGTGGCGGCAGGTCGTCGTCGGCGTGGGGAGGCTCGTCGTCGAAGTCGTGGTCAAAGTACGGCTGGCGCGGCGGTGATGAAGTTGGGTTGTTGGGGCGGTGCATGGAGATGGAGCTGGCGGCCTCGCCCAGCGGCGTCGTGGGCTGGCTGCTGTCGCTGTCCTTGTAAGGAGGGGCGAGATCTGACGGGTTGCCCATGGTGAAGATGCCCGATCAAGAGAACGGGTGGTGTTTTGTTTTTGTCGTTGAGAAGGCAAGGTTGCTGACGGACGTGTGGTGAGAGGATGACGAGGAAGGATTCATCTCCTCAGGCGGGGGGGTACGTAGGCAGCTGCCTCATGGAGGATCGCAATTGGTCATTGATACATTCTAGCGCGATTCTGGGGGGTTCGAGTTGGGGCTTCACGGAACCTGAAATGGAATATCAAATTGACACGTATTGAGGAAGCGGTAATTTTCAAAGCAAAATTACAATAACATCACAACTGATCGCATGTAGCAACTTGAGTTGAACCCAGCAAAGTCTCAAGCTCTGTCTTGGTACCCCACCATTTCATCAACCCCACCATGCGGTCATGCAGACAGAACGTCGCCAAACTTCAGTTCATCATCTGAAAGCCCTATTTCCCATCTCCCGTATCCATCATGGATATAAAAGATCCAAAAAGGGCGCTCGCCGTCAGTCTACAGTCCGACAAGGACCACCTCAGTCGCATTATCCACGGTAAGATGCCCGCCGCCTAGCTGCGAACCGACAGCAGCATTGCTTACCCTACACTTGGTCCTGTGTCTCATGGTCCCTCGGCACCCTTTTCATGCACTCAGAGAACACGCCAATGCTGACTTTTCCAGACATTACGGGATCTGTTCCTACTCCTACAGAGGGCTCTCTCGCAGGCACTACCCACCAGCTGCCCCTCAAGACCAAATACTACACCACCACCGTCCCGGTCTGGCTGGACCTCATCGACTCGCCGTCAGAGTGGGCATCTTCGTTCCTCTCCCCGGAAGCCTCCGAGGTCCTCGGCGTCCTCGGCGGGCTCCTCCTCGTCTTCTCCATCCCCGATGGCACCACGCAAACGGAGAGCACGCGGCAGCTCATTCAGAACGTGGGCAAGGTCGTCCACGACGGCCTCGGAGGGTGGGAGTGGGACGGCGTGAAGCTGGCCGTCGGCGTCGGCAGCGCGCTGGATGTGGACGACTGGGATGAACTGTGCGCCGAGGCCGGGCTCGAGTTTGTGCAGGTGGGTGGCGGCGACGACAGCGACAAGCTGCAACAGTTTGGGGGTAAGCATTTTCTGGATTGGACGGCGCCGAGCGAAACCATCATCTGACAACTGGTTTGCAGAAAAGGCTGGCATCCCTCGCGTAAAGGAAGCCCTCGAGGCCAATGAATGGGACCTGGGCTCGGCCGACGAGCCGCACCCTGACGAGGAGCACGCCACAGCGGACGGCAAGCAGGCTGCAGACGGGGCGGCGGCGTTGGAGGACCTCGAAAACATGGACTTTGGCCTTGGCCAGACCGACCTCGACGTCTTGAAGAGAGCCCTCTTCACACATCAAGATTCGGAACAGGATGGCCCGGATAAAAGCGAGCAGGACGTCAACGACCAGGACGTGGCCAAGGTGGAAGCCATGATGCGCAGGCTCCAAGCGGCGCGCGAGGCCGGCGAGACCATGGGCGAGACGCAGCGGAGGAAAATGGCCGCCAAGGCCGTCGAGGAGGTGATGCGGGAACTCTACTAATATAAAAACGCGCGGTGGCCAACATTGGAGCTGAGGGACTCGATCATTTAACCAGACAGGAAAGAAAAGAAACACAAAAAAAAAAAACAAATCGAACAAGGATCATCGGGCACAAGCCCAAAGCAAGCGACAGTGATGCTCTTTCCTTCTTTCTAATTTCTTTTGCAGACGCCCAGTAAGGCAAACAAGGCCAGAGCTCTTGCTTTGCTTTTCCTGTGCATGCACGGAAACGCTTGGGGCGCGGATCGGCACGAGGCCAAAAGGGACGAGGGGAGGAACCAGGACTTGTTTTGTTCTGGCGCCGCCATTTCTCCGGAAAGTTTTCCTCTGCCCTTGCGAGAATACGGCCGACGCTTGTCATCATTGCTATTTGCCACCCCATGTCTTGCCGGAATACCTAGCCGCCCAGGGTCTTGCAGTCTATCCGTGCCAGGCCACCCAATGAGTCTGCCCGTAGGAGAGAGACAGAGCTAGCAAGGGATATCACCCTTGTCCGCAGAGGGAACCAGTTTGCCCGGCCCCAGTCGGCTGATTGGGGGCCAGGGTTTGGGGATCAGTGCGTTCCCTGCCTTGTTGGCCCCTGAGAGACAGGCGTGTTGTGCATGCTTGGTGGTTTTGGTCGTACCAGTCAGTATTCTCCACGAACAAGGAAGGCTCTGCGGCGGGTGGCAAGCAACGCTCGCTGTTGAGACGGACCCCATCAACTTTTTTGCCGAACCATGGACGTGGGTCAAGCTTGTCCATGAGCATGCATTCCGATGCCCGTCGCCTTGATGTTTCGTAGATCCTCGACGAACTGCAGGGTTGTTGGCATGACAGAGGGCGTCGCGCAAGAAAAATGACAAATATGCTCAGCTGCAGGACGGGAAGTCTATGACGATCCTGTTTGATCCCCTTTCCATAGGTATATATACGGTCGCCGAATGCCGGCGTCATGGTGCATACCTGCAACCCGTCAAGTACTAGAGTTACCAGTACCAACGGTTCGAACTTGAATTACTGATAGAGCCATTGTTCTGTCTTGGGTATACCAGTCCCAATACAGAGCCCCTAGCAGGGCGCCGTGACAGGGCTCAGGAACGCCTCCGCAACTGGCGCCGTGGAGTAGTTAGTCGGAATCTGGGGCGGCCAACGCAAGCCCATCGCAGGCGCCCAGGGCCCCCTTACTAGTGACAACCTGATGACAGGGCAGTGGTGGCGAGGAACGGCAACTCACACGAACAATCTAGCGAGAGCAAGGCTCACTGTGTGACCGTATGCTCGAGAAATGACTTGCAAAGGGAGAAGAGAAGACCGGGCTGCGTGGATGGCAATTCCCAGAGATAGGATGATGCAACACGCAACACAAGAAATAGAGAGACTCAGTTCGTGTCACAGACGCAGTCGAAAACAAAAAGGTCAAGTATCTGCGCCTGTCGGTGAAACCTTGGGAGAGAGGTCAGGCCAGCACCCGATGGCCTTGCGCCATTTGCCACACACTCTCTCCGGATATTGGCTGGTCAGTACGAATTGGTACACAAACGGTCCGATGGGTGGGTGGACAGGCATCCTGACCGGGGGCGGGATGGTACCAGCGGCAGGCTCTCCATCAGATGTCTTGAGGCGCGCGTACCAAGTCTCGCTGCGATCAAGGCCAACACTGGTGGCAAGCCTGATCTTGTAGTCTTCAAGACGCAGATGGGCGCATACGGGACTCGTCCAGAGTCCTGTGGAACAACTGTTTCGAACGACCTTGGCTAGCGAAGCTGCTTGCAGTGGGTGGTGCAACCGTGCAAGTCAATAGTTTTGCCTGCACTTCGTACGGATTACGGGTACAAGATTCGACGACGGCGAGTGATTGAGCATCCAGCAGAGTTGCAGCAGAGGAGGGTGGCAGGACCCAGGCACGACGGGCCGCGGTTGGCTGGCAGTGACGCAAGGTGCCGCCCAGAGCATCACTAGTCAGGGGTAAAAACAGAGTCCTGGCAGTCTAAGCCAGACAACTCCGAGGCCAAGCGGAAAGAGGAAAACCGTGCCTTCGGTATCCGTGCCTTGGCGCCTTGATTAGGTTAGACAACGGTATTTAGTTATGCAGCAAAGTATAAATAAGGAATCATGTGCCAGGCAATGGGGGGAGGCCATCGGAGCCGCAAGGAGCGAAGAAGCCAATATTGACAGACGTGCCAGAAACCCTCGAATCTGGCGACGCTCGTATTGAACTTGGGTGCCAAGATGCGTCGTATCTGCTCACTAGTACACAGCTTCTGGGACAACGAACGGGTTCGTGCAACATCGCTGCAGATGAACACGACGTGGGCGGGATACGCTCAGGAGATGCTCGGTCGGTACGGAGTAGATACCTAGTAAGAGCAAAGTAAGACTTGCGCTTGCAATTGCAGACAAGTTATTAACCAGTGCCGAGCTCCGCAGCATCAGCCTGGGTGGCTTACCCGAGGAAGATGTCCTCGGCCAACAACGAGGCGGCTTTGGCAGGCTAACGAAATAGTTATTCAGTCAGCGAATCTTGAGAGCGGCGCCAACCTGCGCCAACTAGGAGACTACTTCGTGCGCGGGAGCCGGTTCATACCTCGACTGCTTGGCATTGAGTGTTACTCACAAGTTCACAACTCAGGAGCACCCGTACAGGGCTGCTATGTGCGCTCTGGTTGTTGGTAACCTATTTATAAGTATGTATCCGTAGATGCCTCTACTATTGTGCCGAATCCACTTGCTCATAGATGGTGCTGGTACCTGCAGCGGGCCTGCAGCTACTGCAGGAACCGGCCGGCGCCCCGATGCATGTATGGCGGTGACGCATATTCACGCTGCTTGCATATCAAGTGTGTCGCAATATTTCCCCGTCATGTCAGAGGCTTATAGTTTCATCAGCTGTACTCATCATCCTCAGCTTCTTCGTACTGACGATAGTATCGGTACTAGCGTGTCAGGCAACTCCAAGCCGTGGTCATGGCTATCAATGCATTACTCCTCTCTGTGTGGCTGTGACAGATGCCATCTTTTTGAGTTCCGACTCAAAACAGACTGCGCCAAGAAGCGGTGATCGACCCGGAGCGAATCCGCCTCACCAACTCTGCCATTTTGGCCAAGGTGTAACAAGGCGAGGCTTCATGCGGCTTCGGCGAATAGGAATAGAAACCCAGGCCAGAGCGGGTAAAAAGATGCGAGCACAGTTTCATCAGCCACAACAAGCTAAGCGAGCCAATGATTCGAAAAGGTGGTTGTGCATCTGCAAGCGGACGTGATGAATGAGTGTAGCCTTCGTAATTCTGACGGGCTTCATCGTCTGAGCGTCGGTCGTAATTGCCCATTGTGAACAACAAACTCGTATTAGGCAGATAGAGGATGAGATATTCACTGTATCACTCGATGCTGTGCACCATTGTCCAACTGGGCAAGATGATGAGTGACGTCTGAGAGAGAAGATCCCTACAAAACTAGTCAAGTACATAGATACTGCGAAGTGACACCTGTCTGATGCCTGCCCTGCCTGGCTACCGCGCAGCTGACATGCCGAAAAGTGATGCCAAGCTGCAACCTTGCAGGTGTGACGTACATTGGGGGGCGCGATGGGTGCGTTGACTGACTAGGGGGGAAGGGCAACCAATGGGTGACCATTTGAGGAGGATCCGTCAGCCTGTAGGGCAAGCAAGGTACAGATACTGGTCGGGGCAAAGAAGCTCAGAACGATGGGTGGATGCGTGGTGTCTGAGGGTTCATGGGGACTTTCAGGGAAAGTTGCAGTCTGGCGTGTTGAGGCCTGCGAATAGGGCCAGTGACTCGGTGGTGGACGGCTGAGCAAGTCAGCAGAAGAGTTGGAAGCAGCGGATGGGACTGAATCTTCGTCTGAGGCATGCCATACCGCGTCGATTGACACCGAAAGATGCCTGGCCTGACTTGGGCTGGCCCCTCTCTCCACTCGTTGGCCAGAGAAGGCGTCAGGGGAGTGGTGGATTATGGTTTCGTGGCTGGACGATGTGGCATCGTTGGAGGAGACCCCTGTCTTGGAACAAGGCAAGCTGTGGGCGGAGGATGAGACAGCCAGCGACTACGCGGAACAGTGGCGGCGGTGCTTTTAACGGGCCAAGACCAAGTGGCGTGTGGTTGACGGAGGCATGTGTACAGTTTGAAGCTGCAGGGGCTCTGCGTTTTCTTCTCTCCTGTTCCTGGCCGCGTGGCGCGCCGCCAGCAAACTGTCTCGACTAGCCTGGCGTCTGGCCTCGACGATCGGTTTTTTTTCTGGGCTGGGGCTGGCGTCGCTGAGACTAGTTAGTACGCAAACGCGGCTCGACCACGTCCGTCGGGGCAGAGGGTCGGCATGTCGTTGGAGCCCTGAGTGAAAAGGGCGGCATGGAAGAGTGGAATAGGTGGAAGGGGAGCCAGACTTTGGGGCGCGACGGGCTGCATTGATGGCGGCTGAAGGTGCTCGTTTGGGGTGGTGATGCAAATGCGACACGACACGACATGGTGGTGGCGAGGACGAGTTCCTGGCCTTGGCGAAGCACAGTCGCACGATCAAGGCTGGAGATGCGAGTATATGAGCCCGAGTCTGATAACTAGTACCAAGAAGTGAGAAGAAGGGAAGAAGGAAAAGAAAGCCGTTGATGAAAAAGAGGGCGGGCACTCCGCGCACAGGCGGAGAGAGGCCGACTCGCAGAGACAGAGAGAGGAGACAGAGGTGGTGAGCACTGGGCTGGGCGGCTCAGAGTTTGGTGCCTGGGCTAGTGTGACCTGATCGAGGTTAGGCCGAGGAGCTGGGGGAATGGTACCTGGAGCTAGTCCGGGTAGGGAGGAGGAGGGGAGGGGCTTCGGGGGGCGTGGCGCGCATCGACTTGTGCCTTCACCTTCTCTTCTGGCTGGCATGAGAATGGCTAGTTGGATAAAACAGGTGAGGATAAATATAGACGAGTCGTGCAAATGTAGGGCAAGGTGATAATGCAGCTGCGCGTTTCTCCAATAATGGATGATGCTTGGTATATTGGGCGGAACAGGTACTCGTCTGTTGCATTACGAATACAGGCACCCGTTTCGAGGCACAACTCAGCAGCTGGTGTTACAGGATGAGCTGGGGTCTGTGCTTGGGAAGCCCGTCGCCAACTGGACCAACTGGACCAACCACGAAGCAAGGCAAGGCGCGCCGAGGCACCGAAGCACCAAAGGAAGCAAGTAAAGAGTGCCTTGGTACAGAGCAGAGCCGGTAGAGGTAAATAGAAGACTTGGCTGAAGAGGGCCGGTGGAAAGCATTTTTGCGATGGATTTGTGCGTACCAAGAAAGGGTGTCCGTCGGGACTTGTGTACCAGTCGGTACCTCTTTCTTCGTGGGCATCTGGCAGAACACGGAACCACGGCAGAAAAAAGGCACCTGCCTGGGGCGCGCGCCCACCCGCTTCTGCCGCAGCGTGCCCATACTGCGAATAAGGCTGTGATATATTTTACCCACCATTTCCAAACAACAGATTCACAAGATGCCCAAAAAATAGAAAGCGAGAATAAAAAAAAGAAAAGAGAGGGAAAAGGGAGGTAGTCCGTTGGCGCTGTTGCACCGTGTTGGGACTGGTGCTACATCAGGAAACCCTCCCCGAGCGCTGCGACTGGCTGGCCTGGCCTGGGAGTGGGTGCAGGGGAGTGGGCTCTGGCGTCCCCCCCGTTTCCTGTCCTCGCCGCCAGATAGCGCTCTTGCTAACCGCCGTCCTGGTAAAGGTCGCCGACACAGAGTCTCCTGACCAGTGAGTGGGAAGACTCATGACTGATGAATAGCAGCACTTGTCGTAAGTCTTTCCTCACTGACTCCAATCGCATCCGCAAGGAGATGTTGTCAACAGTCCCATAATGTATCAGGTACTTGGGGTATCTGTATCCGTAGTCGCCTCGCATTTGAAAGCGAGGCAAGGAGTACTAGGTTGGGTACCGCACTTGGTACCTTGCCTTGCCCCTCCCTCAGTGCATCCATCCCAAGGCACTGCAGGTACCGCCCGCAGCATCCCGCTAGCTCCTGGCACGCTGCACGCCGCCATCCTGTGCTGCGTAGTGAGCGACCGAGTGGGTGGGCTGCACAAGTCACGCACAAAAAACCGCCTGCTGTGCTGCGTGCACCCTAACACAAACCCACCCTGACTGCACGTAGCTGTGTTAGTGCTTTCCGCTGCAGAGCGAGGCTGCCACCGCTCCCATCCCCATTCCACCGCGCCGCTCGCTCACTCCCTTTTTCCCCCGGTTCCCCCCCATCCATCCCCGTTTTCTTCTCGCTTCCCATCTGCCATCACCAACTGGGTTTTTTTTTGTTCTAACACTCTTTTTCTTCCCCTCGTCCTTTTCTATCTATTCATTCATTCCTTTCCTTCCAGTCGCTCTCTACATACCACCTACACTCTTTAAACACTCATTCGTGATTCCTCACTCCTTTCGGATTCACCATTGTATTCTTTAGGCTTCATCCTCACCCATTTCATCCAGACCCCCCGAAGCCTTCGACCCATTCTCTACCTCACCTGCTCGAACCCAGTCTCGATTCTCGACATCGGCTCTCCTTCTCTCGCCCCATAGGCGATGCATAACAGTCTTTACTCCTTATAATCCAGTCTTTTCCACCTTTCCTTGTTCGCTCCACGACAGTCGACGGGCGCGCTTGACAACCGCCGCGGATCGCGACGCCCCGTGTTTGTCTTATACACACTACACTCTACCTCGACGACAAAAACCAGACTCGCAGTACTCGACCCAGACGGCCTCCGTCACACTTTAGCCATGGCCACGGAAGTTGAGATGCCTGTCTCGATGGTGCCGATGCACCAGGCGCCCGAGTCCTCGAGCCCCAACTCATCCACGGCTCCCGGTTCCGCCACCGCCACGTCCTCCAAGCGGACGCCTTCTCCCACTGCCTCGACTACTGGCCACGCCTCCGGCGGCATCTCGAAGCGCCCGCCTCGCAAAAGCACCTTGACCCAGCAACAAAAGAACCATAAGCGTCAACGTGCCACCCAGGATCAGCTCGCCACACTCGAAGTCGAATTCAACAAGAATCCGACTCCCACAGCAAATGTACGCGACCGTATCGCAAACGAAATCAACATGACGGAGCGATCCGTTCAGATTTGGTTCCAAAACAGGTACGTCAGGATCCGCCAATGCCTTGGACCGTCAAGTGGCCCTGCTCTCTACTCGCTCCGTCCCCACCCCCCTCGTGAATCGCGCACGTAACGATTGCTGACTTTGCCTAGACGTGCCAAGATTAAGCTGCTGGCCAAGAAGAGCCTCGAGACGGGCGAAGACATCGACGCTATCCCGGAATCCATGCGCAATTACCTCGCCATGCAGGCCATGGAGTCTGGCAAGAGCCTCGGTGGCAGCTATCTCGGCCGCAATGGCCTTGTTCCCTTTGGCCATGGAAACATGCTTCTCGGTGAGCAGGCCGGCACGGGCAAGGTCCTCATTCAACACCTCAGTTGTCGCTCCTTGAGCATCGGCAAGTGGAACAGAGTCTGCCAGGCTACGATGGATCTCATCATCTTTTACTCCCCAGAGAAATGTACCATGACGTACTACATCAACAGCGACCAGTCTGGCTATAAGATTGAGTACCCATTTGCCTACATCAAGAGCATTTACCTGGAAAATAGCGAAGGGGACCCTATGAAGCTTGGCGGCATCGTCATTGAGCTTAACCGCCCGCCAAACTTCTTCATGGACTCACCACCCTCAGCCGGCGGCTTCTATCAGGTCGGCGACTTCACCGAAGACTCTCAGGCCTCGACCTGCCTTATTCACCATCTTGGCGGCACCCCCAAGGTCCTCAGCGGGCAGCTCGCTAAGCTCATCTCCCTCGAGTCCTTCATGAACCGTCACAACACGATGGCCTTTGCCACTCCGAGCCCAAACGTCGCTATGGAAGCCCACGCCATCGCCGCCTCGGCCCCCGTCTCGCCCATCCCTCGTCCCTCCTCGCAGCCCAACTTTGGCCCCAGCCACATGGGTATGATGCCTGATCAGAACCAATGGGGCATTGGTCAGATGCACTCGGCCATGCGTCCGCCCCAGGGCCACAAGCGCCAGAGAAGTCGATCCGTCCCGGGTCCTATTGACTTTGCCATGTTCCAAAACCAGCCTATGCCCTCGTTCTACATCTCGGCCCCTACCGACATGGGCCCGCCGCAAACACCGGGCGTTTACGCTCCCATCCCTCAGCAGCCAAACATGGCCAATAACCTGCGCATCGATACCCAGGCCGGGTTTGGACTCGACATGCGCCAGTATCCCATGTCCGCCACGACCGCCTCGCCCGCCGACTTCCCCCACAGCCCAAGCTTCTTCTCGCAGGGCCACGACGGCACGCCGCTGGCCACTCCTGGCTATACTCCTGCGTATGGCGGCGCATACATGTCGCCCATGGTAGGCTCCGAGGCCAATGGTCCAACGTCCTCGTCTCTCGGCTTCGCTGGCAACGAGCCCACCATCGTCGACCAGTCCCCTCCCATGGGCATGATGGGCCGGCCAGACTCAGCTGGCATGTACCCGGGGCAAGACGGCTCCTGCGCAGTGTCGGAGGATGGCACGACCCTCAACGACATGTATTCGAAGCACAGCCTCATCTCGCCAAACTTTGTGCAACCACAACAAGCAGAGCTTGACATGGACCAGCTGGTTCATTTCGACGCGGTTGATCCGTCGAGCCTTTCTCCCCCCGAAGCTGTTGCGTCGGGTCCTCAATAGGGTGTCGATGGATCGACCGTTTTTCGTCTCGTCTCTGTTCTTGCATTGAGCGTTCATTTTGTGATTGCTCTCGTTTGGCGTTGCTTGTTGGCTGCTGTTTATCTAATACCATTTGCGCTTGTTGCTCGTGTCCTCTTTTCTCCGCGTCCTTCTCTTTTCCATTTTGCTGCATACTTTGCGTTGCACTCCTCACATTTGGCTTTGCTAGCTAATTGACGGACTTTCTTTTTTTCCTCTTTGTTTCACCGGTGGTAATACTACTTTATTCCGCTTGCTTTCGCCGGGGCGGATTTATAACGAGTTTTGCATGAACGAAAATATCCTTCCAGTTTTGGAGGACTGTTCGTGCGGCTGCGGGCGCATGGTCCGAAAGGGCCTTGCTGATCTCTCGAGGGTGCCTCATGGCTGTATGGATACGGCCAGCATTGGCCAGGCTGCTTGTGGGCTTTCGGTTGATGCTCGTGGTGGTACGAGTTGGCCTCTTGCTTGTATTTTGCCTGTACATGGCCACGGTGTACATGGCCACGGTGGCCACGGTTCGTCCGGGATGCATCTCGGGCCTGTTGAGGTGGCTTTGTGCACATGCGGTGGCTTTGTGCATTCTGCTTTGCGCTTTTTTCTCTGGCACGATTGTTGATATTGATTTTTATTTGGGAAGCCCAGGAGGCCCTTGACTGCCAATCGTTCATTTCCACCTTTTCTTGTCTTGGCAGGCATGTAATGGAAGATAGATTTTGTATTTAGGGGGTTTTGGATAATGCAGGCAGCCGTGCTGGGACTGTGCGGGGAGCACGTGGAAAATTGCACATTAAAGCATGCATTCTTTGTTAAGGACTTGATCGGTTTGTGACTTGCATACTGCGTGATACTATCTCGTGAACTTGATTACCGAAAGCCGGGTGACTGCTGCCGTTGTATGTACGACCCAATAACAAGGCGCGGCTTTTGCCGTGGCGTGTCGGACGATTGAGGGCGGGGAAGGCCGGTTTGGGAACGGAGTCTGGGGAAGTCAGTACTAGACTCCTACTTAGCCTCAAGATTGCGAAGAATGAAGGGAAGGAACAGTAACCAAGAAGAGGAAGACCGAACAAGAGTAATTGAAGCCTTGCTCTCGCTTCTGCATACAAGTCTCTGCTTGGACCGGGACGGAGAGGTACCGAGGGGTCAGCAAAAGGGGTAGTCGGGCGCGACGGGGCGCCGCAGCCTCAAAAGTTGGGCACAGGCACTACCTTGCAAACTACAGTATGTAAATGAGGTGAGAGGGCTGTGCTGGCAGTGCGTGTGGTGAGAGAGCGTACTATAATTGGCAAGTCGCTACCAGCCAAGCAGCCAAGGAACGCAACCAGCAAGGTCTTGGTGGTGACGAACACGGCCAAGCCTCATGTGGCGTCGGCGACTCCCCACCCCACCCTCCCTCGCCTATGTCCGTCCGTCTGGACTCTGGCTGGACCGGCTGACGACGATCCAAGGCTAATAAGCCTTGTCCTCCTGCAAAGTCTTTGATTGATGCGACGTTTCAACATGTCCATATCCTTTTTATTTTGACACTGGTGACGCTTCTCCCCGCGAATAGCTTACTGTCCACGCTACGCATACGAGCCACGCATACGGGCCGACGACAGCTCGATACCAGCCCTAACCCACGACAAACGGCCAGCACGAAGCCCGACGTACCCCATCCTCAACCAGACATTCGCGTACTAGGACCCCAAATGCTGACGCACGACGGGTGGCATGCTTCCCAATCGCAATAGCGCGTCGGCTGGCTCGGGGCACCATGTCCCTGCCGTCGCCGCCGTTGATGCCACCGTCGACACGCAGCGCTCTGCCACTCCGCGCATGACGGCGTCACGCTCCAACACTGACCCGACCGTGGCCCTCAGTCGGGGTACCGGTGCAGCAGCTCGAGCACATGTAGGGCAACACGAGCTCGAGACCATACACTCCAAGGCACCCCTCGCCGCCGCGACCAAGACCGACAGCGTTGACGATGCCGCCACCAGCGCCGCTGCGAGCACCTCCGTCCGGCTCGCCAAGCCTTCCTTGCGCGACCGCCTGGGCCACCTCCGACCCGAGCTCCTTGCCAGTAATAAACGACGTCGACAAATGCACGGCATGCTCTGGAAAGAAAAGGCCAAAGCCCGTGTCGCCGCCGCCTACCAATCTGTCATCATCGAAGGCCTCCTGCGTCGGAAACCGCTGCCGCCGTCGCGCGATGGTCGCCACATTCCCATGAACCACCCGGACAGCCTGGTCGATGAGCGCAGCAGCCGCCACTACTGCAGCAACTTCATCCGGTCCTCGCGCTACACCGTGTATGACTTCGTCCCAAAGCAGCTGCTCTTCCAGTTCAGCAAACTGGGCAACTTTTACTTTCTCGTCATGGGCATCCTGCAGACTATTCCAGGGTTGAGCACCGTCGGGCAGTGGACGACCATTGGACCTCTGCTTGCATTTGTGGCATTTAGCATGGCCAAGGAAGGACTGGACGACTACCGAAGATATCAGCTTGACAAATCCGAGAATCGAAGCAACACGCTGGTGCTATCACGTAATGACGGCCGAAAACGAAAGCCGGCTCATATGAAGACGGCGATGAAGCGTATAAAGTACTTCAACGACAAGGATGAGGTGGCTGTGGAAGAGATTGCTCTCGGTGATGTTGAACAGAGCCCTGCTAACTCCGACTGGGTTGAGCTTGACTGGCAGCAAGTTCGCGTCGGTGACATTGTCCGCCTGCAGCGTGACGAGGATGTACCCGCCGATATGGTTCTCCTACACGCCACAGGTCCCAATAGTGTTGCCTATATCGAGACCATGGCCCTGGATGGCGAGACGAATCTCAAAGCCAAGCAAGCCTGCCCGCCACTTGCCGAGCGCTGTGCCACCGTTGACGGCTTGCGCAAGACGCAGGCGACTATCGTATCCGAAGATCCCAACATTGATCTGTATAGCTACGACGGCAGGGTAGTCATCGGTAGCGAGACACTACCTCTGACTCTCAACAATGTCGTCTACCGCGGCTCGACTCTGCGTAACACTTCTGAGGCCATTGGTCTCGTCGTCAACTCGGGCGAAGAATGCAAGATACGCATGAACGCCCACAAAAATGTGCGCACCAAGAAGCCTGCCATGCAATCTGCCGTCAATAAAATCATCTTCTTTCAAATCTTCATCGTCGTCATGCTCGCTGTTGGCTTCACCATTGGTTATTACCTGTGGGAAGAAGACGTCGAGAACAAGTCCTTCTACCTCTACCGAAAGGGTGTCTACGACGCCGCCGTACCGTTTCGAGAAATCTTTTTCGGTTTTCTCATCATGTTCAATACCCTCATCCCGCTGTCACTATATATCAGCTTGGAAATTGTGAAGCTGGGCCAGTTGCTGCTGCTGCATGATGCTGACATGTATGACCCTGTATCGGACACCCCCATGGTGGCCAACACAACGACAATTCTGGAAAATTTGGGACAGATCAGCTATGTCTTCTCGGACAAAACCGGCACGTTGACGGAAAATCTCATGCGGTTTCGCAAGCTTTCTGTTGCTGGTGTATCCGTATTGCACGACATGGACGTCTTGCGAGACGAACGGGCCAAGCAAGACAAGCTGAATACATACAAGACCTCAAAGAAGCGCGGAAGGCAGCAGGCAAATGCCGTGACGTCGGCAGAACCAGTTGGGCGCACATCTACTGGCTCTCTTACTCACTGGAAGTCATCCGTCCGGCCCAACGACGAACCTGACATGAAGACTGAGGAATTACTCGAATACATTCACTTGAAACCGAATACCGCCTTCTCCCGCAAAGCCAAACACTTTCTTCTCTGCATTGCTCTCTGCCACACGTGCTTACCCGAATCCAAGGATGATGGCTCCATTCATTTCCAGGCTGCGTCTCCCGACGAGCTGGCACTAGTGGAAGCGGCACAAGACTTGGAATACCTAGTCATTGATCGACCGGCTCAGACCATCAAGTTGCAAATCAAGGACGCGGAGGGAAACAAGGCCGTGGAATCTTACCAAGTTCTGGACGTGATTGAATTCAGCAGTCTGCGAAAACGCATGTCCATTATCGTTCGCATGCCCGACAAGACGATTTGCGTCATCTGCAAAGGTGCTGACAATGTCATCACTTCGCGTCTGAAATTGAGTCACCTCGCCGAACAAAAGGCGCGTGACATTGGCCATAGAGCCAGCATGCGAAAGACGTTTGAGAAGAACAAGGCGCTGCAAAGGATGAGCATGCAAATGAGTGCCCGTTCGACTCCCAGAAACAGCCTGACCATTCGGAACCGCGACTCGACGGACTTCCGCGAGGGTCTGCGACAAAGTATCGGCCGTCGCTCTGTAGATGGCAATCGATTGGGCGAGGGCCAGTCCTCATGGCTTCAGCGACGTCGGACCGAGGAAATGGCCACTCCACGCCACTCGGTTGACTTGCTAAAGTCCAACAGACGCAGCCTCAGCCGCGTTGCCTCGTTCGATGCCATTGACCGCCGCGTTGATGAGAGCATCGCATCGAGCGACGCTGCCATATTCGAAAGGTGTTTCCAGCATGTTGACGACTTTGCGACTGAAGGCTTACGCACGCTACTCTACGGCTACCGCTATATTGACGAAGACACGTACGCGAAATGGAAAGCGCAGTATCGCGAAGCAGAGACAAGTCTCGTTGATCGTCAACAGCGGATAGAGGTAGCCGGTGATTTGATTGAGCACAAGTTTGATCTGGCTGGCGCGACAGCCATTGAAGACAAGTTGCAGGATGGTGTGCCAGAAACCATTGACAAGCTGACACGCGCCAACATTAAAGTATGGATGCTCACCGGTGACAAGCGTGAGACGGCAATCAATATTGCGCACTCGGCGCACGTCTGCAAGCCATATTCAGAGCTGTATATCCTGGATGCCAACGCTGCCGGAGCGCTGACGGACCAGCTTACCATGACCCTCACCGACGTCAGTCGCGGCATGGCACCCCATACCGTGTTGGTCGTGGATGGCCAGACTCTCACCAAGATTGATGCGGATGACGAACTGTCCATCCTCTTCTACGACCTTGTCATTCGTGTTGACTCCATCATTTGCTGCCGTGCGTCCCCCTCGCAAAAGGCCGAGCTCGTCAAGGCCATCCGGCGCTACGTCCCAGGCAGCATGACGCTGGCCATCGGCGATGGTGCCAACGACATTGGCATGATCCAAGCCTCGCACGTTGGCATCGGTATATCTGGCCGCGAAGGCCTGCAGGCTGCACGCATCTCAGACTACTCCATCGCGCAGTTTCGCTTCCTGCAGAAGCTCCTCTTTGTTCACGGGCGTTGGAACTATCTCCGCACAGGCAAGTATGTGCTGGCCACGTTCTGGAAGGAAATTTTCTTCTATCTCCTTCAAGCGCATTTCCAGCGCTTCACAGGCTACACGGGCACGTCGCTGTTCCAATCGACTAGCATTGCAATGTTCAATACCCTATTTACATCATTGGCTGTCATCCTACCTGGAATTTTCGAGCGGGACCTGCGGGCAGAGACGCTCTTGGCCGTACCAGAGCTGTACACCTTTGGCCAGCGGAACAAGGCATTCAATTACCGGTTGTACATCGGGTGGATGCTCATGGGAATTGCGAGCAGCTTCATCGTCTACTACATCACCTGGGCCGTGTACAACTCGGCCCTCTTCACTGAGGACACTTCCCTTTACGCCATGGGCACGATATGCTTTACAGTCGGCGTCATCTTCATCAACACGAAGTTATTCATCCTGGAACTGCACAGCAAGACGGTCATTACGTTTGCCGGGTACATTATTACTATTGGTGGCTGGTTCATCTGGCTTCTGATCCTCAACAAGCTCATGTCCGCAAGCATGAATGTCTACCTGGTTCATGATGCATTCACGCGCAACTTTGGTACGCACCTTGGGTGGTGGACGACGCTCCTCGTCGCTCTCACCGGGCCCATCATGCTGGAGCTCGTTGTGCAGGGCGTGCGCAGGGTGTACTGGCCGACAGACACGGACCTCATGCAGCGGATGGAAAAGGACGCCGATGTGCTGGAGATCCAGGCACGCTTTGACCGGGACCCGGAGGCCCACCACACGCATGCCAGCGACGACGAGCAAGTCATTCCGGATGACCACCGCGGCGGGAGGGCAGGCCTCGGCGCGGCAAAAGTCAGCCAGGAGCTTGAGCGCGGTGCTGCCGTGCCCGGGCGATTCTCGTTGTCGGACACGCCGCGGAGGCCGCCGGCGGTTCGGGCGAGTCTGGACGAGTACAGGCCGTCGCAGTTTACGCCTCTGACGGAGGAGCAGGAGAATCCGTCCACCAAACCTAGCACAAAGCTGGAGCGGATTCGGGACGACTAGAAGATGGAGGTCGCTGTATATGTTGCATCTTTAAATGGGATGGGATGGGCTGTTGCACTGCGTTTGCTGCTTCTGCCAGGAGCGCACTGTAAGACTTTTATGTCATTTCTTTTTGTTAAGAGACGTTGTATGAGTTGGATATACCACGATTGTTTATTCTTTGATGGCGAAATGACGAATGCATCTACTTCAACGCCACTGTGCAAGTGTGGCTATGCTACGGTGTATGTCCGACGCTGCGTAGAGGTACCCTGGTTTATGAGCCTCGCCAGCTTTTTCGCGAAAACGAGGACAACAACGATGGACTGACCTGTTGCAATTGGGAGAGTTCTTGTTGACCGGAGGCTTCCCAGGCACACCCGGAACGCGTGAACGTTCTACCGGACCCGTGTTATAAAGGCACGCGATAGCAGTCAGAGACAACCAAGTATACCCCTGTTCGCAACACAATACAATACAGAATAAAGACCTGGACACGACTGACTTCCCCGACTCTGTCGCAATCTCCTCTCAGGTCAAAGAGCCAAACTCCCGGACCGGACCTCATCCCAGATCAACTTCCCCCGTCGCAGAGCCAACCCCCGAACCAACTTCCGCGGCTGCTCAGCAGGGACGCTATGACTTCCGGCCTCGTCCTCTACTTGAATCCCAAGGCGACCGTCCCTTCAGCGAAGAACGCTTCCCGCACCTCTCAAGCACGCTCACCAAGCCAAGAGCCAAAGAGACGGAGGAACTACGCCTTACTTTACTCCTGGTCGCAGTCCCGCCCTCTCTGCTACAGACAGCTGCGTGACGACGGACAGCGGGCCAGAGCCCCTCCCAACCTCGGACCCCGCCTCGCTCTTTGGACTTGAAGTCATCACGAGGCCTTCGACCCATGAGAGCCCCTCGGCATTCCGCCGAACCGCCCGCGGATCAATCAGGAGAAACGACCGGCCGGAACTCTCGCGTCCCAATCAGGTCACGACAGGGGCAAGGGGCCTGATTTTTATTCGTCAAGGTCGGAGATGGGCCGGGCTGGGCCTTCGGCGGCGGTGAGTCTCACGTCCCGATAGGCGGCCGGCATGGGGCTGAAGTTTCTCCAGTTGGCGATGTGTAAGTCACCAAAGGCGGCATTGCGGATTTAGCCAAATATAGAGCGTTTGCCAATTCAGTCAAAGAGCACAGATTTAGGTAAATAATGGAGTACTTTTCTAGGCATTTGCGGCAGACAGACTTCTAAATCGAACCATGTGCATGCCCCTCAACGGGTCTCATAGTCTACGTTACACGGAGCAAGTTCCACGCTCTTCCGCCTCCCCGGCCGTGGTTGCTGATAGAAGTAGCCTCCCGCCAAGGCGGCTCCTTCAATGCACGGCACTGCTCCTCCAATATCCGCAGCAACCTCCTCCACGCATTGCACCCCTCCCCCGGAGTCATCTACAGCTCCAACTCCCACGTCTCCTCCTGCGAGTCCCCTCCGGCCTCAAAGTGCTCCGCCTTGCCCGTCCGCAAGCACCGGAACCCCATGTCCTCGTACATGTGCCTCGCCGGCGCCAGGTTGCTCTGCGTCGTCAGCGTCACCTTGGCGTAGCCGCACTCCCTCGCAAAGTCGACGCACATCCGCGACAAGCGCCTGCCGAGCCCGCGGCCCCTTGCCTCCGGCTCGACCAGGAGCACGCGGATCCGGGCCCCCTCGCCCTCGTCCCGGCAGAGCAGGACGCAGCCGCGGAAGCTGCCCTGGGGGTCCTCGGCGATCCAGCAGCGTTCCCGCGCGGGGTCGTACGAGGCGGCGAAGGAGGCCATGATGCGGGCGACCCAGCCCTCAAAGGGCAGGCCCCAGCCGCACTGGGCGGCGTAGAGGACGCCGTGGCGATGGACGATGTAGCCGATGTCGCCGGGGCGGTGGGTGCGGAAGACGGTGTCGTCGTCGGTCATGGTGGTGGCGGGGGAGAGTGTAAATAGGACTTGGTGATGTGTATTTATTTGCAGTATATTGGAATACTTTTACATCCTGCCGGGACATGTTTGTATTATAACAGTTGATCTTGTCTCGATGGTCAACTGCCAGGCGCGCCCTTGCAGATGGTCGCTTGTCAAAGTGGAGACGCCACATCATGGCGCCGAGTGCACTTGTAGAAGCATCTCGAAGCACGCCCAACACATGTTGAAGGAATAAGTGGCATGTATATATATACTGTTGGCTTTTATACTCGTAACGCATAAATTCTTTTCAAATGTCCTCGTGCAATGGGGGTTGAAGCGTGTCCTTCCTCCTCAGTGCTTGCCCTCCGCCGCCCCCCTCCCGGCTCAGACACCACCATCATCATCCGGCTCCTCCTCCTCCGCCTGCTCCGGCTTCTGCGCGTACCAGTAATAATAATTAAAATACCTGTGAATCCTCGCGTTGTCCAGCGCCTGCCTCGCCAGCGCCAGCCTCACCTGCGCCTCCGCCTCCGACAGCCCCAGCGCCACAAACGGACGCCCCGCCAGCGTCGAAATAAAATCCGTCACGGCCGTCTTCTGGTACAGCCCGACCAGCCGCATCGTCTTGTCTTTCGCCCAGGGCCCGATGGGCACCTTGAGGACGCGGCAGCGGACGTTCTCGAAGCCGGCCTCGCGCAGCAGCGGGCCGAGCTCGGCGGGGAGCGAGGTGCTGAGGCCGAGGCGGGCGTAGGCGTCGCCGGCGAGCTCGTAGAGCACCTTGAAGGCGTCGTCGGCGGGCATGGTGCCGTCGTCGCAGAGGGGGCGGCCGAGGAGCTCCTGGAACTCGATCCAGCCGCCTGGGCGGAGGGCTCTGGATGCTTGTCAGCAGGAGGGGGGAGGGGTGGGTGGAAGGAGGATTAGAGGACATACGCGTAGGCGTGCTGCATGACGAGCGGGACGTCCTTGAGGATCATGGCCATGAAGCGAAAGTGGGCGAGGTCGTAGTTGTCGAGCAGCCAGTCGCGCTCGCAGTCGTCGACGATGAACTCGACGTTGGGCGGGACCCAGAGCGGCTGGATCGGGGTGAGGTCGATGCCGAGGACGGAGGCGCTGGGATAGGCGTCGCCGGCTGCGCTGGGGTGTTGGTTACTTTCCACGGTCATCGGGGGGAGGGGGGTTTGCACTGACTTTCAATCGCCCATATTCCTGGTCACAGTCAGTCAGCACTTCCATACACATACACATACACACCCTGTCCTCAGCATACCTGTCCCCGTCCCAATGTCAACTATCTTCTGTGGATGATCCCCCGTCGGGGCAAAGAAGAGCTTGCCGTCGGTCAGCTCCATGAGCATGACGTGCTTCAAGTCCTCGCGCGACTGCTCCTGGTCGTCGTTGGGGATCGGGTAGCGGCTGTTCTTGAAGGACTGGTAGCGGCGGCCGCGCTCGTAGGTGTGCGCGCAGACGCTCGAGGTGACGCTGACCAGATCCGAGTCGAGGCTGTTGGCGACGAACTCATCGTCGCTGATGTCGCCGCTGGTGGCGGCCTCGATGGGGGACTGCTCGCCGCCGGTGCCGGGCAGCCACGGAGGCGGCGGCGGCGGCGGAGGCGGAGACGGAGACGGCGGATCGGAGGGAGGTGCATCGCCGGCAGGGTCAGGGTCTTCACTGTGATGGCGGTGGTGGTGGTCGTCGTCCGCCGTGGTAGCTGTAGCTGCCTCGTCGGCTTCTGGGGTTTCCCTGGATTGCGGTGTCGGCTCCCGCTCCGAGGACCGCTCATCCGGAGAACCCATGCTTCCGGGTGTCCCTGCTTACTGTGTGAACTTTTTTTTTTTTGTGCGTGTCTCTTGCTCTGCCGAAGACAAAGAAAGCAAGATTGTTTGCTTCGGCAGATGCTTCAGCGACCCTGGTCCGGGGCGCGCACTGTCCTGACTGGAAGGCGAATTAGAAGGGTCCGCTGGGGATGGGAGGAGTCGGAGAATTGATCGGCTAGCAGCGCACCAAAGAATGCGATGGGAGGGTCGGAGAATAGGTTGAGTAGAGGATTGAAGAGGTCGGGACTTGATGGATGGACAATAGAGATGGGCCGTGTCGCGCGCAACTGACTTGTTGAGTCTCAAATTGGCCAGTCTTGATAGTTAGTTAGCCCTGTAGTACCTACATAGTAGGAGGTACATACATACATATGTACATACATATGTACATGTAGGTAGCTAACAACTAATGCGGCTAGGGCAAAGCCGAGACTCGATGGCTGCTGAAATGCGAATGCGTGGTCATGGCCTGGCATGAACATGGCGCCAGACTACACGAATGCAAGCCGAGTTTTCTTATTTTATGACGGAACTTTCCTTTCGTGTCGTTCCCCTCCAACCCTCCTACCCTCCCTCCTTAGCTAACAAAAATGACAAGTCATCCTGTCTTTCAGCGGCTTGGCGGGGAAATGGTCACCGCAGCGGGGGTTCTATGGTTAGTGGTCCGGGGGTCTTTTGTCAGTGGTCTTTTCTCAGTGGTCAGTATCCATAGGTACCTGATAATAAGTGGTCAGTGGTCACCGTATCCGCTTTCCTTGGTGGCGTCGACCCTGCATTTCATTTGCTGTCACAAGCGAGAACATGCTACCCTATAGTTACATTAACTAGTAAGTACATCCATCATCCATCTCATCTTTACTCTGTACGCACATGTATTACCACTGTAGTCATTGATGGGTTTGCCTCTATGCAACTGTCCGCTCTCTAATTCATACTTCATCTCTATAATTATCTATAATGATAAACCTCGTAAGATCTGGTCTACACACGGGTATCTCGACCACACAATTAAACCCCTGCCTTCTCATCTCCTACCCTCTACCTCCCATGCCCCTTGGTCGCCATCAACATCTGCTTCACCGTACCGATATCCAGTGACTTTTCCGCCTCGCACAGTGACTGCTGCACCGCTTCGGCCCCTCGCTTCACCACCTCATCATCGTATGCCCCCATCACCTCTGCCCGCCCTGCCTCCCCCGTCACCTTCCCCTTGCCCTTCCCCCCATCCCCGGGAGCAACATGCAGCTGCACCAGCGCATTGATGTAATTCTCCACATCCGTGATGGAGTGTTGGAAGCCTTGTCCGCGGTCTGTTCAATCCTGTCAACATCCACAACACAGCATGTCGCATGCATCCATCGGAAAGACATCACTCACAAATCAGCATCGGATGCGCCGCGTCTCCCGCCAGCGTCACCCGCCCATCATGGTTGTCCCACCCGACCGGAACCCAGTACTTCATCTCGTTTACGCCGACATACGCATCGTCCTCGGTCCAGTCTATCGCCATCTGGAACTCATCTCGCAGAGGCGCCGTGTGCTTGCTGATGTAGTCGAGCGCTTCCTGTCCTCCCAGTTCAACCGCCTCGCCGCGCCATATCTTGACCCAAAACGTTGTCCATGTCGACTTGTCCGAGGCGTCCTCGGCAGAGACAACTAATTCGCCGAAAAACGTCAGTGTCACCCTCATGCTTCCCAAGATGGGTATTCACGAACCGCCGATGCCCCCCACGGAGCCGGTGCCCATCATCAGAGCCGCTACCGGATGCTTTCGCACAATGGCATCCGTCTTGTACGCCTCGTCATACCGGTTGATGCCCGTCGCAAATAGGAATCCAGACCCTTGGGCCCGCGCTTTGTCCGCTCCCAGCAGAACTTCCCTGACCTTTGACGACGTCCCGTCGGTCCCGAGGAGATAGTCAGCGTCAACTGCCGTCCCGTCCTCGAACTCTGCCTTGACGCCCTTGTCTGTCTGGGCAATGTTCTTCAAGCACATTCCCCATCGGACATCGATTCCCCGGGCGAGAAGCGCGCGCAGGCGTCTCCGGCTCACCCGTCGCGCCCCGGGTGTCGGGCTGCTGAAGAGGAGATCCCCCGTGACCCCGTTATAGCACGGGAGCGTCTCGACCTCGGCGTCAAACTCCAGATGCGAATTGCACAACGCACCGTCCAGGTCCCGGAGCACCTCCTCGGGGACCAAGCGCCGCAGGATGGGCATGGCCCAGTGCACCAGCATCGTCCACTCCCGCGGCCGCGCATCGATGCCCTCCTCCTTCTCGACCACGATGGCCCTGAAGCCGTTCTGATGCTGTCAAAATAGGGTCCCCAGACGGAACGGCTGCATGCCAAAGTTTGCCGTAGAATTTGTCTCACCTGCTTCAAGCCCTGTGCTGCAAGGAGCCCCGTAAGTCCCGCTCCGACGATTAAAACAACGGGTTCGGCCGCGCTCGGCATTGCGGCGGCGGCGGCGGCGGTGTTGACTGCTTCGGCTTCGCGCGCAGCTCGGCCGCGAAACAACGACGATGCCAAGGGAATCTTGAGCCAACTCATTGTCGTTGAGAGACGAGAAGAAGAAGAAGTTGTCGCCATCGTGCTCGTTCCTTCCCCGGTGGTCCCGCTTGAGCGAAGTGGAAGGCTACCGGTAGTACGGATAGTAGTGGCAGGTATGGATCAGCTACACGCTTCCAATAGGCACTAAAGATGCGCGGCAACGTGGCTAGGCCGAGTTTACATATGGATACTCTTGGTTGCGAGTATTGCTACTCCCTTTTGATCTTCTGTTCCAATCATCACGCCACCTCGTAACCACTTTTGCGGGAGGACTGACCCATCCTGCCAGGCCGGTCGAGTGCGAGGCTGACGGGGAGGCGGCGGGCTGCACAGTAGTTGGCCGCTGATGCTAATCCATGACGGGAAATGCTTCTCGGTGGTAGTTGGTGTCGATTTTGGCCGTTACGCAGACAATGCTATGGACCCGGTCGAATATGTCCGAGAGCACCGGCCTGGCGGGACCTGTGGACGCTGTGGCGTCGCTGTTTCTGCAACTCGTGGGGTCTTGGTTTTACGTAGAATTAATGTATCAATTAACTGTGGAACAAGAGGAACCACGCCACATGCTGATATATCCCGGTAAGAACTATCAAGTTGCCAGTGTTGCAAGGTACCGAGTACCAGCCAGTACAGCAACCAGAATCCCGACGTCGTGTCTCTGCAGACCGGGCTTCTCATCCCATTGGTACACCGGCTGGCTGGTTCATCCACATGGTTCCAGCTCCAGTTCCAGCCCATCCATGCATACAGTACATGCACAATGCTACCCAAGCTTGTCAACTGCCGAGCTTGAAATGCCGAGCCCGTCTATCAGGCGCCCCACCCCAGCTGGACATTATCAGCGAGGACAGCTCTCCATCTCCATGTCGACAGTTGTGCTGCCAGTTTGCGCATATCATGTACACCATGTACCTCGAGGATTAGAATTTATGGTTCAAGAAACAGCAAAGAGTGACTGCCAAGTGAGAGCAGCTGTCGACTGACACATCTTCACCCGCGGAACGTTGTCCCCTTCTCTTGGCACATGCAAACCAGGCGGGCTCGCTAGTGTCCGACTATACGAAGTAGGACGTAGCCCTTCCACATTGATTCACGTCGCATTTGCTAGCAAGGAAAAAGCAAAACTACAAGTTGAATAATGACAGGTTGACAAGCCACCAGAAGCTGACAGGAGTTGCTGTTGCTGTTCATGTACGCCAAGCAAGTGACGGAATACTAGCAAACATGCACCAGGCAGGGCCGAAGTGACATTTTGCGCGATTGACGAGGTAGTTTTGTAAAGAAATATGACGCTCATTTTTTCTTTCACAATAAAGTCAAATTTACGTTCATCTTCTCTTGGACATCAAGGCATCTGGGCTTACCCTGAACATCCAACAAACCAATACACATGATGGACACTTGGACAAGAAGCATCCATGTACCTCGTAAGCGGCTTCATGCCATGTCAAATCTTGGCCGTGATCCTCCTTGGCTCGCCCAAGTACGAATCCCGACCATCTACCACATACCCATCCACCAACTTGGTGTTGAGATACCGCGGACTCGCATCCGCCATCAAGTCCGTCATCCCGCAGAGCCTCATCGCCACCTCGATCTCCTCCCGTAGCACTGCCACAAGTTAGCTTTCACTCCCAACCTCGGGTAATTTTTTTTTTCTTCCTCTTTCTTACCGTTGGCCGCGTGCACCACGCCCTCCTCCCCGTACCCCAGCGCATACAGAAACGGCCTGCCCACGCCCACCGCCGCCGCCCCGAGACACACCGCCTTGACCACGTCCGCCCCGCGCCGAAACCCGCCGTCCACCAGCACCGCCATCCGGGCAAACACCTCCGGCGCGTACCTGTGCAGCTCCAGCAGCGTCACCACCGCCGGCTGCGCCCCGTCCGCCGCCCTGCCCCCGTGGTTGCTCACCGCGATGCCGTCGCACCCGCACCGCATCGCCCGCGCCGCGTCCTCCCACCGCTGCACCCCCTTGATCACGATCGGCAGGTCCGTGTGCCGCCGGATCCACGGGACGTCCTCCCACGACAGCCGCGGATCGATAAACGTCGCCGTCTGCCGCGCCAGCCCCGCCCGCCCCCCCTCCTGCGCGCGCTCGTCCGCCTCGCGCTTGGAGATGACCGGCAGGTCCACCGTGACGAACACGGCGCCGACCTTGCCGGAGCGCGTCACCGCCCGCAGCAGCGCCTCCGTCTTCCGCCGGTCCTTGTCCACGTACAGCTGGAACCACGCGCGGCGGCCCTCCGGCGTCGCGGCCAGCACCTCGTCGAGCGGGTAGGAGGCGGCGGTGGACACGCACTGCGGGATGTTGGCGGCGGCGGGGGGAGACGTACACGGGCATGGCCATGGCGCTGCCGAAGAGCGAGGTGAGGGTGCGGACGCGGGCGACGTCGCGCATGACCAAGGGGCGGAACCAGATGCGGCGAAGGACGTCGATGTTGGCGTCGCGGGTAATGCAATCGTTGGAGGCGCTGTCGATGTACGCCCAGGACTGCGCGCTGAAGGAGGCCTTGGCCGCGGCCTCGAAGTCGTGCAGGTTGAGGATGCTGGACAGCGGGGGTTGCTTGCCGGCTGTGGCAGTCGACGAGGCGGTGGCGTTGCTGGTCTTCCAGTCTGCGGAAATCGATGTCTTGTCCAACTGGCCGAGCTGACGCTCAGGGCTCAGGGTCTTGGAGATGAGGGATGGCGCGTGTACTGCGTTGTACTGATCGGAAGCATCCTGTCCTGCGTAGCTGTAGATGACTAGGGCAGTCGGACGAGGTCTGGTAAGGTGAGTTCATTTTTGAGAAATGAGAAAAATAAAACTGCACGTACTTTGGGCGCCGCCGGGATGAGTCGGCGCGAAGTCGGTCATGTCGTAGACATGGTTGTCGACGACGATCCAGCAGTCGTCGTTGGTGGTGTGCTTGCGCACCTCGGACACGGACACTTTTCTGGCCATGCTGAGTGGCGGACCTGTGAGAGTTGTGACACACTTGTGACAGCTGATGCAATAGCTTCCAGCCTTATAACATCTGCCTGCCTCCTCGTGTATTTATTGCTGCGGAAAGCCGTGATTTGTAAACGGCTTCCGTGAGTGGACCGGGCTGCTCCCCGCACCCGCACTGCGGAGAAGTCCCCCCGCAAATCGGCCACCCATCGCGATGTCGGCATTTCGATTCGGCTTCTTTACTCATGAGGCTGGGAATCATAACAAGTCTATGTGATTGAGAATGGTCAATTCCTATAATTCCGCTTTGTAATTTGCATCTTCCGCCACACACCGGAACAAGTGTAAATTCCTGTGATTATGCTTACGATCCGCATCTGCTACCATGTATGTAAACAAGGTCAAACTTGTGTAATGATTCTTTAACGATTATTTGATGATATGCCCATCCGCTACTTCTGAAGCCTGCCCGCCCTCTCCTCATCATTCCAAAACGCACAGTGCCTCACCCTCACATCATCGCATTCCGTCCCCGTCCTTCCGGGACTCACCACAAGCTGCTGCGCACAACCCCCTCGGGCGCCCTCGGAACCCCCGTACCGCGGCCATTCCGGCGCCCCCTCCCCTCGGAACTTGTTCGGCTCGCCCGCCGCCACGAAGCTCGCCATGTACGCGTGATACTCCCTCGCCACCTCCGGGAACGGCACCCCCGGCTCGTTCCACAGGTACGCCGCGTCCGACGCGTGCGGCACCCCGCGCCACCCGCTCGCCTCCAGCGGGTGTCCGGGCGTGTCGAACCGCAGCCGCCACGTCTCCCCCCCCGTTGCCTCCGCGGTGGCCCGGCTCGGACAGATGTAGGCCATGTCGGACCACGCGGCCGACAGCCGGTCGTACTGCGTGCCGTTGGGCGAGCCCCGCGCCCACCGCGAGTCCGGGTGCGCCGCCGGGTCTGGGTACAGCTCGTTGAGGATCGCCAGGTCCGTCACGTTGAGCCCGGGGCTGAGGGCCTGCCAGAACCGCAGAAACTCGTCGTTGGTCTGCAGGTGGCCGGGCGTGTAGTACTTGCCCTCGTCGGTGGTGTGCGTGGTGATGAGGGGGAGGCGGTGGAAGCTGCGCTGGCGGAGGACGCGCGAGCCGCGCCGCTCCATGCGCGGGGCGCCGGGGACGGGCTGCCACGGCCAGCTCAGGCTGCTCTCCGCCTCGGCGTAGATCCGGGAGCTGACGCGCTCAATCTCCTCGATGGGCGCGGCGCGCAGGCAGGCCAGCTGCTGCTCGTCGTCCGCGTCGGCGTCGCAGCTGACGTGCTGCATTAGGGTGCGGAAGTCCGCCTCGTACCGCGGATGGCTGACGTCCGGGAACGCGCGCGCCGTGACGGCGCCGGACTGCAGGATCGCCCGCGCAAACAGCGGCGCGCCCTCGTCGGCGCCGTAGTTGTGGAAGTACTGAAAGGCGGCCGAGTGCGCGCCCGCGGACAGCCCACCAAGGGTGATCTGTGCCGGGTCGCCGCCGAACGCGGGCAGGTGAGTTTGTAGGAACTGCAGGAAGAAGTGCTGGTCGCGCAGCCCGAGGTTCAGCAGGCCGAGCCTCTCAAACAGACCGCTCGGGAGGAACCCTAGCGAGTTGAGGCGGTAGTTGAAAGTGACGACCATGACAGGTTGATCTGAAGATGCGACGAACGAGCCGCCGTCCATGGTCCGGCCCGAGTACAGCGAGAAGGCACCGCCGTGGATCCAGACCAGCGTCGGCAGCTTCTGGGTCAGCGGCACGCCGGCCGGGCGGTACACGTTAAAGTTGAGGCACGCCTCGGACTGCTCGCCCGCGTACTCGTAGCTCTTGTCCTGCGTGCAGATGGGGCCGAAGCGCGTCGCGTCACGGACGCCGTCGAAGCGCTCGGGCGGCTGCTCAACGGGCGCGAACCGACGGTCGCCGACCGGCTGGAGAGCGTAGTCGATGCCGAGCCAAGCATCGACGGGATTTGCCAAGTTGAAACCGCTGATGCTCTTGGACAGGCGGGTTCCGCGATGCTGCCCGATACCCGTCAGGTTTGCCACTGGTGCTGGGCTGGAGTCGAAGCCGCCGATGGATCCGAGCAGCACGGAGCTGATGATGGCTCCGAGGGAGGGCTGGACCATTGTGAGTCCGGGTGGGAAGTCAAAAATAAAATAAAATACAAGAAACACAAGATGAAGTAGAGAGACAGAAATTGATGAATGAAAGGGCAACTGGAATGTAGGACGGATGTTTCCGTGCCGGTGCCGGCCACCGGAAGGCGTATCGGCCTATAACGCGGGGTAGGCAACATACATAATTGTGCTAACGTACCCGAGGCGGAATTACGCAACCCCCCAGCGGAGGCATCTGCACACGTAAAACATGTATAAAATACTGCATAAATAGACTGTTGTGAAATAGACCATTTATTAATTCAGCAGCTCCGGATCTGTGACCTGTGTCAAGGTCATTGATTGCCTGACCAAAGGCGTTCAGCTCTTGGTAACATGCGCTTCCGCCAACTTACAACAACATGCATTCACAGCAGAGGCATCTTTATCAAATCCTTGTTTGCGGCCGTCCATCATGAAAGTACTACCCTCCAACTTGTCATCCCACCCTAGTCGTCCTCCGTACCCGCCGGCATGCCAAACTTGGACAAGTCATCCGAGCTCTTCCCATCCACCGCCATCTCCGCCAAGTTCCTCCCTATCGCCGGCGCAAACTTGAACGCGTGCGCCGCGCCCAGCGCCACCAGCACCTCCGGGTGCCTCCGCAGCGGCGCGACCACGAACTGCCTCCCCGGCGTCAGCGTGTACTGACACGTCACCGTGCGCAGCGTCTCCCGCTTCCCATCCGGGATGAGCCCGTCCATGAACCCGCGCAGGTCGTCCAGCAGCTTCGGCGAGTGCACAAACGTGCGCTCCTTGGGCGTCATCGGGTTCATGGCGCAGTCCTGGCCGGCCTTGATGGTGGGCTCGCCGTAGGCCGGGAACCCGTAGAAGCACGGGTCCGCGTGCCAGATCCACACGGGGAACAGCGAGGCGTCAAAGGCGGAGGCGTCGGAGGGCTTGAAGTAGGTGACCTGCTCCTGGGAGACGGTCAGGGGGATGTGCACGCCGAGGGGGCCCAGCAGCTCGTTGGTCCACGCGTCCGTCGCCAGGATGACCTTTTTGGCGGCGTAGGTGCCGCCAGGCGTCTCAATCACCACCACTCCTCCTCCGTCCTTGGGCGGCGTGATCGCCGTCACGGGCGTCAACTCCCTCAGCAGCGCGCCTTTCGCGCGCGCCAGGTGCTGCATCGCCGCCACCGCCTTGGCCGCGTGCGCCACCCCCGAGTCCGGCGTGTACACCACCCTCACCTCCTCCCCGATGCCAAACTGCGGCCACCGCTCCCTCACCTCCGCCGCGCCCAGCAGCTCGTAGGGTATGTCGTTCTGGCCTAGGCTCGTCGCAAAGGCCTCGGGCGAGAGCGGCCCGCCGTCGGGCAGGAAGACCAGGCCGCCGGTGATGGTGGTCAGCTTCTGGCCGGCCGCGGCCTCGAGCTGCGCCCAGTCCTCGTAGGCGGATTTGGCGAGGGCGACGTACTGCGGCGCCTCGTAGGAGGTGCGGATGATGCGCGAGGTGTCGTGGGAGGCGCCGCGGACGTGGCCGAGCTCGAACTGCTCAAAGGCGATGACGCGGGCGCCCTTGAGCGCGGCGTGGTAGGCGGCGGCGCTGCCGAGGGCGCCGAGCCCGACGACGGCCACGTCGTACTCGGTGGCCATGAGGGCGGTGTTGGTGTAGGACAAGGTTCAATATGGGTTGGAGAGAAGAGAAGGCAACGAAGCGATGACTCGGTGGAAAGAAGCCCGAGGGAGCTGATGCAAGCAGCGGGGGTCGAGTCCAACAGGTGGGAGTCGAGTCGTCTTAATCAAGTCGGGAGGGTAGGGTGTATTCCCGTCTTCACCCCGCACTTGTCATCCATTGCTGTGCCTCGAGCTCTCCGATCACGCAGGTGTAGGTCAGGTGCACCATTGTACTGATGGTTGGGTTTGTGCTTCGCGGCCGTGTCTTGCTCAAGGCCGAATCTAGACCGGGCCAAGCCACCGACTAGCACTCCCACCATCTTCTCTGCGCGACAAGCTTAGGGAGGGGGATAAGTGGTTGTCGGCGAGGTTGGGTGCCGATCGGGTACGGGCACGGGTCGAGGCGGCCGCATTTCCGGGGAAGAACTGACATGTTGGCCCAGGTTGTGGGTGGTGATGGGTGAGAATCGCGAATCGTGGTCTTTTTAGTTTCCATAGCTCCAGAGATCCTGGCCAACATGTCAGTTACCTTGTAAACCCATAGTAATCCGGGGGCGGAGCACCATTCTTATTATTAGCTCCCGGTCGGCCCCAGGTGGACTCCGGGGTTCCGTCACTGGGGTTATGTATTAAAAGCTAGTAACCAAAGGAGATGCGCAGTCATTTCAGCCTTTGCTAAAAATTTTGCTTGACAACTTCATCTAGCGAGCCATGATTAAGACAGACTACACCGACATTGTTGTCGAGGTCTCCGGCCAGATTGGCATCATCAAGGTAGCATTCTCCTGGCTGCATGCACCGGCGCACAGCTCAGCCGGTCGGCTACTTACACATTATCCCAGTTCAACCGCCCAGACTACCTCAACGCTTTCGGCGGCCGGCTGCTGCCAGAAACCATCAATGCATTTCGCGAGCTCAACGAGCATCCCGACACCGTCTTGACCGTGTTGACCGGTGCCGGACGCTTCTTCTCCTCCGGCTGGGACATACGAAGTACAGGTCGCCGCCTTCGCTGACCAACATGGGACATGCATGGCTGACGCTCTTCGCTTCTGGCAGACAACTACTTCCCCTCCGGACCGTTCGAGACTGACGCTGACGCCAAGATTGCGCATGCGAATAACCTCTATCCCTGTCCGGCAGAGCTCCCTCCCCCCCCCCAACCGCAGGCATCGAGCTGATCCGCACCATCATCGACCATCGCAAGGTCTTCGTCCTCGCCCTCAACGGCCCCGCCACCGGCGGCGGCGCCGCGTGGTTCCTCGGCCTCGCCGACACCGTCCTCGCCGCCTCCACCGCCCACCTGCACATGCCCTTCTCCGCGCTCGCGCTGGTCCCCGAGAACGGGTCCATCCGCACGCTCGCCCACTCCCTCGGCGTGCACCGCGCCAACGACCTGCTCATCTACGGGAAGAGGGTGACGGCGGGGGAACTGCGCGCCTGGGGCACGGTCAGCGAGGTGTTCCCTGCGGGGGATTTCCACGCGGAGGTGAGGGGCTTCTTGGAGAGGCAGCTGGAGGAGAATGACGGGGAGAGCATGATGATTGCAAAGAAGCTGGGGACGGCGCCGCTGAGGAGCGAGAGGCTGCTGGCGGCGTACGAGGCGATGGATGCGCTGTACGAGAGGATGGTGGAGGGCGCGCCGACGGCGAGGTTTGTGAAGAAGATTCAGGGGCTTCAGGGTATGTGCAGATTGACGGTGCGTAATTCGTACATGACGAGTGCTAACTGGGCTGTAGAGAAGAAGGAGAAGAAGGAGAAGAAGGAGAAGCAATCAAAGTTGTAATGTCTGGTGGTGGGTGAATTAGTACATTGTACATGGACAATTACAGGGTCTGTCGTGGCTATTTACAGTACCTAGCCTGCTAACGTGCCTGTATTTACAGTACCTGCTCAGTAATGGGGAAGAGCTATGTACAATGTACAAGACATCCTTTGCACTGCCATCAACGTACAGCGAGCCAACTTCCAGACTTGATCTAATTCCCTCCACGATAATCTACGTACAATTCCTTTGAATGAATAGCATTCAAATATAAGCTTTCGGCACGGTGACTTGACAGCAGCCGGCGCGGGGTAGCCCCGATCACGAGACTCGTACAGTGATCGGCAGCCGGCAACCCCATTTCAACCCACTGAATCCACTGTAACTACCTACCTATGTATGTATGTACTGTATGTACTGTAGTCACTCCCTACAATATACATAGATAGTGGCCTGTGCACCTGGGGATTTCCAACCGGCTGAATGTGAACAAGACACCATCACCACCATCACCAAACCAATCATCACCAAATCAATCAACTCACACCCCAACCAGTCCAAAATGCCCTCCTCCTCCGAGGTCGCCAAGGCCAAATATCAGGCCATGCTCGAGCAGGCCAAGATCAACAACGCGCATCGTAAATGCCCATCGGGTAGTTTGCGTTGTCCTTGGAGGTGAAGACTAACTCGACAACTGCACATAGACCGCACCAACCGCGTCGTCACGACCCGGCACCCGTCCACGGGCGGCTGCGAGATTACCAACTCGATTTCCCGTCGTACCAGCCATAGCAGCATGGACGTCCCGACCGGTCGATTCCGTGCCTTTATCAAGAACCTGGTCTCGCCCCCGGCGTATTAGCTGGGGGCATCCGTATTGAGTAGCAGAGGGAAGCGACGAGCCTGACGCTTGAGTACGCTTGAGCATGCCTACTCGTAACAGAGACGAGGAGAGATTGTATACTCTGATATCTTGACATTTGTATTTTTTTTCCACAATTCTTTTTTTTTTTTTTTTTTCTCGCTAATGTCATGGCCACTCATTCGACTCACTCCCTGTCAGAATCATCTTGTTCCCACCTAAATCATCCTGTTCCCACCTAAATCATCTTGTTCCTCAACATCTGATCATGTCCCAGCCCAGCCGCACCCCTTAAAACAACGGAAACGAGGCAATGTCCTCATAATTCACATTCGTCTCCTGGCACTCGATCCTCGCCGCACACGTCCCAAACACCCTATCCCACACCCGCGACTGCTTCCCGTAATTATGACTGTTCTTCCACCCCGTCCTGTGATGCAAGTCATGATCCTCCAGCGCCAGTTCCACCCCCAAATACCCCAACAACCCCGAAATCGGCGACGCCGCGTACAGGTGCACCCGCAGCCCCGAGTGGCCCAGCAGCTCCGTGAACCACACGTACATGTGACACATCCAGAACGCGTAGAAGCCCATCTCCAACCCGATCAACTTCATCGAGTAAAACGCCAGCGCGGGGATCACCGCAATGTCAAACGCCTCCTGCTCCGCGTCCGCGAAGATGGTCAGCAGCGCGTTCGGGTGCTTGGTCAGGTGGTGCGTCCGGTGAAACTTCCACAGCGCGGGAACCTCGTGCATCAGCCGGTGGTACCAGTAGAACCAAAAGTCCGTCACGATCGGGTACGCCGCCGCCTGCACCGGCAGCCACCACCAGTCCGGGGAGTCCGCCGGCGGGCCGCGGTCCGCCCGGTAGGCGAGCAGGATGAGCACGGCCGGGCGGAACGTGATGGCGAGCAGCAGCGAGGAGGCGACCTTGCCGACGGTCGCGTCCGGCACGTCATCGCGCGCGTGCGCGTCGCCGTCCAGGTACCCGTGGCGCCGGCCCACACGCCGCAGCATCCGCAGCTCGTGCACGCCAAACGCCGTCACCGCCAGCGCGTAGTACGCGTAGGCGACGGGCAGCGGGAGGTTGAGGCCCGTGAGGTTGAACCAGGCCTGGTGGGCGAGGAGCGGCACGGCGCCCCAGAAGATCACGAACGCGTTGAGCTGCCAGTTGGGGAGGTGCGGCACGGGTGTGTTTTTGGGGTGCACCGGCGCGGGAGGCAGGGAGAGGTCCGACTGGTGGATGTCGAGGAAGCCGAAGAGGTGGTGCGCGAGGGTCCAGCCGTCCTTTTTGGGGTCCAGGCGCCAGGTCGACTTGATGGAGTCTTTGGGGTTGCGCCTTGTTGTTGTTGTCGTTGTCGTCGTGGTGGTGGCCATGGTGCGTGCAGATGTGGAAGAAGAAGAATTGGATGACAAGTTGGAGGACAAGTGGCGAGTTGATGGGCTCGGGGGGCCAAGGAGACTTATACCACCAAGACACCCTACCCAGCTGTGGCGGACAGACGACCTTATTTATAACCAATTTGCAGTACATCAGCTTGCGCTAGGGCTTCCTCTCCTCTCTTCTCCACAGACAACCCCTTGCTCAGTCTACATAGCTTGCATTAGACCAAAGTCCACTCTCCCAAACAGTTGCAGCCTGAAGGGCTGGTTAGGGGCAGTTAGTTGCGGTGATCGCTCACATGTGATGTGGACTCGGCAGTTTCCCCGCCTTTTGTACTCAACTAACCGTAACCAATAATTACTAACAAACCACTGCCACGAGTTAGAGTCGACCCAACAAAAGGCACTGCCTAATCATAACGGCCGTAGTCGTGGACGTTTCCGCGCGCACCGACACGTGGGGGCTCGTCCCCTCGTTGCTGTCCAGCATCTGACTCAGGCACGAAAGAAAAGCATGTACATAAAGTTTATCCTTTAAACTGTAAGAATCCCAAAGATGTTGCAATGCATTTATCGTTGCCTACTATTGTCTGACAGTTCACAGGGACAGTCGGCGCCCTCCAGACAGTAGTTACCGCGCGACTAACACGTTCCCCAGCATCACTGTATTTTAACAACAAACACAATATGCAAACTCTACAAAAAAGACAAAGGGCGTTATTTCCATGTGATTGTGGAACAGGGTACGCCAACTCCACCCCTCTCTATGTCCACTCCATGTTCAGGTAATCAATCCACGGAGCCTCCCGGACTCGTCGGGCTGAGGCTACCCGTCAGAGCCAACATCACCTGATGTCTTCATCTCCACGAATGCATCCAACAGCCCCTAGAAATGATTGGAGGATGCACGGCTTGCGTAGTTTATTCAATACCTGATACTCTGAAGCATTTGTGCGTCAGCGATGGCTGCATGATACCCACGAGCTCCTCTCCCCGGACCGTAGGAGCCCCCGACTCCGCTCCTACACCAAACAACTCCAACGTCATATCCTGTCCGTGTTCCTGAGTACTTGGAAAGGTGGGGGCTCTGATTGATACAATGAGCAAGCATTTGCTACCGTATAAAGGAATATTCATGATGAAAGGAGGCACATGTAAATAATCACACGTGTAAGCTTGCGTGTCATACACACATACCTTCACGTTCGGATGCAGCGGCCCTCGGCGCAAAGCTCACTTCTCAACAATTTTGAATACTATGGGAATCGTCCATCATTCTTCATACCGTCACCGTATCTTGCCAACTTGGACGTTGCCCAAGCTTGGTCACTCACTTCGCCCACATAGCCCGGAGAAGCACGTTCGCTTGGTTCGTCGAGGGACGAACCTCAACCTCACCCACCACACCTGGCATGAAAGTGGCAAGACACGCAGGCAGGGCAAGAGTTCACTTAGGGTAGGGGTGATGCCTTCGTCGCGCTCTTCTCAAATACTCGACTGAGCTCCAGTAAACCACGCTCAGCCCTTTTGGATGGAGGAAGCTGAGGCCGCTCTACACCTCCACCACCAGTGCACACATGTGATTGCGTCCGACAGCAATGCTCCGTCTGTAAGCTGACTGCCGTTCTTTGATCCCGATTTAGTTTTCCCTGTGCCTCGCTTTCATTCGCTGGGTCGTGTCAGTGGCACCAACCCTGACTCACCTCTACCGGAAATGGACATGGATGCTGCAGCCCGACAACAGTGATCATCATGGCATGCCTCAGACGCAAAGACACAACTTGGTAAAGAGACATTCAACCTCACACGCGGCAAAAGATAGGTTTGATAGCTTCATCGTCTGAAATTGTAATAATTCACCCCGACTATCCGGTACAAGGTGCCGCGAGGCAGCATTGTAAATAAGAGAAGAGTATACGAAAAAGAAAATCCATGACACCAGGCTGATCATTTGCTTCGCCCGTCAGTCACCTTCACCAGCCCCGTCGGCGCCACCCTTCATCATCGTAGCAGTGCGTGCCAACTTGTGACCCGCGGACAGGACGAGAGCTTGGGTAGCGCGCGCCAGGGATGCAAAATTGTTGTTGAAAGGGGTGAGAATAAGCACAACAGAAATAATATAAAATGCGAAAAAAAGGTATCGTGTGGCCATCGAGGTGCCAAAGAGAGTCAAGAAGACCAAGGAAATAACCATACAGAACTGATAAAAAAAAGAAAAAGAACCTCCCACCGAAACCGTGTTCCGTAAGTCATCACAGCACAGCTCTCCTAAATCATCTCGCTACGGTCGAGGCCTGTCGACATGTGCTTGCCTTTCTTGTCAATTGGCGACCGAATGACGTCCCGGTCGTACAGGACAGGAGGCGGCGCCAGGATGGGCTTGCTCTGGTGATGCGATGACGAGCAGCCGCTCATCATCTCCATCGCGGCAGACGGCGGGGGGTATGTATTCTTGCGGCTGCGGCTACGGCGCTCCGAACCCCGTGCGCTGCGGCCCGAGATACTCCCCTCGCCGCCAACGCTTCGTCCACGGTTGTGGCCGCGCGATGGTGGCGGTACGGGCGGCGACAGCACCGGCACCATGTGGTCGTTCGGTGCGGCGACTTGCGGCTGCTCGTCATCATCCATTACAATCTCAATCATGCCAGAGCCAACTGCTCCGCCAGCGCCATACGTCGGCTTTGTATGCGGCAGAGGCGCGGGAGGAGGTGGTGGCGGCTTTGCCAAGTGTTGAAGCTCCTTCAGCATCGGCGGCAGCATTACGGGAGCTGGCGGCGGCGGCGGTGGAACAGGCTCCTCGTTGGATCGGCGACGCTCACCACTTTGCACGACGGCATCAATGTTAGCGATACCGCCGAAGCTCATCTTTCTGCGAGACTGTGGTAGGTCTTCCGGGATTGGCGCCGACATGCTTCGTGGAATCATCGGCCGTACTGGTGGCTGATACACGGTCGATGGCAGCAGTGTCAGGCTTGGTGCCTGGTCCTGGGCAGCTGGCTTCACTTCCTTCGCCTCCTTGGTCGGTAGGGACGGGACAGGCGGGACGTTGCTGTTGGACATCCCGTTGGCAAGGATCAGTCGCATGGCTTTTGGTGTCGCTGGAAGACCAATCATCGGGCTTGTCCCACGAGCATACATGTTCTTCGGGGGGTCTGTTGCACTTCTAGGGGGCAGGCCCTCGGCCAGTGGCTTTGGTTCGGATGTCTCAACTGCAACGCGTTCGGGATTCGGCAGGGCCGCGTACTCGTCGGGATGTACAATTCCCGGGGTATGGGCTCGCTTTGCCAGTGACTTCCGCCGCTCTTCCAGTTCGCGGGCCGCCTGCTCCTTTCGCTTCAGTCTTTCGTCCTTGAATTGGCGTAGATCGCCGACATGGTCAGTTGACGCAGCTCGCGATCGTTGGTTGACTGGTGGATTATCCTCCAGCACATCAGGGATGATGAAATTCTTCCGTCTTGATTCCGACGCCTCTCTTCTGGCCGTGGTTGGCGAGTTCACACCCTGGCTGACACTTCGGCCGTGTTTTGCCCGGAAGGCCTCCTGCTCCTCGATGGCGCGCTTCAGGTCTTCCTCGTCTTCGGAACCTTGCAGATGCAAGGCGGTTGCTGACAATGGAATGGGCGATGCGGGCGATAGTGCCTTGAAACTCTCTCTTCCTTGGCTTCGTCCGCGCGCCTCCAGAGCCGAGGGTTGTCGCTTTCTGTCGGGGCTACGACCTTTGCTACCCCGACTGGATGTGCGGCTTGAGCCCTTGGCTCTAGTCTTGGCTGATCTTCTAGAAGTGGTAGATTCTCCTGCATCGATAAATTTCTGTGCAGTCAGATTGGCCAAGTCCTCGGGAGACATGGGGATCGGAGATGTTGGAGATCGCTTCGGTTTGACCCAGCTCCTAACTGGCGCACGCCCGCGATCCTCCGATTGCTCTCTAGATCTATCCCGTCTCTCGACGCTGCCCTGGCGGTTCCTCGAGCTCTCGCGCGGTCGTTCCTTGCTATGGCCCCCGCTTCGACTTCGGCCGGGGTAGTTTTTGGCGGCTTCAAGGCTGTGAATATAGTCGTCTCTCTGTCGGCCATGTCTGTAGCTTCGACCTGCACTAGAGTTTGAAGTAATAGAGCTAGCAACAGATCCTGGACCGCGGCGCCGCGTTGGCCAGTGAAACCGAGCTGACGAAGTGCCCGACTGTTGTGGGGATATAGGATCGTTCATTGGCTGCGAACCGAGGCTATGCAGCTCCATGAGCTTACCGTTGGGGATTCTGTTTCTTGAGCCATTACGCACGTTGCTCTTGCTTTCTTGCATCCGTGCCATGACATTTGAATCCGGCGAAGGGGGTCGCTCGCCGACTGGCCGGTCTACAAGGCGCGAAAATTGGTCGCGCATCATCATAGGGCTAGCTGTGGAGGCACGCGCAAGCGAAGTGCCAGCGGTAAAGTTATCATAGTCAGCAGATGCCATCCGTGAGTGTCCGCTGTGCCCAGGTTTCTTGGTCTCGCGCGCTAAAGAGTCGCGGTTGATGTCGCTGGGAGCCTCGCCGATAGATGGAAGACGACCGCGACTCGTCAAAGAACCAGCGGGTCTTGCAGAGGTAGGCGTGTTGAAGCGACTGTTGCTAGATGGGCGTAGGAATGCCGTCGCGGCTTCGTACGATCCACCTGGGGAAATGGCAGAGTCTGCAATTGGTGTCACGCCCGCAGCAATAGGCGTCTGGCCGTCATCCATGTTGGCATAGAACTTGGCTTTGTGATTTGGATCTCCAAAGGAAGTGATGAGCTTGAGTGCCGATGACTTGGCAACGCTTCGCTGAGGACCACGCTGGATTCCTGGGGGCGACAACGGTGGGCTGAGAACTTCAGGGATGCTGGGCGTGATACTCTGAAAGTTGAGCTGAACTGCAGATGGCGATCTCCATGGCTCGCTGGATTCCTGATCCGTGCAAGCAAAACATCGGATCGCTAGCTGCTGCTGGTGGTGTTGAACAGCCCATTCACCCCACTTCCTGATGATGGCTGCTTGACGCTCCCATACACCAGGAAATGTTAGGCAAGTCAGAAGCAACGCTTCCATGTATCGCTTATGCGATATATAGACTTCAATGGCGTCGTTGCGCTCGCCCATGCCAAGCATGATGGTAACAGCGACGTGGATCTCGCCGCTCTCAAGTAGTCGCCGCACGTATACCTGGCCAATCTTTTGTTGGCCAGCGGCGCTACCAATGCCGCTGAGAGCAAACAACATCCAATCGGAAGAAGTCATGTCTCTGGCGCTGTCAGCCATAATATCGGTGTCCATCTCGCCAAGCCATTTTGACAGAAGGATTCGGCTTGAAGATCCACTCGGGTGCCGTTGCATTTCATCGCGGATGAGATCGTCGACATCAGAGTGCCAGCCAAAGATGGTGCTAAGCATCTGTCTTCTCAAATCGTCATTGGTCAGACGCGAATTATCGGCACTCATGGGATGCTTATACGGAATATCGCTAAGTCGCGACCTTGTAAATTTGAACAAATCGTGAACCTTGTTCTCATCTGGGCTTCGTGGGACTTCGTGGCGCAACCGAGAAGGACGCTGCCGAGAGCGTGAAGACGTTACGCTTGTGCTCCCAAGAGAGTAACCCATAGAATAGCTATCGATATCCGGTTGGCGACCTATAGTGGAAGACTTGAGCGAGGTTCCAGTTGAGATGTACGTGTTCTGCGATCGAACCGACGAGGTGGGATGGCGGCCAGGTGTACGGGATCCAGGGGAAGCGAGAGAAGAACGCGATTGCGACGACGACAAGCCACTTCTGCTGGAAACTGGGCTAGCTGATTCGTACGTCTCGTTGCCGGAGTCGGGATGTGCTTGACCGCGGGCAATGCGTGCAAACGGTGACAGGTGGTCTTCATCGCTCTCCGAAACATTCATTTCCAAGGGGATGGAACTCATGGAGCTCTCGGATTCTGAAGTATGGATAGTGGTTGCGGAATGAACGGATTGGTTAGCAATCTCTTCGATTGAATTTGGTGGCGAAGGCGGCAGGTGGCTTGTAGGATGCTGGACGTTGGCCACCATGATCGCTGGCGAGTTGAGATCGAACTGTTGCACGGTACCGTTGGGGCCGACCGTGAAGAGGCTCGCGCCAGGTCCATAGAGTGCCATACCCCTGACGTGCTCAAGTGTCGGAATGGAGTCAAAGGTGACGTGCTTTGTGCGGACATCCCAAGAAAGGGTTTCGCTGTGTTCGGTCAGTATGGTTCGAGCGACGCTACACAAGGGGAGTTTTCAAAGCATACCTGTCGGAGAACTGAATGACGCGCCCGTTCTTGGACCATCCCATCCAGTTGGATCCTTTGTCGATGGCTTCTGCCTTGCGCAGAATTCGGACAACTTTGGCGGGTTCTTCAATGCTGTACGCCTTTGTGACACTCCAAACCCGTAAGTCGCCGTCGTGTTTCTGCACAGCAAGCATCTCCGATTTTTGCCGAGACGATGACGCATGCCAGGAAAGACCGATAACAGGCGACGGTGCTCTAGATGTCGTCAAGTTATGCATGATGGTAAATCGGGGCTGGATTCGAGCAATAAGAAGCGTGCCAGTTTGAAAGCTACGTCATGTCAGCGTGAGGCCAATTTCGAGGCACAAAACAGGGTCGCATACCCAATCGCAAAAGTCAGACAGTCTTGCGATGGCGCCAGGGCCGTTATTGCCGTTTGCTCCAATGTCTTTGACCTCATGTGCTCGGAAGTAGCAATCTCGAATACGGTAACCGAGCCGTGGCTGTCGCCTGTAGAATTTGTTAGCTCAAAAATGGTCTGCGTGAGAATCGCTGGTGCGTACCGAATGCCAAGTTGCCATTGCGCATCCAGGTGATGGCGGTGATTTGACAATCTGCGACTGCGGTGAAGTTCTTGAGCATTTCGCCCGTCATCAAGTCCCAGATGATCATCCTTCTGCTGCTGTCATAACTGGCGGCTATGCGTCCTCCACCGTATTGGCTGTGGTTGTCGATGGCGAGCAGCAAAACTTCATGTTGATGGCCGGTAAATCGGCGCTCGATGGTCAGGGAATCGTGGTGGCAGCAGACGACGGAGGAGCCTTGGACATAGAGGAACATCGATGCCGTGGCGCCGCAGGGATCGAAATACTTGAGGTCTTGTAAGGAAGGCATGGCTGAATCGTGTGCATTTCGCCCTCGCGCGGTAGACGATCGCTCCGAGGCTCGTGAAATGGCATGGCCTTGTGAAGAAGCCGGGGCAGACATGGTGACCGGTCGGATCAAATAGTCTTAGAAAGTCAGGCTCGCGTGATATTGTGTAGCGTGGGGATTGGCGTCGGCGTTTGGAGGCGTGATTTCTGCGACCGAGTCCGATGCCCTGCAGGAGGGACGGTTCGCAGCAGGCGTCCTGCAGTGAATCGCCGTCACAGGCTCGGTGCGGTAGACAATTGCGCGGGACGGCAAGCACACCGTTCCACGCTGGTATCCGTGGATCAGAGCCTCTGTGCCTCGTAGCGAGAGCGCAGGAGGCGACGACCCACGAACGAGGCTTATATCGATGTGAATTTCGGTTCCGGTGTCGGGCTGGGTCGCAGATTACATGGAGGCGCTGGTCGAAGAAGCATTAGTACCGTCGCAAAAGGCGGTTGCAGCGTGAGTTATGGGACGCTCGAATTGCCGACATGTGACAATTCGGACGCGAAGAGGCTTTGTGCGACAGGAGATGTTGGGTAGTGAATACATAGAGTGACGATGCCGCTACAAGACGGATGTGACTCGAGGCTCGCTGGGCCGATGGGGGAGCGATGACGAAGAAGAGAAAAGGAAACTTGACAATTGGCAAAAATAAAAATAAAAAGACTCGTCAAAGGAAAGGGGCAAAAGGCTCGAACAAATGGAGCAAAACAAGGCAGACTGGATGCGGCCTGATGTAAGTAGCCGCAGACAGAGAAAGAGAGACAGGTGGTGCGGAGTGGGTCGGGCGCTTGTAGATGAGGGGATACGCAAAGGGCTGGCGGTTGGAGGAGGAGGGAGTGCGACTTACTCGGACCCAGGGGGGCGGTGGCGTGTTCTGCGAACAAAGAGGTTGCGACAGTCGCACAGCAGGATGCGGTCAAACCTAGATCTGGTTGTTGTAGAAAGGTAAGAAAAGGGGATACTAGATGGTCGAAGAGAAAATGTGTGTCCAGGTGAGGGTGAGGATGCAGAATGCGAGTGCGGTGGGCTGGGGACGTAAATGTGCAGCACAGCGGAGTGCCGGCCAGCATGGAGAGGGACTGGGAAGAGGAACAGCAAAAACAAAGGTGGACGGACAGACGAACACAAGCACAACGCAGCACGCAGCACAAGCAAGACACGCACCAGCGCCCGGTATCAGTCAGCCAGCACAAGCAAGGCAACACCTGTGTAGACGTGTGCTTGGTCGACTTCTAGTTGAGAGACGGTCTGCTAGCAGGGGTCTGGCGATGGAGAAGGAGCCCGTGGTGAGAGGTTGCCGGGGTCGAGAGAGACTGGGGCCGTGTCGGGGCCCTCTTTGGGCTCTTGGGGGGGGGGGGGAAGTGGCGCGATGGACTGTAAGTGGTTGACGGCTGAGGGCTGTATAAAATTAGAGCTGTTGGGGCGGTTTCGAGAGCATCAGTAAGTACTCCATACAGCCTCAAGAAAAGAGAAAAGATCAAGTCCGAGGCCCCTATCCACAGTCGGCCGTGTCCTTGTATATTGTATGCATGCTTGGTTTGCCGCATGAGGCAGGAAAAAGAGAGAGTGAGGTAGGCTGGGAGGGCGGCGAGACAAAGCCACAAAGTCGGTTGAAGCACCGGCGGATTAGATGCGTTGGCAGGCGAATTGCGCGGCGCAATTCGTTACTTTTGGCCAGCTGATGCTGTTGAATGCCGTCATACGAGTACCTGGTCTGGACAGGAGTTGGCCAGCACAGTGCAGGGCTCCCATGACTAGCTCCGGGCTTGGTCGTCCCGCGTGGACATCAGCCCGACTATATCGGAGCCTATCAAGAGGCATGGCAGGGTCTTTGAGGCTAAGTCGATGTTACACTGCCCTTGGTTTTTTGCGATTTGGCCTGGGCCGGCTTCTCTTGACTTCATTTCGCTCAAATCCTTTTTTGTCGCTTCTCTCATCAGGCTCGTCGTTTCTCCGGTGCCTGCGTACCCTGCCTCAGATAGATTGCAACGTCGTGCTCGGGCTTTGGTAGGCTTTTGGATTTTTGCGGGGTCTGGGAGCTGGACAGCACACCAGTAGATCCGACAATTGGAGGGCTGCTTCCTTGGTGTGTTGTGTTGCATGAGCGCCACCCTTCTATATCCAGCTGCCGGCGCCGCTGCAGATGAGATGGCGGGCTGCCGTGAGGTGCTGTACGAGCCTACCTGCGCCGCTACACCAAAGCATGGAATCCGGTTGGTCTTTTTTCCCCTGGCAACCCCCTTTTTATGGCTTCTTCATCGCCATCGCCATCGTGCTTACGTGCAACACAGGCGGGGAGGGGGGGTACCTGTGTTGATAGGCGGCCGGGCGGGCGAGTTCAATTGCGTGCGTTTGCGCGTCCAAAAATAACAACAACCGTGCTGGCCTCGACAGCAACCAGCAAGGGTGGTGGGAGGAGTGCAGGCAATGCGCTAGCAGATAATTCGCTCTCTGATCTTGGCTGGGCAGGACTGCAATAGAGTCCGGCGGGGATGGGATGTGATTGCTGGCATCGTCAAGCAAGCACACGAGGTGCAACTGTGAAGGAGGAGGAGGAGAGGAGAAGGAGAAAAAAAGGTGAAGCTAGGGCACTGACTGGTTTGACTGGTCGACTTAGCGTGCAGCGAGGCTTGATGGCTGGCGGTCCAGAGTGGGCCTCCCAGGCTGGACGTGCAATGGAAGCCGTCGAGGAAGCGCCCAACTTGAGACTAGCCTCTGATTGGTGAATCTCGCTGCAGGTGTGTCTCGGCTCCCAGCCAATTGTAGCGCCCATCACACTCGTCAGCGGGACCGGGACTTGAGGGACCTTGAAATCATTACCAATATAGGCGGGGACAGGGGTCCGATCGCCCATTATCCCGCCCGCCGCTAAAATTTGTCCTGCACTTGCATGATTGAAGTTGCCAGTTAGCGCTGCCATGGGGCCGTTTTAGCGGCTCGTCCACTAACGGCGAGCCTAACACGAGCCCTGAGCCCGCTAACACGCTGGCATCCTCCTCTTTGCCTAGACATCCCAACATCATCATCTTACTATGCCAATTCATATACATGCTCCTGCACCGGGAATCACGCTCCTTCGCTCGCTTTACACGCCATTCTCCTCATTATGATCCCCTCCCTACCAGTACTTCTATCCTGTCCAGCCATTGAAATTAATTAACGCCGCAATCCCATGCCCCACCGCCCTGCGTCCAGACATCGACAAACTACTCTCCTCCAATCGTGCTTTTCTGTCTCTCGCCACCACCCAACAGCTCCGGCTTTCTTTGCATTCTTTATTTGCCTCCCATCACTAGCCCCCTCGTGTATCCAATCCGTTTCCCGTATGCCAACAATTCCTCCTGGTCTCCCTGATCTTCAACTTGCTCATCTTCGGCCCGTTCCACCTCGTTATCCAACACATTCAAGACAACCTTGGCACAATCCAAGAATCTCGATTGGTTCGGTATTCACTCTTTCGTAATTGGCAAAACACCCTCTCGGCCCTAGCCACCTCGGTGCAACAAAACTATCCAGCTTCTTTTGCTTTGACCGCCGATCCTATCGGCTTCTATTTGCATGGACGTCGCATCCTGTATTGCAGAAAATGTCTTGTTGCCTGCATCTACGGGAGCTGGGGCTTTCCAGGGCTGGCTGCCCCTCTCTCCCACGGAAACTCAATCCTCTACGCGGCCGGCTGTTGCCGCGCTGTCTCACTTGACGGCTCGTGGGCAGCGTTACCGTACGTGGAGTAGAATAGCTCAGGTAGCACCTATGGCACAGATGACCTACCTATATTCATTTTATTGCCCATAGCAGTCATTGCTTATACTTGACGATTAATGATATGCAGTTTCGGGGGGGGCATATGGACACCAACCAGGGATACATAAGTATTGACGAACTCGGCTGTCGCATTGTCGCTACGCAGTTGGCAGCTTGTCGACGAGGCTCCCTCGTGACAGACGCTCACCGAGACTTTGTCTTACACAGGTGATGTATTTCACTTCCATTCTTGGATGCAAGGCTTTTCGTTGTCAGGTTCTCAGTCTCAAAGAGTCTGCATCATCATGTAAGAAAACCATATCGAAACAAGCGCACCAGACATTACCACCCACCACCCACCACCTCCGAATCATCCTGAAGTGGTATCTGCAAGTTCGTGTTACACAACATGGTGTCCCTGTCGCCGAAAAGCCACAGACGTCCATCCGGCCATCGACCCCTCATCTCTACAAAGAGACGGGTTAGTTTCTCTAACTACGGAGTACTACGTCGATCCTGCCGTCCGTCATTAAACTGCTGGATCGCTTCGGCCTTGACTCTGTGCCGCTTCAGATCCGCGTAGATTACAAGACCGCCCGCCAGTGTACAACCTTTGCCCAATGGGTGCCCATACTTGTAACGTTCAATCCTCATGTTCGCACTCAAACCCGGGCCTTCTTCATCTTGCTCGATGAGGTTGCACAAAGGCTTTGATATGAGAGACACGGCACGTCAATGTGTGATCCAGTGTCGGAGGCAGCCTCCCCCCATACATTACTGGCCAGCCTCTCTCTTTTGTTCTTCCCTTTCAGGATGGACAACCACAGCTTACATCCCGAGCCGGCAAGGGTTTGTTCAGGCTGTCCGGAAGCCGGGATGAGACCACAAAGCCCCGCGCGGGCCTTGATGAGGAGGAGTTTTCCACCAACCCCCCATGCCATGGCGGAAGCGATTGTAACCCCATTCTCTGAACAACGGCCGCGAGGCTTGGCCGCAAAAAGAAATTATGATCAACGAACTCTTTTTTTTTTTTTCTTACCCAAAGGGCCTAACGCCGGACCGGCGCCCAAAAAGTCAAAATACTACACATCACACAGGTACTTCTTGTCAAGGTATTGGCTCCGCCGGATAGCCACGCTGAATGCCCGACATTAACGCCTCGCATTAGTTCGGCCGGTTCCCCTCGACAGCCTCCTGCCCTAGCGCGGCCTGTTTTCGCGACCGGGTGGACAATACGACATCTTCTCCTTGTCCATCACGGCAGATTTTTTCTCTCAACCTCCTCAGTGTAAGATGCAGCAGGTGGCCGTCAGGTAGCCTTGCATTCGCCAACCACCCAATGAAGATCAGTGACCGCCGCATCTTCCCAAGTTGCTGCATAGAAGAACGAGATCGCCGGGGTCGGCCTCCGGAAAGGCTCTCTCAGGTTCTCCGCACCTGCGCACTGTCCCCAGGTAATAAGCGTCTCTCCAGCATGAAGTACAAATCACGCAGTCGTGATACAGAGTACATACAATGAATGGCCTTTATTACCAGCGCCAGGCTGTCACATATCAGTCGCATGGCCAAGTTCTATAAATACAGTCTTTCCATGCTCGTTTTTCTTCTCTTGAAGTGATAACTACGGAGTAAGGCTAGTCCACTTGCAGTTTATTGTTGGATAGTTTGTGGATGGCAGGGTCAGGGTTTGTCGCGCAGCCATCTCGGATGCTTCCCCTCCACCAGCTCGAATAGTGCGAATAGTGAAGCAGTAAGTCAGCCACATGCTGCAACCGCCCACGCTAGCCATGGCATGTAATATCTCGCTCTCCTCCAGATTGACTAACTGATGGTGGTTATCGGTACTCAGTATTCTGTTTGCATTTGATCCATCGCCGAAACTGCGGTCAAGGGACAATTAGCGCTTCGATTGCCCTCTCCAAGTTACTGACTAGTACGGAGCACTGCTGACCTCTCTTGCAGATTCTCTGAACCCTAGATTGCCAAACCTGCATAGAGCGCCAGTAAGCCAAGAAAAGCATGTTCCACGTTTTTCTCGTTGGGGGCCACACTTCCTACCTGCAGCCCAATCACACCCGAACATCGGCAGCTCCGTCGTTGCAATCACATCCAGCCGTCCGGCAGGGGGGAATTCGACCGTAAAAAGCCACAATCATGCAAAGCGGTCTAAGATATTGCTGAGCGGTCAAAACAGTACTTTTTACCACCATGACAAGTATATGGCGGAAATAGTGCCGTGCTGGCACGGGATGCTCTGGGTTCCTTCCCTTCGCCAGGTCAGACTAGTTCGTATACACCGCCTACAGACGGGAAGATCTTGAACTGCCAACATTTTTACCCTCGTATGTTGAACATGCACCTCTCACCCAACCGTACGTCGTCAACAACACAGCAACGTCTTACCTAAGTGACACCGGGCTAGCTCAACGCCTGTCCGGCGGGCGCCTTCCGCGTGTGGGTTGCCAGCCTTCCTCGTTTTGTTTGCTTTTTCCTGCTTTACAATGACGCCACTGGTGGAAATGATAGAAATCCGGTGTAAGTAATGCAGACAAGGCTAATTCGTACGAATTACGGAGTGGTTTGCGGGTTCGTTGATGAGGGCACTTTTGTAACCCATGATGGGGGACATTTCGGCCAGCATGGCAGAACCCCAAAGACCCGGAGTAGCTACAGGATAGGACAACGACTTGCACTGGGCGACGTTTGCCAACAGTCAGTCATATGTCGCGATACTTTCAGAATCTCCTCCGAAATTAGCCATGAATCCATCCTTGTTTTCATTTTTTTCGATTTACACTCTCCATATTACTCATGATATGTAAGTGTTAACGCCATTTTGCAGCTATGAAGCCATAACAACCCGGCGGTTGATGACGAGAGTCTAGAATTTTGAGAAAGATTAGATAAAAAACACTTACTCTAGTCAATTGATAGTTGAATATCCTTGAAAGGTATTCAGTAAACTTCTGGCTTACTATTACATCTTCTTTGCACTCCTCCCAGTATGAGGACAAGAATTTCACACTCATACGACAGCTTCCCAGAGAATGAAAAGCCCATCAAGGAGCTGCTACTTCGAAGCAACGCCAAAAGCCTTGAGATCGGATGGAAAGAAGAAAGGTGCAAATTGCATAAGAGGTTAGGCATGCGCGACCTCTCCTCTCCGTCACATACGACGTTGGTGGCTTCTCATGAGAGGGCAATGCCGTTGCTGTCCGAACAATGACGCGACACATTCGCCAAAAGTCACGCCCCAGAGCTCTAAAACTCGATTCACGATAATGGCCTCCAAGGATGGATCTCAAAACCTGATCAAAGTCCGTGAGATTTGGCTTTTGGTAAATCGTGACGACCCGGCGCGTGCCATGCCGTAAAGGTCGTTGTCATGGCCTTAATGACTCTGACACACTGGGCTTTTCCTGACTAGAAAGCGCTTACCAAACCCGAAGGTGATACAAAACTGCTCAGTTTGTAGCTCATGGTACTAGGGAGGATCTTTGTCTGCGGCGACTCTGGCACCTCATTTGCGCGCGATTGTATCGCAAGATACACCCCCCCCGGTCCCCAGGCGAGCAAGCAAAGCATGACCAGCCGGGCGACTCCTTTACCAAGACCATGGCGAAGGTTGCGACCAAAACACGAAGGGTCCCAATTCTCCCGAGTCATCTCCCGGAGGTCCATGTCGGCGCACACGAGGCGGAATGCGGACTCGCCTGGTGGTCATGGTCTCACGCTGACAGTTGACGGCTACGAGAAGAAGCAATGACGGACTGCCTCGGAGTTTCGCGCATGCTCCTGGACCATGAGCGCGGATTTACATCAGTTTCCGCTGATCTGCCGCAGACCCAGTCGGCGTAAGCTTGGACTGTCATCACGGAAGTCCATGGATGTTTGGCCCAAGGTCTGCCCCATCGATTCACAATATGGCAACGTCACTATGCCCTCACCCATTCAGTCCCGCAGCAACTACAAGCAGAGGCCCTTGCTGAAACATTTCAAATCGGAAAAGTCCAACTGCCTTACTCGAAGCGGCCGGCAACTTTTTTGACGATTTTCTGCTACATACGCAGACGCGAGTTGGCAGAGGTAGCCGGCGAGGTGAGCAACCCCTCTCTCTGCTGGGCTTGTCCCGTCAAAAAATGCCTGCCACTGAGCGCTTTGAAGAAGAAAGCAGAAAGTGAGCGCGAAAAGAAAAATACCAGACACATTTCGTGAGTCCTTGAGGAGGAATAGGCTCTCAACGGTTTGGCCTGTGGACTGCTCATCTCCGTGTACCCGACCCTCACCGACCCCCCTTCGACGGCCCCAAGCTGCCTCGATTAAAGTAACTGCCTGAAGCAGGACTGCTGTGTAAGTCTGAACAAGGACTATGCGAGAAACGCTCCAGCCAAAAGGATTCGGGACACACGCACAAAGTGCCCTTGGTGATCGGTCCCGCGGTTCAGGATCAAGCACACGCCGGTTGCCGGCCTGCCCTGGGGGCTCGCCGTGCGCCGGTCGACATTCGTCGGGACTTTGCGTCCCCTCTTCCGCGAAACGGTAAAAGTAAAACGCCGACAGGAATAGACTCATGTGGGATGTGCTTGTTTGTCTCTGTTGTTGCCAGTTGTTCCCAGGGACTGGTCGGCGAGCAGCTAGCCGACGACGGAAACGCGCAACGAACCTTGCTTCATCCGGGCTCGGCGAGTTTCGGACCCGCCTTGAAGAGGCAACTGCACCCTCCTCTGCTGGGGTCGATGAGCGTTGCTTTCACGCGGCCGGTGCTGCAAAGCAAGACTGGGCCCGGTCGCGAGGCTGTTGGCTACGCAGGCGCCGACTTGGAGCTCGAACAGCTCCCTCACCAATCACGAGCTTGTGTCAAGCGGTGCATCAAGTATCTAGCGAGCAATAGTATCGTGTATTGGCGGGACGAGATTGCAACGCACCGAATGATGTAGCCTCCACTCCGCGACGATGTCGGTGGCGACGTGTATTTGCTGAGATGATGGGTCGGGCAAGTGCCCACACGAGCCCACGCGTAAATCCACGGTTGTATCAGAGATGGCATCTGAATATTCACGCTACAAGTCACGCTTATTGGTACTGTTGTTCGGAGAGTAACATATGGGTATTGGAAAGTACTAAGCTAAAAAGTCTATCCATAGCTGGAGACTGTGAAATAGAGGGGGTATCCGAAAACGACGCATCCAATGCGTGTATATGTGTGTGTGTGAACATGACAATAAAGCAGACCCAAATATTCCTGATTGTCGTTGACAATCCACAGTGTGCTGTACTGTTGTATTATGATGATGATGATGAGTTCAAAATAAGAAAATGCAATGCTCGCTCAGACGCTGGCTGACAGGCTAGGTAATGTCATAGAGTAAGAAATAGAAAAAGCATGTGAGTAAATGGTTATTTCCGTCCAAGGGAGATAAGAGATGAACAAGAAGAGAAGATGGGCGCCACCAGCCGAGGCAGATTGGCCTGTGATGAGGACAAGCTTCAGCTGGGGTAGGAAGAGAAAGGTTGGGGAAGGTCAAAGTGCGGCTCTGCGCAGGCCCGGGTGGCGATTGACATGTGGCAGCGAGATCCTGAATGTGAAGATGATCGATCCAGGGACGGAGTTTTTGGAGTAAATCGCCGTTGTTGTTTGGGGGGGGGGAGCAGGGGGGGGTAAAAGGCCGAATCCTCGGTCGGAATCTCCGCTGCCCTTTTGGGTTCCGACAGGTCCCGGTTCCACATGCCAAAGTGTTTGAGACCTTGATTTGGTAGTGGCCCCCACTATGGATGAGGTACCTGGTACTCTCCCGTTTGCTTCCGAACCAACGGGCGCAGGCGCTCCGAATACTTCCCTGTTGGTCGCTTGCGCCCTGCGCTTGCATGCAAGGCGGCTGCCATGACTGCTATCCGGCATTTCGCATGCGGCTTTTCATTTCGGATCAAGTAGTCGTGCAAAAGAAAGAGCCGAGATAGATGCATCGTGGTTGGCCGTGGCGGGGGGGCAGTCGTGAAATAAGCTTTCCCTGGGGGGGCGTCTGTGTGGCGTGTCCTTTTGACATGTGCTCACACCTTGTTGTTTGGTTCAGGCCTCTTTTGGGGCGTGATTGTGTTTTGCACACCCAAGCTTAGGCTCTCGGCACGCGTGCAAGCTTCACTCGTCGGCCTCGGTGATGGGAGCCATCAAGCTGCTCCGCGCCTTGCCGCTGGTGCTCTTCTTCGAGGGCACCGCCGGGCGACGGCTCTTCTGTTGTTGTCTGCGGCGCTCCTTCTCCTGCTGCACCATGCGGAGCAGGTCCTTGCGCATGTTGAGGCGTCGGCGCTGCGTCTCGAGGATCTCGGCCTCGCTGGGCGCCAGCTGGCGCGCCGGCGAGGCGAGCACCAGGCCGAGCGTGGGCGGCGAGGCGCTGCCCGCGCTGCTCGACACGCTGCGGCTGTCCTCGGCCTCGCTGCCGCTGCTGCGGTCGTCGTCCAGGAAGAGGTCGTCGTCGGAGAGGTAGGAGCTGGCGGGGGGTTCGTAGGAGGCGTCGGCGCTGCGGCCGCTGAGGGATGAGCGGCGCGGCCACGAGGGGAAGGCGCAGGATTCGTCGCGGGAGGTGACGCTGGTGTAGATGTTGATGGGGCCCGAGCCGCCGAGGCTCATGGAGCTGTATGAACCAAATGAACCGTACATGGTTGCAGGTGGTATGTGATGTGTGTGTTGTATGTCGTGTAGTTGATGTATGTGTATATATGGTGCTGGCAGAAGCCAACGGTCGGGTGTCGAGTATGATCAGTGGCGTTGGTGTTGTGTATGATCTGGGGTTCAAGTCAAGAGTCGGGATGGGAGGACGAGATATAAGAAGACTGTTGCGGCTGTCGCTTGGGTATTATGTCTTGTTTGGGGGTCGGCGGATTACCGTTCGTGAGGAAGATGAGCGGGAGCGTGGTAGGGCTTATAATAAGACACAGCCAGGAGACCGCCTCTTTGGCTTGTGCTTCTGGCTTGTGAGCCTGGGGAAGGGGGGTGTGGATAGTTCGGTTGTGGGTGGTGGTGGTGGTGACTGGGCCACGGTTGTACGGGTATTCGTACTGTTGTACGAGTAAGCACAGCCGGGGCTTATTGACTTGGGCTGTGGCAATTAAGTTACCAAGCCTGGGCCGAGGGGGGGGGGGGTTTGGCTTCCGTTGCAAGGGCCGGGGTAAGAAAGCTTGCTGGCTTGCTTGCTGGCTTGCTCGCTTGCTTGCCTGCTTGCTTCTTTTTCTTCTCTCACAAGCTGGCTGGCCTCGGTCGCGACTTTGCCCGGGTGTCGGAAGTATGGATCCGGTAAATTTGTCTTGCTCGAGCGAAATTATTCCAAGGGAATTCGGGTTCTCGAATGTCAAAGCTGCGGGCAACCTGAATGTCTACTTTGTCATGTCTTTGCCAGGTTTCGTTCCCGACCGCGGGTATTCTGCTCTGCACGGTGCCGATGAGTCAGGCTGATGTTATCGGCGGTGTTGGCAATAAGGCCGCAGTAGGCTGGCAGTAGGCTGGCAGGCTGGCAGGCTGGCAGGCTGGCAGGCTGGCACCCAAGCTGGTGGTGTCGGTGTACACACTCAGCGCTTGTGGTACCAGTGATAATAAAGGTAGAGAATGTCGTAATCAGCAATCAGTCCTCGGCAGGATGGGGGATAAGCAATATCGGCGTGTGCGAAATGGAGGGAGGATGAACGAAGGAGCTGATACACAGAAACGGCAACGTCGGACAAAAGTTACATATTGTCGTAAAAAGGACAAGTCCTGATTTCATTTCTATTAATACGTGGTACGAAAAGGTATCACCGCTTAATACAAGACAAGTACAAGACGACGGACGGACGGGGGAGCAAAGGGGAAACAAGCAGGCCCTCACGAAAACGGCGCAATGGGCGTGGCACCGACCGGGCGCAAAAGTGAATCTGCATTTTTCGGCGGTTGATTGAGCAGAGAGACAATATGACTTTGAATGGGAGGGAGGGTGTGAGTGTAGCAACCGGAACCGTATTGTTGGTGTGAAGCGCTGTTGAAGCTGCCTCTTTGGGCACCTTCTCCTTCTCGAGGGGTGTGGGTGTAGAGTAGAATCCCGCATTCGCTTGCTTCGTGAAGAATGCTGGAAAAGTCAACGAAACTTGTTACCGCCTTTGTTGCAGAGCAAAGCAAAGCAAGGCAAGGCAAGGCAAAGCGAAAAGCCAGAATACCCTGCGCCTGTACCTGTGCAGTGCCGCTGCGCAACAACCTGACCGACCTGCCGACCGCTTTTACGTACAGTACATACATACTACCTCCCTACATAGGTAGGTAGGTACCTACTTACTTACCTACATGAGGCAGGAACTGTAGGTACACCTGCAAGCCGCCTGTCGCAGCGCCATACATGAGTCGCTGCAGCGGAATGCATCTTCCCTGACCGCTCTGTCCTCTTTTCTCTTACCAAGCGCATCTCGATTGCGACTTTGTTTCTTGTAAAATTTTCTCTCATTACTCAATACCAACTACCAGCGCCATCCCCAAGGGTTTCCCTTGCTTCATCTTTAACAGGGTGTGCACGGTTGGGCACAAGCAAAAAAGAAATGTTTCGGGTGCTTCGACCTTGGTACGCGGGCGGCTTGGTTCCCCTGCAGAAACATGGAAACGGCAGACAAGGACTCCTTGCTCCCCGGTGCAGCTAGCTTATCACGATCTTCTCTCTCTCCCTACATAGCTAGTTTTTAGCAGAGGCCAAGAGCATCCGGTGGTTCGGCTCGCGTTGCTCCTGATAGTTATGTGCCAACACCACCAGCTGGGCTCCCGACACGGCGGGCTGCGACCGCAAGAGGACACAATATGCCCTTCACCGACGATCCTATGGGAATGCCCGTGTAATTATATCCCGCCGAGCCTGCCGCTGATGACGAGCCACACACGCACGCATACACACACACACCTACCTGCTTGTCCTCTCCCAGGCTGAAATGGCAAAAAGGCTGGCTGCCTGTGTGTGATGTTGGTGGCGCCAATATGTAGGCTGTGAAGCCTGGGCAGGTTATTGGCGAGCCCAGCCAGCAAGCAATAGACGAGAAGGTAGCATTCTTGCCCGTGGACGGGAACGAACGAGGCCACCACCATCCTTCACCTCGAAATGTCTCCGGCACCCGCGGAGGAAGAAGCGGAAAGGAAATAAACATCATCGCCCGGCTGATGCTTCTCTTCTCTTCACCGTTGCATACGGCTCCATGACGGGCCGGAGGGCCACGGGCCGCCGGAGAAGGGAAAAAGGATGGATATGGATGGGGGATGGAGCTTCTGCTAACGAATTTTGGGCTGGATGGCGGCATTTCTGGCACTCGCTCTCTGACGGTCAAAGATTCACCGCTCTGTCCTGTCTGTCCGAGTTGGCTGGCTGTGCACTCAACCACCACCCCCCCCCCCCCCCTAGCACACACGCCCTGGCAGAGCGCGCGCTCTCTGCAGCCACTGCCGTGACCTACTTCCGTACCTACATAACAAAGTAGGTAGATAAAGCATGACTCGACGCCCGTTGTCCTGCTTCAGCGCCCAACCCGTTCCGTTGGTACCGCCCGCAGGCTGCTTTGATGTTGTCGCTCCGATCGATGGGTGGGCTGGGCTGGCAGTTATTAGTCTAGATGGCGCGCGCGCAAAGACGGGCCGCTGTTTCGCTTTTCGCCCTGCATCATCAGAGCGCGCCGCCGTGGCTTTTGGCGGTAAGGATAAGAGGAGCGGGAGTTGAACAAGAGAGGTCAACGAGCGGGACAACTACTTGTTCAAACCAAAAAGAAAAAAAGGGAAAAAAAAAATAAAGTCAGACAAAATCCCTCGGCTGCTGAGGTTCCCGGTCTTCCGGAATGACTGGCATGGATCCCGCCGAGTTCGAGACGATTTTTCCACAGTGGTGATTGTCTAATATCCAGTCGTGCCAGTCTACCGGGATTTCCATCCTTGGTTCCCTCTTTTTTTTTTTCTTTTTTTTTTCTCCTCCCTTTGTTTACTCGTTATTTCGTACATGATCTGTCCCATCTGATAGATCGAATAGGACAAGCCTTAGCTCGGTCGAGTCAACATCATCATTTATTGAACAAAAAGGGGGACAGGCAAAAATTGGATGCGAGACGGGAAACTAGCAAGCAAGCAAGCAAGCAAAGCGACAAAAAATAGCTCCAGAAGCAATCTTGCCGTCCGTCCATCAAGGCCAACGTTTGCTCCCGTGGCAGCGTCGGGATACTGCATCCTGTCTCAGGTGGCGAGATGCGGCCGCGATACACAACAGAGAGGTACGGGGGTACGGGGGTACGGGGGTACTTGCATGTCACGTCCATCGTATCTTGCTTCTTCCCTGCGATAACCATTTGCCAGTACGGATAGTCGTTGGCATCTGGTCTTGTGCTGCCTTGGCCTGGAGATGCCGAATCAAAGATCCCTCTTCCGTCTTGGTTTATTTCAAGCGCGCCCAACGTCACGTCATGTCGTGTCTGTCGATAATTCGCCATCCAACTGCTACGCGCCGAACTCGTGACGACAGCGGTGACGACCAAGTGATAGCTACCTACCTAGATAATGGCTGCGCTGCTTTGTCACTCGTCCCGGTCATCGGCCAACCACATGCATGTGTCGGTGACGACGAGTCTGGTTGGCCAGCAAAGACGGACGTCGCATTCGCCCATCCTATCGCATCCCAAGGTGTCGCGCCGCCCAGCAGCAGGCACCGAGCCCAGCCAGCCAGCCAGCCATCCAGCCATCCAGCGTTGCCACCGCCTGTATGACTCCTTCACGTCACACGTATCGCACCCCCCCCCCGCCCTCCTATTCCCATTTGTTCACATTCAACTGCGCCTTGGGGGGAAATGGGAAAAATGGTTGAGAGGGCGCTCGCTGGCCGCTCTTTCACTAGGCTTTCCCAGGCTGGCGCGGGCTGCCGCCTTGCGGGCGGGCTGAGCATGGTTACGGCATGGTTACGGGCCATCTAGCGGCCCATGTAACGTTTTCAAAAGCTTCTTGTCCCACGGGGTAATTATGCAACAAATTCAGAGTAATCTGTTAGTGGTTCATCAGCAATAATAAGCTGGGGCCAGCCAACGTTGGAATCCTGGGGTTCGAGATTGCCTTGTGAAACTCGCAAACGTTGCATGTCTTTCTCAACCGTGAGTACATGAAAATAATCTCCCTATTTTAAGAACAAATAAAACAAGATGAAATAGGAAATCTGCGCCCGTCTTTTTCTCAACCTTGGGGATCTGTCTGACAACTCAACCCGCCATCGCTCACCACGATGAGATCTCAAAATGCTGCCTTGTTACGTGAACGGGCCGGGCCCGCCCGTGGCTCGACAAGAGACAAACTTTGCCCGCAGAGAAAACCCATGCGCCCCGGGTTTTCCGGGTTTCCAGAAGGGGATGTTGTTACGGAGTATTCTAAAAACAGTGAGCACCGCGGCTTGAACAGAGAACGCCCAGTGCGTCGCGGCGCTTGCTCATGGTTCGTCCGTACGCGAGACGGCGCATGTGTTGGGTCCGACTACCTAGTAAGAGAACGGGGTTGACGTTCTGTAACATGCCGACCCGGCGTCATGGCTGATGCATCGCCGGCTTCTAGGACGAGAACAGACGTTCCATTTCCACGAGTGCTGGCCAGCGGCACGGCGTAGAGAATCAGTCTCGCGGTGTACGGCACGGCCGATGGCATCTCCGAGTTGGAGACCGCGGACCGGGGTAGTCTGGCATGCGCCCGCGGCAGAATCGTGGCTGGCTTGTCAATATCGCCCTTCACCTTCTTGGTTGCCCGGGTCGGCAACCCGGAGTGCCTATTTTGAGAACGGGCGCAATATATGAAGGCACCTCGACTTACTCCGTGCAAGACAACAGCATTACCCCTGAGCTTTTTAATCAGCAGAGAAACGCCAAGACGATTCTGGATCTTCTCTCAATTAATTGAATACGAGCAGTACGGAGCCGAACGGATGATTGGCGGCGTGTCCTGTGTTGGTTGGTTGGTTCTCCAGGCTCTATTTTTTTTTCCCAAATTTCAGATTTTTAAATGAGCGCGTCTGCAATCGCGATTCAGCAGAGAGCCGTGGCAGTCACTCGGCCGGGCGACTTTTTGGATCGTCCCTGCTGCGGCTTCGATCAGCGCATGGCCGTGTTAACCACCGAGCGGTGCTCGACATGCTTTCCAGGGACAACCGACACCAGAGTCTGCAATTGCACACTTCTATACGTTTGCAGAGACTTTCATTTTAGCTATTTAGCCTTGTAGTTCCGTGTGTCTGCCTTGACAGTGTTTTGAGATGTACTTGGTGTAAAGACGCAGAGTCGGAAAGCGTGTCCGCTGCAGTGGAGGAGGAAGAATGGCAGGAGCGCCTCGCTGCGGGTGCCTCAGCATTCTGCGATAAACAAATGAAACACGCATCCTCCATCTCTTCAGAATCAAAATAACTTCAGCTCATTTTTATCACTTTTCCTCGTTGAAAACTCGTCCAATTGGCGATTACACCAGCCTCGAGGTGCACACTCTGGGTAAGAGGCCGCTGCCCGTGACAAGATCAAGACATTCCTTGGTACAGAGCATCTAGAGAGATGATACCTAGAATACTGCGCAAAATATTCGGACGAAAGACGACAGAAGCCCCCGAAGGTTTAGGTGTTCCTGATGTTGCGCTTCCGGAGGGCTTCGCGCTCGTCCACGCCACGGAAAAGCTGTCTGCCTGGCGGCAAGCTTCAAGCGACCCGACCAACGACCTCTTTGCCTTCAATCCCCCCAACGTCGTAAGTCTGGTGGGCATGCCGCTGTGGCAGGAGCTACAGGAGAACCTGGACTTGGTGCAGTACCAGCGCCTGGTGATCGATGAGAGGTGGGACGAGATTGTTGGCTATGCCTACTGCGTGCCCTTCTTTTGTCCCGGGCTGGCCATGGTCTTGGACTGTGCCGCGACCGATGCTCCTCTTCGGCCGGTCGATCTGGTCCGGAGATGGGCCGTGTTCGGGCTTCCCGACGGCGGCTTGGGCACCATGCTATTCCGCGGAGTCCGGCAGGCCTTTGCGCGCTCAGGAAAGGCAGCCATGGCCAAACACGCACCTTGGACCGAGGACCAGACGCAAGAGCTTGCAACAGGGATCGCTACCTTGTCCCAGACGCCCAACGCCCTCTGCGGCATCCACGTGGCGGTCAAGCCCGGCTTCCATCACCAAGGCATCGCTGAGGTTCTTCTGGACAGCTTCAAGTCGATCGCTCGGGAGCGAGACCTTGCCACGGTTGTCTTCCCTGTTTCCCTCACGAATCGAAGCTTGTTCGACACATCGTTTCGGGAATACTTCCACTGGTCCAAGGACAACCCGTACCGGTCCAATCTGTCGTGGCTGGTCGATGATACCCCTCACCAGCGGATGGACAGGAATGGAAAGCCTGTGATGCCGTTTGACCCATGGCTGAGAACGCACCTTGAGCGAGGCGGAAATCTGGTCAAGGTTGCTTCCCACAGCATGCAGACGTCGCTGCCGGTGGATAAGTGGATGCCCTTCATGAAAAAGGCCTACAAATACTCCCAGCCCAACGATGCGGCTTACCCCTGGCAGGCTGATGGCGACGTGGATGGAAGCAAGCTGGATGGCATATCACCAGCACCAGGTCTCCCGGAGCCGCTCAAATGGAACCAGGACAAGAAGCTCCTCGAGTACAAGGACAAAGATGTATGGATTCTTCATGGGGTGTGATGATGCAATTTCGAGCATCTACACTTGACGGAACACTAATAGCGACAAACTAGAATATGAAATAGCGTCTATTTGTACAAACTCGAGCGATTTTCCTTCTTTCATTTTCAATACGAATCACCTTGAACCATGATATTAATGCCCGGCTTTCAGGGTACAGACAAGTCTCCTCTGTGCACCAAGTTGCATTTTCCACATGGTGATGCTTTGCGTATTATCTAAGCTGGATACGCAACGCAAGGGATACGTCCAAGCGAAGTCCGGTTATTGCCGAGCTCATTGCCTGCAGAACTGGAATGTGCGCGGCATCCATCAGTGCCTAGCGAGATGAGGCCCTCCCTGCAGCGACTTACACAGTGCTGCAGCACTGCCGTTCGCTGGCGGGGTGCGCAAGAGAAGCAAACCCAGATTTACCGCATTGTCCTTCCTACTTTGTCACTTCCCTCCAAGATAACTCACAAGGTGTGAAGGAATCCATCTCCATGCGCCGCATGGATACGGGGTGGTGGTGGCAGGCTCTCTTATCTAGCCGCAGAGGATGGGCAAGACGGCTCCTCGTTGCACTGCACCCACCACATGCAATATAATCATCGCTTATACACTGCTGCGGCAACCCGACCTGAGACAGTCGAGCCATGGTAGACGGCTGCCCAACAGCCTGCCAATCATGCCCCGGGCTTGGAAATTGCCGCGTCTGGGGATCATGACTCCTCCTCTTCCTCTTCACAGGGGCCCCATCACCATCCAACTAATCAATTACGCTTTCTTCCCACGGATAGGGCCACAGTTGTCATAAACTACTGATCTCGGTCATTTCCATCGGACAGCATGTCCTCAGTCAAAGGCCACGCGCCTCCTCCGACGGAGACTAGCCTTCTGCTACTCCCCGATCCTCCCACGCCCGGTCCTCCTCACGATCCCGCCAAGGGTCCCCCTCGGCCCTTCCCCACGACGCAGATCCTGCTCCTCTGCTACGCGCGCCTCATGGAGCCCGTCGCCTTCTTCTCCATCTTCCCGTACATCGCCGCCATGGTGCGCTCCCGCGCGCGCCTCCCCTCCGCCGCCTCCGTCGGCTTCTACGCCGGTCTCGTCGAGGCCGTCTTCTCCGTCGCCCAGTCCCTCGCGCTGCTGCCCTGGGGCGCCCTCGCCGACCGCCTCGGCCGCCGGCCCGCCCTCCTCGCCTGCCTCACCGGCATGGCCCTCGGCCCCGCCCTGTTCGGCCTCTCCGCAAACCTGTGGCAGATGCTGGCGTTCCGCGCGCTGACCGGCGCGTTCTCCGGGGCGAACCTGATCATCCGCACGATGATCGCGGAGCTGTCCGAGGGTGTCGGCGGCGGCAGCGGGGCGCAGGCGAGGGCATTTTCGTGGTACGCGATTGCGGGGAACTTGGGAGTTGTCTGCGGGCCGGTCATCGGCGGCGCGCTGGTCGACCCCCCCTCCGAGCTCCTCGGACGCGTCCCTTTCTTCGAGACGCACCCGTACGCGCTGCCGGGCTTCGTCGTCGGCGGCCTGGGCATGACGGCGCTCATCAGCTCCTTTCTGTTCCTCGAGGAGACGTGGGACGACCCTTCCTCCTGCCTGTCGTCCGCCTCCTCTTCCTCCTCCTCCTCCTCCGACCAGGAACGCGAGGCGATGACCACGGCGCAGCTCTTGAAGGACCGTAGGGTGCTACCCGTGCTCGGCGTCTTCACCTACGTCATGGCGCTCTCGTACGCGTTCAACTCCGTGCTCCCGGTCTACCTGTACACGCCCGTGGCCCTCGGCGGCGCCGGCTTCGCGCCCGCCTCCATCACCGCGTACATGACCACCATGGGCGCCAGCACGGCCGCCTGGATGCTGCTCGCATTCCCGCCCCTCCAGCGGCGGTTCCAGACGAGGGGGGTCCTGCGGCTCTGCGCCTACGCCTGGCCCATCTTCCTAGCCGGGTACGTGCTGATGAGCGCCGCCCTGCGCGCGGGGGACGAGGCCTTGTCCTGGGTCGCCTGGACGGCGAACCTGGCGCTCGGCTCGGGCATCTGGATGGCCTTCTCGGGCGTGCAGCTGGCGGTCAACGAGGCGAGCCCGAGTCGGAGGGTTCTGGGCAAGGTCAACTCGATGGCGGAGATTTGCGCGAGCGTGAGCAGAACCCTGGCGCCACCGCCGTCCACGTCGCTGTTTGCCGTGGGGGTCGGCGGCCAGATCCTGGGGGGCTACCTCGTCTGGGTCGTCATGATGGTGCTGGCACTCGGTCTACCCGTCGCCTTGCATTGGTTTCCAGCTGTCAAGGCCCGGCTATGAGTGCTTCGGCGAGACATCAACCAGACCCCCCACTGATCATGTACTTCGTAAGTGGCGTGCTCTAGCGGCGTGGAGTTGTACCCGGGGGGGCAGTGCCGGCAACTAACAAGGCAGTCAGTCTGTTGATTAGAGTTCCCAGCGGCAAGTTAAAGACCAAGGCAAGCAACAAGGAATTCGGCCCGAAGGCTGGTGTACAGGGTAAAGTGGGAAGTTGATCGCCAGCCACTGATGGGATGCGGGGTGTAGAGTGCGGAGTTCGGAGTGGTGACGACTTACAAAAGTAGCAGAGCAGCCGCTTGCATGGCTGGCAAGGGTTTAAATTATACAAATTCTGAAAATACACCAACTCACTTGGCAACATGGAAATTGTAACAATGACCCGTCTGGCTACTTTATTATTTTCCCTTGTCGGGATAGCGGTGGCAGCCAATTCCTCTTGCCAGGCTACCGCCTTGCATCTGCCGGACCCACCCTACGATAACTACTTTTTCTCAGACTGCCATGTTGATGCTCAGGTTGTCATCACCAGCCCTCTGCCGGACAGCAATCTCACTATTATCGGGCCGCGCCTGATAATTGCCTGGCCCGGCGGTAATAGCGGCGCCTGCGCCTTCTTTGCACCACAGAGCGGCCAGAACGGTAGTCTGGCCATCGAGCTCGTCAACTCCACCCTCGGATCTCCCCTGTCGTCGGCGCTTGCCGCGCAGAATGCCTCGTCAACCATCCCTACTACCGGCGTGGAGGGCGTCTTGTCCTTCAATGACTCTGCTTCTCTTTCGCTCGCCATCCTCGGCAGCGTCCGCACCATCCGCGATTTCGTTGAGGGCCCCAGTCTCCTCGTCCCCCTGATCCAGGATGCCGTCAAGGTCCAGCGCTTCAACGGCACCGGTGCCCAGATTTCTCGCCTGTGGCTGGACAACGTCACCACCACGACTCTCACACTGTCGCCCTGGCAGAACACCGACGGCCAGATTCACGTCGACAACAAGACCGTCTCCTTCGGCGCCGGCTTCTATCGCTTCTCCGCAACCTACAACTATCCACAGCTCAAGCAACTCACTCCAAATGAAATCCTTCGTAACGAATCGCTATCGCTTGTCAAGACGCAGTCCGAGCAGGTCGAAGCGCTATCTTTCTTCTCGTACTCTGACAAGCTTCTTGCTGGTGGGTGGCGCTTCCTTACCTACTTTGGAAGAGACAGCATGATTTTCGCACTCTTGACGCAGCCAATCTTGAAGACTGGCGCCGGCTCGGCGATGGAGGCTGCTCTCGGAGCAGCGCTCGAGCGCATCAACCAGACAGATGGGACCGTCGCCCACGAGGAGACAATTGGCGACTATGCTACATACACCAATAGGCAAAACGGAATCTTCAACTCAACCGCCGCCGGATTTACCTACCAGATGATCGACACCGACTACTACCTGCCCATTCTCATGGACAGGTATTTCCGAGCGTCTCCCGACCGTGTGAAGCCACTACTGCAGACTGCGGCCGGCGCGGTCAATGTCGCGAACAAGAACATGACCTGGGGAGACTTGGGACACAGGCTTGCCTCGAAAATCATGAACATCACCGCGGCATTTGAAAAGGAGCAGACAGCATCAAATCTGATTCACCTGCTGGATGGTGTTCCTGTAGGACAGTGGCGAGACTCAGAGCATGGTCTTGCAAACGGCCGCATTCCATTCGACGTCAACTGTGCGTTGGTGCCAGCCGCCCTGCGCGCCATTGCCAGCCTGTCGGCCATGTCCGGTGTCTTCCCCGATAGCGATGCGCGGACGTGGCAGGCAGCGGCGGGCAAGCGAGCAGACATGTGGCAAAACAGCACACTGGCCTTGTTCCGATACAGCGACTCCGTGACCAACAGCACCGCCCTGCTGGACAACTACACGAAGGACAATACCTTCTACCACGGTCCCACGCACGCTGATTCCCTGGCGCAATACTCGTCCAACGGATCCATCGTCGACTATGGGCTCGCCCTGCCCAGCGCCAACGACTCGACCCCCATCCGCATCACGCACACCGACACGGCGTTCCGCAACGTGCTCCTCTTCAACACGACAGGCGACGACGACTCCCAGCTGACCGAGTACGTCAACTCCACCGCCAACGCGATCCTGCGACCCTTTCCAGCCGGCCTCACGACCCCGTTCGGCGCCGTCGTGGCGAACCCGGCGCTGTCGGGCAACGCCACGCTCGTCGCCAACTTTACCAACTCGGCGTATCATGGCACAGTCGTCTGGGGATGGCAGCTCGCGCTCGTCGCCAAGGGCTTCGAGCTGCAGCTGGGACGATGCAGCAACACCACCAACGCCACCGGTCAGGCGAGGCGGTCGGTCGCCAAGGTGCCTGCGTTCTGTCGTGATGGATCTGTGTATGGTGCTCTGAAGGCGGCCTACAATCGCATATGGGACGTGATTGAGGAGAACCAGGGCACGCTGCAGTCCGAGGTCTGGAGCTGGACCTACGCCAGCAACACGACTGCCGGCAATTCAACTAGTTCAAGCAACTCGACCGGCAGCGGCAACTCGACAGGCAATGGTCACAATTCCACCGATCGGGACGGGTTCACATTCTCGCCGCTCGGCGTGCTGCCCCCGCCACCAGGTGTGGCAGGTGGCACGGAGAGCGATGTGAGGCAGCTCTGGAGCTTGGTCTTCCTTGCCATGAGTCGCGATTCCAAGTACAAATATTGAAGAAACAAATACTCAACAACATGAGAGTGCGGCATCTCTCGGCGACCGGTCCCAGCTGGCGCGAGAATCGTACGATCCGTTTCACGACACCCCCGCCACGCCAAGACCTTCTTGCTCCGATCCGCTGCGGCATCTCTCGGCGACCGGTCCCAGCTGGCGCGAGAATCGTACGGTCCGTTTCACGACACCCCCGCCACGCCAAGATCTCCTTGCTCCGATCCGCTGCTCCTAATTCCGTAGTAGGACCTCTCCTATCAGATGACCCGGATCCCGTAACGGTCGGGCGCCGCCGTGGTGCGGAGGAATGCGACTGAGGCAGGTCGTCTTGGCCTGGACGGCTTCGAATGTGCACACTGGACGAAAGGGATCTTTAGCGCTTCTCATCGCGTGTGAATACTTAGTACTGAATATCGACGGGAAACGTTTTCTTGCCGCTAAAGAACATGGTATCTTCCACAGTCACTAATACGCAGCCTACTATCACGACACCAGACACGAAACTGCTACAGTGAAAAGTTAAGAAGGCTTGTGAGCCAAGATTTGATCCGCTTATCGCCGCTCAATATAAACACCTGAAGACATTTCAAACGATGAACAGATGCTTCCTTGTCGCAGCTTGCGGACAGGCGGATTGCAGTTCGTGATGCTCGTCGATTACTGCATCGTCCCCGTCGGCGCGATACCTCGGCATGTCCTCTGTATTATAGTGCAACTCTCGCCTTTTACGTTTCTTGCAATTCAGTGAATGGGCAATCGAAACAGGGCACAGAGCCTCGCGGATTTTTTATTACAGAGGAGATGCCGTCCATGCAATCAATCTCCAGCCGCACAGACGCGGGCTTGGACTTGATCTCCATTTTTTGCACCGTAGACGACACGCGCCCTGAAACGGCCCATCCGTAATGAGGCAACTGCTAAAGAACTTTATTAGCGGCCGTCTTATAGTACCAGTAGTAAGTTGGTGATGAACGCTGGGGCCCCTGCTGTCGCGCGACTGTGCACGGTACGACGAGGGACGATGGCGGCTGAAGCGCAGGCTCGCTGGTGTGAGGGCATCGCGGTATAAAGATTGGGCGATGCGCTCTCGTTCTGGATCTGTTGCAACTCGGCAGACATTCATTAGAACAATACCTTTAATCAACACTCTCTTTCGATACATTCGCTTCATCAACTTATATACTTCATTAACCAACCGAAACTTCAACAATGCGCTTCTCCATCACCGCCATTTCTCTCCTCGCCGCCGTCGGTGCCGCCGCACCCGTCGAAAAGCGTGAGTAGCACCGATACCATCGCTCCCACGTCCTTGAAATATATGAACTAACTCCTTGAGCAGGCCAGCAGCAGGGCGGCAGCCTGCTCTCCGGCCTCACCAGCCTGCTCGGCAACATCGGCGGCCACACCGACCCCTCCAGCTACCCGCCCAACTCGGGCGGCTCGGGCGGCATGGTGGCGGACATGCAGGTGCTGCCGGACCACTTCAAGTACACGATGAACCCGCCGAGCGCGGAGGACCCGATCCCGGCGGCGCAGAACAGCCAGCTTCGCGAGGGGCACCGCCAGGCGCACGTGGCCATCTACAAGGGACTGGGCGGCAAGCAGTAGTTTGATGGCAAGGGAAGGTGGTCTTGTTTTCGGGGAAAGAGGGGTGTTGCTTTGGGGCAAGTGCAGATGCTAATGTAATAAGCCAGGCACCAGACGGCTTTTGGGGTGAGAAGTGACAGCATTACCAACTAGTTGCGCCATAGCTTGGACTCGCCATAGACAATATATGCATATTTCAATATGAAATGGTAATAATAGTTACTCATGAGTCATCAACTCGTTTGTAAGGCCCAAAGCATGATCACCTGTTCAATATCTGGAGGGTAGTTCTCATTAATACCATCTCGCCTAACCTTGCCGCCAACAAACGCCCGCCAACAAACACCCCCGGTATCGCAGCAACTCATTGCCCCAAACATGTATAGAGATGTCATATGACGTCCTAGTAGGGGCTATGGTGAGGCTATCAAAACTACAAGCTTCGCCGGCGGAACGCGGAGATGACACTAAAGACGTAGGGCGTGTCTAAGCCACGAAATGCTGATGTATTTAAAGTCCCCTTTGGTCGCCGATCTGGGATAATCTAGAAAGTTTTCCCTTGCCAGTTTCTCGTCGCGTCTCTCGTATTAAGAGATAGCCACCTTCCCGGCAATAGGTTACTACTTTTCGCAACTACGACTGTGTCATCTACAATGGCAGCAAGGAAACCCCAGGACTCGCTCCGTTCGCGCGTCAGAGACTTACTAGGTGGAAGAGTACGACGAGACGCATCGAATGAGACCATCCAAGGTGAGAAGGCGGCGACTGAGAAGAATGGCCTGGCAGAGCCGCCATCGTACGACGAGGTACGTGAAGCCAGCAAGACGCAGCCTTGTTTATCGCTCCGTCGTGAACTATCCTGACTCTTCGCGCTCAAGATTGCTTCGGACGATCGAAAACTAGACCCCATCGTTCGAAATACACACCACAACCACCTTCGCAGCCCTCTCGTGCGGCTACCCGATGCCCTCCTCGTCCGCCTCATGTCCGCCCTCGACCTCGACACCCTCCTGACCCTCCGCCACACCTCCCGGGACTTTATGCGTCTCTTCTCCACCGAACCCGTCTTCGCGAAGCACCACCTAGACGCCTTCCCCGAGCAGGGGCGGTGGACCTATACCGCTCTCGTCTGGGCACCACCGAGCGACGCCTTCCCGCGCCAAGCCGCCCACCGTCCCGGTTCGTGGTGCTCCGCGTGCTTGGAGAGGCACCCGGAGACGCCTTCGCTGTACTGCTCGCTGTGCAAGACCTCCTTGGAGGGTGCGTGCTTCTCCGAGTTTGCGAGGCACGAGAGTTTTACTGATGCGGACCGCATCTGCCTCGGGCACCAGCTGGCCCTGCGGGTGTGCGAGCACACGGCGCTGCACTACCAGCAGGTGCGGCACATGGGCACGCGCGGCGGCGCGATGGATCACGCCTGCCGCCCGCCGCGCAGCGTGGAAGGTCGCAGGTGCACGGCAGCGCGGTGCCGCGACGGCAAGACGGGCATCCAATGCTACAAGAGAGAAGGCTCGGGCGGCACCATGCAGCTGGAGGTCGGGTCCTCGGTGCACATCAAATTCAAGCGCCTGCCGTCGGGGAGGATGTGCCCGGCCAGCATACGTGGGGAGCTCGCGGCCGCGCGTGGGATGGGCCGCGGCGTCGGGCGCCAGTGGATGGCCGGCGGCCGGTGCTTCCCCTGGGTGGATCCGATGCGGGCGTTTGACCCGAACGTCTGCGACTGCGTGGAGTGGGTGCCCGCCGGCGCCGCGTCCGGCTCGCACGCGCGATGGCAGGCGGCGTGCGCGGCGCGACTCGGCTGTCGGGGACGACTACACGAGCGCGGCCGGCCGCTGCGCGTCGAGGCGGCACGGCTTCGACGCGGTGCGCGAGGGTGTCGAGGTCAGCGTTGACTTTGTCCGGTGTCCGGTGTACGATGACATGCTGGTGCTACGGCAGACGGTAAGCTGCCGCGTCGATCCGGAGGTGGCGTCCGGGCCGGGCTGGGGCCATCTGGCAGCCCTGGCTGCGCACCGTCCGGGGCGGGAAGGCGATTCGGAGCGGTGCGGTGACGTGTGATGGGGAGGAGTGCGCCCTGTGAAGGCTGGCAATGGATAGCACGCGATAGGATGGCGGGTTCCATGGGCAGAGTGCTCAAGCGACGTCCATTGGGATGTAGTAGGTAGACCAGTCGTTGCTTCTTGATCCACTCACTTTTTTTTTTTAAAAAAAAAAGCAGATGGAAAAAAGCTCAGAGAAAGCCTGAATGTCGAGTAGCTCTTCGCCCTAACGTCAATAAATCAGTAGCTGGCGAGTTAGCTGGCTTCAGCTCACGGATCCGGAACCCCTCCCCCGCACTTGGTGAAGTGGCGCCGTATCCTGTTCCGGCAACTCGCCGATGTCAAACAAGCTCGCAGCTCTCCTTCACAAAACAGCCCACACTCACCACCTGCACCACGCCCATCATCATTCCGTGAACCATGTCTGAACCCGATTCCAAGCGTCTCAAGACTACCGGCGACGAGCCCGAGTACGAGCTGGTCTACTGGCCCGGCATCCCCGGCCGCGGCGAGTTCGTGCGGCTGCTGTTCGAGGAGGCCGGCGTCGCCTACGCCGACCCCGCGCGCACCTCGCCCGACAAGGCCGTGGCCCAGGTCCTCGCCGCCACCGATGCCGGCGCCAACCCGCCCGTGCTCGCGGTGCCGGTCCTCAAGCACGGCGCCGTCACGCTCAGCCAGACGCCCAGCATCCTGCTGTACCTGGCGACGCGGCTCGGGCTGGCGCCGGCGGCGACGGAGACGGCGTTTTACCACCTGAACCAGGCGTGCCTGACCATCCTGGACGGCTTCTGCACCGAGGTCCATGAGACGCACCACCCGGTCGCCACGTCTCTGCACTACGAGGAACAGAAGCCCGAGGCGAAGAAGCGTGCAAAGGCGTTCATAGAGGAGCGTGCGCCCAAGTTCCTAGCCTACGTGCAGCGCCTTGTCGACTCCGGCGATGGCCCTTGGCTGCACGGTGACAGCCTGACATACGTCGACCTCGTTCTCTTCCAGGTAAGTGTACCAAAGCTCGCGAGTAGAGTTTCGTGCTGACGTAGAGGAATAAAAGTGCATCGATGGCACGTCGTACGCGTTTCCAAAGACCATGGCGCAGCTCAAGGCGTCGGGCAAGTATGACGGCGTCTTCAAGCATTACGAGGCCGTCAAGGAGCGGCCGAATATCAAGGCCTACCTGGCCAGCGAGCGACGCGCCAAGTACGGCGACGGCATCTGGCGACACTATCCGGAGCTCGAGGATACGATTGAGGTGGAGGTGACGGTGAACGAATAGCAACGATGAATCTGTCAGGACGAATTGGCGGTTTTCATCCTGTCTCATCGCTACTCTGGTCCTAACGTAGCCACCATCATAATCATACGATGGGGATGATAAAATTCATGGTAAACATAAGAAAATGGCGAGAAGGGTATAATAAGGAAAAGAAAATTATGTAAAGGAGTATTAAAAGGAGAGTGACGAGATAATAAAGTCTACCACTTTCCTCGCCACACTAGCCACATTGTGTGGCTTGTTTCTATCCAGCCCCATTCTAAGCGTCCACGCCTCTTCCACCACCCGAGTCTGTTCTCTCCATCAATTGCAGCGCCCGTCAACTTGTCATGTCGGCGGATCTATTCGCCGAGTTCAGCCAAGGGACTTCTGGCACGGCCGACAGCAGCAACTTTGGGCAAGACGCTTCCCGCTCGCCGCAGCAGTGGCCGTCTGCTCCGTCACAGCCGGCCTGGTCGGCGCAGCCAGTAGCAGCAGCGCCGCAGACGCAAAACGTCGCAGATGAGGATGACGGATGGGGCGATTTCGAGGTGGCAGAGCCCAGCGCTCTTCAGTCGAGCCAAACCGGGCAGACATATCAGCAACCGCCGCCTTCTCGGACTATAGCATGGCCAGGCTCAGCGGGGGCTCAGCACTCTCACTTGCAGGCGACGTGGGATGGATACAGCGGCAATACAGAAACTCGCTCGCAATCTACTCTGCAAAGTCAAACACACGCGTTTTCTGAGAACTCAACTGCGGGCACCGTTTGGGATGCAGGGAATGCTGAGGCGCTGCCAAAGCCCAGGAGGAAGAACCCGGTACAAACGCATGTCAACGACCCTGGAGTGCTGTTTGATGCTGCGGATTTTGAGCTAGAGGATGGGGAGTTCGAGGGCGAAAGCGACAATGAGTTTCGCGAGCTCGAAACGGGCAGACAGGCAGCTCCGGCGATCAGGCCTGCAGCTGCACCGGCACCACCGCAGCCTTCCATGCCGTCGATAGACCTGCTGTCATTAGAGGATACGACTCCGCCGGAGCGGGAAAGGCGGCCTACAAATCTGGAGACATCAAAACCCGGCGAGGCATTGCGCTTTGGAGCTACAGTATCTGCCAATTTAGTACCCAAGAATTCTTGGATGCAAGATCTGGACTCGGCGCAATTCGAAAAACAAGTCGCACCTGCAAAGACACAGTCAAAGGCAAAAATACAACCGAAAACGCAACCGAAAACGCAGCCAAAAGCCAAAGTGAAAGAGCCAACAGCGCCAAATGCATGGGCGACGGAAAACAACGACGATGAATGGGCGGCTTGGGACGATGGGCCAAGTGCAAGTGCCAGCGCTTCTGCCAACGTGATAAACCCGACCCCAGCGCCGTCTTCTTGGGATTGGGACTCGACAGCTACCGTGACAGAAAACACGACTACAGCTTCGGATAGCAGTCCCCCGCCCGTCAACGTGCCACCTCCATCAGTACTCCTATCGCTCTTCCCCGAGCTATTAAGCTCCGCTAGCGCTCTCTTCAAATCTACTTCTGGGCAAGGCGGCAGCATCAAGGAGCAGATACTGTCCGATCCCAAAGCGGTACAGTTTCTACAAGGATATATATTATTAGCGACAACAGCAGCGCGGATCGTGGCTGGCCGCAAACACCGTTGGCACCGCGACAAGATCCTGGCCAAGAGCATGTCCATCTCAGCAGCCGGAAGCAAAGGCATGAAGCTAGCAGGCGTGGACAAGACACAGGCAGCGCGCGAGGACCGCGAGGCGGCCGACGTGGTGGCCGTGTGGCGGGAGCAGGTCGGGCGGCTGCGGTCGGCGGTAACGGCGGCCAACACTGCGGCCCACACCAACCTTAAGGTACCGGAGCTGAGCGAGACGCTGTCGGCGCACACGGCCAAGATGGTGGGCACGGCGCCAAAGGCGTGCGTGATTTGCGGGCTGAAGCGCGATGAGCGGATAGCCAAGGTGGACTTTGAGGTGGAAGACAGCTTTGGCGAGTGGTGGGTAGAGCACTGGGGACATCGGGCGTGTAAGAATTTTTGGACAGAGCATGAGAGGAGTCTGCGGCAGCGGTGATGTGTTTTGGTATAGGTCCGGTGGTATGTTGGTGCAAATGGGTGTGCTTTGGGTATGATTCAGTCCTGCATGAGTTATATAGAACGGTATCCAGGTTATTAGACAATTGACAGGATTGTCTTGCAGAACTGAATCGGAATTACAGCGTTGCCTGCTCAGTGGCGCAGACGTTTCAGCAACGTCTGGGGCGGGGGAAGCAGCTGTCAGATCCAATGCGGTGGAGTAAACTGTGACGGTGTTCCGCCGGGGCATCAACGTCATGGGCTTGGGTGTCGAATTGGTCGAGTTGAACCTTGACACCATGCATGCAAGGGTTGCGCGTTGGTGATCTCGGGTCGTCACGTTGTCTTGCCTGCCCGAAGTCGACGAGCTCACGTCGGCAAGGCACCCCGCACACATGGCGGGAGGGACGGGGTCCCCGCTGCGTTTTTAGCCTGGCCGAGCGAGTCACCTCACCTTGACGCGGTACCTGAACGCGAGCTGGTCGAGCAGTTTGTCAATCAAGAGCAAGAGGAAGAGACTCGCACCACGGACAAATGCACGTGTAATAAACAGTAAAAAGGGTGACTTGGTCGGGGTTTTCACCGAAAAACACCCAAGACTCAGATCAATTCCCTTCTCCCACCCTTGGCTGGTATTACCATGTACGTCAGTGGCTCCAAGTGCGGAGGATTGTTGTTGTGTCACGGCAGTACCGGACAGGAACTTCTTGACACCGCTGCCGCAAGCGCTTGAACCGGGTACAGACCATGTATTGACACGACAACGCCTCCCAAACCCAACCCCGCCTCGTGCTGGGCCAGTCTGTTGAGGAGGAGGGGTCCTGCCTGTCTGGGCCGCTGAATTGCTACTGGCTAGCGGGTTTTGGTGGGCTCCCAGCGAGCGGGCGGGCAGTTTTCAGCGGCCTTGCAGCCTTTTTGCAGGGCTTCTCGCGTCACAAATTGCCCTGCCAATCACCCGCTACCAATGGGCCGACGCTCCTCCCAATCGCTGGCCTTGCCCTCCCTCCCACGACAGTCCCTGCCGTTTTTTTTTTCTTCTCCTTCACCTCTTCTCTCCTCTACACTTACCTTGTCACCTCCACCAGCTTTTTTTCGCCCTCCACCACTCCTGCTACGCCGACTTCACCTTCTCTCCTCTTCCCGCCTCTACAACCCCTCCCCTACCTTACCTTTACTCTCTCCTCCTCCTCCTCCTCTTCCATCTCCTTTTCCGACTGGTCCTCTCCCGTCTCCATTTCCATCCTTCTCGAAACCTTCAGCTCGTCCCATATCTGTCTTCCACCTCAAAAAAAAACTCCACGTCCTTTTCCTCTCCCCGCCTCCCCGTCTCCCACCTCGACCCCGCCAACATCGTCGCCCTCATCCCACGCCGACCCTCGCAAAAATCCACTTCTTCAACGGCCATTGACCTTTGTTGACCTCTTCTCCCAATCTTCATCGACCTTTCCATCGTCCCTTTGATACAGGATATAGGTACGTCGATGATGTTTGCTCGCTGGCGCATGCCCACGTCTGCGCGGCCGGTAGCCCTGCGGCCCCCAGGCCACACGTGCTCAGCTTCGACGGCTGCAGGCAATGCAGCTCGCGTCGCTTGCACTTTGTTTGTTATCATGCCCATTGCCCTCGACGCTAACTCTACTTGCAGCATCCTGATCCCCTCGACTCCCTCCACCCCCGAGCTTTCGTTTGCCTACGTCATCTCGCGTCCCATCCCATCCACCATGTCCACCCAGGAAATTCTCTCTTCCAACGGCTCCAACGATATCATGGACAACATGGATCACCTCAAGATGGAGGACCGTCTCGGACCCGACGGCGAACCCGCCCCTAAGACGGACGAGGAGTACGCCCAGGCCCAGCTCACCCTCCGCGCCATTGTTTCCTCCAAGGAAGCAGGCGTCATTATTGGCAAGGGCGGCAAGAATGTCGCTGATTTGCGCGACGAGACTGGCGTCAAGGCCGGCGTCTCCAAGGTCGTCCAAGGCGTCCATGATCGTGTCCTCACCATCACGGGAGGCTGCGATGCCATTTCCCGCGCTTATGCCATTGTCGCACGTGCGCTCCTCGAGGGTGCTCCTGCCATGGGCATGGGCGGTATCGTTCAAGGCAACGGCACTCACCGTACGTACCGAGCCCTTGAAATACAGAATGCACCCCACTGACACATCGTAGCCATCAAGCTGCTCATTTCGCACAACCAGATGGGCACCGTCATTGGTCGTCAAGGTCTGAAGATCAAACATATCCAGGACGTTTCCGGTGTCCGCATGGTGGCGCAAAAGGAAATGCTCCCTCAGTCCACCGAGCGAATCGTCGAAGTCCAGGGCACCCCCGAGGGCATCCAGCGTGCTCTCTGGGAGATTTGCAAGTGCCTTGTCGATGACTGGCAGCGCGGCACCGGCACTGTCTTGTACAACCCCGTCGTCCGCACCCAACCCGGTACCACTAGCAACGTTGGCAGCACCGGCAGCTTTAGCGCCAGTGGCAATGGCCGCTCCGAGTACAGTAGCCCCCGTGTCATGCGCACCGGCAACGGCTCTGACTTTAGCAACGGCGGTGGTGCTCGCCCCTTCTCCCGTCGCTCCGACTCTGATGCCGCCTCCCGTGGTCCCCCGACCCACGACGAGAATGGCGAAGAGATCCAGACACAAAACATTTCCATCCCTGCAGACATGGTCGGATGCATCATCGGCCGCGCCGGCAGCAAGATATCCGAGATCCGCAAGACGTCTGGCGCCCGCATCTCCATTGCCAAGGTACGTGAAGAAGTTGACGAATGAAGGAATCGCGGCTAATCATTAATTTAGGCTCCTCATGATGAAACTGGTGAACGCATGTTTACCATCATGGGCACTGCCAAGGCCAACGAATCTGCCCTGTTTCTCCTGTACGAAAACCTCGAAGCCGAAAAGATGCGCCGGAGCCAGCTCCAGGACACCGACTAGGCACATTTGCATGACGGCTGCGCTGCTACTCTGTTGTCTGCGTTTTGATACCACTTCTGCATGGGCTTTATTTGACTGGCGTTTTGGCAGCTTCTGCTCAGGATCCCCCGGCTCTTGGCAAGCGGACCAGCTTCAACTACGGCGACAGCACCTTGATTACAGCAGTGAGCCGAGCCGCGTTATCATTCTTTGCTTCATCTTTTATGCTTGCCATTGGGATTCGAATTCCACACTCTGCTTCAACTCATCATGTCGATTCAAATACTCTCCTTCCCGCCTCCATGACACAGACACATTGAACACGATCCGCCTTTGATCGACGACTTCCACTGTATAAACTTTAGCTATGCAGGCTCGCATGTCCTTTTTTGTTTTCTTTTTCGGAGCAGGTGCGCCGACTCCATGACTTATGCTGATACCACGACGTTGTCAACCTGGGACACTCTACAACTCCGCCCCGACCCGACCCCGACGAGGCACGCGCGCGTGCCCTCTGGAATCATCATTTCCTCCCCTCTCTCTTCTGTCCTGACGCACGACTTGCTTTGCTTTACAAAACAAAAGACCTAGTTTGAGCCCAGTTGGGCTGGCGATTCACTCTTCATCTCCTGCTTATACCCCTTTGCCGTTTGCATGGCATTGTCTTTTTGATTGGGCATCGGGCCACGGGGTAATTACTTGTATTTAGCCTCTGGCCGAGATGAAATATATTGCTACTTGTCTCTTCTGCACGCTTTGATTGAGTGAAGGCATTTTGTACTTGTTCTGTGTTTGTCTTTTGAATGAGTCAGAACTCTTTGATGAGACTCGGTTAATTTATTGCCCCAAAATCACGGCGTCGGAGACCCAAAAGCTGCACACTTTGAGCCACGTAAATTATATCCTGAAGTGCAGAGTACCTAATAACTAAGTGACCTAATAATAAGTGACCTAATAAGTGAGACGCACGTGCTTTAACTGGTACCCAGATTTACGGCCTTGTACCTGTGACGCCACAGTATTCTCCAACCCATTAGCCCCACCATCCAGGGTCCATCTAATCTGGCCGTACTAGAAAGCCATGAAGCCAACTTGTCCAGTTTGCGAAAGTCAGATCTGCCACCTCGACACAGCACATCCGACTGCGCCGCCTGTCCTTATATTCTTACTGCGCAGTCCCTTCCGCTCTTTCACCTTCTTTTCTTTTACTCGTACTCGACTTGCCTGCTTCGTTTTCCAATTGATACGAATCACGACAGCGAACGTCACTGCGCCTCTCTCCCCTCACACCACAAGAACACGAACGGAACCATGGCGCGCACGAAACAGGTGCCCAGCAAGCGCCAGGCGTCTTCCGAGTTCTTCAACAAGGAAAAGGCCGAGTGGGAGTCGTCCAACGGCAAGACGAAGACGAATGGCTCTGCAATCGCCAAGAGCGCGCCGGTCAAGGCAGAGGCCGGGGTCGTGCAGCTGGTCATTGCCGTCTCTGGCATCTACGCCTCCTTGTACGTGACCTCGTTACTTTTCCTCTCTCTATCTTCTTCTCGTCTCTGCGTTGCCACAACCCCCCCTTCAATCGCTAACCAATTGTCCTCCCGCGCCAGCCTGACGTGGGCGTACCTGCAGGAGAAGCTCACGACCACGCGCCACGGCCCCGCGCAGGAGGTCTGGCACTTCCCCGTCTTCCTCAACACCATCCAGTCCGTCTTCGCCGGCCTCGTCGGCGTCGCCTACCTCGTCCTCTCCACGCCGCGCGGCGCCCCCGTGCCCCCCGTCCTCCCCTCCGCCGGCATCCTCGCGCCGCTCGCGCTCGTCGCCGTGACCTCGAGCCTCGCCTCGCCCTTTGGCTACGCGAGCCTCGCGCACATCGACTACGTGACCTTCCTCCTCGCCAAGAGCTGCAAGCTGGTGCCGGTGATGCTGCTGCACGTGACGCTGTTCCGCCGGCGCTACCCGCTGCACAAGTACGCCGTGGTGGCCGCCGTGACCGCCGGCGTGGCCGTGTTCACGCTGCACTCGGCCGGCAAGAAGAAGACGTCGGGGAGGATGGGGGAGGGGAGCGCGGCGTGGGGGATGCTGCTGCTGGGGATCAACCTGCTGTTTGACGGGCTGACCAACAGCACGCAAGACCACGTATTCACAGCGTTTAAACCATACTCGGGCCCGCAGATGATGGTCGCGAACAACGCCATGAGCTCGCTGGTCACGGGCGCGTACCTGCTGGTCGGCCCGGCGGTACTGGCGGCCACGGGAGCGGGCGAATGGCTCGGCGTGGGTGCCGGCGAGGCGGGTGAGCTGGGCGCGGCGCTGGCGTTTATGCGTCGCTACCCGGCGGTCTGGAAGGACGTCCTTGGCTTCGCGGCCTGTGGCGCCGTCGGCCAAGTCTTCATCTGTAAGTTTTTTTTTTCTCCTCGCTTCGCTCGACGTGGGCTGGCAAATTCACGTTCCCCCCCCCCCCTTTTTTTTTTTTTTTTTTTGTGAATTCACGCCATTGTCCGTGGCGGAGCAAACTATCCCGAGGAAGTTAAAAGGCTACGGATATGTTTTTGCCGGCCGACATCGAGCGAAGCGAGGAAAAAGAAAAAAGAAAAAGGAGAAAGAGAAGAAGACTAATTGGTTATTTAGTTTATACGTTGGCTACGTTTTCGTCGGTGTTGCTGGTGACGGTGACGGTGACGCGCAAGATGTTCACCATGATCTTGTCAGTGCTCGCGTTCGGACACCGGTTGACGGGGATGCAGTGGCTGGGCGTGGGGCTGGTGTTTGGCGGGATCGGCGTGGAGGCGGCGATTGCGAGGCGGGACAAGCTGGCCAAGGAGGCGGCCAAGAAGGAAAAGTCTGGGTGAACAGGGGTATGAAATACCTGAGAGGGACGGGATGGGTGTTGGAGGTTGTAGACTGTGTACGATTTTTTTAGGTGGCTCATTTATAAGTTGAGAGGCGTCAAAGGGCATGCATAGTTCACCTCATCTTCACATTTTTCACGCTCCCATTTTCGTAATAATCAAGTCACAAGGCGCGCAAATATTGTCAGGATATATGGTCATTGCCGTTTTGTATTCTCCAGACATCACCCGATGTACCTAACCTGTCCACGCCCCTTGCCATCATCATAGACTAAAACAGACCAAGAAAATAAGAAAAAGGCCCAGTTGCTAAACGAAAGGCCAACACCGATGCCACGCCCTGAGGGCAACAAAGAAACAAGACACACACACACAAAAAGAATGGACCCCTCCCTCCCAGAAACAAACAAGAATCCATGTATTACCACCCGTCCTTTTGTAAATGAACAGCAAGAAGAAAAACGAATTAAACGATTGCGTTCCCCTCTTTGCACCGGCAAGAGAGGAATAGGAAGCGATAGTGTGTGAAAAAGGCCCAGTATATGCAAAAAAAAAAAAAACAGTGAATGTATCTCGGTGACTATCTTCCACAGAGAGCCCGCAAGATTAATGAATTTGGGAGTGGGTATCGCCGAGTGTATGCAACTTCCCACGGGCAAGATAAAGAGGGACGCGGCTCTGTTCTCGCAACGCCGACGTATGCACATGATTGATTCGTTTTGGAAGGTGGTGAAAAGGCTTGGATTAAAGAGAGAATTGGAAAATATGTATGTACGAGTATAGATCGGCAGCATGTCCGGTAACATGGCTGGCTCTTCTGCCAGCAGTCCTGCTCTGCCGGGTGGCGTGTGATGTGGTGTGTGCCAGATATAAAAATGGGCGGTGAAAGCCCGGGAAAAAGTCGTCAAGGAAATCTTTCTCATAAAAAGTCATCAATGGATCGGATAATGGGCGCCTCGCCTCGCGTCGGTGGGCTGCGTGGGTCAACCATCAGATCTCGCCGACCAAAGAAGATCGTCGCCTCAGGAGGGAACGTCGTTGCTCGTGGCGAAAACAGGCCGTCTTCAACAGGTGGTGCGGCTGCGGCCACTACCGCGTCCATCGGCTGCATACCAGTGAACCCGGGGAATCTGTTGTACTCTTGGCGGTGATTCGTCATAGTCTCAGCGCGTGGAGATAGCAGCGGGGGCTCCTCGTACGGCGTCGTCGGGAGATTGATGCTTTGCGTGGTTGAGCTGGCGCGGGCGTCGAGGGTGGAAGGCATCTGGTCCTGGTAGCTTCGCAGCGGAAGCGCCCTCATGCCCACGCTGGATCGAGGTCGAGGAACAGGCGGTTGTAAGCTGTCCAACCATGACACGGCATCCTTGTTGGAGCTGGGTTCCGGCCGGCTCATGCCCGACTTGGGCCGCGGGGGCACTTGGCTAAGCCGCAGCGGCGCTCGCGCCGGAATCGGCGGTGGTGCCTCGGTTGGCATGGGCGGGATGCAAGGCAACGGAGCAGTGATGGTCGGTATCGGGGGCAATGGCATATCCACGTCCTTAGCGTCTTCCTTCTCTACCGAAGCAAAGGGCTCCATGTTCTTCCAAGAAAAGGTCAATGGCGCCGATGCAGGCCCTGGCGAGACGTCTTGCAAGCCGGGGGAAGAATTGCCTCGTGCACGCTTACTGCCATCTTTGAGCATTTCTTCCCTCGACCTTTCCTCCTCGCTAGGAAGCGGCGCAGACAAGGGCTCTTTGGGGGAGACATCGATGGCATCAGCAGACAGGGTCAGCCGGTGCTTGTTGGGGCTGCGTCCTGTACGGGGGCGGAAAGCGGAAGAGGTCGGGGCGGGGCGCTTTTTTGAGAGCTCTTTTTGAAAGTCCTGCAGCGAGTACATGAGTTTCATGTTGGGGCTGATCCAGCGGCTCTTGGCTTGAGCAGCATAGTAGGCGTCATTGACGCTAAGATCGGGGTTGAGATACAAGCCATAGGCAATGATTAAGCTGGCAGAGCGACTGGCGCCTTGCTGGCAATGAATGAGAACCTTTTTACCCTGCTTGGTGTGGCCTTGAATGGATTCGCACAGATCCATCAGGTCTGGTGCAATATCGGTGTTGTGGTCCCAAGGGATGTGGATGTATTCGGGGGTCTTGAGAGGGTTGGCCTTGGGCGTGGTTGGTGTCTCAATGTTGCCGTCATTGGGCTGAAATTCGAAAGCGGTGGCAAAGCTGGCAGTGGTCACAGCAGTGTCAGGAATCGGGCTGTCGTCAGGCTGTATTTGCCGAGCAAGTTCGTCGGCTGACTTGCGTTTTAGCGCCTCGAAGGGATTTTCTACCTCGCGAGCAACATTAAAGACGACGTCAAACTTGGCAGCTTCTTCCGCGGTGGGTTCCAGGTACAAGTAGACGTTGTCTTGGTAGATGGCGATGGGACCATCAGGATACGTGGGCGACTTTTGGTCCTCATTGTTGATGCTCTCGTCATACGGCTCAAAGTCCTGGCGGTTAGCCATTTGTGGCTTGATGGGCGAGTCTTCTTCGGCGATAGCGGCGTCAAACGACGCTCGCATTCCAGTCTTCATGGGACGCAGGAACTCGGAGAGACCAGATTCGTTGCGCTCAAGCATACGTGATGAAGGCAGCGGCGGTAGGAGGCTAGGCGCTTGTGATGTCTTGATCATGCTCAGCATATGGGGTGTCGATGTCGAATGTTTAAGCGCACGGCGCTGAAGAATCGGGGGCATAGCGGGCGAAGGTGGCACCTCGAGAACTGGTCGCATGAGATCGTTGGTATTTGTGCGAAGGCTGAGCTGGCTAGGCTTGCGCTTCATGGCCGGTATTTGAGGTTTTATGAAGCAGGGCGAGACGGGCTCGGGAGCGGGCGCCTTGGCAGCCATTGTTGTGACAGCTAGAGGGGGAAGAATAGAGAGACCTTTCATGTTACGTGGACGACGGGGTGCGGGAGATGTCATGGGGCGGCTAAGCGCGGTAGCATCGCCGGCCGGGAACACAGCCGTGGTGTTTGTGACGGGAAGGGCGCCAAATGTGGTACTCGGGTAGTTGCTGAGGGGGATGAGATTAGAGTTAACGGGAGAGTCTGGTGAGGAGGAGGGTGATCGATCGGTCAGAGGCGAAGAGTCGGTGGTCGACAAGGTGGTTGTGGGTGAAGAATCGGCCGACTCTGACATTTGCGTCAAACTGCTGTCGCTGTGTTTATGATTGGGGTCTTGGTGAATGGCGCCATCCTGCGCAGGCGCGGCGAGGACCGTCTTGGAGTCCATGCCGACAAGCTTGGGTTCGAGAACCGTGACGGTGTCACAGTCACCCATGGTATCGGCGTCAAGATCAAACACGGACATGAAGGTCGGTATTTGATCCTCGTATAGTCGACGGGCCGCAGCGGACGGCATGGTTTCGTAACCAGATGCCGGCGGGTATGTCAAAGAAAGGCAATCGAGGTGTGACGGTAGAAGGTCGATGTGGTCGTTTGCCGCAGAGCGTGATGCGAAGGTTTGTTTCAAGGAACGTGTGTTGCCCTAGTCGCAGAGACGTCGATCGGAAGAAAACAGACCTGCTGAGTCCGAGGACAGCGGCCGAGAGGGCGGAAAGGTAAGGCGAAGGAGAGCAGGGGCAACGGTATAGGCGTCGCGATGTCGTCGAGACTTGGGCTGAGTGGCGCAAATAAAGGCAATTCTCCAGGTGTCACAGGTCGGACAAACTATCGATGCAACAAGAGAGATGCGAGTTGGAGGACAGGCTTGAGACTAGTTTGAGGAATCGAGTCTCGATGCAGCGCGTGTCTCGTCGCAGAAACAGACGGTCTCGTTCGGGGGCTGGCTGGCGGGTGACAACGGCCGTGGCCTACCAACGAGGCGTGTTTGAAGAAGCGCCGCGGAGAGCGAAGCAGACAGAACGGCGTGGGCGTGGGCGCGTGGACAGGCAAGGGAGGATCGGGTGTGGTCGATTGGAATCGCAATGGAATGAGGACGGCACCGGCCAGGTGAGACAAGAAACAAGTCGGGCGGCTAGAGGACAGGCTCGATCGTGGGCAGCGACACCAGAGAGACACAAAGCAAGGTGAAACGGCGCTGGAAAAACAAGAGGCGGGAAGGGAGAAAAAAAGAGAAGAGAAGAAGAAAAGAACAAGGGTGAGGAAAAAAAGGGTTTGCTAGAGTCAACGCATTATCCGGAGAGGGACGGATGGATTGAGGAGGGGAGTTGCGGATAGGAGGGAGGAGAGGAGATTGTCGGGTCCGGATGGTTGACTGTGCTAGACGCCTTTGCTGGTGGTAGGTAGATGGAGGGATGGCAAAGAACTGGGAATCTGGGAGGAGATGAAGAGAAGTGGAAAGATGGAGTTGAGTGGGTGAGGATGAGGGTGAGGAGGAGGGGGGGTGGAAGTGGAAGAGTGGAAGAGTGGAAGTGGAAGTTGTGTGGGCTGCCAGGGAAAGGCTGGCTGGGCTGGGCTGGCCTGTCGCCCGTAGATGGACGGTTCAGTGAACCACTCGCTGTAACGGTGCCCAGAAACTGGGCCGACAGGCTCTGCAAAACCGGGGGAGGGCGGCAAGGCAGCCAGCCACTGCCAATTGTTGGTACAAGAAAGGTACCTGCTGCAGATGTGGTGCGAGAGGTTGGTACATCGAGGTACAAGGATTTCTTGCTAAGAAAAGAATAAGCTCCCTGAAGATGGGCCGGCCAGGATCCTGATCACCGTCCATCATCATCATTCGTGCATTTGTCTCGCCGCTGCGGATTGTTGCTGGGGGGTGCGGCGGTGGGTGGCGCTGGGGGCCGTCGGTCAGAACTCAGCTTAAGTCAGTCATCGAAGACAGACAGGGCAAGGCACAGAGCAGGCGCTGATGCACGGAACCGGGATGAGTTTCCGTACAGGGAGCACAGCGGCATGTGAAACGAAATGGGGGGCTCTTTTTTTGCATATCGGGTTTCTCTAGTCAATCTCGTTTGGCATCGTGTCTACCTACAATGCCATCTCTCACAGCATACGGAAAGTTGGCCTGTTCTGTCTGTCGTGTCCATTACCGTCGAGATGGTATCACGGACAGGTAGCCCCCTGGTACCGCCTGAGACCAAAAATAGCCCAGACTGGTGGGGCAACTGCAGGTCAGGTACCGTTCGGTCAAATTATAGTGCATTACTGTGCAGCCGCCTAATAAAAGCTACTTTGGTCGCCTCGGAACCTGTCTTAGCGGGGGGGGGCTTGCCTGCTGCAAGTGTGCAAGTGTGCTAAGAAAAGAAAAAAAGACGTGCTCCTCGTTCCCCTGACGCGCTGACAAGGCAGGTCAGGCAGGACCTATGTACCTATGTATATAACAAACGGAGTGACCTGGGCTTGTACGATATCGACTCGAGTTCGGCCAAGGGAAGCAAGAAAAATTACTCGCCGTCGTCAAGCGCGCCTCTCGCTCTCCCGTGCATACGAAACTGAACCCCCTCCCCATTTCAACCATTCCGATCAGACAATCAATTGATTGCCCTTTGAAAAAAAAATACCTTGGCCGAATTACCTAGAACACCTTGTGCTAAATTTAGAACCTGCATGACGCCCCATGACGCCCCTCCTCCTGCAAGCCACAGGCCTTTCGCCCCACCACGGCGCCAACGCGCTGGCCAATCATACACTCTCGTTACTCCCCCCTTCCCCCCGGACCGGTACCTCTTTAATGTACCTTTTTCCAGCCAGCAGCCCAGGGTTAAACATGATTAAGGATGGGCAGTTATACTTTTTTTCTTCGTTCATGACTTCTTCATATTGATCCTGTCCCAAGCTTTGCCTATTGCAGTTATGCATGCTCACATCTCCCTGTTCCAACACGCCGAATATGCCGACGTTGAAATCTGTTCCAATCTCAACCTCCGCCCTTGAGATCCGTACCCAGCATATATAACAGTCCATACTCCGTAGCAACCAGCGAGTTCCATTGAAACGTTCACACTGCCTCTTCTCTCCTCTTCGCCACCGGCTTGTCCTCGTATCACCTGAGCGCGTGCCCAAACCCAGTCGGCAGGGGTCCGAATGGACAGTTCTCGTTTCGACAGACTGGACTCGTAACTCTCTGGCCTCGCAACTTCTCTTGTCCATTCAAGCTCTTTCCCTCTTCCACTCCAACCCCCCGTCACCATGCCCTCTTCAGCAAGCGCCGGGCCCCCTTCATCTCGCGTCCGTCTTCGCGCAGCCTCAGCCTCAGCCGTCCATTCTCCTCCCCCCCCCCGCCCATCGCCGAAATCAGCATCTCCACCGCCGTATGTTGCATCCCTTCTCTGTCCTTCCCCCCTTCGTCCGGGGTATCACGTCCGAAGAAGGTTGTTCCCGTCACACGCCAATGCTGCCTCCCCCTTCCAGCCTCTCACACGCGCTCGCGCTGCGCCCGAAATCCACGGCAACGGGCCACGATCACGTCGTCCACAGACCCGAGATGAAACGTGTATCAAAGATTCACATGATACCCGCCCTATTTTCCAGCCTCCCCCCTCCCCAGATTCATCGTCGGAGGGGGCCCGTTTGCCATTCCCGCCTCTGTGCGCATCTCATCCATCTGTTAAGGTTTAACCATAATAACGGCGCGAAAACTCCACCATCAGAAAACGTCCCGCGACGGGCGCGAAGCGCTGCTTTTTGTGCCAGCCATTTATTTGACTGGTCATGGATAGATCCATCTTGGATCTTGCGGCGCGGCAAGATGCCGAACTCGTATGCACACTGCACGACATCACGTCGCCGTTGCCTGCCAGATGACTATTCACGACATTAGTGCTGTCGCAACCAGAGCTGTCTCGCACAGAAACCATCCACAGACTGCGCTCATGTGTCCACGTTGAACGTGCATCTTTTCTCCAGTAGTTGTATGCACTGACTGTGCAACCACACGGCTAGACAAGGCACAGATTCAGCCCAACGCACTCTTGCTCCGACAGTAAGCCAATCATCAGCGGCAATCTGCACAAGACCTCATACATGCACACACTTCACACGTCGAGCCCAGCAAGGCCGACTTCATTGGCTCTTTGAGAGACTCGGCCTCGAGGACTTTGCACGTCCAACCAGTCACACGCGCCCAGTAACTATTATATCCCCCCTTGGCACCTGTTATAGTCGATTGCCCACGAGCCATGCCAATCGCTGCCCTGCCTTTACCGCCCTGTCACTCCCTCCTGTATGCGTAGTATATGCAAAAGAGAATAATCCCCCCACCCAACCTCCGTAATCTCCATGGCATAATCCGAATAGAGGTTTGAACAGAAAAAAGCCAATATTTTGTTAAAATAAAAAAGGGGCGGGGGGCGGACATGGATGCGCAGTAATAATGCGGTACCGATATGGGACTTTGGCACCTGGGATGTTTGAGGGCGAGCCCCCGGGTCCGGTCAAACCGCCGTCGCAGGCTGACGTGCAGTTCCAGCCCGAGACTTGCTGCCAGCGTACTGGTAGGCAGACACGGCAAGGCAAATTGGTAAAATCTTGGTAAAATAGTCCGTCAGCAGCTCCGGGCCATGGGGAAACGAGTCCACCCCGGAGGCCCAGTACTGTAATTTTGCTCATTGTCGATCATGGACCCTGCCTGCCCGGGAATGAGGATAGGCGAAAAACCACGGAAGGTACAATCAAAAACAAGGAGGCTTTCCAATCAAAAGTCCCTATGCTGTTGCGGAGGGACCATCGCTCGTCTGTACTATGTAACTTCGTGCAACTCGTAGCCTCGTTGACCTCGGTCGCTTCCCGCCCGCCTTGTCCTTCCCTCTCACCAGAACCCGAAACTCGAGCCGCGGATTCTGAAACCTGCAACGCCGACGACAACTCCCAGACGCCAACCTCGCCCTCAACAACCAAGCGGCTGAGTAGCAGAATGACATGTCCCGAACCAGGTGACTCTTCCCCCTCCCCTGGCCACTTGGTTTTTGAGCAAATTACTTGTAAATTACTACTGGCATTTTTCTTTTTCCTTGTTGCTCAAACCTTGGGTTTTTGGCCGTCAAAACTTGAACTTTGTTTGGTCTGTTGCCGCTGTCGCGCTAGTTTGCCTGAACCTGCTCATCGGCCAAATTGTGACACGCGACAAGCACCAGCAACAAGCTTTTTTCAGCGTGGGCAATATGAGATCGAATACCGGCGTGCGCGTTTCATCGTCCTGTGCTTTGTAAAATGGAACTATATAGCACTCGTCTCGTTATAGTTGAGGCTTTTGGCCAGCCGACCAAGCCACAGCCTTGACGTCACTTCAACTTGAAACATGTCAAGAGTCAAAACAATTATAGCTTTTGTTAACACGGTTGAATATAGTATATCCGTCTCTATTACCCGTACTTCATCTATTCTCTTCATCTAGTATTCGTATAAAGATATTGTTGCGGCAACCCTCGACGCCACTCCAGCCCGTCGACCACCTGATCCTTTCATGTCTCACTTATACGACCGCCAGCGACGAGACGAAACAAGCCCAGCCTTGTAGTTCATATCCGATGACCATCTTAGCTTTATCCTTGCGATCCCATGGTTTGGCAGATCCAATATGTCGTATAGCTGGGCAATAATAGCCCGTCATGGCAGAGTTCAATCCGAGTTGATCACCTGGTGTGCAACGTGAGCCGTGGAGACGCCAACCATCGCTGATCCTTATGCCGACAACGATTGGGAATTTTTATTTACGTGTGTTTTCCGGCTCTGTGGTATTGCTTGATTCCCTGAAATTGTACGCGGGGATCTTGTTCCTGTAGTGGTTGCGAGTCACCGGGAAAACTCAAGATAAATGGGAAGACGCACGTTAGCCGACGCAGGGAACTTGCGGGTATTTGCACGATGTGAACAGTATGTCGTATTTAAACACGGCCAAACTCGAGTTAGAAATCACTACATTTGAGCGATTCAGCTGGTCTGTAGTCTTTCTTGCAACCCAAATGTCCCTCGACTGTTGGCCGCGGTCGCGTCAACGTACTACAGGGTAGGCTGGTGACGAGCACAGCGCTCCGCCTCACCCGGATAGACGAGGTGTGGACAGCATTCGAACAACCTGGAATAAATCGTAATCAAGTGTTTATGAGTTGTTGATTGAACATGACGGTAGCGGGCTACGTGTTGTTGGCTACAGTTTCGGTGTATCGATGTCGCAACTCTCACAACCAACAACGATTAGTTGCTGGACTGTAAACGTTTGAGTAGTTAGACGCGACAAAGTGCGGACAAGCAAAGCATGGCCTGATACGACTTGGATAATAAGAATTGGCCATGGTTGCTTTATCACCCTGCTACATGCTGCAAGACTACCTGGTGATGATCGACAAGTCCAGACAGGCTGCGCGGCTGTGCTTCCCAATGTCGTAGATGTGATTATGTCCGCTAGCTCACGCCACTATCGCTATTGTTTTGCTCTTCCTGTGAGTTGCTATGAGTAGTCGAGAGCTGCCGACCGAGTACGAGCTGTGTGGGCTGGGGAGAAAAAGAGCTTCTTGTTGTCTCTTTGCAAATTGCGACTACGTCCCCAGGGTAGATCCTCTCCTCGAAGGAAACGCCGGCATGTCGACGCGGATGCTATTTTCACTTACCGTGGACCATAACAAGGCCGGCCATTCCAATCCAAGTCCAGCTCATCCCCTTTGGGCGCCGATGCTGTGTATCCTTCAAAAGTGCCCCAACAAAACCCCCTATGACCTGCATCATCAACTAAGAGAATCCTGGTGGATAGCAACTATCTAGCCCACTTGCCCACCTTGCCCACTGAGCTAATAACGATGGCTTGGTGCATCAATGGATAGCTTTTTTTTTGCTCCAGTTTACCAGGCACCAAGCATGGGTTTCACGTTTCAGACTCCGGCCAATGGTGGCTGCAGCGAGCCTCGCAGGCTCTGCTCCCTCTTCGGAGCACGGCTCCCCCATTTGCCAATAGCAAAGGAGGGCAGGATAAATGGGATAAGCAGGCAGTGCAGGCAAGGTCAGTGACATGCATACGAAGTCGAGGATTGCAGATATCGTGAGTGGATTTTGCTGCGCGGTGCTCTGTGTGGCGACAGCTTGAAATGAGCGAGTGGATGCAAGCGCCGCAATTGGTCGTACAAGAAAGAAAACCGTTGCCCAACTGGATTCCGAGCCATGTATGTATGAGTTGTCGGCGATGACACCTGCATGGTGGCGCACGTCGTATAATTTGTTCGGTACTCTCAACGAGTCTCTGTTTTGGACGACGTCAAAGAGCTTGGACGCAGCCCCTTTCTCATTCTTGCGGCCATCTAACGTACTGCAAGAACACGGCGACAACGGGAATTATGGCCCGGCCCTTGGTTTGATCTACCCAGAGCAAACCAGAAGTTGCGCACAGACCATAAAGCGCTCGCCCTAACTCCAACGGAAACTGGCCTTTGGTCTTGGCTCCGTCGGTTGGCGATCGCTCCATGCAACCCGCTTGGACGGCCGAGGGGGAAGACGGAGGGCCGACGTCGAAGCCGTGTCAGCGCGATTTGACGGGCCGTTCCCGGACGTCCGGCTGGAGCTGTATTTATGCCCCATTGCCATTACTTTCCCGTGATGTATCACCGAGGAGAGAGGGAAGGTGCTTCGATGTCATGAATCTGAATCTGACTGCTTGGTTGCTGCTCTGCTGTTATTGAGGGGCATGGACAGCCACATGCAGGACACCAAACCCATGAACCTAGTCGATGCCGGCATGTATAGTGTCATTGCACCCTGACCTGGGCGAGTAGCGTTTGGATTTGCATGACAGGCGACCCATCGTTACATGGCGCTACTGAGGATGTGCTGATTGCTTGCTTTTTTATTCTTCTTCGCCGTCTTATCGAGGTGCTTTCTGTCTGACGGATTGCTCAGACTGGACACCCGTATAGTATGTCTGTCCTGTACGCTGCGAGGACTGTCACAATCACACTGCAGTACCAGCGCAAGCCGCCGGTCATGCTGTGATGTGCATTCACGCGGCTCTGTTTTCTGTCGACTTTGCTCGCATACGGATACATGCTGGTGGTTTGTCGGCTTTCATCCGTGAGCTTCTAGCGCTGGAGAATTGTCTCGGTTCTTGAAAAAAAAAAAAAAAAAAAAAAAAAAACCCCGGCATCGAGGCTGTTTGCCGGGCTGGCATTGGTAGTGGCGCCCTGTCTCTTTTTTTGCGAACAATGTGTGAGGCCCTTGTATGCTGGCTCTTTTATGGCCACCTGGCCCATCTCGTTGTGCGCCACTGCGGAGAACAAAAGCGAGAGGGGAGAGAGCAAGGTTCCGCGAGAATTGGTGATTTGCTGCCCCCTCCCTGGCTGGTTGATCGGAGCCGAGGAGCTCTGTCTGGCTGGACACGTTCTCGAAAGAACTCTCTTGAAGTTGCCGAATCCCCCCTTGTTTCCCTCTCAATTCTCCTCGTATCTTTCAATTGTCATTTCATTCTTGCCGCTTCCATATTACCCTGTGCACTTGTGCGCCGTTCACTCATTTATTATTATTAGCCCGTTTCCGCAATTCGGTGGCGCGTATTGCAGGATACGGCCCGTGGCAGGTACCTGTACGACAGACGGCAACAGTCAGCGCATGCATAAAACCATCGGCATCTATTACCATTACGTCGACTCGCATACCGGAAGCTGCACGCGTCGACCACAAACATCGGTCTGCTGAGCCCTTCTCTGACGGCGAGCCCAACCGAGCCCGATTCAAGTACTGGCCACCTCGCACACGACGAATCGCACCTGCCACCGAGGCTGGGACCAAGACGGACCGCTGGGAAGCGAACCGATACGCTGCTAGATTTGCTCTGCCAGCCTCTTTTTTTGGCATCGCCAGTTGTCGACGTTCTCAGCTATCGGCTTGTGAAAAGTGCCTGAGTCGCGTACGCCCTGGTTCGCTGTTGGTAGCTGATTCTTCTCTTCCCCGCTCCGCACCAAAGGCAGAAGCAAACAGAAGGCTGCTGCCCGCGAGCAGCTTCGACCCGACGCCCTTTTTTGGATTCTGAGGAAACGAAAACTCCAAGACCGAAAGCGCTGCACCGATCACGCTAAGGTCCAGCAAAAATCAGCAGAGCTTGATAGCCTTGGTCGAACTATTGGCACGTTGCCCTTCGCTGTACTGTGCGTGCTGTGGAAAGCGGGTATCCATTTGCCATGATGGCAACGGTTGGACTGCCAGCGGGGCCTAGAGAGGGTCAATGTGGCAGTATTATGACAGGCACCAGTCATGCTATTGGCAACGCTACTCCAGGGCGGCGATCCGCCGGACAGGGCAAGTCGCAGGGGTCTTCAGGGCCCTTCTCAGGGCGTCCAGGGCGAGTTCGAGGGCAATCAGTGGGCAGTTTGACGCGGGTCTCAGCGCTGGAGACTTCCCCTCCGGCGCTTTCACAGCGTCATCATTCCATCCGCGACTCCACTGAAACCGCTGAAGCCACCCAAAACGTCACTGAAAAGCAAGCCCCAAACCCAAACACAAGCACAACCACAGGCACTGGGGTGGCTGCAGCTGGTCGCCTCGCCACCAAAACTCGTCTCCCCGTCTCATCTACGGCCGTCTCATCCTCGACTGATCTCCAGTGCCTCTCGCCGTCCTCGCCGCTCCTCCATCGCCAGCCTAGGACCTACCTTCGGACGCGGGCATCATCGTCTCTCGCCGCGCCCGCCCTCGAACGTGCCTCCTCTCGTCCCCCCTCCCAGGCTTCTGCTGTTGCCACCCCCCTCGCCGCCCGCCGCCCTCGCCGCCCGTCCGACGACTCGGCCATCTCCCTCGACGACCACAGCAGCTCGCCCCCGCCCGGCTCCTCTCCTCCATCCAGCGTCGGGCGAGACCTTCAGGCATCATCCCCTTTCGCCGAGCCCAAGTCCGCCTTTTCCTCGAGCCCTCCCCGTACTCACCACCATCGCCATCGACACCGCGCATCGTCATTTGATCTCCCGTCGGCTGTTAGGCCGCGCCCACGAGCCTACTCAGACCAGGGACCACGCCCCGACGTCTCCCGTCCGCCGCAGACATTTTTCCTCCGGAGATCCTCGAATCCTGAACTGCCGGTCGGTCCTGATTCCCGCCTCTCCACCTCATCGTCTCACTCGAGCCTCCTTTCGAGATCCTCCCGCGAGCCCGCTTCCTTCAGTGCCAAGGGCATCTCGACCTCGTCTGGCCCGCCTCCCTCCATCAACGTCCGTTTGCTTGACAGTGCCGCCCACGACGCCAGCTTTGCTGCCCTTCACCAGCACCACCAGCAGCACTACCAACACTATCAGCCACGCCTGATCACCGCCTCGCGACAGCTTCTGCCTCTTAAGACGGCCGCCCGCTCCTCGACTCCCGATGAACACCGGCGCCGCTCCCTCCAACGCTCCTACCGGCTGTCGCTGACCGGCTCCCTGCCCGCAAACACCTCACCCACCCGCGTTGCTCCTATCCGCTCATTTCGCTCCTCGGGCTCCCGCAAGAGCCTCCATAGCCCCGACATGAACTTCACCCCCCGTCCGTACGATCTCAGCGAGAGTGCTGGCGCTCCCCTCTACGATGAGGACCCTGCCAACGCTACCACAGCCAGCCCCTATGACAGGCAGTCCAGGCTCATGACGCCGCCCGTCTCGGGCCGTCAGGTTGCCAACGGTGAGGAGTCGGGCGATGTCTTTTTGCGACTGGCCCGCGAAGATGCTGTTAACCGCGGCGCCAATGCTCGAACCCCGGATGGCACCTATAGCCCGGTCTCTGCAACACATCGCTCGTGGCACCGTCGACCGCTCTCTACAAATCTTACGTCGCACCAGCAGCTGTCCCCTCCAAAACTGAGGCGTCGGCTCTCTGATCAGCAGGAGCGGCCCTTTTTGGGCAACCTGGAAGATGATCAGACCAGTCAGGCATCTCGCGTGCTGCAATATCGGTCCATGGGCAGAGATAAAGCCGCCTCTGCCCATCCTGGCGAGATGGCGAGTCAGTATACTCCGTCACCCCGAACTCATCGCCCGCCGCCTGTCTCCTCCCGCTCTCCTGTGTATCATGACAACTCGGATAACTATCGCCATACTCGCCGCCGATCCTCAGTCACAGAGAGCACACCACCCCTCTCGAGCAGAGGACAACACAAAGCGGGGGCTGTCCACAACTTTTCCAAAATGTACAACTCCTCCCCATTAGTTCGGTCATTTGACCTTACCCCGCCGCAGCCCCATGAACCTCAAAATGGCGTCGAGGGCACGGAATCCACGGGGTCGACCACGGCACCCTCGACGGTGTGGGATGAGCTCGACGAGCTCAAGTCGAGAATTAACCGCCTTGAAATCACAGGAAAAATACCAGCAACATCTGGTGCTACAGTGTCGAAACTGGACGAGCGCCCCGTCACAGCCGGTACAACCGTGACGACAGCTTCGATATCACCAAAGCGCCAGGTCAATGTTCATACTGACGACACCGCTTCCGTCTCGACGCCGACAAACGTCTACCCGCTTCTGCAAACTGCTCTTGCGAATTGCAAGCTGAATCTCAGCTCCCAAGTTTATCAGGCTTTGGACTGCCTCGCTCAGGATGCATTGGGCTTGTCCGCAACCATGGGCCAGGGTCCAATCCCCAGCGGCGCCAGCACCGTCGGCAGCGGAAGCGCGGCCACTGATCGTCAGCTACGACGCAAGGCTGAGAGTGTGTGCCGAAGCCTCACCGAACTTTGCATTACCCTCAACGACGACGCTGGCCATCGAGCTAGCACCAGCCAGTACCAGGCTCAAGCATTCGCACCGGGCACGCCTTTGACGCCGACAATCCCCAAGTCTCATAGTAGTGGCCTGCCTGTTGTTCGCCGCGCTAGTATTGTGGACGGCAATATGTCGCACACAAGCCCGAGAGTTCTGTCAAAATTTGAGGAGCGCCGCAACTCTCTCCTCCACGGATCAGGCCCTCCTGTATCTCTGCACTCGACTCCAAATAACCTCATGTCTAACGATGGCCGCCATTCTTCTCTCTTCGTGTCTCGTACGCGCCAGATTCGCCAAGAAGACCCTGAAGACGGTAGAGAGTCGGTTTTATCGAGGACCCGCCGTGCCATGACGGAAGAGCCCGAGGACGGCCGCAGGAGTACTTTTCTGGTCCGCAGTCGCCGTGGCACAGCCGAGGACATGGACCAGCCGCTATCTCGGTCACCAACGCGACGCACCGTGACCATGGCTTACCAGCCTACCAACGAGCACGCCATCGAAACCGACACCCCCGACAGGTACGAAACATCTTCGGTCGTATCCTCGGCTGCCCCACGCCGCCGCTTCATCCCGGAGCTGCACACGTCCCGCCTGGCCGGACCAGCAGGATCGAGCCCCGCGCCCACACGGAAGTACCTGGAGCGAACCGTCTCGACGCGCGAAGGTGCGGGCACGCCCACCATGGAACGCCTGTCCCGCCACGTCTCTCTACACAGCCGAACGGGCAGCCAGTCGCGGACGAACCGCGATAGCATGCTGCCTCGACCTCCCAACGGCAACGCGACCCCAGAAGGACCGCAGTAACGGCAGTGTAGAATGTTGTCGCATTTGAACCTTGCTCATCATGTTTTCCTGGCAATGCTTTTGCCCGTGTATTGTTTTGAAGCTACTTGTGGATTTTCGGCGTTTCTTGACGACGATCACGTTTGGTATTCTGTCAACGACTTGCATCTGTTTCTCTTCTCGTCTTTCTTTTCCTGTTCGTTTCCTGTACACCTTTTTGTCCCCCCCCCCCATTTTTTTTATTTTCTTATTATACTTTTTTTTAGTAAGAGGTCGGTCGGCACGGACGGGTTGGTTTTTTCTACTAGAACGATGCCTTGCTGTGGAAGGCGTGTCACAGCGTGAAAACCTTGTTTTTCCAACGGCTGATTCTTTTGACGAGGCTTCAGATTAAATGATAAAAAAGACTGCTTCTGCTTTTGCTTCTGCTTTTTTCTTTTTATTATATGACTTATCGCATGATGGCTTATGGACATTTTCTTTTGGTTTTGCTCACGATGACGGAATAGTAGTAGCTTTCTTTTATTGGAGTTTGGATTCTTTCCACTGTTTACGCGTCCAACTGTGAAATGCATACCGTGCATAAAATGGCTATGAAGTTTAATGCGATGAGAGAGCATCTGTCGACTAATAAATAGAGACCGTGCCGCGTCCCGCGCCGACCGCCTTGATCCGCGCGCCAATGTCCAGCGGATCCCCTTCGGACACCACCCAGTGCGCGCCGCGATGCTCCTCCGGCTCCTCGAGCCCCAGCACGCGGTACGCGTTGGTCGAGACTATGTCGAGCGCTTCGCGCCGCGAAATCTTGCCGCCGCCGTTGCGCCACGCCGCGCCGGCCTCGAACGCGACGTCCCGCACGCGCCACTCCTCCGCGAGCCCGACGGCGACCACCACGCCCGCGGCGGCCAGCACGTCCACCACGGTGCCGGCGTCCAGCGGCGCGCCGACCAGCGCGCGTCGCGTGTCCCACGACGCGCCTAGCTGCTGCAGCGGCGCGAGCACCACCCCGACCGAGGCGGCGGCGAGCTCCTTCGCGAGGAGGTGAGACTCGGCGCCGCCGATGACGGCGACGCGGAGCGGCGTGGAGGTGGCAGCCTCGATGTCGGACTTGACGCGCAGCAGGGCGGCGATGCCGTCGGCAGAGGACACGGTCACCGCGAGCACTATGTCGCCGGCGACGACGCGCCGCAAGTATTCGGACTCTGCATAGGGGTCCGTAGCGTTGCCGCTGCTGCCGTCGCTGTCCTTGGGCGCGGCGGCGGCGAGGAGCTTGCGGCGCAGCTCGCCAAAGACCTCTGCGTAGCTGTGACCGGACGACTTGGCGCCGAGGTCGAGGCTGTAGTGCACCGCGGCGTCGCTTGCAAACACGGCGCCGCTTTCGATGCTCGTCTCGGCGGTCGTGATGAAGGCCGCGCTGACGCCAAAGGGACCGCTGGTGCTCAGGGGCGGCGAGATGGCTCGCGTGACGCCGTACCGGCCCGCGACGCCAAGCACTTTGCCGCCGAGCTGCAGGCCGTCGACGGCGCGCGTAAAGGCCGAGGTGACTCCGTTGTTGGTCGAGTCCTCAGCGGCGATCTCGACGAGTCCGAGGTTGCCAAACGTGGTGAAAGCCTTGTGGAGGTGACCATTGCGCAGCGAGACGACGGTGGCGTTGGCGCCCTCGGTGGCGGCTGCGCACTCGCCGACGCAGGAGATCTTGCCGTCGCGGACGGCGACGTTGAACGGCACACCAGCAGCTTCGGCGGCGGCAAGCGCGGCATCGTGCGGCGAGGGCAGGTCAAGGAGCACCTTGGTGATGCCGGTGAAGAGTGCCGTCTCCACAACAACGGGCTCCTCGGGCGGGATGTCGGCGAGACGCGAGTCCGGCTGCATGGGGCCCTGGTTGTCCTTTTCCAGCTCAACGGGCTTGGAGAACTGCGCGACGCCGTCGATCCAAACCTGTACGGGGGCGGCGCCAACGCTCAGCGGGTCCGAGTCCCAGAGGGCAATGTCGGCGTCGAAGCCGGGCTTGACCTTTCCGAGGCGGCGGCCGAGGCCGAGCAGCTCGGCGGGTGCTGAGGTGACGCTCGCGAGAGCCGCATGGTAGGGCAGGCCCCAGTGATACGCCTTGGCGGCCTCGAACAGCACATGCTGCGCGTTGAGCACCGGGTTGTCCGAAACGTAGACGGGTGTCAGGCCTTGGTCGTAGAGGTACTTGCCGGCGTGCTCGGAGCCGACGTAGGCCTCGGCCTTGTAGTACATGTTGTCGGCAAAGAGAGCGGAGGCGGGAGCGCGGCCACCCCACGTGCGCTTGAGGATCTAGGAGGCATTAGTATGAAGCGAGGTGCGACGGAGAGTTGAGAGAGGGTACCTCGGGGACAAGATAGGTCTGGTGTGCGTGGTGAAAAGCACGGATGGGAAACTGGAACTCGTTACTATGGTCGACCATGGCCTCGAGGTCGGCAATCTTGTAGCAGTGCGTGTTGACGTGGACCTGACCGCGGAGGACGGCTGAAAGCGACTCCCATTTCAGATCTTGCGGGAGGTATTCGTCCATGTTCTCGGCGCCAATTGCCTCGGCCTTGCGGCACCAGTCGTCCTGCTTGGTGACGAGGGCGCCGGCCGTCTCGAAGGCGCGGCGGAAGCGGTACGACTCGCCCATGCGGCTGTAAGGGGACCTGTCAATACCCCCGTGCACGCGCTTGGCGTTCTCGCCACATGCCATCTTCATGTAGCGCCAGGTGCGGTCCGGGTCGGCGAGCATGTCTGCGGCGGAGGTTTCGGGGCGGCCGTCCTTGGGGCCGACGGCGTGCTTGACGACGAAGGCCTCGCCGCCAATGTTGTTGCCAGAGCCGGGCAGGATGAGAGAGGTGGTGACGCCGCCGGACTTGATGACTTGAATCTGGACGTCGTCCGGGTGGAGGCCGTCGATGGAGCGCGCCCAGGGGGTGACGTCGTCGGACATTTCGTTGGTGTCCTCGTCGCCGTCGAGACCGGGCAGTGGCCCGACACCGGCGTGGCTGTGCATGTCGATGATGCCGGCTGTGAGCAGACGGCCGCGGGCGTCGACGACGAGTGTGTTGGTGGCGACAGAGCCCACGGTGATGGCGGACTCGACGCGGCGAACTAAGCCGTGCTCGAGATAGACGTCGCCCGAGATCCACTGCCAGCCCTTGCCGGCGCGCGCGTCAGCCTCGCTGGTGCCGTGTACGGGCTCGCCAATCCAGATGGTGGCATTCTTGATGAGCGTGGGCCTGCCGCCGTCGACGTAGCGGGCGTTGCGCTCACGTCCGAGCCCGATGGGGTCCTGCGGCTTCGCCTGCAGCTTCCTGCAGGAGGCTAGGTCGGCGAGCAGGCGCGCTTCAGAGAGTCTGGTCGCGGCACGCTCAGCGTACCACGACTGCTTCCACTGCGAAAGCACGAGAAGGACCATGCAGGCAAGGGCGACGAACTTGATGGCGCGGGAGCGACGGAGGCGGCCGCCGGCGAGACGTCGCGTGCTTGTGCTTGTGGTACCCGGGGCGGGCAGCGGGGTGAAGCTGCTGGCCGCCGCAGCATAGGGCGGGAGGTCAGATTTCTCGTCCATTGTCAAGGACCGACTGCTTCTGGGGCTCTGGCGAGCTGTTGCGGAGGGAGAAGACGAAGACGACGGAAAGAGGGCGGCTGGGTTGCAGCTTTTCAATGTTTTATTAAATGCGAGCTGAAGCTCCGGATAAGCACCTGAAGCTTGGGCCCAGTGGCGTTTGTGGGGTTGATGGTGCAAAGGTACATACAGTACATACAGTACATACATTTCTACCAAGCCTGCTACAGACATGGCAAAGCTTTATCATTTCTTCGTTTTAAATTCTCACGAATAGGTCAAGAATCCTGGAATTAAACTTATGTTTTCCATGAATAAATCTTTAAACCTTACATGCTAAGCCTCTACATGGCAAGTTGAGGACATGATATTTATTCTGCCAATTTCACGCAGTAGTAATCTGTAGCGTCTGCGCTCAGTGGCGTCACCCAAGACACCAATTACATGTTCCGGAAGCGGGTACCAGAACCGATTGCTGTCTCTTCCCGATAACGATAATTGTTGCGAAATGTCGATATTTTATGCATCTGTGCGAATTGAATAGATAATGATCAACTATGCACAATTCTTTGCTTATTCTCCGAACTTAATCACCCAACCTGCCCCGGGCTGTCCGTCGGATCCCGGCCGCTGCTCGGCCCACCAGTCAGTTGCTCTCCGGCCGAGCTTGATCTTCGGCCGTCTCGTACTTGATTCCATGTCTCAATTGACATTGGCGTTTGTACATGTTTTAGACTTTAGAGTTTGCTTACTGGGTTTAGACTTTACGTAGGTTGGTATAGGCGACGGATGTTATTCAACGACGCTATTGCCAGCGCAGATAGTCAAATTGTAGAGTAACAACTGACTGCTATATTTTTCCTGCACCAGAAATACCGTCCAGCGTAGATAATATGACATATACACCGCCTTGGTTTATGCTGTTAATAGTCAAAGGCCAAAGCACTTCAAGCTGCTGGCTGGTACAGATTCAGAATCAACCAGCGGTCAGCCCCACTGCAAACAAACACTCACTGGTGCATCGCGGGGGCTGGCGTCAGGTGAGATCTTGACCAAGCCGCCAACAACCCGGTTCCTCCTCTTCCTTCATCAAGCCGAATCCCCAATTGAACTGTCCGAGGTGCATCTAGAACGTTATTATCAGATACTCGCCCAAAGCTCCCGCCACGATGCGGTCGATGGAGGAAACGCAGTATGTCCGGCACCGGCCCCCAACGCCGACGTCACAGTGACTGACCGACAAGCCAGGGTGCGATGGGAGGCCACCATCAAGCACTGCACGTCCGTTTCCGACCTCCAGCGGGCAGTCAAGAATAACGGCCCGTCCAGTCCATGTCTATCCGGATGCCGCTCCGTGTGCTGGAAGGTAAGCCCTGTCTCATCTCATCCCGTCATGCCTAGGCAAGGCTCAGGCTGACGCTTGCAGACCTTCCTCCTGTTTCAGGAGACTGGCACCGATAGCTGGATACAAACATTGCGCCATGTCCGAGAAACCTATGCAGAACGGCGAGACCACTTCTTGAAGTTTATTCGTCATCCCGAGGCTCTTGCTGAAATTAGCTCAGATCCCCTCAATGACGACCCCGACGTAAGCGCCGCATCACCCTCGACGTGTACTCCGTACCCTCTAACGTATCTAGTCACCTTGGAACACGCTCAGGCAAGATGAATTGATCCGCGCCGAAATTGAGCAGGACGTGAAGCGTCTCCCCGATGAGGCCAACTACCACGAGCCTCGCGTCCAGCTTCTCATCATCGACGTCCTCTTCATCTACTGCAAACTGAATCCCGGCCGCGGCGGCTACCGCCAAGGCATGCACGAGCTGTTAGCACCCATCTTTCACGTTTTGGAGCAAGACGCCGTCAATCGCGCGACTCTCGTTGAAAATGACCTGCTCGATGTCGCCATGCTGGAGACGCTCGACGCCGCCTACATCGAACATGATGCCTACGCCGTCTTCTCCAAGCTCATGGAGCGCGCCCAGTTTTTCTACGAAGTCAAGGATGCGGTGCCAGGTATGCCGTCGCTTCAAGAGACCAGCTCAGCCATAGTAGACAGAAGCAAACATATTCACCAAGTCTTGCTCAACAAGATTGATCCCGATCTCGCTGCCCATCTCACCAACATTGAAATCTTGCCACAAATTTTCCTCATGTACGTCTTCCGCAGCCTGACTGAAAAGGACTCTCGCTAATGTTAATAGCCGCTGGATACGTCTGCTTTTTAGCAGAGAATTCCCGTTTAACCAGTTCCTCATCCTCTGGGATACCCTCTTCGCCGTCGACCCTTCATTAGACCTCATTGATTTCGTCAGCTGCGCCATGCTTCTTCGCATCCGCTGGCAGCGTACGTCGTTTTCATCAACATTCACCTTCTTATACTAACATCTGGTAGTTTTGGAAGCCGACTACTCGGTCTGCCTTCAGCTTCTCCTCAAATATCCCGCCCCAGACCCCCAGCATGGCCCGCACACCTTTGTCGACGATGCCGTCTACCTGCGCAGCCACCCCGACTTCCCGGGCGGCTCCCACATCATCGCAAAGTACACGGATCGATCGCCTGCCACGCCCGGCGCATCAGCCACCAGCCCAACCACAGCTGCAGCGCGACGCGGCCTCGAAAGCATCCGGCAGCGTGCGCTGCGTACCAGCGGCGCGCAGCTGCCCGGTGGCGGTGTCGGTGTGGAGCAGCTAATCCAAGGCGCGGCGAAGAGCGCGCGCGCCGCGTTTGAAAAGGGCGAGAAGTTGGGCATCAACCAGGCGGTGCGCGAGGCTATGGGCGAATTGCGCCGCAACATGCAGAATCTGAACGACGCTAGAGTCGCGCCGCGACCACCGCATGGGGATGACGCCACCGTGGCGCTGGCAGCGTTTGACAGGCGCAGCAAGCAGCTGGCGGGCTTCCTGAACGAGACGGTGGCGGACCTCAAGGCGCTGTCGGCTTCGAATCTGGATGACAAGGTCAAGAGCCTGCAGATGCTCGAGGTGGCGGCCGCCAAGGTGCAGTTTGTGCAGATTTACCTCGAGGACCCGACCATGGACGTGCCACCATTTCGAGGAGATGCGTCTCGAGAATCGGAGGATACGGTGTTGGAGCGCACAAATAATACGTCTGAAGGCCAGGATTTAAAGACACAGGATACAGAGAAGCAGGATGCAAAGCAGCAAGATGCAGAGGAGAAACATGTGAAGAAGCAGAATGTAAAGAAACAAGAGTCAGCTGTTGAGCAGAGTCCCGGAACACCGCCGCAGACAACGGGAGAGGTCTCGCGCACGACCGCAGCAGATGAGCGGCCAGCTGTTCCAGAGAAGTCTGGCCCGGCAGAGACGAAGAAACCTACCAGAGCGACGCAGCTTGCAGACTCTGCAGCAACCGAAGCAAGCAAGACTCCGACCACGTCATCACAGCCTGAGACGACAGCTTCCCCCAAAGAGACCCCGGCCACGGACTGCCCGGAACCAACAGGATCAGCCCCGTCAGAACAAACAGAAACCCCTGGCAAGCCATCAGCCGCCACGCCAGCCCGGCCGCCCCTCCCCGCCGTGCCCACGCGGTCCACGATTGCGCAGTCGTCGTTTTCCTGGATGCTCGAGCCCGACGAGTCTACCCCTTCCGCGGCGGCCGCCGCTGCCGGCAGCAAGTCGCCGCAGATGGGATCCAAGAAGCGCAGCTCCAACCTGAGCCGCGAGCGCAACGCGTTTCTCTTCGGCGACGGGGACGGCGATGCGGGTGGTGATCCGCTGGCGACAAACAACATCTTTGGACTGGAGTCGATGAGCAAGGTCAAGGGCAAGTGACGTCGGCCCTGGATGTTCCTGATGTTGCCATCTCGATAGACATGTGTATAAGTAAATTTATAGATGGTTCTTTCATGTGATCTACGTGTCAATGCGTGGGCCTTTATTTCTTTTTAGAAGGGATGCGCAGCAATGTTGACCAGGGAAAGCCATGTGTGAGCTAGTGGTAAGCTACTTTCACACGTATGCCCTCTTGATTAGAGAATTTCATGTTGGTGACATGTCGCGAGAACTTAATCTGGACAATGCAGGGTTGCAGCGCCAGGCGCGACGTCGCAAGCAGGGCATTGCATTGTGGCGATCCTTTGGGCTGGGGTATCGACGGGGGTACGCGTGCAGGAATGCATGTCAATAAGCCCCGAGAAAAAAAGCAACCATCTCGTGCTTGCATATTTCTAACAAGATTGAGTTTGTGATGCCGCATCTCAAGGTGTGGCTGAACTTGAATGTGTCAAGCCACATTGTCTGGCTAAAGAAAGGTCGTCCGTCTGAAGTAGATTGGGACGAACTCCTGGGTACACTCAGACCGCATCTCAGGGCTTGCATGAAACAGCATTGCGACGGATTGTCGCATTCCCTTTTGTTTTTCTTTTACTTCTGTTCTTTTACAACATTTTTCTTGATTGATCATCTGGCGATGTGTCAGCTGTCAGTCAGCCAAGGCGACGGACAACCCGAGTCTCTCTGAAACTGCTTATTATTACCTAGGTACTTGTTAACTGACAGCAAAAGAAGGACATATTGACAAGGGTCGACTTTGTATTCGGAAATAAGAGAAAATCGCGGGCATGCAATCAGACCACTGGCCACCAGGGGAAATGGCAAGGGGATAGGACTCCCGCCAGGCTCAAACAGGGCTGGTTTCACCATGGCGTTGCGGTGGCTGATTGTGGGTGTCGGAGTCTTGGGCATGGGTGGCTTGGTGACAGGATCGTCGAGATTTACCACGTATGTGCAACGTAGGAGCTATCTCTTCTGTCATCTCGCCCTGGCTGATAGAAAGTCCCCCTGTCTAACTGTCATCCAATCTTCAATGGCGGATGCAGGCTTTTTTGCTTACTTGCGACAAGACAAGCAAGCGTCTGACCAACACAACGGCCTGCAGTGGCGCTGAGCCTTGCCTGCCCGAAACGGAAAGTATCATCCCTCTCCTTGGTTTCCTTTCCCTCTTTCCGTGGCCGAAGCTCTGCACGCATCCTGATATGAGTTACTTATCCTATGAGGGTTAGTGATTAGTGCTCGTCTTGGGCAATTGTGAAAAGGAGAGCATGAAATCGGGCGCATCAAGCGCATGAACAAGAGCAAATCTACATGTGCAGACAGACCCTAGGGCGATCAAACCGAGGGTGTATGTATCTGGAGGAGTTGCTCATGGAGCAGGCGCCGCTTTGGGATGGCAGAACGGGACGGCGGGACGGCGAGACGGGTTCATCCATCAATGGGCAATATTCAGTGTTAATGCGGAAAAATAAAGGGTTGGTTGTGGCGCCAACGGGTAAGAGGAATGCAGTTGGCCGAGAAGCGGCATGAAGATGGGCAGGCAAGTAAGACATGAGCGAGACGGATTGCCGCAATATTAAATATGAGAAAGGTAGGGAAAGAACGAGGGCATTAAGAAGACCGAGAAAATAGTACTCCGTACAATGTTTTGGTTGAGAAGAGAGAAAACTGGTCGATGGAGACTTGAAGTGAGGGGTGAAAGATGAGAGAGAGATTGCTGCCCTGCTGGGCATGAGCAGCTGAGACCCGCGATTCAGCATGACAGGGGAGAAGCCAAGGCAGCGGCGCCTCACAGTGGTAGCGGGGGCTCGTGGGGTTGAGCCAGGCAGGCTGCAGGGGATGATTGGGGAAAGAAGGGAAGGGAAACCGTACAGCACACTGAGTGAGACGGATTGCCTCTGCATAGTTGTGATGAGTTGTATTCTCGAATATTGGCGACCATGTAATAAATCTTATCGGTGCTAGTATGCCATCCCATATCCAGGGCTTGTTGAAGACATTGTGTAACCGGCCGGATTAGGCGAAGTTAATGTCTCAGGGCGGTTGACTTGTCCATGTATGTAGGCTGCCACCTGGCGACTGGACGAGTAGAGGCTAGCTCGCATTGTTGTAATGGAACGGGGATTTGAAAAAGGATACGCGGACTCGGCATTTACAGGTCGGCTTTGTGGTAATTGGTGAGTCCGAGGGCAAAAAGGGATTGTCGTGGCAGTGGACAGTGGAGCGGAGAGGAGAGGCTCAAGTGAAGAGGCGGGTGGGTGCCTTGGTGCCTGATGGCCTAGTTGCCTGACTGCAACTGCCATCCCCTTTAGTATTTTCAACTACTGCAACGCTTGGGCTGCGCTTTGCAGGCATCAGACCTTGGAGTCCGACTTGCTGACTTTTGCATCATTATTTATTCAAGTATTCATTAGTTGTCCGTATCCTTACCAAAATTATTATTAGCATTGTCGTCGCTTCCAGCTTCAGGCCCACCAGCAGCCCACTCAATCCCGCCCAGTCCGCCCAAGCCCGCCCAAGCCCTGCAAGGTTCACCCAGTGACAGGCCGTGGCTGCTGCTGGGCTGCACAAAAAAAGGGCTGAGCCGGTGGACAAGGGGCCCTCTTTTCCAGGAACCGACTTACCAAACCGACGTAATTTCATTACCTTGTTCTCCGTAGCACGAGCAATATTTATGCCAAGTTTGATGACTAGTGAATAAAATAGGAAATAAAACACGGGCCAACTTGGTTGACAGAAAATTCAAGAAAACTCCGGCTATCCGGTCGCTCTTTTATTTTTTCATTTTTTTATTATTTTTACCAAGGCACTGGAACGCCATGTACCAGTACCTCCGCCGTTCCCGGTTCTCTGCAAACGCTCTGCCCAGCCTGTTTCCTGCCAGCCTCATACATCATCATCACTGATCAGTCATCCAGCATCCATCATAACCCACACCTCCATACCTCCCTCTTACATTACCAGTACGGACTAAACTCTTCCTACTCGCTTATCCTCCATCTCCATTCCTACCATCTATCTGCCGTTCTTTCATTCTCGTTTTCCATTCTCTCCTTTCTTCTCGCTTGTCGCTTCATTCTCCCCCGCATTTCTACCTCAATACTCGTTCCCGTGTTCCCCTTGCCAACCTCGTTCACGCACGCCCTCACACCTCGAGCATCGCCACACGCCCTCGACCGCACTCCCCGCCATTGTCAGCCCAACCTGATGCGTCTGCGACGCCCTCATCGCCACCATCTGCAACCCGCGCCCTAATTCCACGACATACATTCTCTCACCGCCGGCCTACCTGCACCTTTACCAGTACTCTCCTGCAGCTGCTCACCGCGCACCTACTGCCACACCTCAACTGATCCTCGACGTCGGCTGTTTGAAGTACCCCAGCCAGCAAAGGGAAAAAAAGAAGCACCAACCGAAAAAAAGAAAAGAAAAAAGTTACAGAGCGAACACGGGTCCACACCGCATCGCACCATTCGAGCAGCCCTCCCATACGAATGTTCCTCGCGTCTCACCATCAACCCTCCGTCCACGCCACACCCCTGCAAAGACGATCCTGCCCTGCCACACCAACGACAACGACAGGCCCTCTTGGCCCTCACCTGGCTTGCAACATCTCGCGACACGTCTGATCTGAACAACTTCTCGCCCCTCTCCCTCTCTGCCCAGTCACATAACCCCAATAAGCTTCTATCCCCGGGTCAATACTCTTCCAGAACCGGAAAGGCTTGTCCTCCCGGACTGCCGTCCACGCTTCATTGTGCTCGCATTGCGCGCCGCACCCCTCTCATATCACTTCCCAACTCCCGGCGCCCTCACTCCCTCCTCCTCCCTTTAAACATGGCACAGCCCACCGCCGCCCCCAAACCCAGATCCGGCTTCTCTCGCTTCTCAAAAGCCCTACCTGCTGTCCCTCAGTTGCTCAAGTCGTCCTCTTCCAACTCTCCCTCATCCTCTTCCTCGCCGCCCCCCGCCTCATACCAACTGCCATCTCTACCCAAGAACCTCCCCGACTCATTACCGGATCTGCCCAAGGACCTTCCCGACTTGCCGCCGCCGCCTCCGCCGCCGCCGCGCGACGACGGCCCAGCTCACGGCTCCGCGCCGCCTCAGTTGCCTCGCCTGCCCGACAAGTCTCCTTCCCTTCCTGTACTGAGCGCCTTTCTCTCGAATCACTCAGCCACGCCGACTGAGCCCTCTCGTAAAATGGACATACCAAGACGCCCCGTTGCCGCCGCTAGCAACAATGCTATGCTCTCGCCCTTTCCTGAGCCCTCGCCTACAGCCTCCATCTCGAGTCTCATCTCCGCCTATACCCGTCCATATGATTCTCCCACCACGACCCCTCACACGGGCACCTATCCCGATACACCGCTCGCCTCGAGTCGCGAGACTTCGCCCCCTCCCCCGGATGTCCCGGAAAAGAACTCTGATCGTCCTACCAATCGAAAGAATCTCCCGCCCGCCCAAATCCGAAAAGTATCTCCCGACGACAACGACGTCCCACCCACGCATCCCTCAAAATCAGAACTCTGGCGCCGCCGCCCTCAAAACGACAGTCGCGAAATCTCTGGGCTCAAACTCGACCACAGCCACGGTTCAACCGTTTCCAGCACCATATCCATCGTGTCCACCTCAACCGCCTCAACCCAGCGCCCACCCACGGCTGTTCAAGACGAGCCCTCGAACTCCCCGCCCCCTAAGCCAAGGATACCTCGGTCTGTTGGCGGCCTCCCGGGTCGCAATGTTCGGCCCCCCGCAGCCTCCAAAGACGATCTTCCGCCTTCTACCACGCCTAGCAAGCCAGTAATTGCCGCCGTCCAATCCAAGAAGTCACTGCCTTCTCTCCGCAAAACCGCTGTCACTCCGCCTACCAATCGCCCGCCAACGCCTGAGTATCAGCCTGGAGAGTCTCGTGCTCCCGCCGCCGCCACATTCATCTCCCCCGCATCGCCCGAGTCTCCCAGCAGATTCTCTCCTGTCCATGCCAAGACCCTGCCTCCGCCTCCGCCTCAAAACCTCGCCGGAAACGCATCTGGGAGTACTATGCGGAAGCCTGCGTGGGGCATGCCGTCCTCTGTTCTTACTGAGATGCCGCGCCGCAAACCAGCGACAACACCGACTACCGCCCCAGCGACAACGCCGGCTACCGCCCCAGCGACAATACCGGCTACCGCCTCAGCGACAACACCGCCCCCCGCACCAGCGATCACACCGGCGGTCACGGCACCCGTAGCTGCCGCGGAAAACTCGCCGTCCAGGGGAGATGTCTTCGCCAAGAGACCGCGGCTGCCCCCAGCCGCGTCCCCGATCCGCGCCCGCTCACCGCTAGTAGCATCCACGCCGTCAGACCAGTCTCGTGGGTCTAGCCTCAGCCCGAGGCGCCTGATGCGCCGCGACCCGGACCAGACGCCGCGCCAGCAACGCCGGCCGGCGAGCGACCAGCGCATCGTCCAGACTGAGCAGGGGCCAATGTACCGTGGCCGGGATGGCACTTTGTACCCAGAAATGAAATACACCCACGAACCCGATGCCCGCGCGTTCCGCTTTCCTGCGTGGAAGGGCAAGGATTCGACGACGGTGTCAGTTGATGGCGTCTATGCCGCGGGTGACCTCAAGGAGTCACACTACTCATGCTTCCAGAAGCATGCTACAATGAACCGCCGCGCGAACCGGCACTACCCGCTGACGTGCCAGACGTGTAGCATCGCCGATGCAGAGGACCGCTGGGCCTGCACCTTTTGCCACTTGCGCATCTGCGAGGCTTGCTTCCGCACCTTGAACACGAACCAGCGCGATCTCAAGGCGATGGTCGCCGCAAGCACTTGAGGTGGTCGTCGGGATCGCGCCCGGCATCTACCTTTGGCCTGTAATACACTCACTGATGACGACGTAATGATGCATATCATTTTGCTTTGGGGTGCACCATACACCCTACACAATCGCTCGAATCACTCACTTTTCTGCGACGCATGGCACGAGCCTGCTCTCTTTCTCTGTCTCAGCATTTGTACCTCGTTCTACCTAGCTCTCGCCAGACGGCATTACGTTTCTTTTCGTTTCTAGCATAGAATAGTGTCGGATTTTCGGCGCCACTTGGCTTGTTTGGATTGGATTACCAAAGATGGTTATTGGATACGTGGGGACCATGGAAAGGCCCCAGATGAGTTGAAATAAGTGCAGGGTTTGGCAATTGGCCTTCCCTCCTAATATATATAATTTTACTCATTTTCTCCTATTGACTAATTGTAAAGTTTCTAGCAGCGGCTGCAACCGTTAGCTTTCGTGCGAGGCTCTGCTTAACTGGCCACCTGTGTTGCGGTTGCGAAGGGCTTATTTGGAAAAAGAAATACCAGCGAACTGATACGTCAGCGGCGTTGTACAGCAAGCACCGCACTTCCTCTTATTAGCGCTTATGTGCGGATTACGTACCTATGCATTTCAACAGCCTGCATCACTGAGACACCAACGGTTGACGAAGGGCTTGACGACAGCTGGTGTACGGATACAATGGCTGCCAGAGCCTTCGGCCATTGATTCGGGACCGAAGTGCCCGGGGGGGCAGGGCCTCACGAGGCTTGCGGCCCTACCGGGTTGATTCTACGGAGATGGTGTGTGGGGGCGGAGGATGCTGTGAAATTCATCCTGGTACTCGGCATTTACCACAAACAGCCCTAAAACCTCGAACCTGGGGTACGACGACACAGCGCGGAAGAGTCGGGACGTCGCGCTTCGGCCTGTCGGCGCAAGTCGGCGCTATAAGTTCACCTTGTACGTGTCGTCCGCCGGACAACTCCATATGCCGGAGTGCGATCCGGTCCACCTTGCCCCTCCAACAGTCCATGCTGAGCGGGATCGCTACGACACTAATCATGGAACAGGAAAGTCGTTGAAGGGAGAATGGTCTGTGAACCCCCGCGCCGGGTGGAGGATCCCGAGAGAGATGCAAGGTTGGATATATAAGCGGCCCGCCGCGAGGTAGGGCATGTGCCACACGAAGCTCGACGCAAATTGTCGGTCAAGCCTTGAACGAGGCAGAACTACATAAAGCAAGTACCACTCAGGCAAAAGGATTTTCAGCTTGCTCGTTTCTCTCTTCACACACACACACACACACACACACACACCATACACAATGACCAAGCCTCCGCCCCACGGACGTCTTCTTCCTCAGCTGCCCCCGGACGCTGTCCAACCTGCTCGTCAAGCTGCTCTCGCAGCAGCGCGGCTGGGAGGACTCGGGCTACCACCTGCACCTCGCCTACCTCTACGCCCTCGAGAATTTCAGCACGCGCGTCGACGCCGAAGCGCCGCCGGACAAGCGCCGCGAGTACGTGCGGCGGCTCCGCGCCAGCTTCGCCGAGATGGAGGCCGCCCGAGCCGCCGCCCACCGAAACGTGCGTCCCCTGATCTTCTTCCCCCTTCCTCCCTTTCTGCTCGCTAACACTAGAACGTACCCAGGGAAACGCAATGTTCCTCAAGAGCCACTGCGCGCAGATCTGGGAGCCGTCGGCGCTGTACGAGGCGACCAAGGGCGGCGAGTACGCCGCCGAGTTCACCCTGTCCGACGAGGACCCGGCGTTTGCGCGCCCGCTGCGGACCAACCCGACCATGCTCCCCGACGCGTACCTGCTCTCCTTCGTGCCGGTGTTCCTGATCCGCCACCCGGCGCTGATGGTGGACTCGTGGTGGCGCACGGAGACGCGCGCCGGCATGCCGCCCGACACTTCGCTGAGCACGCGCGTGCTGGCCCACGGCCTCGGCCTCGCGCGGCAGCTCCACGACTGGTACGACGCGCGGCACTGTCCCGGCGGGGCGGGGGGTACGGGGGTGCCGATCGTGGTGGACGCGGATGACGTGCTGGAGGGCGACGCGGTGCACAGGCTGGCGAGCACGGTGGGGATGGACCCGAAGCAGGTGCTGCAGAGCTGGGAGGCGAAGTCGACGGACGGGCTGTTGCCGATCCACAAGAGCTACGTGCAGGGCATATGGGAGTCGACGGGGGTGGACAAGTCGAAGAGCGCACGGAGGCTGGACGTACGGGCCAAGTACAAGGGGTGGCGCGAGACGTACGGCGAGGAGACGGGGGAGTTTATGGAGAGGCTGACGGAGAGCTACATGCCCGACTACGAGTACCTCAAGAGCAGGAGGATGTAGGGTGGAGGGGGGGGGGGATCTGTACGATTAGATTGAAGCAACACGAGCGATGCATAGAATTTTGTGGCGCAAGGAGGCGGTGAAACAATGATGCATTGTATTGAGATTGATAAAACTGGGCAGCGAAATCGCCGCGATGTATTCCCACCAACGCCGGCCGAGAGAGGCTTTCGAAAAGAAGACCAAGGAGCAAAACACGAGATGATAAAAAACACGGACCTTTATATAACGTACACTAGACCCGAGGCGCTATGCGTGCTGGGCGTGCGGATGCTCGCTCTCGCTGACCTGGCTGCCCACCTCGGACCAGCTGGCCGGCGTCAGCATGCCGTCCGTCTCGCTCAGCACGTCGTACGGCCTACTAGCGTCGCCCGCGTGCGAAGAGTGCGCCTCGTCGGCGACGTCTACGACGGACACGGAGTCGGTGGGCGTGAGCTCGCCGTCGCTGAGGATCTCGGCCTCGGAGACGGGCGCGCCGGGGGTGACGGGCAGCGGGGAGTACAGGCCCGAGTCGCGCGCCCAGGCCTGGATCGAGGCGTACGCCTCCTCCGGGACGTCAGCGTCAGGCACAGTCTCGGTGGTGCCAAAGTCGATGAGCGAGGGTGTCTCCGCCTCCATGGTGGCGGTCGTCGTCGTCGTCGTCGTCTGGCGGTCCTCTTCGCGGGTGGTGGCGCTGTAGATGTCGCTCGGACTCTCAGGCACCAGCCGGCCGGTGCCGAGGCCCATGTTGGCAAACTCCTCCGGGTCGATGTGGTGCTCGTCGCTGAAGGGGTTGGAGTAGACGGCGGCGGCGGAGAAGCCGCGGGTGCCAGCACCCTCGCCGCGGTGTCGGAGCTGCTGCTGGCCGGTACCGTGTTCGTGTGCTGTCGTCTGCGCGCCGCTGCTGACGACGTACGCGCCGGACTCCCCGCCATGCGTCGCCGGCTTCAAGAAATCATCAAACGAGGTGCCCCTAGGCCCTGCTGGCGGACGACCCTCGATAGCCGCAGGGGCGGGGGCGGCGGCCTCGGTATCGGCGTGCTTGGCGAGCTCCTGCTCGAGCTGGCGCTGCAAGCGGACCGAGTTCCAGTACATGAGCTCCTCTCGCTGGCTGCGGCGGGTGGCGTCGTCGGCGTCGACGCCAGGCTCGGCGCCCGGTCCGCGGCGGGACTGGAGGAAGCCGTCGGCGTCCTCGGGCCGGTTGAAGAGGGGCTCGCGGACGGGGGGCTGGATGTTGTCGCCGAGGGCCTGCAGGGCGACGGCGATGCGGCGGCGGACGTCGTCGGTGTAGCGGCGCAACTCGGGGGACTCGTAGATGGCGATGGCGGCGGCGACGACGGCGGAGACGGCGACGACGGCGCCGGAGGCCAGGAGGACGTGGTTGGCGGGCATCGTGGAGGGATCCGACGATGGGATTCTGATGGGCTCGTCGGCCGTTTGCTTGGTGATGGGAGGAGGGGTGGTGGCGTGACGAAAGGTGGCGGGGCTATGTAAGTAGCAAGTGATGATGCAGCGTGTCTTGTGTCTAGGGATGAGACTGAGACGGACGAGGACACGAAACAGAAAAATCGGGGGATGATTCTATCAAGTCGAGGTGAAATAGGGGACCGAAAAGGACAAGGAAGCCTGCGTCGGCTTCACATGGCAGACTTTGCAGGAACAAAAAAGTGTTGAGGGTGGCCAGAGAGGAGGGACGGAGGAGTTGAATGATTGCGTATGCCTTGTCGCGGCGCCGCGCCTCGTCATTCGCCACTGAAGACCTCCAAAGTCCTAGGGCGGTGCAGGGCTGGAGGAGAGGCCGCCACCACCCGGACGGTACAGCTTGGAGTTTAACATGGGGATTTAATATAGTGTATTTGCTTTCGAGTTTTTTTTTTTTTTTTTTTTTTTTATCATTTCTTGTTAAATAATCAACGGCGATGCCTCCTCGTTATTTGACGCATCGAAATGCCTGTACACGGCAAGTTGACGTTGACGGGTACTTGGTAGGCAGCTGCTGGCCATCCTCAGAGCAGTTCATGTAACGCCCTCAAAATACATCTAGATTCAAAAAAAAGTTTTTAGAAGCGCCTCTGATACCTTGACTGGGCCAAACCTGTTGGTCAACGTGTCCTTATACCACCGCAATTGGTGGGTGAGTGCCGTCACACGAACACCCACTGTAAGTTCGAATAGGCTTACCGATATGGCTACAACACCTAGAGCGTGTCATTAGAGCGTGTCATGTAAACCTAAAAGATAGATCGCGTCTCAGCTTGACATTCTCTTTATGCCCTAGATGAATTCTCGCTAATACAAACCCAGTGACAAGTCTTGCCACTTGGTGTGAGCACTGAGTGCTTCTAGAAGTATAAACAGTTATTGCTTCCTTCACATATTTTACATCAATAGTATCACTTCTAAATTATTAGCAGTCTCCACCCCCACGTTTCCCCGCCCAGCTCGCTGATCCCTCAACTGACAAACATCACCTACTCAATATTAGTGTTCAACCCACGCCGACGCACCCTGTGGAACAGACATGTCTTGGTAGTTGCCGAAATCGCTTTTTCCCCTAGTATTATCCAATGACTTGTAGATAGCGTCTTGGCCTCCCAAACATGACCCAAGATAGCCCGCTAAGTCTTACTCTCCCGCCCTCAACATATACCTACCCTAGACAAGGCCGGCGACGAATTTCGTGCCATGAGACGCCCAGGACCAACGACCTCAAGAGAAGGCTACTTGAACTAATCACAATGTTACTAGGTAAAAGCCAAGGCGTTGGCCAAATATTATGGTATCACGTTGTTCATTGTGTCATGATTTCGTAGATAGTTTGATAGTCTGATAGTCCGGGTAAGCACCAGCCATACATGTATACAGCTTAAACCGTAGATAATCCAAGTCATGAAAAACGCCGCCAAGGCTGCAAGTAATTATCAAGCCTCAACTGTCACTAGCCACAGGATTTTCCAAGCCTGTCAATCCTTTACAAAGAAGTAAGCCATTTGTTCCTGAAAAGGAAGGTGCGGTTTCCACCGGTGCAAGTTCAGGTGGCAGACTAACTCTCAGGCTGGCGTGGCGCTTCCATGATAAATAACTTTCCCCCCAACGAAGCGGAACGGAAGATGGATGCTTATCGTCCCTCAACAACCCCGCAATACTGGGAATTCGTCCTCTGGCCGTGAGTTCGTCGACGGAAATCATCTCCAAGCATCCCTTAAAGCATGGACCGAGACTCAATTTGAGCAAAATGACTCGTCGTGAGCCATCATCCTCTCCCGTCGGCTTGTACATGCACGCCGCTGCTTCCCGGCAGCCGACAGCGGAAGCGGCAGCCACGGCCGCGCGGCAGCAGCGCCAGGAATACACACCGGAGCAATTCACACAGCCGTTTTGCGACTTCATGACGGAGAATCCGACGTCTTTCCACGTTGTCGACTATTGCAAGTCCAGGCTTCACAATGCTGGCTTCCAGGAGGTAAGTGGACCTTTCCTACTTATATAAACCTCGGCCTCGGGGCTGATGACCGCAGTTGCCCTCTGGGGAGTTATGGACTGGTAAGATTCGTCCCGGCGGCAAGTACTGGACGTCTCGCAACGGCAGCGCCATCATCGCCTTCGCCATCGGCCGCGCCTACAAGCCCGGCGACGGCGTGGCCATGATCGCCGGCCACATCGACGCCAAGACGGTCAAGCTCAAACCCGTGAGCGCCAAGCCGGCCAACGCGACTGCCTGTCTGCAGCTCGGCGTCGCACCGCACGCCAACGGCCTTGACCCGACGTGGTGGGACCGCGATCTAGGCCTCGCCGGGCGCGTCGTCGTGCGCGACCCGGACACGGGCGGCACGACCGCGCGGCTCGTCCGTCTCGGTTGGCCGATCGCCACGCACCTGTCTCCCGGGGGGCGCTCGGAGACGACGACACCCATCATTGGCCTCTCAAGTGCCTACTCGGCGGGCGAGCAGCGGCCGCTCGGCAGCCCAGGCGAGTTCGTGCACGGCCAGCCGCCGGAGCTGGTGCAGCTGGTGGCGGGCGAGCTGGGCGTGTCGTACGCGCAGATCGTCCGCTGGGACCTCGAGCTGTACGACTTCCAGCCGGCAAGGGCTCTCGGCCTGCGCAGGGAGCTCATCACCGCGGGCGGTCTCGAAGGTAGACTGTGCTCGTGGGCGGCCATGATGGGGCTGCTGGCGGCGGAGGAGCACGACGACGACGACGTCGACGGCGGCGGCTACGTGCGAATGGTCGGCCTCCTCGACGACGTGGAGATTGGAGGCAACGGCAGCGCGTTCCTCCCAACCGCCGTCGAGCGCATGGTGGAATCGCTCGCCGGAGACGCCGGCCAGACGCCGGGCCTGCTAGGCCGGACATACGCGCGGTCGTTTCTGGTAGCCGGCGAGGTCGCGTACGCTGGCCACCCCGACCTTGTCGACTCCGAGGGCTGCGCGCCGAGGCTCAACACGGGCGTGGCCGTCAAGCACGATCCCGACGGCGGCACGGACGCGGCGGTGCTCACGCGCGTGGCGGAGCTGGTCGGCGCTCGGGTGCAGCCGTACCAGGCGCGCGTCGGCGTCGGCCCGGTGCTGTCGAGCGTGATGGGCTGCCGCGCGGCGGAGGCGGGCATCGTGCAGCTCGGCGTGCACTCGGTGCGGGCGACGACCGGCGCGCTGGACCCAGGGCTGGGGGTGCTGTTTTATAAGGGGTTTTTGGAAAATTGGCACAGGATTGATGGTGAATTTGCGTCCTAGATGTAAACCAAATCTTTCAAGTAAAACAAACTACTACGCATATACTCACCTTTATTGAAGAGAATCCCACTTGATGCTAATTTCAGTTCTGGCCAGCGAATCGGTACACAGCCATCACCAGTCCTCGCAACCTACTCGTGCTGCAGCGACAAGACAACTCCCCAATCGCCTCTTCTCTAAGCCTTGTTTACCTTGGGACTGTACAAGAAGAAAAACCCGCGAATAAATCCACCCGGCATTAATAAAGAGTCACCAGCTGGCCTCCTCTAGTAGACCCCGCGTCGCACGTCCTCTCGATAGCGTCTCACCCCACCTTGGCGCATTCAACCTCTTCGACAAACACCGCCACCATCCAAACGGCGCAACTTCATCACCACCATCTGTACCCGTCGAGCCTCGTTAAACCACGCCCGCCGTCTCGTCTTCACCATGAGCGCGCCGCCGCCCACATCCTCCGCTATCCCCGAGCACCTGCGGCCGCCGCCCGTCACCCCCGCCGACCACCACCACCACCACCATGAGACCTTCCCCCTCCCCAAGCTGCGCCTCGAGATCCGCGACCTCTCCTCGCGCGGCTCCCTGCGCGCCCTCGCCGCCGTCAACCTCGGCGAGTGCGTGCGCGACAGCGCCCTCGCGGTCCTGCGACACCTCTACCGACACGCGCCGTGCCCGCTGCCGACCACGCGCTCCGTCACACTCGTCCTGCGCGACATGGACGGCGTCGCCTACACCACCGGCAGCGAGCTCGACAACGACCACAAGGAGATCCACCTCTCCACGCGGCACGTCGACAACCAGACGCCGGAGCGCATCCGCGACGAGCTCTGCGGCGTGGTCACGCACGAGCTCGTCCACTGCTTCCAGTGTAACGGCCTCGGGACGTGCCCGGGGGGCCTGGTGGAGGGCGTGGCGGACTGGGTGAGGCTGCGGTGCGGGCTGGTGCCGCCGCATTGGCGCCCCCGCGCGGAGGGCTGCTCGTGGGACGCGGGCTACGAAACCACGGGGTATTTCCTTGATTACCTGGAGAGGCAATGCGGCGAGGGCACGGTGAGGAGGATTAACGCGAAGCTGCACGCGGAAAAGTACGAGGAGGACAAGTTCTGGCCGGACTTGTTTGGGTCTACAATCGGGGAACTGTGGGAGACGTACGCTGCTTCGTTAAGTTAACGAGAATAAGGTCTCCGGGAAGAAAGTAGCATATGTAGCATGGAATGACTATGGCGCGGTTTCAAGACGGCATCAGCATAACTATAGAATTCTTCGGGTTTGCTGGCTAGAGAACTAGCCTGCGTTTCATTGAATGAGAAAATCTAGGTGTGATATGTGTATCTATAATATGTACCCAATATGGGAAGAATATTATTCCTTGCACTATCCTCTACCTACCTCGGCTCCTTTGTAGTCGCATGAATGTGAGTGTTTGGGATCAACATGGCGACAATGCAATTCTTTGCTACAGGAGTCATAAAGCACTTGGTAGCCAAGTGAAAGTCCGTTGGAAACTCTTCTGTGAAAGACTATCAAAACCAAGTCGGTGTCACGTCATCAACAGCGGTGTTTTTTTCGACACTGTTTAGGGTATGCGAGTACACAAAGGCGGGCATTGGCACGGCGACGAGGGGTAGCAAGCGAAACGCGCTGTTGGGTTGTCGGGTCGGCGGCCGCCTAGTACCTGCCCGGTACCTGCCTAGCACACCCCCGCGCTGAGAACTGCCCCTCCCTTGGCTGGACGCGCAAGTCGCGCCAGGTACAAGCTGTCCAACGACTGGACAACCCAGCAGCTCCATAACGTCCAGCAGGTAAATAATGGCTGCCCACCTTCATCGGCCGTCCGCTTTTGCCAGCAACAACCTCCGCCTGGCTTCGCCAACTCAACCTCGACTCTCAATATTCTGATCGCTTCCCAATGACAGCGTCATTCCATCCAAACTCTCATTTTCCTTGCTTCAATCCCTGACATTTAGCCCTCGTCGCGTAGCGAACCCGCTGCCCGCGCAGTCATCTCGCGTGCACCCCAAATTCCCACCAAGGTACCCTTGATAGCCCAGGAACCGACCCCTCCTGCTTTTTCGGTGAGCACCTGTCCTATCCGCAATCTCCCCCTGATGGCCGCTTGGCCGTCCCGCTTCCGTGACTACCTATCTACCAGCGGCTGGTTTGTTCCGTCAGAAATAGCATCACTGCCTAGCCGCCGTTACACCGTTCGCCTGCCTGTCTCGCTAACCCGTTTGCGCCGCAGCTAGCTGGCTGCACTACGAGGCCACGCCATTGCTCGATCAATAGAACCATACCTAGCCCTTATCGCGAACGATACGCCTTCTCCCCTTCACCATGGCAGAGCGCCTCACGGACAAGCAGGTCACCGACTTGCTCGACATCCTGCGCAGCAATGCCGCCCTCGACCACAAGGTCACCGCCGTCACCAACGCCAAGTCGGCCATCAAGCAGCACAACGTCCCCGAGGGCAGCATTGCCCTGCTTTTCGAGGCGCTGCGCACCGCTTCCACCGCCCAGCATGCTGTTCTCGTAAACGCCGGCTTCACTGCCCTCGGACACCTCCTGACCCGCCTTTCCCGCCAGGAGCCCAAGCACATCGGAAAGGAGGCCGTCCGCACGCTCCCCGTCGTCATCGAAAAGCTTGGCGATCAGAAGGACAAGTACCGCACGCTCGCCTCGCAAGCCCTTGTCACCATCTACGCTGTAAACCCCGGTGAAGTCGAGCGCATGGTTCGCACCACAGCCATGTCGGGCAAGAACCCACGCGCCAAAGAAGCCTCCTTACACTGGCTTCTCCTGGTACGACACGCCGCTCCATAGCTTGTTGACCCTCGCTAATCGCACGAGCAGATGCACCAAGATCACGGCTTGCAATTCCGAAGCTACGTCCCGTTGCTTATGGAGCTACTCGAGGACGCGGACGGCATGGTCCGAGATGCCGCCAAACACACTGTCATTGAGCTGTTTCGGTTCGTAATGTGCCCTACCCGGGCTTGACCAAGCTAAACTTACTGTCTGTAGAAATGCGCCCAACACTGCCAAGTCGGATCTTAAGCGACAGCTCAAGAATTACAAGGTCAGGCCGGCGATCGAACAAGCCATCATCAAAGAACTAGCACCAGCTGGCGCACGCTCCGAAACACCATCTGCACCCGCACCGAGTAGCCGTCCGCATTTTGCCGGCAGCGTATCGTCCATGTCGAGCGAGCGTCCCGTTACACCAGCTGTACCAGAGTCCCAGGCGGATCCAGTTGAGCCACAATACGTTAACACCAACCGCGAACTAGACGAGGTGATCAAGGGCATGGCCTGGCAGTATGAGGGCCGCGAAACCGAGCAGAATTGGCAAAAGCGAGAGCAGGGCATGACTACTCTCCGTCGACTCAATGCCGGCAATGCTCCTTCCGACTTTCACGACACATTTGTCAATGGCCTCCGCGGCATGCTCGACGGCATCATCAAGTCTTTGACCTCGCTGCGAACGAGTCTTTCCAAGGAGGCCTGCGCCCTGATTGAAGATGTTGCTCTGACCCTCGGCCCTGCTATGGAGCCCATGGTTGAGCTGCTGATGCAAACTCTGCTCAAGATGACTGCTTCAACAAAGAAAATTACCTCACAGATGACTAGCACGACAATTGACACCATCATTAGCCGCATCTCCTACACACCTCGCATCATGCAACATATCTGGAGCGCTTGCCAGGACAAGAATGTCCAGCCCCGTCTCTATACGACTATCTGGCTCAAGACGCTCATTAAGAAGACGTCGGGGAACAAGCATCACATTGAACATACTGGTGGAGTTGATCTCATCGAAAAGTGCCTGAAAAAGGGCCTTGCTGATGCCAACCCCGGCGTCCGAGAGAAGATGAGGCCCACGTTTTGGGCATTTTGGGCTGTCTGGCCCTCTAGAGCAGATGCTATCATGGAGGACCTGGATGCTACCGCGCAGAAGCTCCTCAACAAGGATCCGAGCAACCCCAATTCTCCCAAGAAGACTGAACCCGCTAGACCCGGCAGCAGCCTATCCAGAACTGGGAAGACGGCTAGCAGACCCAACATACGTGAAGCTATGATGGCACAGAAGAGGGCCATGGCCGCTCAGAAGCTGCCACCCCGCCCTGGTTCAGCCATGGCACAGCTATCGCCAGTACGCGCAACATCAAATGCGTCCACTAACGCTCCACAGTCTGGCCACGCGGCCCCTCCGAAGCTCACCTCGCGTACCAAAACAGAATCGACCATTTCTGTGAATGCTGGTGGCATGTCGGTTGCACCTATGAGGCCGTCCAGGAGACGTCCCGAGATTACCCGACCTGCCACTGCAGGCCCGTACTCGGTTCGTGACCAACCTGGCTTGGAGATCCATAGCCCGGAATCTTTGAAGTCCAGGAGCCAGACACCAAGAGTCATGAAGGATACGACGCCTAAGAAGTCGGTTTCCCGAACCCGGCCTGGCCATGTCTCCCACGGCAGTGAGTCTAGTATTCCATCGCCTACATCTAGGACAGGAGCCAAGCTCAGAGTCGTTTCGCCTCGGGTCAGTCCTGCAAAGCCTAGGATGCCGCATGAAGACCTGCTTGGATCGAGCCCAACCCGCCACGGTCCTGGTAAGCAGAGCGTAGAGCGCTACTCGCCCACAAAGGTGCACGAGGATATCAGCCTTGTTGTGCCCAGCATGGCCAGCCTCGAGTCTGCCTCAACCATTGTTGCCGATGACGAGGAATTTGCGACTATGGATGTTCCTACTACGCCGACACCCGTGATGGCGCATATTGCTCGGCATTCCGAACCACCGCAAGATGCTGAGCCGTTGAAGGTGTATGAAGACCCTGATGCCGAAATACAAGCCACGCCAAAACCGGAAGTGTCGGGCCCCGTTCTCGAGGATAGGCCCGTCAACGAGGATGCTGCCAAACTCCAAAAGGCTGCTGAGATCACCGCGGCACCGGTGGAACCCGAGTCGCCTGAAAAGATGCGCCAGAACTCTCGTCTTCTGGACAGTGGCATCGCGAAAATCAAGGCCATGTCGCTGGAAGTCCACGGGTTCCGCAAGCTGCAGTCCCTTATCCGGGACAGCAGGACCATGTTTACCGACGACAAGTTCGAGGCGCTCTTGCTTGGCCTGTTCAAGTATCTCGAAAACCCGCTTAGCAACCTGCCATCAGACAAGGGCCAAGACATCAAGGCTCAGATTCTTGCCACCATCAAGCTTCTGCTAAGGAAGGAGAGGGAAAACTTTCAACCTCACGTGTCCAAGGGTCTCGAGGCTCTGCTGCAGACGCGCAGTGCATACGACTCGCGAGCCCACGTTGTCAGCGGTCTGGAGCTTCTCGCCGACGAGTTGGTGGGCATCGGTGACGGGTCCGAGATTGTGGTCGTCCTGACGCGGCAGCTGCACGACATCACCGACGCCACGACTGAGGGCTGCCGAAGCCTGAGCATGGGCCTCCACGTGCTCAAGGAGATGCTCAACAGGCGGGCCGAATTCCAGCCCACGTCGGGCGAGCTGGAGCAGCTGACGGGCCTGGCGGGTCACTGCCTGGAGTCGGCCAACTCGGGCGTGCGCATGGACGCGGTCAAGTTCTGCGTGGCCCTGCACGCGCGTGTCGGCGAGGCTACGTTCTGGGACGCGCTGAGCGGGATCAAGGACGACCCCAAGAGCCTGATCACCTATTACATCGTGAAGCGCCAGCGTGAGCAGCAGCAGCAGGCTTGAAGCGTTGCAGAGAAAAACGCTCAACCAAGGGCGTGTTGGGGAGAATTTGAGTTTCGGCATTTTGGCGCTGGGTTGTTGACATTTCTTAGTAGCATGTAGGTGAAAAAGGCCGTTGTACATTAGATGAAAAAGGCCATTGTACATTAACCCATTCGAAATTTTTTTTCTGATATCTGAGCTGCCTGACTTTCTGAGTTGCCGCATATTAGGTAGCAAGCCAACTGCAGACAAACCTGGAGGCTGCTTGACCCGGGCATGTAGTAAATCCCAACTCGACCGGACCGGAGCCCAACTGATGACAATACCCTATTTGGACACTCACGCCTCATAATCCGTAAATAACTCATAGTATCTGGCCCGCTTCAGAGTCCGACTTCCGAGCAAGCAAGGCGCTATCTTTCGAGAACCCTTGCCAGACACGCATATGCATGTTTCAGGAAATATTGTGTATGGTCGATTTGTTCCATGGCTACGGCGGGGAGCATTAAGGGAACATGTCCCAGCATTCAGCAAACCTAAGGTACTCATCGGAGTTTCGAAATTTGCCACACCAGTTTACACATTATAGAAGGAGCATTGTGAACGGCCAAGGCGGTGCCTTGCCACGTGTGTCATGATTGTGGTATCGAGAGGAGAAGGGCAGGCGGGCATCAAGACTTCAGCCACCAACGGCAGTTGGGGAAGGCCTACCACTATTCTCTTTGTGGCGACGTACATTTACATGCGGGATGCAGCCCAACTCCAGTCAGAGCCTAACACGACAACAGGGTCTAAGTCACACCCCTTTGACTTCGAATGCGGTCGGTAGAGTGCTCTCAAGTAGAAGTGGTTGGCAGAGGAGTGGTATTCGCCTACCAACAAAGACGCAAACGTGCTATAGATTAGCAGAACCTCTTTAGTAACGGCACTTCAGAGAAAGCTGAGAGCTCAGTCTCCGTTCTATCAATATTTACGCCTTAGCTTCAGTATTCACCCTATCACAACATGCGGCCTTTGTCCCGAAACACAAATGGCAATGGGAGCGGTAGGCGTGGATGGCGACGCCGAGGGGAGACCAACCACGGCGAAGCCAAAAAGCCATGTACATTCTTCCAACGGACACAAAGCTGTCGATATGGTTCATCGTGTCGATTTTCCCATGAACTTTCGTCGGTGGATGCTGGCAAACGCCCAGGTAGGAATCGCAGTCCTATTGCGGAGGAAACAACCGAGCAGTTGCAAGCCAGGGCAGATTACAATTCGTGGAAGAGGATCATAAAAGACTGGCCTGCAAAAAACAATGCGCAGAACGCTGAGAGTCTATGGCGCGGTGCTCTTGACATTCTCAACGGCAGCGAGAGAGAATGGAAGCACGGGCTGGCCAGAGATCTCGACGACGAAGCTCTCCACGGGCGAAGACACATCCAAGCGACGGTAAGCTGTGCAGCGCGGGCAGGGTATAATACGACCAGCTTCCATGCCATGAGCTGCTTCCTCCAGACAATGACACATGCGTCAATCCTGGACTGCCTTTCCATCGATACCTGTGTTGGTAGCCTGTACAACTTCTTCAGCGGCCCAAACGGGAACCGTGCCATCCCAGCGCTGCTGGCGTTCTGTGAAGGGGTGCTCGAGGGAATTTGTGATGTGCCGGACGGGTGCTGTGCAGATGCAGAGTCCGCTGCCGTTGCCCTTTCTACCGCCCTGCGAGAGCTTCTCAAGCGGGAGCAGCGCGCCCGACTGCACGACGACCTGCCGCCCCTCATCGACTCGGTAGAAGGTCTGTCGAGAACTCTTACCCGACGGGGCCTGCTCAACACCTCAGCCCTACTGGCACACCATGTCTGCGAGATTCGAGCTGTCGTGGGCCGAGCCAGAGGGCTCCTCAGCGTAGCCGATGCCGACGCCGACGCCGCCGAGTTTGCAGACGCGCCACTACCAGCCTACCCTCGCGGTCTGCACATGCCCAACGACCGCCACGACAATGACAAGATGGACATTGCGGCCATGAAAATCTTCCCCACGCGGGCCGAGATCCTCAGTGATGTGGTCGAGTTCCTCCCGTCCACCGACCCCGAGCAGCCCCATTTCTTCGCCGACAAGTCCCAGCGCCACGTCGACACGCTATTCCGCCTCCTCCGGCAGGATACGTTCGGGGAGCTCAAAGACGTCCTGGCAAGCACCCTGCGTGCTTCCGAGATGGACCGAACCCACCTTGACAGCCCCAAGCTCAGCTTCGGCAACCTTAGGGCGAATCGATATCCCAAGGCCGTCATTAGCTACCTTTCCTTTAGCGGACGCCGTGGATTGGAGGTGGATATTTCGTTTTCTCAACCCTCAGTTCTCCGAGGCAAGTCTGTCTCCGAGAGACGACGATGGTGGGAGGACTCTCGACGACTTGCCGAGGGTGTGCTCGTGTCGTTCATAGCGATCGATCAAGGCCGCGCACAGCACCTGTTTCTCATCATCAGCAACAGAACCATCGACGACGGTAAAGACGAAAGCCTGGCGAAGAACAACAACCGCGCGACGGTGAAGTCGAGACTCAGCAGCCATGACCAAGCCAACATTGAGACTCTCGTTGGCCTCAGCAGTTCCAAAGCGCAGGGCGTCCTTTTCGAGTTCCCGGGGGTAATACCCGCCACTTTTGTACCTATTCTTGAGAATTTACAGAACATGCAACGTCTTGGCTCACTGCCGTTCCAAGACTGGATCCTCCCCGACAGGATCGAACAGGGGCACGGGGACACGGCTGCAGACATCCCGCCACCTCGGTACGCACGCAAACCGGGCTTCGCCTTTTCTCTAAAGCCTATTCTGAGAAACAGTTCTCTCGAAGCTGCCAACCTCTCCGTCGAGCCGTGCTCAAACTCGGTCGACGAAGACCTTCTCAGCCGAGTGGAGGCAGAAACGGATCTGGATCGCGGACAGTGCCGAGCCCTGATCGCGGCACTTGGTCGTGAGTTTGCACTAATTCAAGGACCTCCAGGGACGGGGAAATCGTATCTCGGCATCAAATTGATGAAAGTTCTGCTAAACTGCCAAGCGAAAGCGGCCCTCGGGCCTATAGTTGTTGTGTAAGTAAATAAGTATCCGCTGGAAAGTGTAATACCCGCTGACCGTAGTGACACCAGATGCTATACAAACCATGCGCTAGATCAGTTCCTCGAGCATCTGCTGCACGAAGGCACCCAAAAAATTATTCGTATTGGAGGACAAAGTCAGTCACGTCTGCTGGAGGGATATAATCTCCGGACAGTGGCACAGTCGGAATCAAGGAGCGGCTGGGAGAGGTACAATCTTGCCAAGTCGTACGAAGAGCTGGAGAGTAAAGCAGACAGCATCAAGAGGGCACTCGGCAAGGCCCATGGGGTAGTGCGGCAGATGAAGTGGGACAACATCCAAAGATACCTCCTTCGACACTATCCACGCATATTCATTCAATTCAGGGAGGTAGACGCGGATGGATACAAAACTGCCGGTCGACACCCCTTTGACATTTGGGCATCGTTCAAGAAGGACTTGGTCGATGATGTTGGCATCGAGACAGAGGTTGATCGCGAAGCTCTTCTCGGCAAAGCATCTCAGAACGTCCATTCTCTCTCCCCATTGGAACGGGGACGCCTTGTGGGTTTCTGGACCACGGAGAACTACAAGCAGGCAGTGGATAATTTGTACGAGGACATCGAGTATAGCTCTTCAAAGCAGCGACAGGTGTCAAACATTCACGACGAAGTCGACCGGAGGGTGTTGCAGGAAGCAGATGTCATTGGCATCACGACGACGGGACTGGCAAAGCGAATATCCACCTTGCAGAGGCTGCGGTGCAAAGTTGTTATTTGCGAAGAGGCCGGCGAGGTGATGGAGCCGCACATGCTCACGGCACTGCTCCCGGCCGTGGAGCACATTATCCAGATTGGCGATCATGAGCAGCTGCGACCTCAGATCAACAACTTTGGCCTGTCACTGGAGAGCAAGCAAGGCAAGCTGTACCAGCTGGACCGTAGCCAGTTTGAACGACTTTCAGTCGGGATTCCGGGGCGGCCCAAGATTCCCGTGGCGCAGCTGGACGTGCAGCGACGCATGCGCCCCGACATATCCAGGCTGATCCGCGAGACGCTGTATCCCAGCATCCAAGACCATCCGAGCACCCGCAGCCTTCCCGACGTGGTGGGAATGCGCAAGAATGTATTCTGGCTTGACCACGACCACTTGGAGGACGGAGCGTGCTTGGAAATGCAGCACAAGTCCCATTCCAACGCGTGGGAGGCGAGCATGGTGCACGCGCTCGTCCGCCACATTGTCCGCCAGGGCGTGTACGGCAGCACCGACATTGCGGTGCTGACGCCCTACACGGGACAGCTGCAGAAGCTTCGGGCGGCGATGCGCAGCGACTTTGAGATCGTACTGAGCGACAGGGACCAGGATGCGCTGGACAAGGACGGGTTCGACGCCGCGTCGCTCGGTCCCGACGACGATTCGCCAAAAGCCGCTCCGATGCAGAGGAAAGGCGGCGCGCTGACCAAGAAGAGGATGAGCGAGCTGCTGCGCGTGGCCACGGTGGACAACTTTCAGGGCGAGGAGGCCAAGGTCGTCATCGTCTCACTGGTCAGGAGCAACGGGGCGCGCAAGGTGGGCTTCCTCAAGACGACCAACAGGATCAACGTCCTTCTGAGCCGGGCCCAGCATGGCATGTACCTCATCGGCAACTCGGAGACGTATGCGAACGTGGAGATGTGGCAGACCGTCATCGGGCTGCTGCGCGGGTCCGACTCGGTGGGCAGCGCTCTGGAGCTGTGCTGCCCGCGACACGAGGAGACGCCGATCAAGGTGTCCGAGCCCGACGACTTTACCCGGCTCAGCCCCGAAGGGGGGTGCTCGCAGGCCTGCGCCTGGCGCCTCCCGGACTGCGGCCACATGTGCCTGGCGCGGTGCCACTCGGAGAGCATGCACAGCATCTTCCCGTGTCCGCAGCCCTGCCAGCGGCTGCACGAGCCGTGCGGACACGGTTGCCAGAAGCCGACCTGCGGAGAGGACTGCGGCAAGTGTCTTGTGCCGCTCAACGGCGTCGAGCTTCCGTGCGGTCACTTCAAGGACGCCGTGGCCTGCCACGCTGCGCAGAAGCCCGCAACAATCCGCTGCCCAGTCGTGGTTGAGAAGACGGTCCCTGGATGCAACCACGCCGTCGAGGTGGCATGCTTCCAGCCCGTGACAGAAGCCGCCGGGTACGCTTGCCCGGTGCCTTGTACAGCGCCGCTCCCGTGCGGCCACACCTGCCCGGGTACGTGCGGCGGCTGCCGCGAGCAGGATCGCGACGCGGCGGCAAGGTCGTCGCATCAGAGCTGCCGCAAGATCTGCATGCGACCGTTTGGAACGTGCAACCACCACTGTCGCAGGCCCTGCCACGACGGCACCGACTGCGGCCTCTGCGTAGCGCCGTGCGAGGTACGATGCCCCCATTCCAAGTGCGCCGCGACCTGCAGCGAGGGCTGCGTCCCCTGCGTGGAGAAGTGCGAATGGGCGTGCGAGCACCAGGGCGCCTGCGCGATGCCGTGCGCGGCCCCGTGCAGTCGGCTGCCGTGCGACGAGCGATGCGCCGAGCTGCTCCCGTGCGGTCATCGCTGCCCGAGTCTCTGCGGCGAGGCTTGCCCGGCCGGCCTGTGCAAGGACTGCGGGATCGCACCCGACGCGCGCGTCGACCTGCTCGAAATGAAGACGTATGCCGAGATCGACGTCGACCTGACCCCCATCGTCGTCCTCGCGTGCGGTCACTTCTTCACGGCCGAGACACTCGACGGCCTCGTGGGCATCAACGCTGCGTACGTGACGTCCCGCGAGGGCCGCTTCACCGCGCTGGCCGACGTCTCCGGTGCCTTTGCCAGGATGCCGCAGTGTCCAGACTGCAAGCGCCCGGTGAGGCAGTACGCGACGCGGCGGTATAATCGCATCATCAACAGGGCTGTCGCGGACGAGTCGGCCAGGAGGTTTCTGGTCGCGGGCAAAAGTGAGCTCATGGCCTTGGACGGGGAGCTGAACAAGTTGCAACAAGAGCTTGCCGCATCGCACGCGGACGTTTTGCAATCCATCCAGAACATCCCCGAGGGCCGTCCGTGTCGTTTTGGCCCGCAATTTAAAACCCGTTACGAGAGTGGGCAAGAGCTGCGCAGAAAGATGAGCAGTTTCTGCAAGAGATCCTCTGACCGGTATCAGCCCTCGCACAAGCTCTACGAGGCAACGGTCCACGCGCTTCGGAGACGAACATCCGACGACCTCTGCGACGGGCTCGCAGGCCTGACTCTGGACAGCTCACCGCACCCCGTCGAAAGGGATCGCCGTGTGGCTGTGGCAGGCGAGATGGCGCTGCTGAAGCTGGAGTTCCTCACACTCGAGGATATGCTAGGTCTCATGCGGGCGATCCAGCAGCTCACGCTCGTACAGCCGCCTAAATGGCCCGGCGGTCCTCCGTTGCCGCGCGTTAAGCCATTTCTAGAATTGTGCGCGTCCTTAATCTCCAGCTGCCGCGCCGAAGCCCTACCCAAGATTGCCGTAGAGGCCACCCTCTACCATGCCAGGATGGCGCGCATGTATCAGTCCTGTTCTTCACTGGAGGACGCCGACAAAGCCAAAGCGATTGGTTTCGTGGAAGATGCGAAGCATAACCTGGAAAAGGCGTCTCTCTTATGCGAGCAGCCGTTTCAACATGCCGAGAGATTAAAGGAGGCGGTCGAGGATACCATTCGGTTACTGCAGCGAGAATGGTACGAGACCGTCAGCCCCGAAGAAATCGCTGCCATCAAGGAAGCCATGGTCGCGGGGCGGTCCGGCTTGGCCACCCACTCTGGTCACTGGTACAACTGCATCAATGGACATCCAGTACGTCTCACAGAGCAAATGCCACATGCATAATGAGAGCTGACAAGAGCACAGTTTGCGATTGGTGAATGCGGAATGCCCATGGAGCAAGCGCGCTGTCCTGAATGCGGTGCGGCCATCGGCGGATTGAATCATCAAAGCGTCGCTGGCGTCACACGAGCGGAGAATATGGAAAATTGACCCATGTAGGAATCTGTATGGCAAATATAGGTTATTTCGCGGAGAAAATAGGCGCCCGTTATAGTCGTGAGGCCGCCTTGCCGAGCAGGTGTCAGCCAGGGAGGTTAGTGTGGCACAGGGCTTCACGCGCGTACTGTCTGTCCACTGTAGACTAACTAGTAAATAGAGCTAAAGATGCTACATACATCCTAGTACACTTTACTGCTTTTAACTAGTTACGAAATAGTACTATAAATATACTATATACTATATACTATATACTACATACTACTTTTTAATAAAGTTAATATAAACACTTGAAGAATAGTCTTTAAGCCAGCTAGTTAATAAAAGCACCGCACGAGAATCCGTGCTACGGGGGAAACAGGAACAAGAGCAGAAATAGGAGGTCGAACGCTTATAGGCTTACAGGAGGCAGAGACGTCATTGTTTTTTTTTTAGATATGTAAAGTAGCTTAGCTAGTGAGCCCTATTAGCTGTCTAGTCACTAGGCCTAATAAACTTTCAGTTTAGCATATATATAGGGTTTACTATAAGCTTATTTAGCTATAGTGACACTTTTCTTGCTAGATAGGCAGCGACGTTTGGAGTATAGTAACGCATAGTATCCTAGTGGTTCCGGACTATCTAGAGCCACCGCGGATGCAACAGGCCATCCTACATTCGATAGACAGATTGTCAAACCGTCTGCCATATATTGGCTTCCTCTACTTCTCACCACTGCTTGCGTGGGGAACCACGGTAGAACCAAGTTTCGTATACCCCGCTCCTCTGGATATTTGATAAGACCTCAAAATGTCACACGCAGTCTCGCACTCGCAGTCTGGTATATGCTGTCTCGTATTTGCAGTCTCGTATATGCAGTCTCGTATATGCAGTCTCATACTTGCTGTCTCATACTTTCTGTCGCTTACACGCTGTCTTGGCGTGCTCCTTGCCTAGTAGCTCTACAGAAGCAGCAACAGGATATTGCTCGTAGGTATTGTCTCTGTGCTACGATTTTGCTGTCAATACGTAGCCGCGCCACACTGCAGCTGTACTTGCTGGCTCATGGACGCTTTGTACCGCTGCTTTAAGAGATATTTTGTGCCACTGGGTGAAGTAAATTTCGCGATGTACTGTGGGCCCTCCCCCGTTTTAGAAGAACTCAGCTGCACTAGAATAGCTTTCCCGATCATCCTGCCTTTAGCTGGTCGAGCCAGCATTTCAACGGTTTAATACGAATAATACAGTGGACCCAAGGCCTCTCTATTAAAACAACACCCGCGATGAAGTGATCCAGCTAATCTGAAAGGGCCTTATTTGAGCATCACTAAAATGCTATGGGTCGATTCACTATATCAAACAGTAAGGTCGTTCTGGCGGACTTGAAATGATTCGGCTTGTAGAAGTAGAGTCAGTGATTGGGACTCGAAGAGGGCTACGACACACTCATGTCACCCAGTTAAATAAAATTAGCGACCCAAACATCCATGGACCTGACTCCTTTCCGACCTCCTGGTATGCCCTCCAAGTTCGCCTCACACGCATCCCGTAACGCAAGAACAACCGCCCGTTCCCTCTGATCACTCACTTCCTCCTCTACTGTCTTTTCGAACGAGGAAGAAAGACAAGCAGAGACTTCCCACTGACCATCCAGCAGCCCCTCTCCACATTGAACATGTGTGTCCAGGGTGAGGAATCAATCCACCCACGTCCACGAGTGCTTGTCGTGGATGGAATTGACAGCTTACTCAGCAGCGCTGTCGTGGGTTGAGTCCACGAAGCCTTCTCGTGGGTTGATGGCCACAATATTGAGGACCCATGTCGTCTCCACATCGATTTCCTAATTGAGTAATTTTGAAGCTATCGTGAAACCCCCTTACCCCGCCTCATCCTCGAAACTCCTCCGTTGAGCAATCCTCCCCAAGCCCCATTGATACAGCCCTGTCCAGCAGTATATTGTCAACATCCTTGATTATTCCCGCGCGTAGCCACGAGCGTAAGGTTTGGATAAGTCCAATTGTTCCTGCATCCATCCTGTTCCGCAGCGGAGTAACCATTAGCCCTGCTGCCGAGAACAGCCTCTCGCACTCTGCGCTCATGGCCGGCACTGTCATCACATCAAGTGCCATTCGAGACAGCTTAGGATACTCGAATCTCTTCAGGTGCCAATACTCCACCGGGTCAGCCACATCTCTGTCCAGCTCCGACATGCTAGCTTGCCAGCGTGCGTATTCATCTGCTCCGGCAGTGGGTGCATTGCTTTGCCGGTGTCTATTACGGTACCTATCAAATGAGGACAGCACAGTCTTCTGCTTTTTTAGCGCTGGCCCATCGGCAGTGGATGCGACTGTGATTTGCAGGTTACTATATTCATTGCTCCAGAGCTGCTGCACAATCTGCTTCGCTTCTTCAACCCATTCCGGGTGGTGCCGGCCCCAAATCTCGTCAAAATAAGTCCATCGCAGCCCAGGATGCAAAGCAGCGGCAGCGTAGTAGACCGGCGTGTCTCTCAAGGTATTATAGTACTTGTCCAGCTTCATCCAGCCAAGATTGACGTTAATGCCAAAATGCTCCGGCTCGGGATGCGTCTCGATCTGCGACTTTGCGTCTTCCAGCTTGCTCAGAAGGAACTCAAATGCCTCTAGCACGTCAGTCATCGAACCGAAGGTCTCTCGTATGCCGGAGGCGCGACAACGCGGCTGCCCATCGCCCTGGAGCGCTTGTACAACCACGTGGAAGTCCGAGAGGATCTCGTCAAAAGTCCTGAGCACCGCCCAATCGTTCTCGGTGAGGAAGCTTGACTCCTCAAGACAAGGAGGAAACCTCCGGCCTACCTCTCCTCTCCGGCCATCTCGGAAGATTCTCTTTGCTTTAGCAATGAACTCTTCATAGAAAGGCTGCAGTCGCAACAGCCGCTTGATCATGTAGTATTGGGATAGCCATCTGGTATCGTTGTCAATAACCACGTCGACTGGCCGTTGCTTCCCAACTTCGGCGTCGTCAGCTGCCGCATACGAGTCTTGTTGGATTTGGCGAAGCAACTGCGTCAGAACATCCGACCGATGGACCCAAATGGCAAAGTTGTGAGCTTTGCCGACGGGGCCTCTCCGCATCCACGTGTCGTGCGCTGCCCTTGCCAGTGCTTCGCCCTTCGCGACGGTGTCCTCAAACGCCTCGACATCTTTTCCAAACAGAAGGGACTTGACGACGAGATTGAGAATGTGGCCAACGCATCGAACGCGCCGTCGCACCGGATCGAAGTGCAACTCTTGCGCGATCTCGCGCATCGCCGTGTCGTTGTTCGCTGCATTGTCGAGGGTGAAGTAACCCACTTTGTCCTCGATGCCGAAGGAGCGAATAATGTCAAGGATCTCAGCAGCGATATTCTCGCCGGAGTGTCGTTCCACCAGCTCCGGAATGCCCAGGACAAGCTTTCGGAGTTGGTTGTCCTCATCTCGGAAGACAGCCGTCACGCCGTATAATGCGTGACGGTTTCTGGTCCTCGCGCCATCGAAAGCGATATGTATCTGGCCCGGAGACCTCCTCAATGCATGCTGAACGGCATCGCGATGGCGCTCGAACTGCTGAATAGCCAAGCTCTGGATAGTCTTAGCAGTAACATGCGCATCCTTGATACGCACCGCAGGATTCAGGTATTCGAATATTTGTCGCAGACGTGGATGTTCGACCTGCCTGAATGACTGCTGGCTCTCTACTATCCAGTTCACCACCAGCTTCTGGAACTCGGCTTGATCGAATCGTCGGATTAGGTTGTTCGCCAGGGCCTGGTCGTTAGGCTCCAAACGTTTGAGGCCCATGAGGTCTGTGATCGATGCGAAGGCTTTCCTTCCCTCTTTCGTCTGCAGTGGCGTTCGTCGTCGTCCTGACGGATCCCAGTAGCCGTGAGACTTCCAGAGGTGGTGCTCGGCATTCTGTGTGCCTCTTGATTCGTATGACTGTGGTGATGATGCTTTTTGGCGCACGCACGGCATGCAGATCCATCGCCTGGACGCTTCTGATTGAATCTCAACGCCGTAGTCCCATATCCAAGACACCGTATCCTTGGTTCGTTCGGCTAGTGTGAAGCCCTTCCAGACGCGGAATATGCGCTGCTCCTCATCTGAGGATGGCGTCCAGGATGTCAAAGGAATTTTTCCCGCGTCTAGAAGGGCAAGCCTCGGGAGCAGTAAAGCATCGTGCGGGGTATCATCGCTAGCTGGTGTTTTAGGTTCGATGTTGGTAGTTACTGGCTCGGCCATGTTTCAGCTGCCAGTCGCCTCGTGTTGCAGGTGGCCTAAAATGGCGACGCGTCGCAGGACGCGACAAGGCGCGCCCGCCGTACTGTAGTGGGTGGATAGTGCCGACAACTAGTGTTACGTCGGCCCCAGCGAGCGACTTAGGTTGGCCTCTTACCCTGCAGCAGAGCTTCCGTTTCTCGCGATGCTGGACGACTGGTCAATCCATCCATATCGTCCATCAAAATGCGCAGCACCGTGGATTGGTTGATTATGTAACAATTCAAGTCGTGGGTTGACGTTGACGCGTGTTGAGGTCAATATATTGGTCAACCAGTGGATTTCGTGGATTGATTCCTCACCCTGTGTGTGTCACTCTCCAGCTGCCACCCGGCCGCCACGGCCAGCTCGATAAGCCGCTTTGGCCCCAACATCGTGCGGACGTTGGAGACGCTTTCCCTGGGCTCATGGCGCTCCAGCGCCGCCTGGGCAAGCGCAGCTAGTACGTGAGGCTGGGCAGAAGGGTGCGTCGCCATCAACGACCACTCAGCAAGGAGGAGTCGCTTGCTATGCTGCTTAATAGCACGCAAGGTGGCAAGAATGAGCGAGGGGGAGGCAAAGTACCATAGGCTGTGGGCAAGCACTGCTGCATCAAAGGTCTTGCTTTCATTGATCGGCTTTGAGGAGCCGGAAGAGGGGTGGAGGGAGGAGAGGTACTCCAAAGGCGCCTGTTGGACCCAAGTAATCTGCCTACCCAACGGGCCTTGCGAGATGTGGCCCTGTGCTTGGCAGAGAGTATACGGTGCACCTGCAGGAGCTATTAGATGGCTGCTTTGTATTTGTATCACCCCGGGAGGCAGTATGGCAAGAAAAAGCGAGAGAGCACTTCACTTACCATATTCCAAGTCGGCCGGATCTACAGCCACCACCGTTCCCTGCTCGCCCACGGCACTGGCGAGGACAATCGTGCAGTCTCCCTGCCCGCATCCCAGCTCCAGTACCTTGGAGCCAGCGGGGATGTTCCAGTGCTGCAGGAGCACCAGGCGGTGAAGGGTTTGGGAGTACTGAATGTCGAAGTGGGCTTCGTCGTGTAGAGAGAGACGGGCGATGGAGGCGGCGTCGAGCTGAGTAGACATGATGGGATCGAGGAGGGCTGTGTGCGAGTATGAGACGACTGAGAGGGATCGGGCTAGCTAACAAGTTGGATGCCACCAGTTGGAACCATGGAGTAGAGATGGCCTTTTATCTCCTTGACGGTGAAGGAGGAGCAAGCAGGTGAGGGGGCGCACCGCTGTCGACTTAGCGTGTACCTGTACATCTGTACGATGAATACGTGTGAAACCTGAATGTACATTGTATGCTCTGCTTGGTTCCAAAAGACGAAGCACAAAGAAAAGCTCTTGCCGTGGAATTCAGCCGCCAGCTACTGGTACATACAGCTGCTCCCCCCCCTCACCAAAAAAAAGTACTTCAATTAATGCCTAATTCGCCAGTAAACCCACGTACCTGCTAATCTAGTGACGTTTAATTAGCTAAGCTAATATCCCTGCGGGTCACGTGCTTGTTTCTCCTCCCACTGTCAAAGGGGTACCTAGGTACTTGTGTACTTGGCTTCGAAAAGAGAGAGACGGCGCCGATCCACCGCCGATCTACCGCCGATCTACCGCCAATCCTGCCCCACTCACGCCTTCATTCTCACCAACTCAAAGCCAAACATTGGCGCCATATCAATCTGCATGAAATCTACATGACAAGCCACGCGCTGGCACCTCATCTCCACCACAAGACTTTCCCCCCCGCTCGGACACGCAAACTCCCGTGTTGTGCTGTTCGGCCTGTGTGTGAGGTCAAGCATGCCCAGCAGCTCTCCGCGCACGGGGAGAGTCGAATACGACACAGTGTCGTAGTCGAGCTCGTCCATGCTCGAAAAGCTGGTGGCCGAGGGTGCGATAAGCTGCCAGACTTCAATTTCCGTTATATCCCCCTTGGTTGTGAGGTCCTTGGTGCGCGCGGAGAGCTCGGGAGGTGGCCGCCAGGAGAGCGCACAGGTGTTGACGCTGGTGGACGGGACGGGGAAGCGCATGATTGTCGAGTCCTTATTCTGGGTCAGCAGCTGGACACGCAGAGGTGGACGCAGAGGACACGTAGATGGCTTATTGGGCAAAGGACTGAGACGGAACAAGGTATGGAATACGAACCTCGACAGTGATGTAGACCTGTACCCCCTGACCCCACACGGCATTCTTCAACTTCCGGCTCACCCGTGCAATTCTATCCGGCCAAGAGTGGTGATAGATTGGTCGGGGGGGCATGAACTCCGAAACTCGGTCCAATCCCAGCCTAGCGTCGCCGTAGGGGAGGGCCTCGAGTTCCGAGTCAGAGGGGGGGTGAGCCTGGTATTTTGATAGTGTGGCAGGAAGGAGAGCAATATTCGCAGCTGACAGCAGCGCCAGAGCGAAGGAGAAACAGAGAATGAGCTTGGGCAGCGGGGAAGGATTGGATGCCGCGAAGGCGGGCAGGTCGCCTGAGGCTTCCAGCAAAGGCGCAGAGTAGTCGTCCTCGGAGGAAAGGCGCTTTTCAGCATTTGCACTAGAGCCCTCGCCATCGTCGCATAGCGGAAGGGGCTCGTATTGGGAAGAGCTGGGCTTTGCTTTGGAAGAGGACATGGTGAGAACGCTCGAAAAGGGCAGAGAAAGAGAGAGAGGGAGAGAGAGAAGAGGGAGCGGAGTGAGAGGAGAGGCCGCCGTGAGTGGAAGCAGGTAACGCTATTGAAGTTGCTAAGCTGGGATTGTGCAGCGGAATGGCAAGACCCCCATGCCAATATACTTCGTGGCATGGTTTCTGCTGTTGGGCACAGTGGCATATATGGTGCAGGGGCCACGGAAGTATCCCAGCGCGGCAATTGCGGCCCGTGCCGGGTGGTCGCCCGAAAGAGTGGGATTGATGAATGCATGCTACGCTATGCCGATCACCGTGGGGACCGTAGATCACTTTATCTACACGTGTACCGGCTAACACCAGCCAACTCTGAGACCAGCCATTTTGGGGTGTGTGTGTGATCCCGACGACTCCATCTGGCAAGGTAGTTCAACTGGCTGAGCATACCTAGTACTTCGTCTTCCCCTCGTTTTGTGCTCTGCTAAACTTTACCACTGTCAACCATGCCCTTCCTCTTCGTCCTCGCGGCAACCGCATTGCTACTTCCCGTCAGCATCAGCGTCGACCTCACATCCGCCGCGCACGCCGGCTTCCACGTCCAGTTCCCATGGATGACACGCGGTCCAAACCCCAGGATCCGGCCTGAGTTGGATGGGTACAATCCTTTCTGCAGTATGTTCCCCTTCGCATCTATGGCATCTAGCTGCGGCGCAGGCTGACATAGAGAAGGGAAGATCGTGCGCAACCCCCAAGTATACCCCCGCCGCTCTCGCAGTTTCCTCTCCTTCTCCGGCCATCCCGGTGACCTAGTGACGGTCCTCTATACCACAAATAGAGTGCCTAGGCAGAGAGATGACTTCCCCTACATGATTCTGCGGGATGTGCCCATCCAGCCTTCGGGCCAGCTGTGTGTCAACGTCACAATACCATTTCAGACCAAGGCCAACGAGATGGGGGTCATGTACTTCGAGGCGAAGGACCCGAAGACGGAAAATGTCGAACACTATGTCAGTTGCTCCCGGATCGCAAATAGTAGAGCTGATGCTTACGCAAAGACAGTGCTCCGATGTCGAGATGGCTGATATAGAGGCTCTTCCGGAGGAGCATCCGGCTATGTGTGCGGCTAACAACGAGACGCTTATCCCGATGCCGGATGAGTTCCTGTAGGTTCAGGCTGTAAAGCTGCCATTCCTGGTATTTGCATGTGTCGTTTGCTTCTAAATGTGCAACTTTACGCCTCTTTCTTATCTCAACGTAGTGACCTCAGGCAATGATACTAAGTTGACACTGAAATTTGCTTGACCCTATTTCAAGGTGCAAATAACGACACTTTCTATCAAATACAGGATTATCACCACAGTGCTACCGCTATCTATAGTGTATCTAACTGCAACATCCGCCACCGGTGCACCGGTATGCTTACACTAAAATATTGTAAGCCCAACGTGTAACGGGCAAGCCGCTTGAGCGGCGGCTGTGCCGCCGAGCTTCTAGAACCTTCCATTGATCGAAGCTATAGAAGTGCTGTTATGCTCTCATAAAGTTGATTCACTTTCTTTCCTCTTCATCTTGATAGAAAACAGCATAGGAACTAGATAGTTGAATCAACTTACTAGCGGCCTTTCACAACTTCTTGCATCAAGGTGTTATGATGATAGTTTGCGGGAAGCAACGAGAACGGCTCTGGTAGCGATAGCTGCTCTGTGGGCAAGCATCTCTCCGTGCTCTTCTGAATAGCCAGGTCGGCCATATCACAAAGACGAGGATGGCCTAGAATATCTGCGGCCGACAACTTCAGATCCATGTCCATAGCCCGTGCCGACAGAACCATGGCACTAATCGAGTCACCACCAAGCTGGAAAAAGTCGTCGTTCATCCCAATGTCGCCGCGATCCCGACCAAGCACATCTGCAACCAGCTGGTGTATTTTACTTTCTGACGTATTGGAAGGGGGCCTCATTCTAGATGAACAGAAGCCACGGTAGATGTTGAGCTCCCGTCGCAAAAGTGAGCACGCCTTGTCCTTGATAAGACGCCGGTCTACTTTGCCGGTAGGACCGAGGGGGAATTGCTTGAGGGGAACAAATAACGAAGGGATCATGAAAGGAGGTAGGCTCTTCCGTAGCGCCACTTCCGCGATCGATGCCCGAGATTGAAACTCTTCATCTGGGACGGCGAACATGGCAGACGTGGACAGCGTGCCTTGGTTGTTACTGGAGCGTTTCCCTGCAACATTGCTGGCATCCCAGATAAAAGCAGCAAGTAACCTCTGACTGTCTGAGTTCTCGGGGGCAATGATTTCCACAATGGCATCCGTTGTGGCAGGAAAATGCCGCGCAACTTGATGTTCAATCTCCGCAAGCTCCATTCTCTGCCCGCGAAGTTTGACCTGCCTGTCCTTCCGACCAACAAACTCTAGCGATCCGTCGCCGTCTGGACTGTACCGCATCAAGTCTCCAGTTCTGTATAGCCTGCCTGGTGACTCACTTCGTGGCATGGCACGCAACCACTTTGGCGGCGGAATGAAAGGCGAGCCGCCCAGATCCTCTCCCATGTACCCGCGGCCGACAATCGGGCCCTCAATCACCAACTCGCCAACCGCCCCAATGGCAACCAGCTTCTCTGGGTTGGCAGGCTCTACCAGCCAGCATGCGGAAGAAGCTGCCGATCCGATATTCACCGGATTGGCACCCGGTTGAGTCTTGGGCTGCACAGTGCAGTAGACCGTCCCCTCAGCAGGACCATATACGTAGACGAGCCGCACGGCGCCTGACCAAACCGTAAAGTCTATTCCCTTTGCAGACTCGCCACCAATCACCAAGGTGTTGAGATCTGGTACAGCGGAGGGTGTTAGAGTTCGGGCGACCGAAGGTGTCAGAAAAGTCCAGTTTGCTCTACGATCTCGTATGGCTTTGGCTAGGTTGTCCCGGCTGTCCGCTTCATTCGGGACGCATACGCAGCCGCCAAGGGCCAGTCCAAACACATAATCGGCAGCGGTGACGTCGAATGCATGGGATGCAAACTGAAAAATACGTGACTGGCGACCCAGATGGAAGTGCAGTCCAAGCGCGGTAACTTGGGTGGCGAAGGCTGAATGCTCGATAACGACGCCTTTCGGCGTTCCCGTTGACCCCGAGGTATACAGCGCACATAGGGCATTACTAGGGAGTGCTTGGATGGGATGATGCACTTGAGTAGTTAGCGAGGCTTGGTTTTCTCGACTGCTGTTCTCATCGACCTGGACGACGTGTTGACAGCCGAGCTTCGCCGCCAACGCAGCCATATCCTTGGAACATAGCAACACTGATGCTTGCGCATTCTTGCAAATCCACGCCAGCCGTTCGGTTGGGTGTGAAGGGTCCAACAGTATGAACGCGCTACCGGCTTTGGCGACTGCCAAGATGGCAACAGCGACCCATTTCGACTTTTCAAAGCAAAGAGGAACCATCATGTCTGGACCCAGTCGTTTCTCTCTAAGAACGGCTGAAAACAGTGACGACTGATCGTCGAGCTGCTTGTAGGTAAACTGACCATCCCATGCGTCAATCGCGCTAGCTTCTGGCTGCGCTACGCAATGGTCGTGAATCATGTCATGGATGCACCTCGGAACGGCTGGAGGCGCTGAAGAGTTCCAGCACTCGATTTGCTGCAAGTCATCTGTGCTGATACTGTCCATGTCGCCCACCAATTTATCCGGCGACAGTACTGTCTGCTTCAAGACATTGCCAAAAACTTGTAGAATCCGTCTCATTTGGGCCTTGGGCACCACCGTGGCATCGTAAACAGCCTCGAAACGGACGCATCTATCGGCGCCGGGGGTTGACAGAATCGTCAATGCGTATGTATTCCACATTGGCTGGGGCGTAAAAGCACCAGTATCACCGAAGATGCCAGATTTTTCGGCTGATGATTGACGCTGTTGAATGACGAGGAGGCTTTGGAACTTGCACGCCTTGGCCGCGTCGTCTCCAAGGCGACTGATGTTCTGTACCCCAAACTGTTCAAATTGTATCATCTCTATGATACGTTTCTGCAGCGTCTCCAGCTCCTCGTGAATTGATGAAGAGGACCTCAACTGAACCCTCAAGGGAAATGTTGCAATCGTGGGACCAGCAATCTTGTCAATCCCCGGCACGGGCGCTGCCCTGCCAGAAACCGTCAAGCCAAACACTACATCATTCACGCTGGTGTAAGCCATTAGAGTCATTGCCCACGCTAGCTGTATGCGCGTGGTGAGTGTTATATTTGCTGCCGTTGCAACACTTGGAGGGAGGCATATATGCTGGCTTTCGGATTCCGTGGTATTTGGGGAATGTGTGGGCGTTGGCAGAGCTGGAAACTGTTCGGCGCGTATCCCAGCAAACTCACTTCTCCAATGATCGGATGAATTTTTATTAGATTGGAGTACATATTTGACAAACTCCCTAAATGTTTGAAGGACTGGAACGTGGCCATGATACGTGTCGCTCACTTGGGTCTTCAGGATAGCCGCTGACCAGGCATCGTATATGCAGTGATGCATGGTAACGACGCAAAAGTTTGGCTCTCCGCTGGCGTTGGATATGATCGCCATTCGTACGAGCGGCGTACCCAGATTTACCGGCTTTGCCTCGTCGTCCGCCAGATATTTGGTCAAGTCATAGGCCATGTCAACAACCGCCTCGTCGCGAACCACGACTTGATACGTTGGGCCGTCACCAACAGATCGTATGACACGGGTTCTCAAGGCGGGGTTCGCGTCCAAGGTGGCTTTCCAAGCTGCTTCGAGCTTTCGAAAGCTAACGCCCTCTCTAAGCTTGTAGACACGTCGTGACACATACGAGCCTGGCCGTAGGGAGTTGAGAGCGACAAGGCCCTGTTGCATTGGTGTAGTTGGATAGATGTCCTCAATCTGAGTCGCCGGTAAAGCGTACTCCTTAGCTGCTGTTGCGAGAACAGCTTGCTTTTGGCTCTCTGTAATCAATTCAAACGCCGAGCATGTGTAACTCTGTTGCGTGTTTCCCTCCGTGGAGCCAATCAGCTTTGCCTGACTTGACAGTACTGGATTCGCAAAAATGTCCCCAAAGGTCAGACTAAGACCGAGGCCATGCGCGGCTGAGGCCAGCCTCATCGCCGCCAGCGAGTCGCCTCCCCGTCGGAAAAAGTCCTCGAATCTTCCGATGCTCGATTCAGCAGTGTTTAGCACCTGCGACCAGAGCGAACGGAGCTGCAGTTCTTGGGGTGTGCACGGGGCCTCGTGGCTGGCAACGGATCCCAGACATGCAGCTTCCTCCGAAGCCGTCATCTGGAAGAGAATTTCGCGCAGCTTTCTGCGATCAGTTTTGCCGGAGAGATTGAGTGGTATATGGGACACTATGACGACGACGGTTGGAATCATGTACCGGGGAACGACGCTGGCCAAACGAGTCCGAAATATCTGCAGGTAGACAGTGGCTCGGTCCAAGGGGCCGAGGAGAACAGTACCTCCCGTATCAAGTGACGTAGGGTTCATTCCGAGAAACGCTGTCAACTTGACATCCTCAGATATTGACGTGCGGCACACGTCCATAATCACATCGCAGACTTCCGTGTCTGAAATGTCTATCAGACAGCGCTGAACCTGCTGGAGCACGTCGTCCAGGTCAAGCCGCTGTCCGTATAGCTTGACTGAGTTGTCTTTTCGGCCAAGGTATCGGACGGATCCATCGTCAGCAAATTGTGCCAAGTCTCCTGTTTTGTAGAGCTCCCCATCGTATCCAGGCTGTAGTTTTCGCAGCCAGGCTACATCGTGAAGAAATGCAAGCGCGGTTCTCTCAGCATCAAGGTATCCGCGAGCCAGCACGGGACCTTGAATAACTAACTCACCAACAGCTCCCACAGGCACCAGCTTGTTATGGTCGCCGGTGTCGACGAGCCAGATGGATCTCCCGACTCTGTGGCCAACGTTCTTTCGGTCAGACGCGACCGTCGGGCTCCTCCTCACGCAGCAGAGGCTGACACTCTCAGCCTGACCATACGCGAACAAGAGATTCACTTTACCCTCCCATGTTGCAAGACCTTTGAGCGACATGGGCTCACTAGTCAGGAGCAGCGTCTTGAGCTCGGGGGTCATGCCTGGATCGAGGAGGGCTGCCACAGACGGGGTAAGGTTGGCCCAATTGACTTGGTACTCGGCAATGAATGTCTCGAGGTGGTTGAGCCGCTGCAGCTCAGACGGCATACAGACACACCCTCCGAACATGAGTGTGAGAAGAATGTCCCGGTGAGCTATAAGGAAGGCGAAGCTCGAAAACTGGAGCACACGAGACTGGGCATCCAAGCAGAGTGATTGTCTCAGCAGTGTACCCCAGCTGACAAACGCCGCATGCTCGACTATGATCCCCTTTGGCTTGCCGGTGGATCCGTATGAAGCTTACCTAACAAGATGGCAAGGTATGTATCAGATATACACTGAACCTGGATCAGCATAGTTTTTTTCAGATGGACAGCCTTAAAGCCAATAAGATGGCTTTAACGCGAAAGTAGCGTTGGAAAAATTAGGTTACTTTATGAAAAGCGCCAAGGAAGACAGCAATGGGGTCTTAGTCGCCATGTTCTGGCACGCCTCACAAGTTATAAAGAGACTGGGCATAATTCACACATGTAGAAAGACGCTCGAAATACAAAGTAGTTTGCTCTACTTATATAGAGATCTGTACTGCTATCTAGTAAACGCGATAGAGGAATACGCTAAAAGACGGCGCAAAGTTGGTTGAGTTGCGGCGCTCGCCTATAGAACACGTTGTAGACGTTTGAAAAGCTCCTTCCACACTAGACTTCAGTCATTCGCGGCAAATGGCATCGAGACACATGCAGGATCTCGATTTTAGGCCTCATCTCGATCAAGGCGATAAAAGTGGCGATTCTCGACTGCGGCCGCGTTGAGATCCTGACCAGACAAGTCACGCTTCTCGACCGTGGCCTCGTCTTGATCAGGGCGATAAAAGTGGCGATTCTCGACCGTGGCCTCGTCTTGATCAAGGCGATAAAAGTGGCGATTCTCGACTGCGGCCGCGTTGAGATCCTGACCAGACAAGTCACGCTTCTCGACCGTGGCCTCGTCTTGATCAGGGCGATAAAAGTGGCGATTCTCGACCGTGGCCTCGTCTTGATCAAGGCGATAAAAGTGGCGATTCTCGACTGCGGCCGCGTTGAGATCCTGACCAGACAAGTCACGCTTCTCGACCGTGGCCTCGTCTTGATCAGGGCGATAAAAGTGGCGATTCTCGACCGTGGCCTCGTCTTGATCAAGGCGATAAAAGTGGCGATTCTCGACTGCGGCCGCGTTGAGATCCTGACCAGACAAGTCACGCTTCTCGACCGTGGCCTCGTCTTGATCAGGGCGATAAAAGTGGCGATTCTCGACCGTGGCCTCGTCTTGATCAAGGCGATAAAAGTGGCGATTCTCGACCGTGGCCTCGTCTTGATCAAGGCGATAAAAGTGGCGCTTCTCGGCTGCGTCGGAGCGATGGACATTGGCAATTGGCTCATCAGCGCGGCGAGACAAATCAACGGCGGGAACCGCTGCAGACTGGACAGGGAAGATGTTCAGGCCGAGGCTGGCGAGGCCAACCAGGGTGGTGGTGAAATGCATTGTTAGGATTTAGTGAGAAGTAGATAGTTGTGTTGAGCAAAGTAAAGAAGTGGCTTGTTGATGAAGCATTGTTCCTGGTTGTCCGGCACTCAAGCATTTATATATTACGAGATCTGAAGCAGAACAAGTTCTGCTACTTATTTTAGGAGTGGGTTTACATGCCGAGTTAGAATGCCGACTCAATCCTCTGTTCGCCGCGTCGACCATCGGTACTAGAGGAAGAGGAGTGCTGCAACTTGTTGTAATTCATGATTCGTTTGTTGTAATGCATGGACAAAGAGAGAAGTAATGCATGGGATATCTGTCGTGCTTCATGTTTTATTGGCTATACTGTCTATGCTAAAATGTGACGAGGAACGCATGTTTCATCTGCATATACTAGAAAGAGGGAGTAACGCATATTACTTCATGTACTGTAAGAGAGGAGTAATGTATGTCTGATTTGTTGTACTTCATGTAAGTTGTTTGTAAACCCTGTAAAGAGGAGCAATGCATGTTCTATCTGCAAGTCCTTGAAAGAGCGGCACAATGCATGTTGTATTCGTTGTACAGCATAGTGCGATCTGCTGGATGATTATCCCGAACTCCGCAGCCGGGTAAAGATAAGGCGCAGGGTGATCTCGATGTCTATCCACTTTGTCACGGATCGGTATGGTCGGGATGGTATTGTTTATGGGGCCACGGCACATGTGCTTCTCTGCTTGCTGGAACTGCTGGAGTTTCCTTTGAGTGTTGCCACGGTGGTGGGGACACGGTTAATCTGTACAGAATCGTCAAATGCCTGTCGATTCTCGGATTCTGACGCAAGTTGCAGTTTACACAACGCTGGATCGTGTCCATATTAGCTGGCATCTGCCGATATTCTTCGGATACGGGTGCTGACAAATAGAGCATCTCGGCAGTTGCGTTTTCTGCATTGCCACTCCTCGTGACAGGAGCATCGTGGCGTGGCCATGCAGGCGAGAGCAGATACGGTCTACGAACAGGTTAGCACTGTCAAGACGATCCTGATGCTGAACAAAATCCCATCTCCCTCTACTACCGTCATCGTGCCCGCCTAGCTACCAAATCACACCAAAATGTCTCCCGAGTCCCCAGCAGCCGCACTGCGCGGTTCCTCCCTCGCCCTGCTCGCAGCGCTCAGCGTATGCCTGGTCCTGAATCTGGGCGCCTTCGTCTTCTCCCTCCGTATTGTAACGGGCGGCACGCGGCAATACAGTACGTCCCATCTCCCCCATCCAGGCTTCTCCTCACCCGACTGGTGTTGGCTGACGCACAAGCAGCATATCTCGCCGGTGACCGACCTCGCGAGCTACCTATCAAGGTCCGCACTATCCAGGCCGCCTTCCACGACGACCCCTCTCACTACGGGATGGAAGGCATCAATTCCACGGCTGAATGGAACGCGATCCGCCCACCAGGCAAGGGTTTCGTCTTTCTAGGGGAAGAGCGCCTCGCATTTGATGTGTCGATGTGGCATCAGATGCACTGCCTGAACCACATACGCGCGGTTCTCGTCAACGGGGATGACGGGTCGGACCATACCTCGCACTGCTTCCATTACCTGCGGCAGGGCATTCTTTGCGCCGCCGACACAACCTTGGAGTCGGGCGGCACGAGCATGAAACTGGCTAACGGGGACAGAGTCGCTCCGGGCGCAGGAGTCGTGCATACCTGCCGGGACTGGAAGCAGGTGTATGACTGGATGAAGAGCAAGAAGGAGGATTGGACACCGGACATGTATGAAAGGTTCAAGGAGAGTAGCTAACAATGTAAGTCGGCGGGTGCTCTGTATGGAGCAGAAGATGAACATAGAAACATTGCCGCGTTGGTATGGAACTAGATGACTATTCTTTGGGCTTTGTGTAGCGGAGTACGTAACTATGTGCACAGAACCGAACCACTCCAGCAATCCACTTCGCGTCTAGTTTTTCCCTTTGGTAAGAACGAGAAGCTAGGGGAGTGGCCTCGAGAAGTCAAGGTACAGCACAACTCCAACTCGAGAGAATGTGACTCCAACGTGAGCGAGCGTCTACAGATGTAGCACCCCCAGTACCACATCAGTCTTCGTCTGTATACCGATAACACAACGGCCAGGCCTCCGTATCAAGAACGCTCCTCGGCGTCACAGGCACACTCTGAACGTCAAATGGCATCCGATGATCTGCATGTGCGTCAGGGTCATAGCGTGAGTCGCTCATATTGTGTGGGGTTAGGGGCATGCCGGAAAAGGCGGCGAAGTTGGCTGAGTGTCGGTGCTGCCACTGTTTCAACTCAGTCAGCAACTTCGTACTCCGTTGCACATCAGACACATGAAGCGGGAGGGTAGCATGGGGGTTCCGGGGGGCATATGCACCTTATTCCACAAGCGGTCAAGCTGTGCATGATGAAGCCAGAAGAGAGGGTCATTGGGCGTGAAGGTGATGGCCATGCCCTTGCAGTCCTCCTCCGGCAGGGCCTTAGGGCAGCCTCCCGCTAAGTCGCCCCCAACGAAGTTGTGTATGTGGTTGTGCAGTAGCTCCATTGCGTGCTGAAACTTAAAGAAGTCGCCTGTGTTCTGCTCTATCGCGTTGCGCACAAAGTCCGGGCCGAGGGTGCTGTTTTGAGGCTTCTCGTTTGGGAACCAGCCGGTGATGAGCGTCAGGTTCCTCCGCAGATGGTGCGGGATCGGCCAGGCGAGCGTGAAGTTCCCGTTAGAGGGAGCAAAAGCGCCAGCGATGACGGTACAGTCCGCCTCGGAGGAGGAACCGCAGTCCCCCGTCCCGCCCAGCCCGTACTTGGGTGAGTCCTCCAGCACTGGCGAGCCGAACAGGTCCGCGTGGTCGAGCGACCAGTCCCAGTATGGTGTTGGCCCTCTGTACCCGCAGGTGTTCCGGAGGGAGGTGTCGAATAGGTAGGTGAACCAGCGGTCTGCGCTCATTTATCAGTGAGTACGTGCTTCGGAGGAGGGAAGGCGAGGAGAGACGGAACGCACGCCGCGGCAAGAAGTAGGCATTCCTATGCGCTCTGTGCTCCAACGATGCGTGTGAGTAAGAGAAATCATCGTACAGGCTCCTTTTCCCCTCCAGCACTCTTTGGTCCCTGGTCAAGGACAGCCGTTCGTGTCGTATACTTGCCAAGCACTGAGTTAACGGCATCCTGCTTGTCAGCCAACGAACGAGCTGGGTACAGAGTAAAGAGGACGGCACACACCTTGACAGCTCCCACCCACTCAGATTTCTCGCCATGCGACAAAGTCCGCCATTCCTTGCGCGTAAGTATCTTTCTGCACGCTTGTGGCTGTGCCGCGTGTTCTTTGCGCGCATATGAGAGGTGGGTGCTGGGGGTGACGGCGAGGACGGCGAGGACAAAGACGGCGGCTACATAAAGAAACATTATCGAGAAGCGCATGGCTAGCATTCGAACAAGACAGAAACAGAGAATAGGTTGCAACGATCACACTATGAAATGAAAGGTTAAGTAGCCAGCCGACTGTGCATGATTAAAGAAGGCTCTTGGCTGGCATGCTTACAATCCGCCACTACCATTGATGCAGAACAGACCCCACCGCCTTGCACAAGTAGATTAAGGTATCATCCGCTCGCGGCGGTGCCTTTCTTTCTCATCTGTGCGCTTCCCTTGTACTGTTAACAGCAGGAACCAATCTTCCCTCTCTCACGCTCCCTCCTCAACGTCCATCTTGAAGTACCACGATGCTTACCTCGATCTACCGCTTCCGCTTCCTTGCTCTCCTCTTCTGCATCGTATTCCCTCTCTACCTCGCCATCCGTGGCTCCGCATTGCTGTCTGACATAACAATTCTCCTTTTCTCCCTCTCCGAGCGCGCCTCAGCCCTTCACATCAAGCTCGCCTCCCCGCCTGACGCCCCTCCGGCGTCGATCTCGACAGAAGCCTTCACGGCTTCTGCCGACCCCGCCAAATCCGTGCACGTACCCGGAGGCGGGAGAAGGAAGAAGGAAGAAGACTGCTCACTTCCAGATGGATTGGCGCACTGCATTAACTCCTTCGAGCAATATCCGTTCCTCGCCGAGCAAGTGCTCCAGAGAAAACATGCGCGGTATTCCAGGCAGGCGCCCGTACAGAAGGCGATGAGCGACAAGCTTGGCTATCCTGCCCATTTTGACAAGGCTAGGAAAGGAATCGAGGTCAACTCTCGACTTGCGGCAAAAATCGCGCAGATTGCGAGGGAGGATTACCACACCAACCAGGGGCCGCTGGAGGCCAGAGAAGACGCCGAGTTTGGAGTTGCAGACCTGGCATTTGGACATCTCTCGCGAGACTGGAGCACGCAAGGGGCAAAAGAGAGGCAGGCCGTGTTTCCGCCTATTATAGATGGGCTTGACAGACATTTTGGCGGAAACGGGAGAGGGAACAAGGTGCTTGTACCTGGAAGCGGCACGGGCAGGTTGGCAAGCGATATCGCTGATCTCGGTGCGTTCCCCTTCATTCATTGAGTGGAAGATATGGCCTCACATCGACGCAGGGTACGATGTAACGGCCAACGAGCTAGACTACGGCTCTATACTGACCTACCGTGTATTGACAAACCACACGATCTCGCTGCACCAGCACACCCTTCAGCCCTTCGTGACCAAATGGACGCATCAGGCCAACCCCTCCTCGCGCTACTCCGCCCTCACAGTGCCGGATCACTGGCCAAACACAGCCGTCAAGCTCGTCGAGGGCGACTTTTTAGACATGTTCCCCCAGGACGCCGAGTTCGACGCCGTCGTGACGCTGTTCTTCATCGATATGTCCGAGAACGTGATTGACTTCCTGAGCAGCATACATCGGCTGCTGAAGCCTGGCGGGGTGTGGATCAACCTTGGGCGTACGTTACTGGCCTCCCGTCCGTGAGCAGTTACGTTTACACACTTGCTCTAGTTCCGTTGGCTGCCGAACTCGAGCTGACGTGCCACACATAGCGCTGAAATGGGGCACCTACGCCGCTCTGCAGCTCTCGGCGGAGGAAGTGCTCCAACTAGCAGATCTTCTCGGGTTCGACGTGGACCATGCATCAAGGAAGAACATCGACAGTCTATATGCCGAGCAGCCAGAGACTTTGCTGAAGTTCACTTACGGTGAGTGCTTGCCGCTTTCTTTCAAGACGTGAGGCCTTGTTGCTGATGGGACAGACAGTTACTCAGTTCTGGTCCGCGACGAAGAGGGTGTGAAACCGGCATGTGTTAAAGCGGACGGAGAACTGACGGCGGACTGACTGCCAACAATCGATGCTGTTCAAGGCTATTGGCCCGGGAGGTATTGCCAAGTTGTCGATTTCTAAGGAGAAATTGACAGGTGAGTCAATATATAGGTTATACTTGAAAAAGCCTTATATCTAGTTCTTCTTAATTAGTTAAAGGTTATTAATTAAAGTACTACTTCTAGTTATTAGTTATTAGACTTAATTATAAGTAGGAGGGTTACTAGTAGTGTTTTATATACGGATCTAATAATAAAAGCTCTCTTTTAATACTTTAAAGAGGCGTTAGTATAGTTCTTTTACCTCCTAAAGTATTAGTTTTCTTTAAATTTAATCCTATAAGGTTAACTATAGAATTCCCTAGTGTTCTAAGGCTTTCTAGTAGCTAATACTACTTAATATATTAGAAATAGTATTTTTAAAGTAGTCTATTGTAGTTATATTTTTATTAATAGTGTCTATTAATTTTACGGTAAAATAATTATTATAGCTTAAAAAAACGCGGTTATTGTGAGGAGATTAGAGTGACGGAGTGGGCGCGTCGAGGTGGCCAAAGGCGGGGTGTGGCCGAGGATGGGGTGGCCGACGTTATTGCAAAAGACTTGTCCTAGGACAACCATCGGATCGAGTGTTGACTCTCAACAGCCTTGGCATATATGCAAACTCATTGCAAAGGGCCCATAGAGCAGTGATTCCTTCCAATCCGAGGCAAAACCCATACAATGCGCACGTGGACATATTAGCAGCGTACCAAATGAATATCGTGGGCGGCCCCAAGTATAGGCTGCTCCCGTCCAACTCTCCACGTCCCACAAAGTACCGATGATGTGACTCCACGACCAGAAACCTAAACGGTTCGCCAATCCAACCACTACAGCTGACAAATCCAATCAGCATCCATGTGCTTTGGGAAAGGCGGCTCTGTAGTGTATCACGGTTCTCATGCTGCGAACGACCCCTCGGATCTCGGGCCGCTTCGCCATCTTGTGGGCCTTGGCCGGTACGCCGGTGAAACAGGGTTAGCATATTCCTGCTGCATTTTATCATTGTATGCCTGATTAGGCTTGTGTCTATCGGTAGATTTGTTGACAAGGGTAGCTCTAAGATTGAGAAACCTGCGCCCCTGAAGAATGACTCTGCGTCTTCCAATAGATCTCCTGGCGCACGCAATCACACTGTTCGGTCCTGCAACAAAACATATTCTAACCTCCATCATCCTAGAAACAGGGAAGCGGTACTTGACAAGGTGGCATTGCGCCAATTAAAGTGGGTCATAGCGAAGCCAAGAGTGGGACGTTAGACTCACGGACCGGAGTCACCGGAGTGTCAAAGAATGCGGCTAGCACGAAGAAGGTGGAAGGAGAGATCGCAAGGAGATCGCTAGAATGTAGCTGGAGGATAGTAGATAATTCCTAATAATGACTTTGCTGATTACTGGAGAAAGAGTAGTCTTTCTCCAGTGGTTCTTCGCTACGTTCTCGCCCTTTTATAGCTACTTATTCGCACGTGACTATTTATGGGTCGTGACACGGAGTTACCGGAGTCGTCGGACCGGAGTCGTCGGAGAGTTACGGCGAGTACGATAAGGGCTCTGTGCTCCCAGGTCGCATCCGCCGTTTACCATTCTCCATATCCCATTAGTTGTCCCCGACATGACGGAGAAACGACCATATACACAAGATGAATGTAAGACTCGCCGCTTGTGAGCCTTGCCGACAGGCAAAGGTAGCGTGTGGACATGAGCAACCGACTTGTTCCCGATGCCATGCACAGGGGCGAAATGTGCTTTGTGTATATAGAGCTCGCCCTTTTAGAAGAAGGCCTCGCGACGCTTCCGAACACGAGTGAGATACCCTCCCAGTGGCTCCTCATATGCAGCTGCTGACACAGTACTCGTACCGTCTAGGCCTTCAAGACCAAGTCACAATATATTTAGGAAATCTCCCTCGAACTCAGAAAATGTTGTCCCAGAAAGTCAAGGAGGTGGCTCAAACTCTCCAAGACCCCCACGCCGCTACCCAAACCCTGGCTTCCTCGGAATGTCCAGCCACTCCACTATATTCAACCAGATGCTTCCTCTGGCAGCATCAAATGATGACCCTATGCACTGTTCGGTACAACACAGTACTACGATATCAACCCCCCTACCTCTCCTGGATGAGCCAGGCGACTGGAGTATCTCGGCCAAAGCTGCCCATGCCCTGCACCACTTAGACCAATTGAACGTGCCAAACCTCGTGTCCCTGGTGCAATCCTGGCTCGGGAAAGGGGTGAACCTTCCCTTGGCAGAGCCATTTGTCGTCCATTGCTCGGAGGCTGTGGCGGAATGGCATGGGCACTACCGCCTGTCTGATGCGAGGTCTGGCGAGCAGACAATGCAGCGTATTGAAACGCTTCTGCGAAATACACACAAGCCCATTATCGTACAGCCAAACTCGACGATCAGTGGTTTCATTTCCCAGATCACAGGCACGAATCTGAGATGGGAGACCCTGGGAATCTTTCTCGCTGCGGCGACGAGGGCTGCGCTGGACACCACATCGTTTACACCGCTGTTCACGGGTGACGAAACGCGCCGTAGGCTGATTAAAGCCTTGACAAATGTTGGTGACTTTTGCTTAGAAATATGTCTCGCGCTGGATTGCCTGAATGACTTGCAGCTTGTTTTGCAGTACGAAAACTTTATAGTACATTCTCAAGTCGATGGGGATCAAAGTAAGTTGTATCACATCCAGCGAGCACAACCTGTGACATATCATAAGCTGATGCCTCACACAGGCTACCACTCCTGGAGGAGAATGGGAGATGTCGCAAGTTCGTTGTTTGCCCTGGGCTATCATGAAAAGATCGACGACAGCATAAGTGTCCCAACTTTCATGGCTGAAATACGCAAGGCCTGCTTTGCCCGCATTTATGCGGCTGACAAGAGCCTGGCCGTTTTTCTTGGGCGGCCACCTCGTATCGTCAAGGACTACTGCATTTTCCAACTCCCGACAAACCACGTGGTTAGACAAGATGGTGATGGTGTAGGGGAGAATGCTGAGCCTTCAACCCCAGATCCAAGGCGGCAGGGTGGCAGCAAGGAGCCGGATGCGAGGGAACCAATCAACTACACCGCAGACACGCGTTGCTCAGCTTTGTTTGGGTGTCTGAAAGAGGAAGTGCTCCAACTGCTTCGGAAACGTCGCCATATTGAGCCTGGCAGTCTAAGGTTCGCAAGCTCGAATTCATTTAGTCGTTTACCTCAAGTAGAAAGCTAATGAATGTTGTAGTGATCTACGTTTGCGAGTGGAAAGGCAGTGGGAGGACCTGCCGGATCACTTTAAGCTTTCCACTCACGTGAGGGATTGTCATGGCAGTCCTTTTGAACGAGATTTCCTTGCCGGAACGAGACTCGATTATTTACACATCCACTTTCTCCTCGGGTTGGTGTCACAAAGGAGAATGTCCGAACCCGACGACTCTCTGTTGGCCGTAGCTTGTGAAATGCTCTCGATTACTATAGAGGTGATCATCCTTCGCGACCGCTTAGTGAACTCTGGAACGAGTCTTATCTGGAAAGTAAGCAGCCTATCCGCAAATCACATCTTTAGTAACTGACTTTGTTTAGGTTGCGCAGTATGGCCTTCCTGCGGCGGGGATTATCTCTTTGGCACTACTTAATCCCATGTCAGCGAGTAGCAGAAACTTTTCGCCGTCGAAAGTAGTACAAGGTCTCAGCATTCTTGTGGCGGAGATAACGATTGGCGCTTGGATACAGGCAGGAGAGCCTAACTTTGCACTCTTCACGCGCGCCACGGGCACAATCCAAAGCTTGCTGGACTCGCTAACGGCGTGGAAATCGTCCGCCGCCCCTGCCACCCATCAGAGCGTGAGCACTGACCTGGCCGGCGAATGGGATGCATATATAAACTCTCAGCATTGGGAGTTTGAGATGAACTTTTGGGCCAGTCTGGCAGAACACCCAACATTACTTAATGAAATAGCCTAGGTTGGGTATACTACGGGATATAAGATATTATTAGCAATACAGTTGGTATCGGTACCATTATTATTAAGTTAGAAGGAGATACACCCTGGCTGTTTTATCCCTTGGGAACCCCAGCCGTTACAGTAATTACGCCAAATCTGCTCATTCAACTAATGGACGCACTCTTATCTGACCAGTTGTCCTTGCCAGCTTTATTGGGCTTTTTGGTCACGAATTGGGAAAGACCCCGACTAGCTGAAAGCTCCGAGATCTACATTAGTCCGATTGGCGGCAACCATAACTCATGACTCCCATTCCTTGGTATCCGTCTATGCACGGCACGAGATAATGCAACTAAGCTCAGCAGGCCTCAAAACCCCTTTCTGCGGAAAACAGGCAGAAAATACCCGATACCATAATTATTTCGCTACTCGAGGTACGGCTAGGCTGGTCAGGGGCAGGGCAACAACGGGAAACTTGCATCCACTAGCTGCAGATGGAGACTGCAGCACTCGGAACAAGGACAATGGTTTTACGAAGAAGCTTAATTAACACTGAGTCTCAAAGCGTGACCAAATGCCCGAGGTATCGTGAAATTATCCGTCCCAACAACAGGGCGTCCCAACAACAGGGCGGTAGAAATCTAACCTCGGCAGGCCTTCGTCCCATGAGATCCAGCTGGGGATACCTGCCCACATTTGTCCGTGGCAGCTTCATTCAACGGTTGGGGTTTCGTCAACAATGTGGTCAATAGCGTTAAAAATACCACTCCTATGATGCCGAGTCTTATGGTATTTATTAGACTCAATTGTTCGTCCATCGCAATCCGCATGTTAGAATCGGCATCATAGAAATCTTCATCAACCTCGAAGACTGTGCCACCATGTTTCCCCAAATGTCAGGATATATCCTATCTTGTCTCCTACTTTTCTATTTAATCATTGTCCGGTATTTTCGCTACAGACGTGCAGCTAGAATTAGCTCGATATTCCGTGCGACAGGGCGGGAAATATCTAGCATGACAACCCAAGAAGCGCACGAGATCATCTCTCATCTCCAAGAGCTAGAATTTCCCTTTTCATTCAACAAAGCAAGGCAGATTGCTCTACTCAAGGTTTGCACTCACTTTGCCCCCGCCTCCCTTTTCTTTTCCTTTCCTTTCCTTTTTTTTTTCGAACGTGCGTGAGTTTCTGATCGCTGACGCTGTACTAGGCGGGTGCTATTCCTACAATGTCAAAGCTGTTCTCTGTAACCGGACAGAATAACAGAAGGAATGCGGGCAAACCGTCGCTAGAGACGGAAGTTCTTCTGTGAGAGGTTCAGTCGCAACATCCCGAGTCTGAACGGTATATGCTTGCCGTTGCTCGCATGAATTACCTTCATTCAAGGTATCGAAAGGCTGGGAAGATCTCGGATGACGATTTGCTGCACACTCTAGGTTCCAGTGTCGTTGAGATATTTCGAGTCGTACAGCAGGATGAATGGCGACAACTGACACATGTGGAGAAATGTGCAGTCGGCATATTTCACAAAAACCTAGGCGAAGATATGGGGATACCTCACACGAAACTGCCGTCATTTAACAGTGACTGGAGAGACGCCTTGCACTTCGCAATGGAGCTGGTAGACTGGACGATATAGCATGAGAAATCTGTCGCAATTCCAATGGCAACAAACGACCAATATGTTAGGGTATATGTAGACTCGGCAGCCTCCAAATTGCCTCAGGTCGTTACATTACTCCTCCCGGAAATATCTTGGATCGGAACTTGATTATACGATGCGAATAAGCTTGAAGTAAGTCTACATTTCTTTAGCTTTTCCCAGATCCTTCCTTGCACGGGCTTTTGGCGGTAAATCCCCAGGGTCAGTTGGCAGTGAACGATTTCATCCAGAGGGGTATAATCTGTGGACAATAGGTCCCAACCCGCAACAAGGCAAACGTATCAATGATATGAAATCAACTGTGGAGTTTTTAAAAGCTCGCGGGTTGGATAAATGCCCCTTTTCTCATGGTGGGCAGAAGGTGATGTGATGTGCGGTCTTCAACGTCACTGAAGGGTAGTAGGAGACGTTGATGAGACTACCACGGCTCATTGGTACCTAGGAGGAAGGATGAGTGTTGTTCTATCTTCATACTCTAGCTACCGTCAATGACCAACTACTTGATGCTGGCCTTGTCAGCTGTTGAGGTTCCAAGGAGGACTATTGTCTACAGCCAAGATCATATAGTGTTACTACAGCTGGAGCAAATTCAGGAGCTAAAGAATTTTCTATTCTCGCGAGAGGCTAATGAAACCTTCCACCAACTACTGTCTAATTATTCTGGTAATGAGAGAGTACCCTCGGTTACAACGGCGGCGGCTCCAGAGAGAAATATAGAAGATATTCCGTCTCCACGGTGATTCAGAGAAATGTTTACAACGATAGCACTGTCTCTCCCAATCTCGTGACCTTGGTCGACGTAAAACGTGTACTGCCCATCTGCAACACCATCCTGCAACGCAAGGTACGCACCAAGTGCACAACACCCACTACCACACGCAGGATCTTCGAGATTGATCGCAATCATACGCACCCTAAGCTCCTGGACGTTTCGCCCCTGCTTGGTGCTTCTGCCGAGTGCTTGATAGTACATGGTACCGGTAAATGAAGGTGACCAACTGTCGTCTAATTCCGCTACCGGGCTCGCACCTGGTCGTATTGCAGAAAAAACATGGCTTTGCCCAGTCAAATCGACAAGTATGTAAGTGACTCCGTTGACGATGGAGATGGTGGGGTAGGTCTTTTGCAACTGGAAGGACTCCTCCATATTTAGGCAAGGTTGCGTATCAGCGAGCCTGTTTCCATGTGTGCCCCGACTGTGAATATGAACGTTATGGGGTATCTCGGCGGAAACCAAGTTGTGGACAGGATCGTAATGGAGCGCAACGGTCCCTGCATTTGTTTGAAGACTAGCAGTTTCCGGTGTGTGATCTTGAAGAACCAGTCCAGGGAGCAGCTTGTGGAATAAGACATGCCCAGTTCCGATGACTGGGTGTCCAGCAAAGTCCATCTCATTGGCTGGGGTGAAGATTTTGATTCGAATCGAACCATTTCTCTTATTCGCATGCAAAAAGACCGTCTCGGAAAAGTTGAATTCTCTTGCAATCATTTGCATCTGATCATGGGCGATCGCATCTTCATCGACCAATACGACGGCAAGCTGGTTTCCTTTGTATCTGAGTCAAGTGGTTAGAGTCTACATTACTCTTTCTCAGGATCCGTCTGCGGGGGCAGCACTAACCTGACTGGCGTGAAAACGTCAAGTGTTACTAGCACTATAGTTAGTATAGCTGCCCGTGAAATGAGATGGCGATGCTGAAGGTAATTACCATAAGAAACCTTCCGGCCCGACATGTCGACGTCATACAGTACGTAAATCAAATTGCAAATTTGTAAGGATGCTGGCTGGCTTTGTCTCGGCCAAAGGTGTGTGAAAGGTGTGTAGGTTGATAGGTCCATTATTGGAATGGCAAGATGGGGCGACATGGGCTTTTAAGGTTAAGAGGTGCTGTCGGCACAGGTCACTAGAATGTTTGGGTCCCGGAGATACCCTCTATTGGCGTAGCAACAAAACGCTAAGAAAAGTTGGCTATGTGGCTTGACTTCTCCGTATCAGGTATTTCCAGAGTCTGACAAGTTCTGATCGAAGAGACGCGGTTCCCGGTAACTCCGCGTGGCACCCAAGTGCAAGGCGTTCCACGTTTTCTCTATGATCCACACTATGCCGATAGGCAACTTCCAAACTTGCACTGTGACTCAAGATAGCACCGGCAGGTCTATACAATGTTCGGAGGCCATTCCGACATTCTCCTAGACCCAGTCGCTGTAGACGGGGGTCATCCGGATGAATGTTTATCACCACACGCCAAGTTCACTGTGGTCGTCAATGCCGTGAATCTGGTGTGATGTGGATACGGCGAACGGGGAGAAGATTCCACCCGAATACATACTTCGCAATTTTGCTCCGTGGAATATCAAGTACAACTTGGGCTGGCCTGTTTACTTCGCACTTATAAGGGCCCAACACGGCAATCACTTTCAGGGTGAAGTTCCATCCATGTCTAGTCCAAAGACTCGCAAGCAATTCTCCAACTTCTCGCGACACCAGCTTATGAGTGGCTTGTAGCCATACTACCCGCAACTTAAAGAATGGCACTTCAGATTGATCTGGCAGAGTATCTATGGAGACGACTTGCTGAAATAGGTATTCAGTCAGTTCATGGTGTTCCAGGAGATTATAACCTGACTGTGCTGGACTATCTCGATTCAGCAGGCATCCACTGGGTCGGGAATGCTAACGAGCTGAATTCTGGCTATGCCGCTGACGGGTATGCCAGGATCAAAGGCATAGGAGCCCTCGTCACCTCATTTGGGGTCGGCGAACTCTCTGCCATCAATGCTATTGGAGGAGCCTATTCCGAGAAGGTGCCGGTAGTGCACATTGTTGGAACACCTCCAGTGGCAGCCCAAAAGGCTGGCGCATGCCTACATCATTCCCTGGGTGACGGAAACTTTAGGGTTTTCGCAGAGATGTTCAAATCTGTTACAGTCTCCCAAGCAAATCTCTCAAACCCGTCAACAGCTTCCCTTTTGATTGACACAACTCTTCAAAATTGCGTCCGACACAGCCGGCCTGTTTATATTGAACTGCCTTCTGACATGGTCAAGACCAAAGTGGCAGAACCTTCCACCCCACTCGATCTCTCCATTCCCGGCTACAACGAAGCTTTTGAGGATCAACTGGTGCATAAACTTGTTGGTCGGATCCAAGACAGCAAGAGACCTATGATATTGATTGATGCATTTGCCGCGGGCTTTTGCGTCAACGCGGAAATCAATGACCTGGTCAGGGAGACTGACTTCCCTACACTAGCAACTCCGGGCGGCAAGGGTGTTGTCGATGAACACTTGCCCAATTTCCATGGCGTCCACCTAGGATCAGCGGGAACCTCAGCCCACCAGGCATGGGCTGGAGCTCGTGACCTGGTCCTCCATTTTGGCCCCCTGAACTCGGACACCAACACCTTTGGCTTTACTGCGATACCCAACCCTCAAGTCACCGTCGCCTTTGAGAGGCATTCTGTGCAAATAGGAGGCACGGATGAAATACTTACTGGCGGCTGTTCTATATCTATTAAGGCTACCCTCAACAAGCTTTTGGCTCGATTGAGGACTTTGCGGCGCTCAGCGCCCGACCCATACCCAAACGAGTGCCAGACTCCCAGGGAGGCTCTCCGCAAGCTCCCCAAGCCAAGAGACGAGTCCGCGGTTGATCAGTATTCATTCTGGCTTCTCATCTCCACTTACATCAAGTCAGGCGATATCGTCTTGACCGAAACTGGGACTGCTTCATATGGCAGCCATAGTCTCATTCTCCCAGGGGAGACAGTTGCCATAAACTCTACAATTTGGCTTTCTATTGGCTACATGCTTGCCGCATGTCAAGGAGCTTCACTTGCTCAGAAGGAAATGTGCGAGGCTGGCACCCGACGCCCGGGGAGGACTATTTTATTTGTGGGAGACGGAAGCCTTCAAATGTCAGCCCAAGCTGTCAGCGACATGATTCGGAATAGGCTCAATGTCACCATTTTTATTCTGAACAACAATGGCTACACAATCGAACGTCTCATCCATGGCCCTAACGCAACATACAACGATGTCCAACCATGGCGAAACCTGGAGGCACCCAGTTATTTTGGAGCACCAAAGGATGAGCCGTCGTATCCTGTGAGGACGTTTGCTGCCCAAAACTGGGGCGAGCTGCAAAAGATTATCAACAACGCAGGATTGAAAAAGGGCAATGGACTCAATATGGTCGAAGTAAAGATGGGAGTGGATGATGCACCTCAATCGCTCAGATCATTCGCCGAATACTTGGAGATGAGGAACCGAGGGGAAGTATGAGAGGACCCCATTCTAGCATTGGGCCCAAGTCAAGACGCACAATACGAACCACTTTGACAGCACCAAGTCCAATACATTAAGTTACCACAGTATTCCTACGTCGTTGAAAGACTGATTCGTAGAGCTGTGCAAGCAACAACGCAGTAGGATCTAGTCAAAAGTGCCAGACTAGTGATCAAGGTTGACCATATCTACAGCAGTAATTACCAAAGCACTCTTACTACCAGAGTAGCAAGTGGCAAGTACTACAGCTATATTGTCATCTGACGTTAGGTAAGTCTGCCTCTCTTAATAGATGCTACGGGACGAAAGTAAGGGGACAAAGAATGGATACAGGGTCTTACGCCGGTCTCATTTACTAGATCGCCCTGGCTACAAATCCGGTCATATGGATACTGTTTGTCTCATCGTATCAACAGTTTCAGAACGGGCCGACAAAAGAGGCAGGCCCATCAGGAACGCCCCATCCAGCTGGAGTGTAGTGGCGCCTCTGTCGGCGTGGACTATCTCGGGATTATCCAGCAACCCCACGATACACCGACAGCGCAGATCACGTCATGGATACCGCCCACCCACTAAGACAATCCACTGACATAGTGTTAGATATGATGGAGTTGTCCTAATCCGCAAATGGGATCATAGTTCATGTATTTGAGTTTGAAACCAGAATTCGGTTGTTGCCGCGTCTCTTGAAGCTGGATATGCGCAGTTTTATCTAGCCAGTTATTTGCCTGCAACGTGTTCTAAACAGAACCCGCCATGGCGTCATGAGGCATAGTGAAATCTTCTAGTAAGCTTATTAAAATCATTCTGTTTATGCGTACATAATCGCAACAGCCCACCAAAGAGGACAATGAGATAAGTATGGATAGATTCTAAGGGCTGTGTGCAGTCAACAGGGCATGTAGGCTAGGGGCTTTAGGCTGGTATAATTTGTGCTTAATCTAGCTATGCGTAGTATCATGGGGTAAAGACGACACATTTGCCGATACCATTGTGTTCCGCGCCGGCATCGAAAGCTGTCTTCCAGTCATTCAACTTGAACGTCTTCGTCTCCGCGAAACCATGGCCCTTTGGGAACAAACCCCTCTCTAGCATCTTGACGAATTTTGTGACACTCTCTCGATCATACATTAATTTGCCTCGAAGCATTATGCTGTTTGTCATGATCTCCGGAACCGCGATGTTCTTGGTAGATCCCATCAGGCTGACCCTCCCACCCTGACGTAGCGCCCTGATAGCACTCTTTGTATGTGTTGACATGGATGCTGATGAAGGCGTGATGTCCAAAACAGCATCAATGGCACCAAATGCTAGCAAGGCAGCTGTATCATTAGTTTCATCCCCTGTTATCTTTACCGTCTCGATGTTCGCTGCTTGCGAATATCTTGTGACATCTTCTTTCAATTTTGCCAGCTTCTCCTCATTTCGGCCCATTGCAATCACTCTCGCGCCCATCACTATCGCGACTTGGACACCTAAGCTGCTGTAGAACCCTGTTGCTGGGCACACGATGATCGTCTCGCCGGGCTGAAGGCTAATATCTCTTAGCCCACCATAGGGCACGAGTAGGTACGCCATGTAGACCAGGTCCTGGAGTGAGTATCCCAACTCACTGCATAGCCTTGCTTCATCCAGCGGGATGCAGTTTTCTAGCGGCATCATGGCGTACTCTGCAAACGTCCCATTGCGCCACACGTCGCGCATTAGTTTCTTGCTGCCATCGCTAGATCCCTCGTAATGTGCTGTTAGGAAGAGGCAATCCGGATCATCGCGTGCTCGTATAACGCAGTCGACGTAAACAAGTTGTCCAGGCATCAACGCTGTTGCGTCAGATCCGACTGCGGCGACATGGCCGATTGCGCCAAAACCGGCTACCAAGGGTGTGGGAAACGCGAGGGGACGATTGCCACTGTAGACTTCTCGGTGGTAAGGTAGAATGCCGGCGGCGGCGACGCGGACAATGGCACTGCCAAGAGTAGCCCTTGGTGTTGTGACCACCTTGACTTGAAAGCCAGACTCGCGACTTTCCAGCACGAGGGCGCGGTGCTCAGAAGGTAGGGCAGATTGCATAATGACGATTGGGAAACAAGACAAACGTGAAACATATCGAATGACTGTGACACAGGGCAGTCACCAGGCTTGGATTTTATACGTAGCATTGGCTGCCAACCCAACTACCTTGGTCGTCTGGAGTACGATTGGTGGGGTTCGGGGCGACGTAGCATTTTCAGCAAGCAAGGCAGGTCAAATCCTCGGGGATTGGTTAATAATACCTGGAACTTGGCCCATCTCCACCCGTACCTCGGAGAGGCTGTGGTATCCTTGAGGGGTAGATATGGTGCCGATGATGGAGGAGCATGCCATCTTCTGGAGATGGATAGCATAAACCAATGGGGTTGAACAGCGTCATCACTAGCGTCTGATCCCACGCTCAGCAAGAGAGACATTTCAGAATCATCATTCCCCACTCAAGATTTCTACCAGGGGTTGTGGCCCATTCGTATTCATGGATGCCAGTGTCATCTTGTCAGACCATCCTTCTGTGACAAACGAATAGGAAGACGGAAGGAGCGGCCCGTTATGCAGCCGCAGGGAAGCCTGTGACACCTGAGGGAGCAGCTGTGAGGCTCCCTGGGTACGAAGGTACAAGGACACGAGATCACGTGATTGGATTAGGAGGGATCGAACTGATCCAAGTGGACTCGTCGGACGGGCTTAGTCTAATCCAGCCTAAGTGAGGATCAGATGGGATCAGTATGATCTAAGAGTACAGTAGAGGATAGAGGGATATATAAGGAAGGGGATTTCCTAGATAGACAGCTAGATCTCTACTAATCAATCTAAGTAATAGCTCTACTATTAGGAGACATCTCCTAATGTGACTTACACTATAATAACTGCTCGTGTGCACTTATGCACTTAAACCAACTCTCTACCTAAGAAACAGACTAACTGTGGATTAGGGTTAAGCCACTATTACATTTTAATCAGTCCTATTCAGTGAGTTACCTTTAAGATCACGAGCAGTCAACCTTCACAATGTCCACTACTAGCGGCAAGAACACTAACACGGCGGCAGTGGCCACCAACCCAACGGCTATAGATGCCGATCCAGTAACCACAGTTACTAACCTAGTAGCTAAGATTACTAACCTTAACACTAAGGTTAAGTACCTTTATACACAACTAGAGGAAATAAAACTTAAGGCTACCACACTACCTAAACTAAAAGCAATAATACTAAAGTTTCCTAAACCTAACACGTTTAATAGAATCAGAGGAGACGTTCGCACCTTCTTAACACAAGCTAAAGCCTATCTTAGAGTTAATAACTCTATCACTAAGGAATCTATAAAGATCCTTTATATGGGAAACCTTCTCACTAGCAAAGCCATAGAATAGTGGGAGCCGACTCTTAGGGACTACCTCAATAATAAGAAACCTAATAACGACACTACACGTATCTTTACGAAATATAAGAATTTTAAAGAAGCGCTACGAACCGCATTTAGCGACCTAGACGAGATTCAAACCACAACGCACAAACTTAAGTCGCTAAGGCAGACTGGATCTACCCAGCACTACACACGAGAGTTCAGGCGCATCGCTAACTATATTAATTAGGATAACGACAGCTAAATAGAACTCTTTTATAATGGACTAAGGGAGGATATGAAGGATGAGATCGCTAAGGAAGACTGACCTAATGACTTTAACACATTCGTTAAAAAGATCATTAAGATTAATAATCGGTTATACACTAGGCGACTCGAACGTGGAGGACAAGGTACTAGACGACGAAACCACCCGTTGCCACCATAGGCTAATACCGGCAGACGTTACAGAGGATCCACGGCTTATAGAACACACTTAGGCCCTATAGAACTTAACGCTGCACATAAGAGTTAAACTAAACCTAATAAAATATACTATAACTATAGAAAGCTAGGACACTTTATAAATAAGTGCAGAGCACCTAAGAAGCAATAGAAACCAGTTAAAGAGAATCACGGATTAAATACAATAAACTATAGCGACCTACTAACTCGTAATGTTAGTATAGTTAATAGTGAAGAATATTTCTTAGACACTAACCATTAGGCGGACTACGATACGTACCTAGGCGAAGATTAGGACTTTAGAACCTAACCACTACTAGACAAAGAGGAAGAACTCTATAATAGAGAAAATCCAATAGAACCTCCTACAGCATCCCTTATTAGGACGCGCTCTAAGGAGATAGGATATACTAAGTTAAAGAACCGTTTCACGCTCTAGAAGAACGGATAATGAGAAATCGTGTTAATTAAAGACTATAAAATCGTTAATCTAGAAATACTATAGGAAGCAATCTAAATGGATTAAGACCAGCCTAATGACATTCTAGAGGACCTAGAATATCTAGAAACTATTATAACGCACTTATCACACTACTAAATCTTATAGGTATTATACGTATACAGTTACTATAAAAAACACCTCTTAGAAAAGATTAAGTATAAGTAGTGCCTAGACCCGAATATAGGAGAAGAACCCTACTATAAAGAGGAACTTTAAGGGTGGGTTATAATAAATTAAAAGGAGTCTAATAGCATCCTCCTACGAAGACCTAAAGAAAACAAACGTGTTATAGAAAATACCTACACTATCTATGCACGTCTAACGTAATAAGAATATAATAGAAACTGTGTATAAGTGAACGATTCACTAAGTCTAAATCTAATTAACACAGTAGGCAGATAAACCAACCGTCGCTAAAGCTCTAATAATAAGTCTAATAAAGAGACTACTAACGCATAAGAGGAAGGAAGTTCAGGAAACGACAACCGTCGTTATAACTAGGACCGATACTTCAACGGAGATCTAATTAGTCTCTATATACTATAGACATTAGTAGTATAAGTCACCTTACGGTTAACATCCTTATTAAAGGAAGACTAATCTAGGTAATGATCGATAGTAGAGTATAAGGAAATTTTATCTCGCTAAATCTTATT